TCTCTATGTGGATGACCTGATTCTAGATTTATGACACACTGAGCAGCTCCAAGAAGTCAAGAGGGAGCTCAACAATGTTGGCTTGAAATCTTGGTGCAGTTCACACCAGTCAACTAGGTTTAGAGTTAGAGTTAGAGCAGCTGGGATATATGGGAGAACTGGAAAGATTGGAACTTACTAGCTGAAGTTGTAGATACTGGTAGGCAGCTCACCAATATTTAATAATAGATTAGTAAGAAATTGTTTCAGTATAGTTGTCAGGAGAATTGGATCAAGTTGTGAGATCAGGACCCTGAAACAAGAGTTGGACTGGGTCCAAGAGCATTGAACTAGCATCAGGTAACTAGATCAGAGAACTAGGATCAGGAACCAAGATTATGTAACCAGATCAGGGGAGCTGGATGTGAGAAACCAGTGAAAAGAACTGAACTGTTATCTAGGTCAGGAAACTATAGAAGAGTTACCATTATAAACTAAATTAGTGATAAAGGAAGTATGCATCAATATCCCAGAAAATGACTTTAGCATTAAATACAAGAATTACCCCAAACCCCATGGTTATGTAGTGAATGACTCTGATAAACTGGTTTGCTCAAAGGCATCAGGTGATCATGATTGAGGTTTCTACAATTGTAACCTAAGCTTCAAAACCCCTGAGATCAAGCTTGGTTCTGGGCTACACCAGTGCAGCACGAAGGATATGTTATGCAGTCATAATCAATCATGGCAATGGTCCAAAATGGGAAGATTGGATGCTGCCACCCTAATGAAGATTATGGAAACTAGTGTAGATGTTACCGTAGTGTATTCTTGTATAAAAAGACATATTCAATAAAATAAGTCGTGGGCAGAAGCCATAGTGACACTAAATCCCCATAACTAGCTTCTCAACTCCTATCTTAGGTTTACAGGAACCTAACAGAGTGCTTCAACAGCCTGATCACCTGCACTGAAGCCTCTAAATCCTGCTCGGTTCACAACTAACTGACTCTCCTTGCCTCTTGCCCCCAATTTGCTACCGATGCCCAAAGAAAGGATTCAGAGACTATGATTCCTAGTACAGACACCCACATAACCTGCTAGGAGACCCAAGTTGTCTTTACCATAGTCTACCAACAAAAAATCTGTTACAGTTATCACCTAACTTGCCCATTTTTATTCCCAGCAGCAGAAGTCTTTTCTTGTTAGTGCAATTTTTAGTAAAGAAGTAGTTCAAGATGGCAGATAATAGTCTCTATCTTTTTTATTAATATATTACTGGGTTATATATATATCTAATATTTTTATTTTATTATATATATTAAATATGTAAGGACCTTATTATAAACCCAAAAAATCAGGTAGAAACTAATAGTTTAGGAGAGTAAAATAAAACTCTAGTATATAATACTTAGTTAATAAGTTTTATAGAGAAACTTAAATACTGTTACCTATATATTATTTATCTTACATAGTTTAAGAAATAATTGCCTATCCATATATACAGGACTTCATATTAAAATACTCTATATTATCTACTGAATTGTGCAACTTTGCTTTGAACCATGGTAGGATTGCTATGGGAAAGCAGCATCAGCCTCTGCACATATCACCTACCTTACAGAATACATGGCTAGATACCTGAGTAATAGAACCATTATTCCCTTTAGCAGATTCAGTCCTGGACAGTTGTATAGCAAGAGCTATCTGCTCCTCCTCTGACAGGTTCTTGTACAGTAAGTTAGAAGGTGGGCAACACCATCAACTCCTCTTTGTGAAGGCACTATACTTCCTACCATATGATCTGACATTTTGTCCTCCCGTTGTTTTCTCTCCGCTACTCCTTGGCTTGTCTGACACACATGGTCAGCCTCCAACCTGGGAACACATCTGAATAAACATACATTTGCGGATCCAATGCAGTCACACAATGCACATACCTATGTTTTATGCAAAATGTCTTCCCGCACAGTGGACAGGATATTTCTACGAGTTCCCGCTTGCCACACCTATGGAAACTGCATGCATTACTAAAGGCTGTCCCGGTGGAAGTGCCCGGCTAATGACTGCTAAGGTGAGACATCAAACAATGATGAGCAGGTTTGGTAATGCAGACATTACCTCAGGGCAATTTGCCTGGATATGCTCATTGACACGTAAATTGGGGTCTTCTCCCCGGCGCACCGGAACAACTCTGTTGCAAACAGGACAAGTTACTGCTCGAGCATCAGCGACACTCGCAGAGAGCGCTGAACATTGATGTCCCGTTGCTGAACGATGCTTTGCAGTAACATCCTCCGGGAAAGCGGCGAAATGCTCCTGGCTGATATTATATCACGGTCAAGGCAAAAGGGCAGGAATTACCGGCGAGATTGAACGATACCAGAAGCTCTAAACGCAAACAGTTGCTTACAAACTTGTCACGAGAAGCGCAGCCGGCAGGGTCTTACCTTCTGACAGTGTTTACAATACAAAGGTAGAAAATCTATGTGCCTTGTTAGTGAAGACTTCTAAACTGCCAACCAGTTCGTGTACCTATATGGCTGCAGGACTTTCTATCACATTGTCTACCAAGGTGCGGAAGTTCCTAGACCCGTAAAGCAGAATTTGAGAAGCTAAGTACGTGTCCTTCCGAAATTTCAACCGTTACCATGTCAAAGGGAATGCCCAGTTCTTAAGCTTATGAAGGAGGTTAAGCTTGAATGGCAGATACACGTGCCGTTTACCAGTAAATGGCTAGTGTATTGGCAATAACAAATGTCACAACATAATACACCAGGGAATGAACCGGCGACAACCGGTTCGGAAAAGCCAAGTAATTCCCTCCTTACAACCAACCGACTACCACTAGGCCCAATTACACATGCAATACATTACGGTTGTTTCTAACCGGGTAACTAAGCCCACCACCACGAGAGAAATCCTACTAAGCCCTTGCTTGATTCCGAAATTCTTTAGTCGGAGGATGTTCAGATACTAAGGTAGATCAGAATAATTAGACTGGATAATCCGCGTGGGAAAATACAAAGATAATGCATACCTGCGATCATAGCGATATAGTAGTAGCAGCGTTTGCAAGGCGTTATGTTGTTGTTGTCGGGAGGGCGAGGTCCTTGGATTCAGAGCGGCATTCTCATGATGATGGACTGAGACTTGTTGGGCAGATGCTTTGAGTCGAGGATGGGTAAAGAGGGAAGAGGGAGCAGGTCCCCTTTTATAGACCTTCGGCATGCGCCTCACCGCAGTTTAAAAAAAAAAGTTACATTAGCATGCCACACCAATCTGAGCGATAGATGGGGGTGCTGATTATGTCACTAAATGTCGTTAGTTCAACTGGCTGCAATGCTCCGTGGCACTGACGTTTCTATTTTCCCACACACTATGTTGATCCGCTACAACCTTAATTTCATTACTTTTAATGCATGGCAATTCTTAGTGTCGGCTTCATCATCCCACCAATTCAACCCATGTAACTCGCTGTGATATTTAAATTGTGTATCGTCGTATAATCTCTGCTTTCAACATCGATATACAGAGAAAATAGGTTGATTTACAGAGGTTTGGCCATCTTCACTTCAGACGATCAGCGTCATGTGCGAAGCAAAACAGATACGGATTGCTGCCAACAAATGAGGAGTAGATGACAGAGCGTTCTAGCTAAAGCCGCAACTGTTGTACTACATAACCGCATGATCACTAGCATCGTCATTAGAGGGGGATCCAGAATTTGAACGACGTTAATGGCTGGAACAGTTTTGTCTGATATGCCACTGGCAGACTCCATTGTCGACATCGACTGTTAAGGGCATAATGGATATGACTACGGGCTCACGGAATGCCTTCCAGTTTCGGGAAGTTACACTGCTATGGGCAGTTCCCCCGACTTCAAAATGTCTCGTCACCGTTCTACGTTTGATCGAGTTGCAGTCTCCGTGCAAACTTGTCAAATGCTTATATATTGAGCGAGTGGTCTTCCAGTAACCAAATATACATATTCCTCTAAAAATTCAGGCCATCGCTGGGCCCTCCCCAGTTCTCGGGTCCCCATTGCTTCTATCACAACCTGATTGTCCTGGGTAACGCACCCGACGACCAGCGTTACCACGAGCACTGTCAAGAATGCCAAGTTTGCGTCGAGACGCGGGATCGGCAGCCTTGTGTAAATCGGTAGATAAACAACAACAAGCAGCATAAACAGAAGGCCCACCGATTTGCTAATTAAGGCGTTGGCATGTCGAAATGTGGTAATAAGTCCGAATGCACCAGTTCTCACCATGCTAGTTTCAAGATATTCTCTTCACTCCTATCGTGTCCTTCCTCAGAGAGTGCTAGAGTCACCAATAGCACCCCCATAACATAGTTTCCATACCAAATGTATGGCGTTGGATTCCATTGACTTCCTCGCGTTTGGTTCATCAGCATCAGAAAACCTGCAGCTGCATGGAATATAATCACACAGTTCATACGCAATGCACAACATTTTCAAAACGTTGCTAATGCCCCGTACCATACTGTACAAAGATCAGTCCGTACAAGCTAAAAGCCAGCACCCGCAGTGACAAGGCAGTTTTCCATCCCTCACACTCGACATGCTTCATATATGCATGAATTGCGGCAGGATATAATATCACTTGGGACAAAGAAAAGACGCACCAACTAAGAGTGGCAAAGGTTTATTAAAAAGCGTGCCAGAGAGCAAGCAAACTCTTCTGAAGGGTCACTAATACTTGCATTGTCGGCACATCCAACGTCCGAATTGAAGAATTCAGAATAGCGTCAAACCCAGCTGCCGCGCATCCGCCAACCGTTAAGCATAGCAGAGCTTGGTACAGGTATACCCGCCGCCCGATTTCTTTCTTCCGAGCGATATCGTTACTCGTGTAAGGAGCAGGCAGTCCCATCATGCAACCAAGGCGGAAAGCGGACGATCGCATTCGCAGATCCACGACGCGTTCGGACAGGCAGCTGACGTAAGATCAAATTGCAAAGGGCGATACAAGGATCTGTCAGCGAGAGACCCTCACTGACGTGTTGCTGCTGGTAGGCCCAGGCGATTTTTACATTCAATTTGAAGAGAATGGGGTAATATGAGGATTGGCCCGGGCGGTAACTCGTGTGCAGTCCGGTTCCAAAAACTCCAGCTCCTCCCAAGTCCAGAGCAACATCGAGTCCGTTGGTGCACGATATTGACGCTACTCTTACCAAAATCACAATGAAGACAGTGTTGAATCTCATCTCTGTCTTCCTGTCAATCAATGCGGCTCTGGCAGCCCCATTCGCAGCGAAGAGAGCAGGTACTATGCGCTTCATAATCCTTCAGCTAAACCGAGTGGTCCCTTACATTCGGTTGCTCCAGTGACAGTGACGGACCTTCTTGCCAGGACCAGTGCACCTACAACAACCGGTCTGGGTATCGAAGAGATCATTGGACCTACTCTGTTTCGTCGGCGTATGTTAATGTTATCAACAAGTTTCAATGTTTACTATAAACTAATTACTCCATCTGTGGCGTGCCAGAATCTAACACCCGTAGCAGGTGCCTGGCCAATTGTCAGGCGGCGTACGATCAGACCAACATGATCTGCGCGGCTCGGGGTAATGACACGAGCTGCACAGACTTCCGTGATGATTATAATCGAATCTGTCTAGCAAATTGGTAGGAAGCTATAGCGCTTCGTCAAGTTGTGGTCCTTCACACCTGATATTGGCCCTGTTTACAGTTATCAGAACGCTAGAGACCGCCCCTCTACTCGGACTACCCCGAGCGTAATTACCAAGACGGCGTCTGCTCAGAGAGTTTTAAGTACTACCGAACCTGTTGAAGTGACTTCAACCACTACAACAGAGGTGGTCACTGCAATTACCACGGTTGAGACGACTACCCTGCAAACAACCACTGAAGAACCCCAGGCCACAGGAACGCCTCTTCCCACTGTAGCTGAGTGCCTCCGTACTTGCGATATTGCGTATGCGCAAACCACCGAGATTTGTCAGAGTCAGACCGATGAGGACACCTGCTTTGAGTTCAGAGACACGTATGACCTGCAATGCCGGGCATCTTGTCGCGGTATTGCCTTTATTCCTACCATGACCTTCCAATCTGCTACATCCACCGTCGTTGTGGAAGAAACAGCTACAGTTGAGACCACTATCGCTGCCGGGCCAGGTCTTGGACCAATCCCCATTTAAGGTTAACAGAGAAAGCGGGTTCAGAATATTAGTTATGTACAATGCACAATATCTATGAGAGTGATCTTTATGGTAAAACCAACATCCAAAAATAAAAATTGTTGAGTGAATACATCGGAAAATATTCGCATGAACCGTAGATGAGGGATCTATCAATTCTGTGTCCTATATTTAGGTGCATGGGCCGTCTTATCGGTTTTTAGTCAGAGTTTGAAAATTGGAATGATAGGCTACGGCCTGCCGAGCTATGACCAGACCTGCCTCAACTCGCACTGATCCGTTGGTCGGTGGAGCTTCGGCTGCCATTGCTGGACAAACGGCTCCACCTACCGCCTCGAAGAATCGCCATCACTTTGGTCATCATACCATCCACCATTCGCAGTTTGCGAAAACGGAGCGGGGAGATGCTGGGATTGCTTTTCACGTCAAACAAGCAATAATTGAAAAATCACCCACTCGCTTACAAAGTTACGAACCGAGAGAGGTGGCTGTCCGTACCGATCAGAAATATTCCCTCAAAGATTCGAGTGCAGTTAAAACAGAGAAACTGAAGAGACGAACTGTAAGAAAACATTCCGATTGTTGCTTCTATATCATGACCGCAAAAATTAATAAAGCGACTCGGATGGCACAAACAGGATGTTTATCGCTGTGGATTTTGCTCAGATGCAAAGGAATCATACAAACCTTTAGGTTCGAAGTACGGACATGTTTGGCTTGATGTGCCATGGATGACCGCTGCTCACATCACGACGACATTTAATAACAAATGCCATCTCACCTTCGCCACATTAGGAGACCCAATACTCGACTCAGATGCGTTGCTGTGCTTAGCGTTAAAGATTGATCCAACATCTCTTCATCGGTGAGTTGGGTAAACAGCGTTGTGGACACATAACAGCACAGTACCAATTCCAACTCTGTATAGATTGACAAATACTAAGGATGATGAAGTAACTTCTGATGCAAATGAAGTCCATACCAGCTCCCGGCGAATTCGACTGGCTGGTACAGTAGACGGTGAATTGGGACTAGGACTATTCCTCACCTCATCCTTTCAAGGGCCGCCGCCGCGTCACAACAATGGCTTCGAATTGATAAAAGACAAGTTGGTGAGATCTAAAGGACGGATACACGCTGTCAAGGTTTGAGTTGTCCTATTCCTAATATACCAAGCAACTTCTGACATGCTACGAAACTTAGTTCGGTATCCCGTTTGCTGAAACGGTTGACGACAGCGATTGGCGACATAGAATTGACGCCGCTAAAATAGGTCGGCGGGACGGGCAATTACAAGAAGGACAAGGTTGGAGCATACTTGAAATCAAACTCCGCTGACCGACTAATGATAGAGCACTATTTCCCAATTAAGTTGATTGGTATCATAGGAAACTGGACACGGACAAACAGGCTTACTTTCAAAGTGTCCTCGAACGGGAACTACCTGGGTTTATAGGTTTGTTTATTCACCTATGCCCAAAGGTAGCAAGGCGCCTGATCCGGCCATGTTACGTAGGGCAACGGTCCAAAAAAGGCAGTAAGTGTCGTCCGGCGACTTCCGTTCATCTTCAAGTACCAGATCGGACTGCTGGCCCAATTGCGGGCTGGCAAAGGTCGAAGGAAACCCCGGAGGAAACACCCGTAACAGTGTCTGATATGCGCAAAGGTTGAGAAGATAGTACATCACCTACATCGTTACCAGAGTCGTTTGCCTGGACCGCTGATGTTCTGTACTTAGAAGAGCTACCAAATTTGTCGCTTGCTCCACCCACGATATCGCCTTCTGCACCCAAATCATCTGCAATACACCCCAAAGCGATGGAACAGGTCCTAAGCATCCGGCGCGATGATGGTATAAATCTGGCGACTGACCAAGTAAGGAGGACCAGTAGTATGGTTTCTAAGGATGCAGCAGACTCAGATATCACGCAGTATTATACCACACGAGAGCGGTTTTATGAAGAGAGGCGAAGATTGACCCAAGTTCTTCTGGAAGATCTGAACAGGTATGACATTACGCATCATCTTCAAAATGACCGCATATACCTCCAGATGAGCCTTACGGAGTCACATCAGAATGGATTTTGAGCGCAAATCAAATTTCATACGCAAATTCAGGTCCTTCAAAGTAGGAAAGGTGAAAACATGCTCGCTGTTGGATTATGTTGCGGCGTTTGCTTGTGTCTAATGCCAAACCACATACTAGAACACCATGTGTAGCGACGATATAGCGGCCATGAGGAATCGTGCCGAAGCCCAACGACAGGCTGAAAAGAATCGTCTGCTACAACAGCATCCGTGGTATAATGAGCTTTTGAATAAGGTTGTCCTGAACGGCGTGAAGCGTGACATGTCCGAGTACGAAGAGCTGCTATTAAATAGGGTAAAATGGTAAGAAATCTGGGTCGATAAGTGAGGGGCAGATAGACAAACTGACTTATAATGCTTGCAGCGTCATTGAGGACAACCTCCCATTCACCCAGAACACTTTCGTGCAACTTATGAAGATCATTCCAACCCATGAGTTCATGAAAGACGATATTCAACGTATCATACGCTTTGTAAAGGCACACGCGAACATCACCGAAAGAGAATACCTGGAGGCCATGGACATGGCATTAGTTTGAAATACTCGGGTTCCAAGGGACAGTCGATTTTAGAAACTCTTCCAAGAAAGCATCAAAATCGGTGTACGCAAAATGTTACAGCAGTTTCATTCACAGACGAAAGGGATACTTATTTCCCTGATATTAGTCATAAGTAGGCTCAAGACATCCTGTCTACAAATAGGGTCGCCGGTGTTGCAGGATAGAGTTTGTTATACTTTGCAAAAATAAAATGAATGCATCGAATGATAAACGCCACACGTGAAGCTGTCCCCTTACCCGCTCCAGCACAGCCTTTTCACAGATGCGCACCCCATCCAATTGGTTGCCCAGTGTCATCCATCCGTCCCTTGTATTATGGGGCCTGCCAAATATTTCTTTCAGAACGAGAAAATATCCATTTAGAAAACTGGCAAGGATATACGATCGAAATAATTTGGATGCCATACCAAGCTTGCGAGTGCCGGGACATAACCGATCGATGAGGCTGTATATTTCGTCGGGCTTGCGACTCGTCTCTCTCACTTCAGCCACTAGAACATCCCCATCAATCCCACCCGTCTGGAGGTGACAACCACCTTTGACGCCCACTAGGCAATGCTCCTTGCTATGATTGAGCCAATGACCAGTTCGTCCCGTGCGGATCAATTTCTGTAGCTGCATAGTTTTGACCCAAATGAGTTCGTCAATCCGAGTGTATCTAACATTGCCAAGGGATCGCACTCTTGATTTTAAATACAATGCGTGATGGTGAATGAAAGCGCCTACCCCCAGATCGCCATGCAGTCGCGGCCTAACTCCATTGCTCTCCCAGTCACCCAGAGAAACAAGAATCCTTCATCTTGGAGGTCCTGTATAGGCATCTCTTTCATCTCATCGTCAGTCATCGTGCCGTATGGCAGCTAATTTGCCATGAGAAAACGTAGGTCATGGAGTGTTTGTCTACTGTCCACATTCATTCACACTCACGTTCATATGGATATCCCAAGGAGGATCCGCCATTATGACCGTAAATTTCCCAAGAATGCTTAAATCGAATTTCCGAACATCACACGATATCCACTGGGCGGGCAGCTGAAATGGCAATAAATGTAAGTCGACAAAGTGGAGTGGCAAGAAGATATCATCGTAAAGCCAGTTCGCACAGGATTTCCAATCTGGAGTACTGGTAGTGGTCGATCAATGTCGATCGTCACATTGACTTCATCCAGCTCATAATGTACATATTTGCATTGATCCAATCTGTGGCAGGTGTTTAGATATGAGCAGTCACCTAAACTGACATCTGTTTGAGGCTTAATGATCCGCCGAAAGTGCAACTACATTACCACCTCCTTTAGTGTCCGCGGGTGCATTCCGTGCAGATATCACCTCACCTTTGGACATGGCGTACTATGTTGATGTTTATTACAATCAGTCCTTAAGCCCCATTCACAAAATTCTTTGAACTCTACGTCCTCTCTGTTCTTAAACTACGGAATGTCAAATTGATTTTCACAGAACCACGCAAAAAGGACGCTGCAGGTGAAAGAGCTGGGGTAACAGCACCTTTTCTTGGATCAAGTTCTGCTTCGCTGTCGGTCGATGTATCAGATTGTGGAGCTCATTCCAAATTTTCCCATTCGCTGTTCCCTTGAAACTGGGTGTGGCGAGCAGTTCTTTGATGGACTCTATGCCTGGTAGTCATCCGCATCAGCAATTATGAACCAAAATCATCGTTGCTTTGCAGTACCAGGTGGTTCCGGATGCAGCGAAACGAATACTTCATGGACCCAGTCCACCTCCAACTGCCTATGCCTTGTAGACGGCGGATATAGAGTAGCCGGACAAGTGCTATTTTATTGCAGTTGATCAGCGGTCGCGTACCGTTCAGATGTATATTTACAAACCTTTTGGATAACACTCTGGTGACAGCTACTCTCTTTCCGGAGCCCACCAGTGCAATATCCAATTGGAGATATGGTTCCCCGTCCCTGGACTCAAGGGCTCTCAGCGTCCTTTCCAAAGATTGAACATTTTTCCAATTGTAATGCGCCATTGCAAGCGTCGGCGTGAATTCTATTAGGCTGCAAGATGTGATGAAGAATTTTTCGATCATAATTATCAATGTTGGCGTTATGGAAACAGTGACTCCAGCGTACTTTCTCAACAGCGTGTGTGAGTCCATTGGAAGCCATTCAATGCAGTTTGACGTGTTTAAAAAGTTCTGTACAAGAGGTTCCAAGTCGCGCTGAGAAAGCAGAAGGGCTGATGCAAGTAGATCTTCGTTTGGTTTATTAGTATAGGTGTCTCCTGGAGACTGTATGCGACGAGGAGGTGATGGCCGGCGTAAAAGGGAGGTCTTTCGGACTCGTCCTTCAAACGACGTGGAGGCATCCAACATTACGCCTTTCGCCTTTCTTTCAGCTATCCTACGCTTGAGTGACATGCTTAGCAAACCGTGGTTATCAGCATTCGCCGAGCTCTCGACGTCCGTATGGCCGTCCATGTCTGATAGGAAGATGAGTGCGTAGGGCGGATATTGACTTGCCGATCGTGACAAAACAGTTGATGACTCATCCGACAAGCCACTCGCGATCACCTCGCTCCACCTCCTCACTTGCCCGTCTACCCACCCATTTCCGCTTGTCACATACCATGTCATGGAGGACGTTCGCGGCGCTCAGGAACAAGATAATGCGACGCAGCACGTGCAAGTAGATGGGGCAGTCGGCAATCCTAAAGAAATCCGCGCCGCAATATACCTCGATGATAATAGTTCGGAAGAACCCGAGCTGCAAATGGAGCCCGTACTTCACGTAGAGACCCCCTGTGCGGCGGAAAATGTGTCAAAATCATATTTCAGTACCAGCCCTCCGCAGTATGAAGCCAAGTCGACGCTTCTTCGTGCTGATGATGACAGTGAACAGCCGGACCTTCTGCCGACCAGCGGGACCCGCGTTTCCATGCGAGGTGCGCAGACAGCCATTCGAGACCCAGGACGCCAGCACAGCAGTGATGATACGTCGCACGAAGCACCCCACGATAAAGGCGAGGATGAAAGTGATGCGGTTGAGGAAGAACGAAGAAATGCTGGACGCGACCAACATAACGATTCGACGGGAGAGGAAGAATACGACGACGATGAGGAGGATGATGACGACCCTGAAACAGACGACGGGGAAGAAGATGATGATGAAGAAGAAGAAGAGGAAGAAGTGGATTCCGCCGCTGATAACGATGACGATGATGAAAATGACAACATCAATGACGATGACGAGGAAGAAGAGCCCAGACTCAAATATCAGCGACTGGCAAGCACCTTAAATGAAACCCTCAAGAAGGATGCGGTTAGCGCAATGGCGGTGTCCGATCGCTTTCTGGTAATATAATGCTTATAATTCTCACCTCTGCATGTCGCTAAGACCATTTGTCTTCGAACGGATGTATCGATTTTGTCAGGCGTTGGGTACACATTGGGGAATAGTACATATATTGGATCTCATTGGCACCGATGTAAAACGCTTCAACTGTCATTCGGCCTCTGTGAACGCACTGAGTATCGACTCGAATGGAGAGTTTGTAGCTAGCGCGTCGGACGATGGTACGATGTGGTGTCTCGTACTGTTGTAACCCATTTATCGCATCTCTCTTACCACTCCCTTTATCAGGGAAAGTGGTAATCAGCAGCTTATATACCACGGAAATTCAGTCGTTCAACTACAAGCGCCCAGTAAAGGCCCTATGCCTAGAACCGGACTACAGTCGGAAGTCAACCCGGCAATTTGTATCGGGTGGCATGGCGGAATACCTCTTGATGAGTGGCAAAGGTTGCAGTCTAGGCCCCCGTCTGGCATTATGACTCGTTTGGACTAACATGATTGTCTTACCGATGTTAGGGTGGTTCGGAAATAAGGATGTCGTTATTAGCTCAGGCGAAGGACCCATATATGCTGTGCAATGGCGTGCAGATTTCATTGCTTGGGCAAACGAGGCCGTAAGTCATCACGGTAATATATCGTCGAACTTGCTCGACTTACCAGCAACTTTCATAGGGTGTGAAAATCTACGATGTCAGTAGCCAGCAAAAGTTCGCATACGTGGATCGCCCGCCAGATAGCCCAAGGGCGGATCTATTCCGTTGTAATTTGGTCTGGAAATCAGAAATAGAGCTGCTAATTGGCTGGGCGGATAGCGTCAAACTTTGTGTTATTAAGGTGCGCTGATTTGGTGCCCATAAACCAACATTACTTCACTGGAAGAGTCTGCTAGACATTCATCGTAGGAGCGGTCCAAGATGGACATCGCGTCGGGCCTACCGTCACGCTTTGTGGAAATTGTCTGCCAGTAAGTGTTTTTCCAGCGTCCCGATAATGCAGGGTATTTGTGATAAGGCGAGGCACCCACCAAAGCTCATTTGCCTTCCAATGTGAGGTTTCGCACAGATTTCATCATATCTGGCATTGCACCGCTGGAGGAAGAGATAGTACTGCTTTCATATATGACAGATTTGCCCGAATCAAGGAACGTGGATGTCATCCAGCAAGGTCCTGTTAAAAGGACGGTATGTTCCACATCCATTATATCGGTACAGATGGAATAGGACTTGGCTATATTTCTGAGCGTTCGGAATCCTCCAGAAAGCCAAGCCGCCAGAAATCCATATAGTAACGTCCCTCGGAGAGGCTGTTGGCAATGATGTTCTTTCATTGCTTGGATTCGAGCATTATCGTGCTAATGACTACCGACTTGGTATGAGGTAGCGTTTGTACGCGTCGCATTGCATAATTGACCATTTGGGGTTTACCTGTACAGAGTATCTGCCGGCGGCAAATCCGGCTGAGAACACGTTTTACATTGTGTCCCCTAAGGACATTGTTGTTGCAAAACCGCGAGATTTAGATGACCACATTGAATGGCTTGTAGAACGCAAGAGGTACGAGGAAGCACTACAGGCCGCGGAAAAGGCCGGTCCGACCTACGAAGGCCGCTTACAGGTGCACTCGATCGTGGACATTGGACGAAAGTACATGGATACTTTGTTAGACCAAGGTACCAGGATGGATGATCATTTCCAGGGTGGGACTGGCAACTATTTATCAGACTTCTTATAGGTCGTTTCGATGAAGTTGCAAGTATATGTCCAAAAATACTTCGTGCAAACGGCGAACTATGGGAGGAGTGGATTCGCAAGTTCGCGAAATATGATCATTTGATGGTTGGGTTTCCTTCCCTTCAAATACCCGAACCAAGCGTCGCAAAAATGTCAATCCTTTTGTTTGCAAATCAGATTATATACCCAAAAATTCCCGTGAAAAATCCTCAACTCACGACGGACATTTATGAAATGGTGTTGGAGTATTTGCTGAATACAGACCAACAAGTAAACTATTGTTTGATTTCATATACTCACACCCGATCCTACGCTCACTCCTTATTCAGCTCTTCCTTAGCACGATTCAAAGCTGGCCGTCTGATATTTACAGCACTGCGGACGTAGTAAAACAAGTTGAAGACTATTTGGCAAAGGATCCAACAAAGAAGCTACTCAAAGAAGCTGCAATGCAACTGTAAGCGCCTCTGAACCGTTGCTGGTTGAGACCTCCGTTCACCAGGCCTTCGTTTAGCCACATCCACGACAAGAGATACGATCGTGCTCTGTGCTATGGTCTGGTTCTGAGACAGCCTAATGTCCTGGACTTGGTAGCGCAGCACAATCTGTACACCTTTGTTCAAGACCATGCCTTGTATATCATGGACTACGATGATTTTTACGTTAGAACCAGCCAAGAGATTGCCGATAAAATTGCAGTGGCAGTACAAGAGCCTGCCACCAGTACGACAGACCTAGGTTATATTGGTGGTAATGCGCTATTAGGCAAGATTCGTGCTGCCGTTCACCGCCCCGGGGTACAGCTGCTGGTAAATCACCCGGATCGAATATTGGTAGGATATAATGCACTTTTCATGTTGATTCGACGTGTCATAACGCAGCTATTCCAGGTATCACGCGTAGTGTCCCAGCTTTCCGATCACCCAAAGTTTCTGCACATATTCCTAGACGCCTTGTTCAGAAAGGATTCACAAGAGGGTGCGGAATTCCATCATTTGCAGGTACTTTATGAATACGCGTTGTGACTGTGGACCATTTGCTTATAGTGTCCTAGGTGGAGCTGTATGCCGAATATGATTATCTGCGGCTCATCGATTTCTTGCGTACAAGTACATTCTACTCCATGCAGAAGGTAGGGGAAATGACTTTATGCCAAGTTGCGTGCAAGATCGTCGTTACACCGATTTTTTCAGGCATACGAAATCTGCGAGACTCGGGATCTGGTGCCAGAAATGGTCTTTTTATTGGGCAAAATGGGTGATAATCGGAGGGCACTGATGTTGATCATCGAACGCCTCGGGGATGTAAAAAGGGTATGATGCCACTTTGCACAAATAAGGCTGTTCATGACCAAGGAATAAATGTACAAGCTGCTATTTGTAGGCCATCGAGTTTGCCAAGGACCAAAACGATGACGAGCTTTGGGAAGATTTGTTAAAGTACTCTATGGACAAACCTCGTGAGTTCCATCTGTGAACTTGAAAAGATTGGGCCATTTAATACCGACTCAAATTATTTGCCGTTAGCATTCATCGTGGGATTGCTTGAGAATCTTGGCTCGCACATTGATCCGATACGTCTGGTGGAGCGTATTCCCAATGGATTGCAGATTCCTGGTTTAAGAAACGCATTGATAAAGATCATGTCAGATTATGGTATTCAGGTAAGCTGCGATCAGACCGGCAATGAACGATATCTGATTGCTGTGCTGGAAAATAACCACATTGATATGCAGATGTCTCTTCGAGAGGGATGTGAAAAGATACTCATTAACGATACCATCGAGTTATTGGAGACACTCTACAGGGCTCAGCGACGCGGCCTGTTGCTTACAGGTAAGACCAGGACGCATCCGCATTAGGTTGGCGGATACTTTGTTAACATTTTGCAGTCGATATGTCATGTTCCATGTGTGGCCTGGATGTGGAAACAAAAGGTAACGGGCAGGAGCGCTGTGCCCATTACTGAAATCGTGCTTTAAAGAATGGATTAACACGCTGTCTTGTATCCTTCTCGTTTAGGGAATATGAATCTGGTTGTCTTCTTTTGTCGCCATACGTATCATGAAGATTGCCTGAGCACAGCGAATGATGGTAAAGGTGTGGTGAGTGCTAGCTCGGCGGGCCTAGTCGGTCCTGGAACAGGCTTGTCTTCGACGGTGGAGTCTTCCATTCGCCGTGTATATGAACGTCCAAACCCAGCGTCAAGAGGACTCGTGGCGGTAAACCCATCAACGACATCAACGGACAAGGTCATCAGACTCCAACCTCATCGGAAAGGACTGATATGTCCGATATGTCGCAACGCAAAGAGCGACGGGAAACCAAGAACGAAAGCAACTCGAATATCATGACCTTGTAATAAATAAAATCAAGCTATAGTTTATATTGGAAATTCTCCGACCAAACTATCCAGAAAGCCACTTCTCGCCCATTAAATTTTGAGCTCAAAACGTCAGGGGGGGAAGGGAAGCGCGCACCCTTTCACTGGGCCTTCCTTTGGGGGTTTTTGCAAGCCAATTGGGGGCTTTGTTCTTGTTCCTTCCTGCCCTTTGAAGGTTGGTCGACACTGGGGGAATAACCGACAATGTTTGGTCCGCAAATCGTTCAACGACCTTTCATCCAAGCAGCCAACCCATATACCATGCACGTGCCTGCTCACAGGTTGCAGCATGCACAACAACAATCACCCGCCTTGCATCACCCGCCAACAGCACCTATTCAAACTCAACAGCCTGCTGCTCCTCACCAGCCTTCACCTCAGTTTGCCACACCCATTCCTCCGCAGCCTACTATCTCCAACCAAGGAACTTCCCGAGCCAGGCCGTCTCCATCCCCCATTCCATCACGACCTATTCATCACCCCATCCCCACGCAACACCCACCGACACCACAACAACCACCTCAGCTGCACCCGCATCCACAAATGATTGGACAGTTCCGAGTTCCCGAAGTTCCTGAAGGGTGAGCCGACAGTTGAGCCTCCTGGCTTTGGTTTTCTGTTGGCTGACAAGTGTTTCCTTTTCAAGGCGAAGAGTATCCTTGTCACAGCCAAGTGCTGTAATTGCCGAAGGAGCATGTACTTTACGCTTGCTAAAATTTGCCAAAGCTTTGGATCCGGGAGACGACAATGTTGGTTGCTGTTGCGAGTTCAAATTGTTTTCTTTATTCTAAATCCTTGTCCTTTAGCGAAATACTCTCAGTTACTGGCAGCGGTTCACCACAGACTTCTTCTCTCACAACGGTCTTTTCGTTCTAGACTACAAAATCCCTGGAGCTGATCCCCGTAGTTTCAGTAAGTCGAGTCTCTTATCTGTGCACTGCATTTCTGACCATTCTGATGTGAGCTATTTCCTTTGAAGAATTGACCACCGCCATGTTACCACGATATCTACAAACCAGTCATGAATCAGGAGTTATGAGATTGCAGATGCTTTTAACGGATCCTACGGAAACCCAGACAAGTAGAGATATCATCGTAAAATGCCCAAGCACTTCGTTCATTTACACCTACGCTGGTGGAATAAAGGTAGATCATGTCCTCGAAATGGTCCTTGCCCCGTTCCAGGTTCCTTACCTGTTGTCTTCCATCTGCAGGTGATACATGAGGGGAGTTTATCAGCGACCTTTTCTTCAGCAGGGAGACTCGATTACTTTAAACTGGAAATAAGTAGCCAAACCGAGTTCGTCGCCAGGACGGCTCTGGAAAAAGATACCATTCAAGTTCTATCTGATGAGCTGAAGGTGGAGGGACAGTCTGAGGCTGAGACCGCTTCATGCCGTGGTCAAGTTCAGTCGCAGGTAGACGGATTAAAGAACGTAAAAGAGAGAGTGTATGCACCAGAATCGCCTCTTGAGGGAAGCAATGGTTGCGGTATAACATTAAGGGCAATGCGCTGCTTGGAGGTACTAGCAATTTTACAAGAATACTGGTCAATGTGGTCCTCAACCTGAGTTCTAGATTGCGGAAGTCGTGTATTCAATGCAAGACTTGATACCCTGGAGTGTGCAAAAAAATGCGGAAGGCGGCAGTATGGGACCAAAGCGTAAGTTCGGCCGCCCGCAAGTTTTTGGACTTTGTATATTGAAGTCTTTTTTCCTATCTAGAGGCACTGCGGGAGTGCTCTCGACAAATCCTGGCTCAATGGCGTCAACGTGACGGCTCTTTCAGCTCTACGAACTACAATGTACCAAATTATCTAGTACCCGACTCGGACACTTTAAGGACACCGGTGCTACCAACCGGCCTTAAACCGCTACATCACATGGTGCAGCTTACGCCCATTGCAATCACCCCAACATCCGCCGCGTCGGCAGATTATCTAGGAGATTACTGGATGGACTCACCAGCATTTGGTAGGGTTGAATTGCGCACACGCATCCCTGATTGGGATCCCAACTGAATGAAGGATATCTTTTAATTTGAACCAGCAGGAAGGAAGAGGCCGCCACCAATTGATACGTCCGATCAGGGACGCGGTCCCAAAAAGAGAGCGACCCCATCACCTCGGAAAACAAAGCAGCCAAAAGTAGGCAGTGGCCGTGGACGACGAGGGTCGATGACTGCGAGCGGATAACAGAAAGCGAATCAGCATTCACGCAAGATTGTACATAGTTAATTTTTTCAAACTCCTCCCAAGGTACCAATTTAGGGAAACACGCACAAAAAACCAGGATTTACGCATTTTGGGATAGCTACGCTAGTTTGGTTTGGATAGTACCGCTGCGTGGCGAACACGCTCCTTTGTCTCCACTATCTTTTACTATTGGTGTAAATCAGAGACCCCTTGTTGTTGGGGTGTCCACATTGGTTCTTTTCTGGTCTTTTGCAAACCTCTGGACGAACCTGAAATTATTCGGTGATCTGAGGGTGATCCGAGAGCTGTTTCGCATTATGCGTGATATATTGGTTATCCCCAAAGTCTGGACAACACTCGTCAATTTTTGGAAAGGCCGGCATTGAACATGATCAGCCAACCATGATAAGCCTCATACTGCGCCACATTTCTCTTGTTCCCGTGCGCCGTAAATGTTGGCGGAAGGACGGCGAGTGTCCACTTTGATCAGCTGTCACATTTCCTTCACTGTGTTGCAAGGTAACTGTCGTCATTATGGGCAACGGCCATAAGGTCGTGTGTCACTTTCGATAGAATTGGCAACTCTAGATTTTGTTCCTACGGGACAGCCATGCAACGGGCTTGATCACCGACTAAGGGATTCTCGACCAAAGTATGTGCACTCACGACATCTCGCTTATTCGATCTGACAGGAAGACAAAATGGGTCGCCGTCCCGCTCGTTGCTACCGTTACTGCAAGAACAAGCCGTACCCAAAGTCACGGTACTGTCGTGGTGTTCCAGGTAAGGACATTTGGTTACTGGATAGACAGGAATTTAGACGGTTGTGGAGAAACGTCCGAGAGTTTGGCTAGTCGATCGTGCGCTTGGGGACCTGAAAGGCGTGATGGAGGATCATATCCTGACGCAGATAACTACGACGATTCTTTTTCTGACGGTACAATTTCGCCTCGTTTCTCAGACCCCAAGATTCGTATCTTTGACCTTGGAAGGAAGAAGGCTGGTGTCGATGAATTCCCTTGCACCGTTCACTTGATTTCGGACGAGCACGAGCAGATCTCTTCGGAGGCTCTGGAGGCGGCCCGTATTACGGCTAACAAGTACATTGTTAAGATGGCCGGAAAGGACTCCTTCCACATGCGTGTGCGTGTACACCCCTTCCACGTCACCCGTATGAACAAGATGTTGTCTTGTGCCGGAGCCGATCGGTAAGGGTGAACATACCGTTTTTGATAGATCTTTGAGATTAACCTTTTTTCATTTGTAGGCTTCAACAAGGTATGCGTGGAGCGTTCGGTAAACCCCAGGGTCTTGTTGCTCGGGTCTCCATCGGTCAGGTACTATTATCTGTACGGACAAAGGACAGCAACAAGGCAGTCGTCACCGAAGCCCTTCGTCGTGCCAAGTACAAGTTCCCTGGTCGTCAAAAGGTTTTATTGTCAAACAAATGGGGTTTTACCAAGCTGTCCCGCGAGGACTACGTTGCGGCTCGCCAAGCTGGCATGCTTCAACCTGACGGCTGCTACGTTAAATATCTAGCTGAGAAGGGGCCCCTGCAGGCTTTTTTCGACCGCCAGGAGAGACTTGCTGCATAGAGGGGGACCGCGTCTATTGGGTGGCACATTGATTGTGAATACATACCGTTTTCAGTTTCAGAGCGAGTTTTCATTTGGTCTTGCGTGGTGACTGGACTCCTATACTAGACAAAACTGTCCAAGGGATTTTTACTTTATTGACAAATGCTTCTATGAATATTGCTGTGGGCTTCAATATGGCCACCGTTTTATCGAGGCTCTTCCCCAGCTGCAGCCCGCAAGTTCTCATCCCCAAATCGCGATACAACCTCGATGGCTTTCTTCAAAACTTTCCGCACTCCCTCATGAGTACTAGGGTTATCTGCCAGCCCATCCAGTCGGAATCTCATGTCTGCAAATGCTGCCTTGGTCATGGGTGACATGAAATACCTAAACATGAGAAACCGCGCGTAAAAGATGGGGGAAAGTAAGGAACTCCATCCAAAGAGAATGCCAATCGTTAGCACAGGTAAGATAACCCATACTTCGGCATAGGCAACCACACGAAGCGCCCTGCTCTGGTACTCTTTGACAAATTTGAGGATTAACTCCTGAAGACGCGGGGTAACTGTGGACGTTGAAGGAGGAAGTAGCGCTGGTAGAATTTCCGATCGGAAGTAGTTGACAGAGTGAAAGAGAGAGAATACAAAGTAGGGGAGCAACGTTACTGGGAAGACGAGAGATAATGATGAATTCACATCACATTTAATGGAACGCGTGCAAACTTAAGATTACACACCTGCTAGCGGTTTAGACGTGCACCAAAGCAACGCCAAAAGGAAATATTGCGAGTTCTCATCCCTCATCAAACGTTGAAAATACACACTATTGAACTGCGGGATCTACAAGAAGAAGCAAGGAGCAGGGTTAAGCCTGATGTACACTCTACTTTCAAAAATCGTGCAACCCTCACCCCGTGTGCCTTATACATAATGATTCCGTAGCTTAGTATAATACCATAATATGCCTTTGAATAATTCCGCGCACTCTTTGCAGAATTCCACATAGAAAGGATGTAAAGCGTCGCCTGGATAACTGGAAAGCCCAACGACGTTAGGCGCGTCCACATCTGCAAAAATGAGACAAAGCGTTTCCTTTACCAGTGACGAGATGCCCTAGAAACCACACAAATTGAGCAGACAGAACGAGCTTGGATAAGCGGGCGCCCAAGGGGGCAACGGGGGTTGCAGAGGTGCCCGCGCCCGAACTGGCTGATGTCGAAGGAGGCATGCTCAAATCGGGTGAAATTCGTAGGCTTACGGGGATTGTATATCAGGGGTAACAAGTTAAAACTTTGAAGTTCCTTGACACTGGATTCCTTGTCGATGAAATGACACCCCAGAAAGGGAGCAAGCAGATTGCTGGTGGGCTGATGGGTCTTGTAGCGGACTGTTGGGTCCAACGCTGCCAAGGGCGCCACGTCACTTGGTCACGTCTTTGAACACGTGACTGCCATGGCAAGCAGGAAGGAAAATGATCGAATGCTGACATTGATGGTACTACATGCTCTGCACATGAGAATATCATTTTGTTTTACGAATATGATCTGACGTATACAATAAAATAGGGCTTAAACAGCTAGAGAATCAGTTCTTGCTCCTCTTTCTCGTGTCATCCCCGTCTGGCTGGTCTCGCCCACGCTTGAGGGTTCCGTTTTCTGAGATCTTGGATAGTTACGCCATGTCAGGGGCGCAAATAACGATTGACTGAAACTCTATCTTCACATTACCTTCTCATACCTTGCCGAAGTACTCCTTGGAGGCCTTGGGATCAGGCTTGATAGTCTTGCCACCAGGGGTCCACTGAGCAGGGCACACTAAAATACAAAAGATATCAAATTCCTAACGCTTTAAATATCCACAATCGTGGAGGAATACCTTCTCCGTGCTCAGCGTTGAAGCGAAGAGCCTCAATGAGGCGGACGTATTCACTGACATTACGTCCAATAGGCAGATCGTTAATGTGAGCGATACGGAGGTTCTGCTCAGGGTCAATAATGAACGTGCCACGAAGGGCTACACCAGCATCTTCTCCTTCTTCAATGAGGACACCGTAGTCGGTGGCAATCTTCTTGGTAGGGTCCGCCAAGATTGGGATGTTCATCTGACCAAGGCCACCTTCCTTGCGTGACTGCTGGGTCCAGGCAAGGTGGGAGAACTTTGTGTCGGTGGAGGCAGCAATGACCTCGGCGTTCAGCTTGCGGAATTCCTCCACGCGGTCGCTGAAAGCAATGATTTCTGTAGGGCACACGAAGGTGACTGACGTACTAAGTTAGATATCTCTACCGATCATGGGAAGAGATTAGAATAAGCATGACACTTACAGTCCATGGGGTAGAAGAACAGGACGACATATTTTCCCTTGAACTGATCCAAAGATATGTCCTTGAACTCGCCGTTAGAGACAGCAACGCCCTTGAATGCAGGAGCCTTCTTGCCAACGATGGGAGCTGAATATCACCAGAATGTTAGATATCTACTACACATTCCACAGTGTTTAGACAACGACGAGAAAACCTACCCATTGTTTGATGAATTTGGTACGATTTGGAGAGATGAACTGACGATGAGCTCCGGTGCGTATCGTCATTTTAAAAGCTTGGGAGTGGGCTCCGGTTTTGTTACCATGGTATTTATCGTGCGACGTGTCACTTTCATTATTAGTCATCTGTGGCCGTCTGTAAAGTTTGATTGCATCCAGGCTTCTAACCGGATTACTCACCCTTCTTCAGATCAACGTCAACCTATCAGCAATTACCATTATTTAGTATGAAGATGAGTGTAATGGATCTGCCGCTGTCATGTTAAGGAGCAGTTCTTCTTGTCCATAAAAAATGGCACTTTTCTCATCCATCGCCCATGTCGATCATCAAAGAGTCCACAAGTTTAACAATGGAATTGTGGTTGTGTGATCCCCACTAGCCTGATCGCAGATATCTGTTCATCTTTGGATCATTCATCTGCTTGCTGACACGTTTGGCACCAACCCAATGCTGGCAGCTGGCTGGCTGTCGGCTTCTTGAGAAGGTACAATACGATTTGGAATAGAACCGATTCTAATGTCAAATTGCCATGGATTCACCTCCGGTCATGATACCCACGTGCTATGAATGACATTCCGCGCATTGCTTGACACTCCTCGTCCTGGTGCCAAGCCATCCAAGGCCTGCTTTTGGCACATGGAAACAGACGATAGTCAGCGACACAGGGATACGGTGGGAACAGATATTGGTGAAAATAGTGGCCTACGCCAGCGACAAGCAAAGCGGAACGAGGACGCTGGTGGCCCTTGGTTGGCTTCAAAGACTGGACAGCCACACGACATAGAGCTTGAAGAACGAACTACGGCTACGGATAACGACTTCGAAGCAATTCAAGAGGTCAACCATGTGGAGGAGGACGTTGTTGCAGATGAGAGTAACCCAGAGGATGAGAAGCCGGAAGACAACGATGAAGTGGGGACCGCGTCCGCTGCTCCCGGGGGGTCAACCGTCACAGACGAGAAACTGTGCCGAATATGCTACAGTCCTGCTGAAGATGCAGACGCAGCAGAGTTGGGGCGATTGATATCGCCCTGTAAATGCAAAGGGACCATGAAGTATGTCCATATAGGTCCGTTTTCCGATCGTACGGGTTGCGTCGAGTAACGTTTGTGTAACCACTTCCATTTGCTTCTGGCAGGATGTTTGAACGAGTGGCGAAAAGTTAGCAGGAATAGACAAAGCTTCTATGAATGTGATCATTGCCATTATCGGTATAACTTTCGGAGAACAGCTTGGGCGAAAGTTGTAGTTAATGAAGGTCCGTACGTTTCGCTCGAGAAAGGCTTGGAACGTTTACTCACGCTGCAATTCCGGTTTGAACAGGGGTCGTGACGCTACTCACGCTGATAATATTCTTCCTTGGCGTCGTGGTTGCTGGTTTTCTCATGAAACTCTTCTTGTTGTACTACGTCCCGTACCCAGATGTCGACGACCTGGACGACGAAGACCTTGTGTTCTTCCTCCGCCCATCATCAATATCACTCTGGACGATTGATATACCACACTTGCTCACGGGGCTAGTGCTTGTGGGTTTACTCGGGTTCTTTCAAATTGTGCTAACATTCTTGACCGGCCCTTGGGGAGGTGTACCACGCATCCGGACTAATCGCGGAGATCAGTCACCCTCCATCGTTTTGATGATTTTAGTCGCTATTGGGGTCATCAAAACAATGTGGACAATCTACAAGAGTGTAAGACGGTGGAGTCGGCAACGGCTGGAAATCGTGGAGACAGCCATATTAGATGTTAATGAGTGATGGGAGTGTTGGGATGGGAATGCGGTTGATATTTGAGGAAGTAGGTTTACCCATGCTGTCAATAGCAGGTCATAGACAGGAATGTAGCGGAATGTGATGGAATTGTAGGCAATATTGAAGTGACTACACTTCTCCAATGAAATTGCGGAGAGCCCTTTGAGACATGATTCCCAAGACTTGAACACTTGGTGAGCGCAAAGCCAACCTCAAATCACGATAATGTTCTTTATGTCCGCGATGGGTTTCGACTTTGCACGATCATCCATGCGCAACTCTTTAGTTTCGGGGGTTGAAGGCAGGTTCGTGGAGTTGTCAGACTCTGCCTCCCATTCCTTGGTGATTTTAGACTTTTGCTTAATTAGTGTCCCTTTTATTAGCCTTTTATCCCTGATTGGCACGGGTGTCGGTCGATCACCTCACGCTGGCGGTTTCAAGCCGGGCCGCCTTTGGGAGGTCACCTCATTCCTTTTTCCACTAGCCGACTGCACGTTACGCCAGCATCTACCAACGAGATGGCCAACATGACCGGAATCATCATCTCTACGCGTGTCGAGGACACTCTCATTTCCATAGGCCATGCACTTGGCGAGGTTCTTGGACCATTCTTGGATCCTCTCGAAGCGCAGCTGGTATCTTCCTCTCGTAAACATTTTCCGGTAAGAATGACTAGAATTCTGAGTAGATTTTGGGTTGCGCTAACTGTGGTAACTGTGAACCAAAGTCGGTGGCCTCTGCTGCACAGTCATGGCTCGCCCAGCATCGCAGCGTTCACGCTGCAAAGCTTCCCCTTATGAACCCTTTCCACGTTCTGATAATCGTTCTGGGTTATTTCGCCATGGTTTTTGGCGGCAAGGCGATAATGGCGAGAATGGGAAAGTTTGAAGCCAAGAAGCTTATGCTGGCCCACAATCTATTCCTGTTGTCGTTGAGCACTTACATGAGCACGGCCATCTTAAGAGAAGCGTGGTTTAGAGGATACTCAGTGTTTGGAAATCCCGCGGATGAATCAAAGAATGGCTGGCCGGTATGCGTGACCATAGTGTGGTACCATCTTGGGCTGAGGCGGTTCCATATATTTAACAGACACATCTCATTAGATGGCGAAACTCATTTGGGTGTAAGTAGATATGCCCGTTGATGCAAATTCAAAGTGGAAACCCCTTATTCTGCTTTTCATACAAGATTTTATATATCGAAGACCTTTGAATTCGTTGACACGGTACAGCATGGCGGTCAGCTCTCGTCAGATTTGGCGCTTGCTTCTAACATATAACATTCTACCCATAGTTTATCATGGTCCTGAAGAAAAACAATCGGCAAATTTCATTCTTGCATGTATACCATCACTTCAGGTGAGTGCCTTTGCATTGCGCTCATATTTGATGCAAATGCGGCGTGGGTTCTGACCAGTTGCCACCTGTAACTGTAGCATCTTCATCGTCTGGTAAGATTCATGGCACAAAATGCGGGAAGGAAGACAGCCTGCATGGATTCTCACCAAGCTTCGGTATTCAGGTGGTTAGTCACCTACTGGGCGCCTAATGGCGAAGGTAGGCCGTTTGATGTTTTCATGGTGGATACTTGCCCGCTCATCCTCGTTTTTCAATATCAAAAGCCTATTTCTCCGCCGCCCTCAATTCTTTCATTCACGTTGTCATGTACGGAAATATGTGTTCATCTTGTTGAGTTATTTTGACGGACATTCTTCTCACATTTCATTAGGTACGGATACTACTTCTGCATGGGAGCCGGAATCCGTAGTGTTTCTTTTGTGAAGCGCTACATTACCGCGATGCAGATGACGCAGTTCTGTTGCATGATGGGACAGGCGGTTTACGATATGTTCATCGCAAACTACAGCATTACAGAAAACTCGAAAGATGGATTGAAGCCGTATCCGAGCGCGCTTTCCACGCTCCTCTTTTTCTATATGTGGACGATGCTTGGGCTCTTTGCAAACTTTTTTATTCAGGACGCGAAGCGCGCCGCTCTGGCTCGCAAGGCTGGGCTTGCTGGGGCTGCCAAGAAAAAGCAGTGACATGCGTTAGATAGGCATAGCGGGATAGTTGCTGATATGTAGAAGGGTGAATCTGCTGGAGCGGACTGGCAGAGCAAAATGAATAGACTAGTTTAAACACGGCCAATATTGCGCCAGAGTCTTCTTTGATATTCTACCCATCTAACAGATGTAACGGACCGTAAAATCTTTACTTCACTAAAGGTCGCACTCCGCTCCCCTTCTCTCCTCCTGGTAGCTTCTCTTGCATCTTACGCATTTCACGTAAATACGCGGACGCGGTGGCGTCCAACTCACTTGACTCGTCCTTGTGACTCTTTTTTGCATTTGTTTCCTGGTTCTCGTCCTCAGGAGAGTCCACCGTTGGTCTCTTTCGTTTACCTCTCAGGCGCTAATTTGTGTGTGTCAAGAGTCAAAGTCATGAAGGTCATGATTTGTGTCGGAAGCCGATACAAGTACTTACAAATGCATTCTCCCAGTCTTTCTTCCTAGAAAGTGAGGGCAGGATAGTGTTATTTTACTATTAGACGCATATAGAACAGGATAGCTCCTCCTGAACCCAGGCCGGTAGACAAGCCAATACGGAGAAAACTCACTTTTGAATTGCCTCCTGTTGTTTTCTCTTTTCGTCCTGTTCGCTTTGCATTTGTCTAAATCGCTCAACAAACGACCCATCATTGCTGTTTATGTTGACAAGCGTTGCGGAATCACGGTGACCATGAAGGGGAGGAATTCTCAAATGTTTAGTCCAATCAGTTTACCAAAGGCATCGTCTGTATTCTATCCAAAGGCCAAGCGCAGAGTCATATCGACCTCGTTCGCTTGCAGGGATGGGAAGATCCCTGTATCTGAGTTCGAGGAAATATACGCATCGCACCTGAAAATATTTAGCACGGCAGGCGGTTTCTTTTCGGTTGAAGCGGAAGAAGGGAGATCTTGGCGTTTATCGCTTGGAGTGTTGCTGGTGGGTGTGGAAGGAGAGTTGGTGTGCAGTGGTGGTGTAGAACTGTCGGTCGTATCTGGTACCATTGCAGAGTGTTCCCTTCAATGTCGGATGTCAAGGCTGGGGAAAGCCCTGGGGGCGAAACGACAAGTCTGGCGGTGACGGCTCCAAGGTCACGTGTCATATTTGAGCAGATCCAGTTTTTACTCCATTTTTGTTTGCATTTGCGCTACCTCCGGCATTTTCACAAAACATGGGTCAAGGCGGACGAGGAGGTAAAACCAAACCTAAGCGAGGCGGCGGTAAACGCTTCACGCCTGCTCGTGTCTTGAGAGATGAAGGGGATGTCTGGAACCAAAACCCCGAAAACGAGGGTTCTGAAGCGTCGTCCCAAGAAGAATCGTCCAGCGAGGATGAAATCCAACAGCAACCAAAGCAGCAGCAGAAACCCATCCCCGCTGTACCTGCTAATTCTAAACTTGGTAATACCGATGCACCACATGGTGAAGGAGACTCTGACGATCAGGATGATATAACCAACCCCAACCGTAACGTCAAAAGTCATTTGAAAGCAAGCGATCTTGGCGGAGAGAGAGAGTTGAGCAGAAGGGAACGGGAGGCCATTGCAAAGGAGCGTGCCAAGGCTGCATTCTGGAAGGCTCAGATGGAAGGAAAGACAGAGCAAGCCCGAGCGGATTTGGCCAGACTTGCTATCATCAAGAAGCAGAGAGAGGAAGCTGCAAAGAAGAGGGCCGAGGAGCTAGCTGGTATAGTTCACTGTCCACTGCAGGCTATCAATGTGATTAGTATTGATCCCTTTATCACGTAGCAAAAGGCAAAGGCTCCAGCTCAAAAGTCGAATCTCTGAATGCTGGAAAGGGCATCATTTCAAAGTCACTTGGCAAGAAGAATTAATGATCCTCTCTCTGTGCGGCGATGCCACCTTGCACTGTTGAAATTTGTTCGGCTGTGCGAATGTATATACATTCTTTGGACTATCTTCGTTGTTGAGAGTTAGTTCGGGTTGACTGTGTTGATTAAATGACGGAAGAACCCTTGGATGACGTTGTGTATTAGCTACTGAGAATAGACGTTAGGCCCGTATGCCATTTTTGCTTCGCGGCAGATTGTTAGAGGGCATGCTAAGAGTGCGTGAACAGTCTGTATTATGCACGTCATACACTCATTCTCTGCTGTCTAAAAGTGCTGCTGCAGCTCGCTGTACATCGTTATTTGAGCTCCTGAGAGCTACCAACACTCTCTCTCTGGTAAACCCCATCCCCTCCAGAACTGCCACCGCATCAGGGGACGGTGGCGGCGGTGGTCCTGCCATCGCGACTCTATGGGCAGTCGATCCGCCCGTCCCTCTCATGGAAGCTGCATATCGTTCTCGGCGCTCTCTCATTTGATCTTCTGTCGTAGTGCCTGACGGACGGTCCTGTGGCGTAGCCGATGCCACGAGGGGTAGTACGAGCTTGCGTGCCATGGCTTGCAGCAAGCGCGGAAACCTCCATGTCTTGATTTCGCCGACATTTGCCTCGTAAATGGCTCCAGCCAGTAACCCGCATCCACTGGCGACTAGCGATTCAGGGAACGATGATAGTAGGAGCTAAGAGTAGGAAAAGGGTGCGGCTCAGGAACCAAGCTCTGCCTTCAGCCCAATGAAAAGACATGTTGCACTCACCTGGCCACCCAATAACATAATCATTCCTCGTCCCGCACCCCGTCCTTCGACTGGCTCAGGCACAGTCCTCAGGTACTGGTACAATCCTGCAAATACCAAACCGAAAGGCCCCACTGGCATCTTGGCCACACTTTTAATCCCACTCCATTTTGCCAAAACCATCACTCCAAGGTTCAGCAAGGTTGAACACACAACAGATACAAATGCAAAAGCAGCATATTTGTTGGATGACCACGTCCGTTCTAATACTCGGAAATGGTAGAGGAGCAGGGACCCGAATAGGAGGGTGGACGTTGTAGGGAAAAGGAGGTTTGTCGTTAGAAGCCGCCAGTACTTTGAAAGGCGCGATTTTCAGTATGGGTGCACGACGGACGCATCTGTTCACAAAGTCCGCTCCTCACCTGATAATGAACAAATAGGTGTGGATACAGCTGAAGATGCCATTTATGTCTGACGTCGAGCATGGTTGCGAGTAGCGTATTGAATCCCAAGGAGAGGATCATGGCCTTGGTGACGGGAGCATTGTCTGTGAGATGCAAATCAGTCGATTTGAGTGGGTAAACAAATCATGAAACTTGCGAGGAGTGCCTACAAAATCCCGAGGGTCCGCCGCCTGGGAGCATGGTTGTGGGGTGACAGCGTTGATGTCAAATTTTGAAAGGAATCAACACAAGGATTTCTCAATGCGAGGCTTCAACCTCGATGGGAAATTTGCAGAAAAGTGTGTAAAGCCCGCGATGTTTTGCGTTGAGCAGGTTTCGAACCCGCTGCTTAGTAATGCAGTTTATGATTCTTCCACCAGCACACCACATGCCAGCCCGTCCCATTTCCCGCCGTGCTTCCAAAACCTATCTATAAGCTTTTTATCACCATCAAAGTCTGGATCAGCCCAGTTTGGAATTGGGGTTTCGTATTTGCCTCTGTCCCATTCACACTTCCAGCTATGCAACCAGATTTGTAATTGCTCAGGTATAGGGTCCATTCTTTGAATAAGACACTCGCTGCAATCTGCTTCCAACGTGTCGGCGATCTGTTGGTTGGATGATGCTTCTTCAGCGTCAGATTGTAGTTGACCGACGGTAATTAAGGCTGAATCCGTGTGGTCCTGAACATCTTGTGGATACGCATGTGGCGTCAATTCCTTGAGAACGCTGTCGAGCTGTCCTTTCTCAATACCACCCTTTCCCAAGCTGGGGCCCCATATATCGCAACAATAAATGGGATCATTCGCGATGGGATACCCAAGGTATTGCAGATGAACGCGAATCTGATGTGTACGGCCCGTCAGTGGTTTACCTACGGTGATTACAAGTAGGTAAATATGTTTCATGTGGTACGATTTCATCCGGGACGTTACATTCTACAACACTCGTCAACCCGTTATAGCTCCATCGTTTAAATATAGTTTTGCATTCTTTCCCTTCTGGTGAAACCGTGTTCACACCCAATTTGTGGGAAACCGTTAAAATCGGCTCCTCACAGATGATTTCCTCTCTGAAGCATGAGAATAGTAAGCACAGATAAAAGACAAACTCCATAAAATGATGATCGACTAGCTTACGTGGGAAACTCCCCTCGCACTCGGCAAAGGTATGTTTTTTCAACATTCCGCTGCTGAAACTCTACCATCAATTCCTGTGATCGCTTCTTGTTACGAGCAATCAGACAAAGACCTGATGTTAGCCTGTCGAGCCTATTGACGGCTACGTGCACATTAGCATTGCACCTTTCATTTCGTTTACAAATCGTTACTCCATGGCTTACGGAATAGATTCGAATAATTGAATTCGGGACTTCGTAAAATATGCAATATCGTATTGTGATGATAGCGCCCTGTTGGATGGATCTTGTGTGCAATGAGGAAGTGTCGCTTTATTAGATGGTAGTGTCAAGAGAACGTACCGGGATAGAGCTTGGTTTATTGACAACAAGCATGTCAGTATCGGAATATACAATCTCCACAGTTTGGTCGGAAATCGGCGGTTCGTGGCGATGTATGGAGTGTGATAGAAGATCACCGTTGCGGAGGACATAATCAAGAGAAATGCGCTCATTGTTTATCAAGATCTTCCCAGTGCAGATGGCTTTTTCCTGAGATTGATGGGACCATTCTGGTCAAAGCAGTTCCAACGCGGAATCGGTAGCAGTAGGCATCCCACGTACATAGTAATCTCTAGGTTTGTCCTGAAACTCCTTTGCAAAGACCTCTATTATCGGACGTCCTTGCCATCGGCCCTTTGCATACGTTTGGTAGACAAACTTGTATGGTTTCACTTTGCGCAAGCCTGCAAGTCATCCAGTGTTAGTCGAGCTCCTCCAACACTCTTCCAGTGCGTGTTGTACTGAGAATCATGCCTTTTTCAAAGTAGTATTCCACATCTGGTAAAGGCTGGCCCTCTATTGGTAGATACGTGATCTGGTCATGAATGATTTTCTTGGCAGAAGGATCCCACATGACAGACTAACCAACCATGCGACAGGAACGCCTTTCTGCCAATAGGCTTTTCCTATTTCCAAACCACTATATCAGGATTTCTGTGACGTCTGCTTTCAGTAAGACACGAGTAGGTCACCTTTTTCGCCTTTATGTTTGATCTGCTATGTTCTGACCTCAACCGTTTCATCGGTGGTTCGTCGACAACATTGTCTCCCATCTCCACCGGCTTGTAATTCAATTTCTTATTGGTAGACCGTACAAGCGTACTGCCAGGCAGACCTGCACTCGTATGGGATGCCGTGACGGATTCTGCAAGCGATTCCCCCACCATGGTAAACCCTCAAGATCTCCCAATAAAAACTCTAAAACTAGAGATTTGGGGGGGCGCGCGCGTGCCGGTTAATGGTTTTGTGTGACTGCAAGAGGCGCCTACCGCGCGGAAAGAAGGCTTGCCGGACTCAAGTTTCTTTTGCTTTGTCCTTTTTGTTCAAGGAAAATGATGCATGGTCGTTGATGAAAGAAACCTCAAAAGAATAGATACGCAGACGCTGCTCCCTTTTTAGTAGCCTTGGTAGTTTCTTGCATTCTCCTGGTTTCGACTGACAACTGACGGGTTGGGATACGCACTTGCTCTCGGTGGAGGCAGCGTCAAAACCGACTCTTGAGCCTGAACGACCGACTCTATTTGCATCTTCCTCCGCTATTGTAAAGTCACATCACCTTTGAGCCTCATTTTGTTTCTGCCAGTCACGGAAAATGGAGATTGCCCGGCCGCCGCCACCGTCTACGAACAGGGCGACTTCTGTTTCCCTGTACCAGCAGACAATGTCACTGATTGAAAAACTCTATGCTCTGCCAAGATTCGATTTTTACCTCTTCCCACAAGGCCTGGACTCGTTCATTGATAATGCAACACTCATTGATCCCGTTGCGGTGATCTGGGCTTGCTTCCGGTTGGGATCGCCATTCTGCCACCTGTACAATCAGCTAAGACCGAGAAAGAGGTTGCAGGTACCTGAATTGCCCAGCGTTGCACCACCCTACAATAATACATGTAAAAAGGCTGTATATGAGTTTGTGGTGGCCTGTAAGGCAGAGCTGCAGATGGAGGAGGCCGAACTGTTTACAATTTCGGGGTTGTACAAGGACGACACCAATGAGTTTGTAAAGGTACGTTGTTGTCAGCAGGGTGTTTTCTGGCTTTACTTACAATTTATATTTCTTTCCACAGCTTATGAAGACAATATCCATAGTGGTGCAGAAAATTGAAGATATGGGCCTCTTTCCACCTCCGCGACCTCTGCCCTTCTCCCTCCCAACATACGCTGCATCAGAGGGTCCATCAGATAACCGTGCCAAGTTGATTGCCGAAATGCTAAATACAGAAAGAACTTATACGGCGGATCTGGAAAAGCTTCAGGTATACTTCATTTCGTACTTGAAAAGCTTCTAATTGCTGATATCTTTGATCTGTGATTTGCAGCGGTACAAACGAGAGTTGGAGGTCCAGAATATTGTTCCACGAGATTCGCTGTTGCAGTTGTTTGCAAACCTGGATGAGCTTTTGGATTTTCAGCGACGATTTCTGTTGCAAATGGAAGCAACACTATCTTTTCCCCCCGCCGAACAACGAATTGGACAGCTGTTCATGCAGAATGTATGTGCACAAGGAAATATCATCCATTTCCAATCTTGATTGCTAAATGTTGTCTTGACCATCTATAGGAAGATGCCTTCGCAGTTTACGTTCCGTTCTGCGGAAACTACCAATTTGCGACACAGATAGCTACGGAACAAGCGGTGCAGCTGCAAAGAGTGCCGGATATGGATCCCCTTCGTGAGCTACCTTCCTACTTGATCAAACCTGTACAGCGTGTTTGTAAATATCCACTACTATTGAATGTGAGTGGATAGAATTGGATGGAGCAGAGCTAGCGGGCTCATGACAATTGACCTGTTGATTTCATACAGGAGCTGATCAAGTATAGTGATGCCGCAACATATCCGTTCATGGAAGAGCTTAGGGGAGGACTGGCCGCAATCAAACGTGTGACAGACCGTGTGAATGAGGAAAAACGACAAGAGGAGAATCGCCGGATGAAGCGTGACGTTATAGAGCGCGTTGAAGATTGGAAGGTAGGTGTACCAGAGATTTAAATTGGCCAAGTCTTCTTGTGACACGTTGCGGAATTTTAGGGTTTGAACGTGGCGGATTTTGGGGAACTCCTTCTCTCTGAGAAATTTCCAATGTCGACTGGAGAATCCGAACGTGACTATGACCTCTTCCTGTTTGAACACATCCTGTTATGTTGTAAAGACACAACCAAAAAGAGGAAGAGCAAGAAGAACGCGAAGGAAGATTCAACAACTTATGCTCTCAAAGGAAATATCTATATTGAACGTATCGATAGTGTCACCAATGAGGCCAATCCTGCGCAGCAAAAGTTCCAATTGAAGGTCTTCTGGCGCGACGGAATGGATATGGAGTCGTTCGTTCTTCGTTGTCGAAATATGGAACAGGTGAAGCTGTGGCAGGACCGTTTGGATGGATTGATTCAAGCCGAGCGTCTCAGAAAACTATCGCTACGTGAGACGAATCCATACACAAAATCTACACAATTACATCCGGATATTATCCGAGGACTGGGACGCGGATTACTTTCTGTGAAAGATGACGAAGATGAACTGGCAGATCAACGGTACCCACGCGGGGAACAGCGGCTGGATGCCATACGGTCTCCGACAGGAGAGCTGCCTCCACCGATACAGCGGTCAAAATCCATTCCGTTCAATTACTATCCCAATGTTGCACCGAATAAACCCCAGTATCCTAATGAGCCATCCGAGACGTCCACGTCATTGTCAGCCGCGCAGCTGCGAAAGAGTGCGCCAGCCAAACCAAGAAGCAACAATATGGCGTCATCTTCTGAATATTCTTCCCGCTCATTAGCGTCAAGAGCCCGCAGCTCATCGCCGTCCAGAAGGAGGATACCAAGGGAATCGAGTCCTCCACCTCCTGTGCCCGACTTGCCGATGAGCCCAACGGGAATGTCTGTCAATGGATATGAGAGAAGCTACGGGGAACGTGTTCGAGAGCGTAGCAGATCGCGTCCGCGAGAGGAGATACCAAGAATGCCCTTGCCACCACCGCCACAGCTACCACTGCCAGACCCTCCAGGAAGTCTGCTTTCTGGTATTTCGACAACTAGGGTATCGGAGTCGAGGCGTCCTAGTCGAAGCCAACCTTCCGACCGCGGGTACTTTGATGGATACGACGACATGTATGGGGCCAACAGCTTTGGTTCACGTGGCCGAGGTGACTACGCTTCCGAGTTGCCACCGTCTCCTCCAGCGTCAGTGCCAGGGTCACCGATGACCCGGAAGGCGAACATGCCACCTCCACCTACTTTGGCTCCACGAAGCATGACCAGTCCTTACCCCTTAACACAACTCTCCACAATGCAGGCAAATGACCCATACTTGCAGTCACGTGGAGAAATGAGGAATCAACAGGGCACAGGTCGAAAAGGATCCAATGCCGGTATTGCGTACAGCTATGAGCCAGTAAACCGAAACGGCGCAGGCGCTACGAGGACAAGGGGTATTAGTACAAGTAGTTCGGGTACGAGTACTACGTCCTACACACCACCCAACTTTCCTCTTCCTCCTACTCCTGCTTCGTCAACAGTGAAAATTGCACCCACCAGGAACGGAACGTTTCCACCTCCTTCGTCAGCGGGCACATCGAACAGTTCCGTAGCACCTTCGAACATGTCCGCACCAATGGTCAAAGTGAAGATGCACTATGGAACCGACATGTTTGTGGTGGCTGTTCCTGCGCGATGCACCTTTACTGAACTGCACTCCAAAATGGAGCGTAAGGTACGATTGTGTGGTGCAGCGGTCCCTGAAGGGAAGAAACTCCGAATGCGGTACCGTGATGAAGATGGTGATTACATTATGATTAACAATACAGAGGATGTTAGTATGGCGTTTGAGACTGGGAGAGGAGGAAAGGAGCGGGAAAAATCGTTTGTCAACATTTGGATTCTATAGAGGAAGCGTGTTTTCTAGTTCATACTGTTACGGGAATGGGTGTATGTGCTTGTGGGTGTGTATCTTTTGGCGTAGATGGTCAGGTTGTCTTTGTACAAATAGCAAAATAAAAAAGGAGGGCAGAAGCTAACGACGCAAAGTGGCTATGCATAGTATATTTCTGTAAAAGGAAAGTCTGACCAGTCGGACAAGTCGCTGCGCGCCTTTTGCTAAAAATTGGGCGACGGGCCAAAAAATGTTGTTGTGGCCAACGGTAAAAGGCAAAAGTGTTGCGCTATGGCTGTCTAAATCCTGGTTTTCATTTCTCGTTTTCTCCCCATCGCCCATCGGCAATCTGCCTTTCATCTTGTTCTTTTTTGAGACCTCATCTGTTTTGTAAGGGCTTTAGGGTTGATACCGAATTTGATACCCTCCCAATCACATACATCTCGTGTTCTTCTTCCCGTGCGTTTTTCCACCTGTTTCTTTTTCATTGAACCTCTTGTCACGACGGCTCCGTTGAATTCAACACACCGTCTCTCTGTACCGTTGCCCGAACGTAGACCACTAGTTACCGTTGTTGATCCCAGCATGGCCGACGCGCTTGATAGTTACCCCACGCTGTTTATCAGGTGCCTATCAAAATCAGAGCACTATGGCAATTTCTTTAATACACGTTGAAATGAAATAATCTCTAATATAAACGCATTTTCTGTTAATATTGTAGTGGCATGCTGCCGAGCATCACTGAACTGGTACGCTCTCCCGTGAGATGCATTGCTCGCTAGGTCAGTTACTGAGGTTGTCTCTTTTGCCACATGTAGGACCTCGTAAAAGTGTTGAATGAAATGAAATTGGAAACGTACGTTGGTTGTTTTGTCTTGGAGCTACTGTCGTCGATTCATACGAAACTCATGTCTGCTTCAGTAAGGTTATCATGGAACGGGATCCCGTGACCTCTGTTCCTCTTGGGCGGATCAAGTTGATTTTCCGCTACATGCCTGACGGTACATCCTTGATTTTAACACCATCGCATTTCTCCCCACCTTTTGCTCACGATGATATACTTTTGCAGCCGAACGTTTCTATGCAACCGTCAACGGCTCGTTGTTCCTCGGCGCCAAAGTGCATCTTACCTTTAAAGATCCAAATATGAATTTCACCAATACATCCGGTTCCAAGAGCATCGTCGTCAAGCACATCCCTTTGGGAGTCACTTCCCTCGACTTTTACGAAGCCGTTCGCCCCTTCGGTCGGATCATTTCGTGCAAGGTCATGATTGATCGTTCCGGCAGCGAGTCGTACGCTCTCTTGCAGTTTGAGAATCAGGACCATGCGGACCGATGTGTCAACGAGGTGAATGGATCCCAATTTAGGGGTAACACCATGTATGTGCTTCTCCCGCCTCTTTAACCCGATCATGAAGGCTCACATGACTTGTCCAGTTCTCTCTCATGGCAGTTCCCAAAGAACTCGCCTTACCAATATCCTACAAAGCGTACGTCAATGAGTAAGGAACAAATCATTGGGGTCGACGCTTCTCAATTGGGCGCTCCTGCCGGATGGAGTCAGAATGGCTCTACTACCAATGGATGGGGCCAACCGACGCCTCCAAACTCGCCTCCGCCGGTGAGTGTGACTCCACCAAACTGGTCATCTGCGCCCAACCCGAATGCTGCGCCCTGGAGCCCGACAAGCCCGACCACCGGTTGGCATCAAGGAGCCTCGCAGGGCGGTGCCCCGCGACATGCTTGGGAGACTTCCACCCCAACAGTCGTGCCCGATATCCCACTTGATGAAAAGAATCTTTACATCAAGAATCTAGAAGAGCACGTTGACAATTTGGAGCTGTTCAACATGTTCCGTGTGTTTGGCAGAATTATTTCTGCCAGAGTCATGCGTGACGAAGCCACGGGCCGAAGCAAAGGGTTCGGATTCGTTTCCTTTGAAACAGCGGAAATGGCTGGAAGGGCTTTGCGCGACATGAACGGCAAACGATACGGTAACAAGCAACTGGTTGTCAACGTTGCTGAGCCAAAAGGATATCGGCAGACAAAATTGGCCGCCCTTCATGCCGCAAAAGGCGGTTTGCCAAGCCCAGTAGCGGTTTGAGCGGGTTATTGGGACATGGTATGGACATGAAAAGAACATTAGAAATCAACCACAATTCACCTTTTTTTGGGAAGGAGATGCATTGCAGCCTCATATAGTATTTTTTTGTAACAATATATAGACATTCAAAAGTTGCGATGGGAAATGGATTAGACAAATTCTATGTAAAAAAGATCTGTTACATTGGCAGTCGGTAACCGCGATGGGAGAACGTAATAAAAAAGACATGAACCCCACAGACCATTTATCACACCCGACAGCCCTGATCATTACAAGTAAAGCAACGGCATTGATACAATTTACTTTTTGGGCTTGCCAACAGCGTCCATATCTATATTCTCCCCACGTCCAGACCCGTCTGGAACGCGTGAGAACTCTCCCCGGTTCTTGCTACTCCCACCAACAGCCTTTGCGACCGAAAACCCAATCACGCCTGCCACAACCACTAGAGTCGACATGCCCTTTTGAGCCGTAAAGCATTGAGCCGTATCCCGTTGGCAAAACATAAGATGACTGAGTCCAAAAACCAGAACTGCTCGCAAAGCTTGCAACACGCCCGTCGCAACGGCTCCCGTACTCTCCAGCAGTTCAAAGTATGTCAAATTATGTCCTAACGAGCTGACGACCAATACCAAGTACATGCCGATCACGCCGAAATCGTTGAGTGGCATTTCTCTCAGCGTTGGAATTGAAGAAAACAGCATGAGGACGAGACAAATGAGACCGCTGTAGAGTCCGACCCAGAAACATTGCTGCCGCGGGGCCATGGGTATAGCTGCGTTCGATAGTAAATAATCGTTCAGGGTATCTGCAAGAATGATGAGCGTTTTCAGTCCAGAGGTTTCAACCGATTGATGTTGGGCACAAAAGTAACTCACAAACACCAGAATATATGCATGTTCCCATCAGAGTGATAAAGAAGCCCGCCACGACTTTTGCATCTATACGCCATATTCAGAAGACCTTAGTACACTGCGCCACACAACGCTAGTAAAGATCAAATTGAAAGAAACGTACGGGACGTCTTTTCCTCTAAATCTGAACCGCCAGTAGCATTGATCGACAATCCCATCATGATAAGGAAAACCGCAAGCCATTGTGCAGCATTCAAGGTTCGTTTCAAGAATATACGGCTAAGAAAGGCGGTGAAAACAACCATACTGGCATAGATGACTTGAAATAGCTACAAGATGTGAATCAATAAACACTCGGAAACACGGTCCGAATCATTCTAACATACCCCACTTCCAACAGAGAACTGACCAATGGTCAAGACCACATTTCCTAATACATCCATGAAAGCCACGCAAAGCACGCTCTTGTGCGCGATAGTGGGTTCTGTGCTATTCGGGACGTGGAGTTCGTGATTAGCACGGTTGTAACCGTGTGTAATTCAGTTCCAGATCTCCATACCTGGCCTGCGTTGACTATTGGGTTCGGGGAGAAGGTGGATCGTTACCATTCCAATGTATGTCGCCAGAACGGTGAGCATGGACCGTCCGTCTGAGCAAGCAAAAGATTTACACATTATATTTCGTCGCGTCTTTAGTGGAAAAGAATGGTACCTACCAGCAGCGCCTTTGTAATGAAGCCATTGCCCTCCCAAAGTTGATATCAACCCTGTGGTCAGAAACACAAATTGGTTCCATAACACCACCTTCTTTGTCTTTGCCAAGCCGGCAGGGGAAGATCTACGGGCTAGTATGCGGGGGCTGATGACCTTGGGAGATGTCGGGGGACTTCCTGGCGGTGATGGTTCGACATGCAGACGCAGCACATCTTCTGATAGGGCAGTCGATATCGCTGGCGGATGCCTTTTTTCAAGAGCTTCTGGCATCGTTCATTTCACTTGCGCGTATCGGGCAGTAGAGCCGCAGCACCCAACCAGAGGTCAGGTAAGCCTTGTTGCCATGGCATACATCACGACTCGTTTTGTAGGAGGGTATGAGCAAGTAGGTTTCATAGTCGGGTGTGGTTGATATTTGCAGAACTAAATCGCAGCAGTCCTTTGGAATGTATTTACACATGTGCAGAAGAATTATCATAAATTAGTTCATCGCATCCAATTATCTCATGGGGCCCATCTGTCTGCCATTAAACCCAAACTTTAAGCTCCGCCTCGGGAACGTCGCACACCAAAGTCCCTTGAACAGCACTCCGACCTGCTCCCTTTCCATTTCCAACCACAAATCCACCCTCACTGCCCGCACACAAAATGCTTGATATGGTTGCGTCAGTCTCTGGCGTGGACGGCGGGCTTAGAGGTGCGGAAACATCTGATACCACAAATTGGACAATGGGGCCTGAAGCCGGAGAGTGTACTTCGGCTCGTCCTATGCGCTGCATAAACTATATGCAGGAGATGATCAACTTTGCGTCGGCCCAGCTCATGCTTTTCTACGCGTACCTGGACTCTCATTCCCAGACACAGATCCTTGACTGTATCAATTGCTAACGTTCCCTTGGAAGGATCACCGCCCGTAATGCGGTATACCGTCGAATCCTAAAAGACATGTACCTGAATCAATGGCTGGTACGGTGCAAAAATAAGGCGGGAAACAATAGGTCAAACATACATCTCCTTGAGAAACTTTCAAAAAGAGCTGTTGATCGGAATCGACCCCTGCACTCATTTCCCTGCCCTTCATGCAGGACAAGAGTTCTTTGGCCGCGTTCGATCCGTCCAAGCTCAAGATGATGTTTCCGCGACAGCTAACATAAACATTTATTATGTGGCGTTCTCGATTGTCGACAATTGGGAATTACCCACCTCGTAATGACCAGCTCCTCGCCCAACACTTGCAAACCTTTATACTCCACGCTTGACGTCGGTTTCAAAGCAGGTGCAATCAAAGCAGCACCCACAACTCCACCATCCAGCACGCGATCGTTGAAAAACAAAGTGTGCGGGTGTCCGGTGATGAAGGGTGTCATGGATCCAACAAGTCCAATCTGATCATCGTGGTGATGAATACTTGCTGATCATGAGAAGATACAGTCTGAAGCCTTCCAACTCACTTTAGACGTGGATGGGAAGTACTCATCCAGGCTTTGGAGAAGGTGATGAGGTTCTCGGTCCGAAAATGTGAGCAGCATGTTCACTTTCTCTCTACAGGACAGTTGTTAATTACGAATCTAAGATGTTCTTGAACACAGGATGGATTCAACTTACTGCTCCCCTTTTAATCTCTCTAACGCATCCGGCAATAGTCCTTTCCCTCCACCAGTGGAAACACTCCAAAAGTCCTTCACGTCAAACCCATCGGCCTCCGACACTTTTCTCCCAAACTCTGGCCACCGCCCCACTGCCTTACTCTTGACCCTCCGCACATCCTGTTCATCTACAGTGAAACCGACGCACTTTGTCTCTGGGTGGAGAAGCGCGATACTCAGCCCTGGTTTGCCAGATATTGAATCAACAATAGTGCCCATTAGGGTGGTAGGATGGAGAGAGGATGAAATGATTCGGGGCAACTGGAGGAGCTGGTCACCGGGGTAATGCGGGGTGGCGAGCACGACACAAAGTGGTGATGGTACTGTTGGGAATGGGTATGCGGATTGTTGAGCAGTCAGACATGACGCGACCGCTTTAGAGAGAGAGCTGGACGTTGAGGTAGTAGTTGTCCATAGGGAGCGTACATTGTGGTGACCGAGCTTGCGCTTCGTGGGGAAAGATGCAAGTGTCTTGAGCATGGTGAGACGATCTGGCGGCGATCTGTCAATCCCAGCAATCCCACCGCGACCAACTGCTATGGATTAAAGACATGGCTCTTTTGCATGTGCAAAGGCGTTCGACTCCAATAGAAGGCATTTCAAGATTTCAATACCACCGCATTTACGGTTTGCTTGGACAGTCCTTGTTTGGACAGCCCTTTCTTCTGTTGGTCGTTATCTTACAGATATTCACAACATTGTACATGTCAGGAAACAGCACATCTAGCTGGAATGTACCCATGAAAAAAGGGACTCTTGGTCATATCAACTCCGAGTTTGTGTGGTCTGCAACCAGACGGTGCTTCATTTCATCTATCCACAAGGTACGATATGTGTTTTGGAATCATTTGCTGTCGTCCAACCAACTGCTATCAACAAACACCTCCCTCCTATGGGCATTCAAACACATGATAACAAATGACTCATCCATATGAGATAATGATCCCGTGACCTGCTAATTGCGAAATGACGCCTCTCTTTTGCCAACCAATCGCCTAAATGCACAGCTGACCATCAAATAGACACACACAGTCTCGAGTATAAAAGGGCCCCCGTCTTGCGCCCCCGCCTTGCACGCATCCTCATTACCGTTTTCTTATCGCTCTGCTGCTTATACTTGCCTATATTACTGTTTGAATAGAGTCCTTGTCGTTTCTGCCAAGTTCTTGTTTTTTGCTTGTCCTATAGTTTTTGTTTGCCCCCGTACATAGATACATACCCTTGCTTAACACCGTCCAAAAAAGCGTCGTTCACCATGCGCGTGCGTCTCGCCAGCCTTGCCGCCTTTTTTGTGGCCTCGACCGTAGTAGTGGCCAACCCGGTGCCTGTCGACAACCTGGTCGGTGCTGCTGTGCCTGAACAGTACATTGTTGTGTTCAAGGAGGGAATCAATGAGCAGGCTCGTAAGTGACGTGTCGCGTAATCTTGTGACGTGTACAATGTCCTCATAGAATGTCGCAGTCTCTTCCCACTGGAACTGGCTTCAGACCACGATTACTCCCGGTCCGCAGCTCTCTGTTCAACAAGTGTCTGATTCCGGCGTGACGCTCTCGCTGGGCAGTTCTATTGGCATATACGGTGTTAAGCATCAGTACGACTTTGGAAACTTCAAAGGATATTCTGCGAGATTGCCTGCAGACGTTGCCAAGGCTCTATCGGTAAGCGTCACAGGGTCGTTGTGACTCGGGAATCGCAAATGTTTTATACCAACGATGTTGCGACTGTAGGATGATCCGAATGTGGCGTACGTGGAAGAGGACAAGATTGTTAGTATTCTTGGATCACAGAAGAACCCGCCATCATGGGGATTGCAGCGTATTGACACACGAAAGCTACCCCTCACAAAGACGTACGAGTATCCCGACTCTGCTGGAGGTAACGACCTATGATTTCATTCGCTCTGTCAAATACATGCACTAACTGTGGTCTTGTACTTTCAGAGGGTGTTGACGCTTACGTCATTGACACTGGCATCTTCATCGACCACCCAGAGTTTGAGGGCCGTGCTCGCGTTGGAAAGAGCTTCACCACTGACGGCGAAGCCGATGGAAATGGCCACGGTACCCACGTAGCCGGGACAATTGGATCAAAGACGTATGGAGTTGCAAAGAAGGTTAACCTGATTGCTGTCAAGGTGTTGGATGCGCGTGGATCAGGAACGACGTCAGACGTCATTGCCGGTATTGAGTATGTTGCACAGACTGCGCCTAGTTCTGGACGCAAGTCGGTAGCCAACATGTCATTGGGCGGCGGTGCATCAACCACTTTGGATCGTGCCGTGCAGGCCGCTATCCGGGCCGGCGTTGTTTTTGCCATTGCCGCGGGTAACTCTGGTCGCGACGCATGTTTGTTGTCACCTGCTCGGGTCCCTGAAGCCATCACTGTTGCTGCATCTGATAACACCGACCGTCTCGCCTCCTTCTCTGAGAAGGGCACTTGCGTTGATATCATTGCGCCTGGTGTTGACATTACATCCACGTGGAACAATGGGCGTACCAACACCATCTCGGGAACCTCCATGGCCACCCCACACGTTGCTGGTGTTGTTGCCTTGGCTCTTGCTGAGGGCAACTTTTCCAGCCCGGCGGAGGTTGAGACATATTTGAAGGTCGTCGCCTCCAAGGACAAGATTTCTGGCAACCTTGCTAGAACACCCAACAACTTCCTCTACAATGGCGTTACTGGTGGCAAAGTCCCTGACGATGAGCCTGCAGAACCTGCCCCCTTGCCTCCAAACGACCCTGAGCCAGACCCAGGAGAAGGTGTCTGCCCCTTCCCCCAGTGTCTCTTTGACCCTGCGTAAGTCTTTCGCATTACTTTTTTCATTTTGTGACATTGCTGACCTGTCGCTCACTATTAGTTGCACCGAATGTTGCATTGACTGCTTGTGGAATGGCAAGAGCAAGCATGCTTGAGGAGAATGGATATATGTTTGATGGGACTGTGTATTCTTAGTGATTTGACGTGTGTGTTATGCAATGACCTCCAAAAGGGATTGATTAAAGATACAAGGCCTCGTTTTTCTGACTTGTGACAAAGTGCACGCATGATTTGTTATCCAATGGGCTGCCTTTTGGCGGAAGGCAGGCCATCCACAGGTCTTGATCATCTCGTCTTGCTCGATTTCTGTCTAAGCACCTTTACCCATTTCAACCTTGTTCCATGACTTATCCCGGCCTCGACAATATTTTGTCCATCATTGTCCAACTTCCTGCCATGCCCAATAATGACGAGGGCATGTCGCTTCCACACACCCTTCCAAGATATTGCCCTTGTTCGTCCAGCCTCTGTCAAAGCGAGATGCTCAAATGCCTGTCGCACCAAACGTTTTACATCTAGCACAGTATGTGCTTGATTGACAATAATGTCTACCAAATGGCATTCAGCTTGGCTTGGGAGAAGAACAATATCCTTTTGAATGCGTTGGCATGTGCCCTACATACGTAAAGGGGGTAAAGAACCACGTTCCACAGACACTTGGAAAGCTTCTCCTAACTCAAGAGCGACCAGCGCATTGACTTGTGCAAGGGTTGGATTCTTTGGGAGATCCGCCAGAAGCTGATCAGCCAATAGTGACTGTATGCGCTCTTCCAAAACCGCCTGACCAACGTTCTGGTTTCTGACGTTTGAGGGCGTGAGGAGCGATGATGGCATCCCGGTCCTTTTACAAACGACTCATCCGTTCCGAACAGTAATCAAGGAGCGATGAGTAAAAAGTAAAAACGATGACAAAAGGACGAAATGCGCGGACGCGGATGGACGAAATTTGCCGATCATTTTATTCACGTGAGTCTCTGCTCAAGATGTGGTTTTGAGCTTTAGAGCTTGGAAATAGCCCAGGACATTTGAGCCCATTCTCGTCCTCGTTGCCTCTGATTTCAGTGGATAAACTTTGCAGCGAGCGAGCTCGGATTTGTTGCTGCAATTTGTGTACTGACAGCTTGAACACTGCCAGTTTAGAGAGCATTGGTGAATTAGTCGCCAAAACATGTCTCGCCCAATTCTCTTCAAGAACGTTGCCTACTTTGGAGGATCCGACTTTGACTTTGTCTCTAAAGGATCTATCCGCATCGAAGGTGGCCGGATCGTACAAATAGCTCCTCAAACGGCTGAGGTGAATGGTGTGAACGGTGTTACGGATCACGACACTTTGGTGGTCGACGGTACTAGGTATTTGGCACTACCTGGTCTGATCAATGCTGCGTTGTCGATAGCTGCACCGAGCAAGGATGAGATCCCTGAAGAAGTGTACGAGGCCTTGGACTTGGTATGCGTTTGTTAAATTTAGTACCTTATGTTGAAATGGATTTGCGAGGGCAGGCCTGGTGTTGGCTATCTAGAGCAAAAATGCTTGATGTGCTGCCCAACTCTAGCCTGCCTGTACAGGGATGATTGCCTAGTAACAATAATCTAAACATTTATTGCTTCGTTCTAATGTAGTCAACGCATGAGCTCAAGGACGACGCGGTGTCCGTCTTGTCAGAAGCTGTAAACTACGCCGTCCAAACAGGAACGACCACAATAGCACTATTGGCAGACGGTACAACAACAAAGCCCTTGGATCCAATTCTGGCCACCTCTCCGGCGCTCCAACAATGCGTTTTACCCTTCATTGCGGAACCCCGAAATCCAGCAGCCTACATGCCCGTCGACACACGACCAGAGTTGGTAGAGATTGTTCGGGTTGGACCGCATAGATACACAGCCAAAATGGCTGAGCCAGCTGTGAAGAGTGGAAAAGTCAATGGAGTGGTGCATGAAGGCCATTACAACATCCAATGTTCCCATACGGCCACTTCTACTGCTCAGGCTCAAGAGAAGGGTAAACCGATCATTGCAACAGGCAATGTCCTCTTCAACTCTAGCAATCTGTGGAAAGAGCTTGAAAATCGCGCGCGACAACTCGTTGCCAGGTATACTTCATATCAGCATATCCTACTCGTGTCTCAGACCATTTACGCCTCTTTGCAGTAAGCAAGCAGACGAACGATCCCTAAAGGACCTACTTCGAGCTGTGACTGTCCACCCAGCGGAACTTCTCGGTCTTTTTGATGGCGGAGTCTTGCAAACGGGAAGCCGAGCGGACATCATTTTGATAAAGCTAAAGCCACATTGGCAACTTGACGCCCGAGGTACTTTTGTTTTGGTGCCCGTTTTTGCCATGCAAGGAATCTAATCCGGCAAATCCACTTAGGTGTCTTGCTGTCCCTGTTCCTCCATGGAAATGACCCGTCCCTGGTGCATGCAGTCTTGAAGGGTGGAGCGTTGCACTTTTCACAAGGGTCGCTAGCTACCGAGCTGCAAGCCGTGTCTCTGGCAAAGTACTACGCTGCGCCAAATCTGCCAGATACCACCAAAATCGATACGGGGTCTTGTGACTTTGACAGTGTGGAGGACGCGATTGAAGCTTTCCGTAAGTGCCGAATATGTTTCACTCGAGATCGTTTTATACTCACCCACTGCGGCATCTCAGGTAGAGGTGAGTTTATCGTCGCGATTGACAATGAAGACCGAGAGAACGAGGGCGACTTGATCATCGCGGGTGAAGATATAACGGCCGAGAAAGCAGCATTCATGATCCGTTATACAAGCGGCGTGATTTGCGTATCGGTGGATGGGCAGCGATTGGACGAACTAGAGCTCCCTCTTATGGTTGAAAACAACACGGAAACATTGCGCACAGCATACACCATCTCAGTCGACTACAAACACGGTACCACAACTGGCATCTCAGCTGCTGATAGAGCGGCCACCATTCGGGCAATCGCCAACCCATCAGCCAAAGCCTCTGATTTCAATCGGCCGGGACATGTCTTTCCTCTTAGATCTGTCCCAGGGGGAACACTAAAGCGTGTTGGACATACTGAGGCGAGTGTCGATTTTGCCAAGCTGGCTGGCAAGCAAAAGGTCGCAGCGATTTGCGAAATTGTCTTGGATGATGGTCGGATGGCGAGGAGAGATGATTTGCGGGTGTTTTCAAAACAGCATGGGTTAAAGATGGTGACAATTAGTGATTTGGTAAAGTACAGGGTTGCGAATGGCTTGGGTGAGGATTGGTAGACTGTTTTAGGGACTATTTGATACGTAGCCATCGGACATAGGGTTGGAGGTAGCTCATAGAACCGGCACTGCTTCACTTTCTTATTTCGTTATCTAATGCTTGCATTGATCATTTCTGTTTCATATTGCTCTGAGACATTTTCATTCGTATGTCGAAGCTGATGCTTCACTGTCGTAGGATAATTTTTGTACAGGAGCAAGTGACACCTGCAAATCAAGTCTATCATTGGCTGAAATATGTACAGATTATTCTACAATATGAACGCTTTCCGCGTAGTAGACATGTGATACTGCAATCCAGTACGCGGACAAGTGACCACACCGCCATTTTGAGCCGCCATTTCCTGCAACGACTACAAAAGAAAAAGGGTAAGCACAACCAAGGCTTCGCAACTCGACTCTAAGCCCAGTCACAGACCTGTGCACTGTACACATAACCATTGGGCAGCACCAGCGGTGGATTGTCCTCATCCATAATAACACCCGATATACGATCCACAATGCATGAATTAACGTGATGAGCATTCGGCAAGTCCTCTGCAAGCACGCCAAATGTGTCGCCAGCGCATATTGGGCAATTGATAGCATGGTCACCTTCGTGGTAGCACATTGGCGTTTTCAGTGCAGACAGACCGGCTTGGAGAGTCATGGTTAGAAGCGGTTGGGAAGTAAGATTGTGAAGAGCGTGGTTGTCAGCGTGGAATTGTTCGATGAGAGCATCCCAGCGGGATTCGTCGAATAGATCCTAATGGCATGGCCAAAATGAGCGAGTTTGTTGGAACGAACAAGATACGCCAAGTATCGGATTGGACAAGGGTTTACCCGATAGGCATCGCAAGACGTATCAGGGGAAAAGGCTAGCAGAGCCATTGCTTGCTGAATCTCCTTCATGTGGGTCACATGCCAGGCAGTCAGATACTTCCGGGAATATTTGATGGCTTCCTCCTTTTTTTGTTGTCGAACGAGTTCAATGTATTCTTGTAGGCGGATATTGAACTCTAGCGTGCTCTGAGAGAGTTATGAGCAATAGAAGGAAAGGACTGCTATGAGCTACACATCAGTACCTGAATTTTCTCGAGACTAGACCGATTGTCTGTACACCAGCGGAGACACTCTGTACAGTTTCTGTTTTTCAAAGCCTCCTCTACCTGGCGCGACTCTGCAAAAAGCTCTATATCGACTAAATCCTATGGGCGCAACAGAGGGTTACATCATGATTAAGTCTTGGATGTAAAGAAAAAGACCTCCTTACCTCAATATGAATTTCGCTCGCGAGTCGTTTAGCAGTCTCACTATAGCCCTGTCTCAGCATGTAATCCACCAATACCCTATCCAATCTCGTTTGACTCCATCGCGCGTATGCGTCGGATTCTGCATTCGGAATCGCCATGAGCTCATTGAGATGGTTTAACCGCGTTTTGGTGCGTTGGATATAGAGCTGCTCTTCGCCCTTTGTCTCTGACAGCTAAAATGCCCTCAAGCCTGATGAGGATCTGATGACCGCAACATTCATACATCAAGACCGTTTGTCGAATACCTTTCGCTTGAGTTTCTGCAAACGCGTAACCATGTCTCCTAGGCTCTTGACAGCTTCATCCGGTGTAGTCTTCCCGGGTTTGGCTAGTTTGCCAACTTCGGATGTCACTTCTTTCATCACATACTCTACATATCTTTGGGAGGTACGAGCAGCCTTTTTGAGTTGTTCAGCGGGAACCTGAATGACGAATGCAAGTAAGACAAGGGTACAGGGAAAGTACGATATATGGGCCCGCCCATTGGAGGCTTACCGACCTTGAGCAAAGGTTGCTCCAAGCTTAACAATCCTTCATAGTTTAGACGAGCTTTGTCCATTGGAGGAGGATAGACTTGACTATCTCGTTATTTCGGAGATGCACACCGTCAGCCAAGCACGCGGATGTGTTGGTTTCGTTAGCCACGTGACTAGCCATCGGGGATCATCGCTGGAGACATAACGTTTTATTTGGATATCGGAGTCGTTTATTGAAACAAGAGCAACCGGCATAAAGCGAAATATAGTGCTATGAGTTCATGGGCAGCCATAACTACTGTGTTACTAAGTCAGTACTGTGTAGATGAAAACGGGCAAATCAGAGCACCATCTGGGGTTATTCAACAAAGGAGTATAATCAGGCAGAGCACGAGCTAGAACAGGTCTGAATTGTTACTAGGTGGAATTCTAATGTCCTTAACATTAATGAAATGGTTCACAGTTAGCTCCATATTGTTCGTAGAGAGACAGTTCTTGGCCTCGACTGATGAGGAAGATGTTTCCCGAAGAAGTGATATCAGCCGTCAGACAAGTGCTTCCTCCATCATATTAGACAGGATTATCCAACTGCACTGGAGGAGCGTCAGCTCGGAAAGCATGTATATAAGTCGTCCCAAAGGGCTTCCTTTTACATCAAAATACTTTGTCACTGACTTTACGCCGAAACACTTAAGTCTCATTTGAAATAGACCGTCTCCCGCAAAATGGACGGTGTATTTGTTCCATAAGCCTGCCCAATATTTCAATGAATTGTCATATGCGGTATCCAAGCTTTATCTGCCTGCGGTAAAAATCTTAAAAGCCATCCTGTTTTTCATATCGTCATCTGCAGGATCATGGTAACCAATTACTGGTACCTTTGACACCCTTCAGTAGATGCGTTCGAGTTTAGCTAGATATGCTTCAAGGCTGACACCAAGGAACAAAACTTGGTACTATGTACCTTGGCAGGTTGGCAATCCGTATTATGCAAAAGCCTTGCCGGCCCAAGTGGCGCAGGTAAACTCTGTACGCCACGATCAGTCCTACGTAAGCGGCGTGGTCGGTGGGAAAATCCCAAAAGCGTTCGCTTTCATCCCTTTACATCCCTCGTATCGTTGTCAACATCTTGAAATCTGTTTCGCTTGAAAGCAATGGGTGACGTTTCAGGAACGATGCAAATGGCTCCCATCTTCACTGAGGAAGAAGACCTTGAGCTCCGCGATGTGGGGTTACCCTGGTCGATGACCCCGTCCTGCAGTATTGCTTATCCTTATTACTTCATAGATCTTGGGAAACATCAATCAGGTCTGTGCCAAAGAGTGTTTGGCTCCATGTAGACCAGGCACATTGCCCTCGTCATTGGCCCATATCTTGGCAAAGCGATTTATTGTGGTACATCTGGGAATTATCAAACTTTCCCATTTGATCTTGCTCTAATCCAGCATCGCCTATGCTGACATAGGAGCGTGGACAGTCGTGGTTTCACAGTGTCAAAGATACGAGAAGGTGAAACAAAACACCTCATACACCTTACTCAGTCGCCTTACCTGCTTTGACTGCTCAGACGGTTAATCTATCTTAAGAGCAAAGAGGACACACCGGCGATTGACTTGGAGACCTTAAACTCCCTCCGCAAGTCAGCCAAAAGGTGCGTCGCATCTCCCCATCGGAAAAGTGCTACTGATAACCTCACATACCGAATCAGATGTACACGTAGACTATTCCAAAAACAAAGTGAGGAATTTTCCCATGGACATGAGAGCGAAACCAATAGTGGAACGCCGGTCCTCAGAAAACGAGCTCGACTCACCAGCATCAAATCACCAGGAGACAGCCTTTTGACGGGGCGAAAAACTGAGGCTGGGGCTATGCGACGCGCACTGTCGCTGACGATGGTGGAGGAAGATCTTACTGAAGACGAGCTAGATTGTGACCAAGCATTGCCGCAGATTCTCTATTAGGCGTGTTGATAAACCTTTATGCTACCTATGGTCCGCATCTAGTAGTATGCTGAGCAAAGTAAATACATGTCAAATGCTAGCTATTTACAAAGAAATGATAATCCTCGATCCTGGTCTAGGGTTTTCTTTTCTTGTACTTTCTTCGAAACGCTTTCGAGTAGTCAGTTCCTCCAGGTATAACAAAGAAAGTACAGACACCGTCAATGATCTGGTAATCCGGATGCTTCAAAATGTCCAGGAGTCTCAATTTGTTCCCTACACGCAGCAGCTTTGGGGGGTTCCCTTCCACCTGCGCCTCAAAATACACCTCCAACCGATCCGGTGTATAGGTTTGTTCAACGTCCCAGCCCGGCCGCTCCTCGCCAAACATGAGTTGAAGATGGTCCGCAAAAGTGTCCTCTTCGTGGAAGGCAGCAATCAAATCCGATTCGTTGTACTGGGGATAGAGCAGGACTACCGGCCAAGTCAGCGCTCCAGTAACTGGATCTAATTTCACACGGTGATCCCCTTGTAAAGGGTGAGCTATTATAGGTTGGTGTTCCGCGTCGGAATCTTCGTCATCCCGTTCCACTTGCTCGCGGCTCACCATTTTGATTCCACGCAACTGTCATTGTCACGCGTCCCAATCAGGCTTTGTCTTATTGTATCAGAATGAACATCGACAAACCTTGATGGCTTCCTGTAATCTCGAATCATCCTCTTTTCTTTTCGCTTCCTGTTCCTGCCGCTTTTTTTCCGTTTCATCCAAAACTTGCTTTCGCTTCAGGACCTTTTCCTTTTCCTTTTTCAGCGCAGCATTATCGGCGTCTACCTAAATATCATCTATTAATAAGAACTCCCAAACTCTGGTGCGCATTCAAGACCACACCTTCAAGCCTCGCTCGCAGCAGTCCAGCGCTTCCGGGATTTTGTCCAACGCCAAAAGCGCCTTTGCTGACCGGTAATAAGCTTTGACGTTCTCGGGCTGCAATGTTATCGCGGCTGCACAGTCATTCAAGACTTTGCGATAGTTACCTGTCCAGCGAATATTGTTAATATCCGACGTAAAAGACTGCCAACTGCCGGTGTATCCAGGATGCATACCAAGCTCTAGGTTTACGGCAGCGCGGTTGGCATAAATCGTAGCATTCAGCTTTGCATCGTCCGCTTTCTGGTCTAATGCTTTTGTGTAATAGTTTATGACATGCTTGTATTGAGAGCGGCCTCCTTGAAAGCACTCGTTGCCTTGATTTTTGAAGTTGGTTGCAATCTCTATCTCATACACAGGTTTCAGCCAACATTTCAAGGATCCAGAAGATGTGCTTTTTCAATCCTTTCACATTGCCCGCACCTTCTGGGGTACCATCATAGATCAGAGAGTGGAGTGCAGCCAAGGTTTCATTCTCTTCCATATCCTGCTCCGTTGGCATAGTTTTCATGAACAGAGGAGTCTTCATGAGATCTTCCATAAATTTATCATGATTGTCATGATGCTTCATTTGTGGGCCGGCAGGCAATGAAGCCGGCGGCGATTCCTCGTCTAGGATCTCCTTGATAGTCGGCATTTTCGTGAGGCTAACGTTCAAGGCCAAGCGGAAGCCACAGTTCGCCTAAAGAGCAGTGATTTGCTAATCCGCCTAGTTACCATGACAATACAAGAACATGTGACTGAATAGTTCGAACCCGGAAGACGTCAAAATACGACTGTGCATTCACCATTTGTGTTCCTGCAGTTAGATCTGTGCGTTCGTTTGCCCGTGCACGACGTGGTCCCATGGGTCCATGACAGCAGGCTTTGATGAATCGACACCTTTGATCCGTCAACCTTTTTGTCGGCCATCATACATTTGGGTTACAAAAGTGGGAGTCCTTGGCCCATTATCGTCCTCTCCTTCCACCGTCTCGATTTGACGCGTCGATCATGTTTCGGGACGCAGCAGGGCTTCACACTCGACAGATTAAGGATGAAACTGCTCTAAACCAATATGATGTAGCCAGTGTATTCTGATAGAAAAAGGACAGTCTCAACGCCAAGCAGGCTTTTGTCATCTACATAAAAAATGCTCTCAACGATTTACTATCTTTTGGCTCTTTTGCTGATCAAAAGCAGCACAAATGCCCAATTGAACACTCTACCAAAACCTGTTGTGAAAGCCGATCAAAAGTTGTTCGGGCCTTTTATTGAAGGTGCTACCTTTTTCAATGGCTCCATCCTCGCAGTGGACCCCTTTGATCCAACTTCAAAGACCGAGCTCAAGAACGGTATTGGAGCAGTTGATGTTAAAGACGGTATCACTCGGTTGTTTTTAAGGGGCGCCCCACAAGCCCAATTAAACGGCCTCCGTATTGTTGATGGCGGGACAAAGTTGTTAGCAGCTGACCCTGCAAAGCACGTCTTGTTCGTGCATCCGATTACGAACGATGGTGTTGCTACCCAGCCAAGTTCTGTCATCTCTATTCCCTCGTCGGTTGGGGTCCCCAACGACGTTACAGATACAGTTGGAGGTGGGGTGTACGTTAGCGGAGGTAAATTTCAACCAGTAGGTGCTGCCAAAGACGGAGAAGTATGGTTTGTTCCTCTTGCGGAGAGGGCACAGCCTGTGAAACTTTTGACGCTGGGACGTACCAACGGTATTGCGCTGTCAAAGGACAAAAAAACGCTTTTCGTCACCGAAAATGTGGCTCAACGCAACAAGATACAGTCTTTTCAAGTTCAGACAGATGGGTCTCTGAAAGATCAGAAGCTGGTTGTGGATTTCGATCCTGCAACAAACAAGGGCTTCACGGCAGACAGTGACTTGGATGGACTGCGTGTTCATCCTGTTAGTGGTAACTTGTTCGTAGCGCACACTGGAAACGGGAAATCTGTGGTAGAAGTGAATCCTGCCGATGGTAACATCGTGCGAACAATCGGTGTATCGATGAACAATCCGACAAACCTTGATTTCTCTCCTGCCGGTGACAAGTTGTTCGTCGTTGGACGGTGTGGAAATGCACCGTTTGGTCAAGGCAATGGGTGTCTTGATGTCGCCTCTTTATAAGGGTAGAAACGATGCCTTGCTTCGTTCAGTATTATGTAAAAAATGAATGTACACCCCGCTGCTGTTAAATCGAAATAATGGGACATTGTAGAGGTTGCTTTCGGTAGAGATGTACATATCGAACCAACACCTATTTGTAGAGAATGAAGTATGCAGAATAATGTATTGTTAAGGTGTGCATGGTGCACTTTGCACTATATGTCTTCTACGTCATCCACAAGCCCGTGTGATGGAGAACCCATCCAGCATAAATTATAGGTAGGATGATTAGCAGCGATGCTATCAAATCGGCTGGCATGTACACATCTTTTTCAACCACATTGGTTGCACATCTCGCAGTGGAATGTATGCTTCCAAGGACATGTACATTGAACATGCCTACAAGATGTATCGTGTCTAATTCAAAAGGTTGACACGTTTGAGTTCACATATCCTTCCCCTACAAGCCGCATCATGTCTCCGAGCTGCAAATGTGGAGTATGGTCACTCAAAGTTCTAAGAGCATAGACTAGCAAGAGTTTCTGCGCTTATATAGCTCATCCCATTCCGCTTTAATTTCCAAAATAATTCGATTTAGGCCCAGTTGCTAGACCTGCGCCAGCACCTTTGCTTACATATCTTTCTGCTCCCCCTACTCCACTCACAAGACCACCCATGGAACTGCCAAGGCCGCCCCCGCCGAACCGTGGCATTGAACTGACTGCCGTTTTGGGAGGTGATGGTACGCGCGATGATAACGCGGTCGATTTGCCAGGTCCAACTCCATCCGTTCCTTCAGTAGCTGCACCGTGTGGAAATATTGGACGTGGTATGCTTCGATTCGTCGATGCAAGACCACCTGCGGGACCACCAGTAGAACTTTGTCCGTCTACTCCAGAGACATACCGACTTCGGTAGCCCGTTGGTGAATGCGACTAAATAGAAGATGAGCAACATTTCCATCATATACCATTTCGCAATGAGTTAACTAACCTTATAAGTAGCATTCTGGGCAGCGCCAGTTCCTGCTGCATGTCTGTCCAACCCGTAACCTCCCAAAGTAGGGGCAGACCCTGTGTACGTTGGCAAGGGTCGAGTCAGAGCATCCTCGTTCATTTGCTTGTGAAGCCATTCGATGACTGCAATTACTATTAGCATCACCGACCCTACAGCAAAGGTCAAGTTGCAAGAGCTCCCTACCATGGTTATTATCTTCGATAATCGCTTTGCCCTCCTGGACTTGCTTCGTCAACTCTTCTATACGACCTTGTGCTGCATGGAGCTCCTCCCGTACTTTTGACAGGGTATCCTTGGCATCTGTCAACTCTTTTTGCTGCCCTTGAACCGTCGCCGCTCGTTCATCCAGTAGCTTCTCTTGCTGCATTGTCACCACGTTCTTCAACTTCAGTTTCGCTTTTGATGACTTTAGGTCCGTCTGGAGACGTCGGATTATTTCATTGCCCTGTTCACGCGCCAGATTAAGGTTTTGCAACTTAGAAAGGAATGACGATGAAATATACTTTATTTATTTCTTCCGTGGCTTGTTTCAGTGCTTCTTCCAGACGTGCATTTTGCCCTTTGTACATCTCCAACGTATCATCGGCCTTTGCCTAACGGAAACAGCGTTAAGTCCATTCGAACAGGATGTAAATCTGAAGTAGTTCGTCTCCATTGAGCAGCATCAAGCATTACCTTCTGTTCATTGGCCATATGAAGCAACTCCTCAAGTCTTTTTTCCTCTGCAAGCTTGTCTCTCCCATCACGCTCAATGTCCCGAAGTTTATTTCTTAAAGATGAACATTCGGCTTCCAAGTCTCTTTTTGAATGTGCGAGTTGCTCGTTTAATTTGATCTCTTTGTCTAGATCTTGTTTCGTTATGGTCAAGTCTTGCCGCAGATTTTCAATCAGCTTATTAGCATTGGACGTCGAGGTTTCCATGCTCTGGGCGTGGGAAAGCATGTGGGAATGAGCGGCTTTTAAAGAAGCTAATTCTTGGGATAGCTTCTTCAGCTGTGAAAATTGGAGCGCCCAGCGCAGGCCACTGTTATTTCAATTTCACTAACTTTGAAGCACCACGGTGGACAAAATACCTGCTCTTCGTACTGAATTTCGATATTTCGCTTGTCCTTTTCTGCAGCAATACGCTCCTCTTCACGCTGTCGACTAGAGGTCTCCTTTTCTCGCGCTAATGTTTCTGCATGTTGGAGTTGCAGACGGTTCATTTGCTCCGCATTGGACAATTTGATATTCTCTAGCTCGCATGTGAGCTTCGCATTTAAGCCTTCACACTCTTTTAAACGAATTGTAAGGCTAGACCCCGTCGAATCCAGCTGGTTCTTCAGTGAAGCATTTTCCGACTGAAATAACGGGCAATTAAGAAATATTGCGGCGGACACAAAAGTAGCATCAGTAGATTGTACCTTGTACTCTTTCACTAGTTGGGCTAAGTACTGCTTCACCGAAGCATCGTTTCCCGGAATGAAATGTAATGATATATGGGTGATATTTCGGAAGGTGTTGGTTTCAACCACGTTGAAAACAGCGTATTTGGCAGAGCCATCAGACGTAAGCTGCGCGATGAATCTATATGATGTTGGTTTTCTAACTTCAACCCCTCAAATTCTGCATTTAGGACGGAAAGCGCACCTACTTTGGCTGTTCTTCTCGTCTTGCGCCGTCCACGGCTTCCAGAAGCTCTATAAATTTGACAGGAAACTGTTGGAAGTCGACCAACAGATTTTGCTCTTCTTTAAGGGCATGGAAGTCGTCTTCGCCGACATCCAGGTGATAGAGAAAAAACGGGTCATTTTCGTCCGTTAGCTGTATCTCTAGCACTTTGAGGCGTCCAGAGTTTTTGGAGGTAAGAGCGACTTGGACAGTTATGCTCGGGTGCCTTTTCTCCTGATATTGTTCTGTTGCATAGGTTGACTTGAGGCCACTTTGGCCACCCAAGGTTGTGCTGGGAGTTTGAAGGGCCTTTCCTGTCGCTAATTTCAACCTGACAGGAATTCCTTTACTAAAGAGCAGTTCTGTGGCAGACTCCATGTCTACGCGCTTGGTGGCCGAAACGCGTGAACTTCTCTCACCCGTCCGAGGTTCACTACCCTTGCGACGAGTATAGCTATCTTATGTCGCTACCTTCGGGCCAGCCCTGGAGAAGACAAAGTGAGAAACAATTTCCGACCGTACTATGTGGTCGCCTATTCCCCGAGCTGATCTGCCTACAAGAACGAGTTCGCAAGGAATTCGGACACTTCGGACGGCCTGTGCCACTGGTCGCCTGGTAACAGCCTACATCACCCAACAGTTGTTCCCGCACTATCGGATAGTCCTCACAGGGCGTATCTCCATGAGGTGTTCACCAGGCATCTCTGTACAGGCTGTCTGCTACTTGAGATGTCTTGTAGCAGACTATTTGGGAGGAGTGAGTCGTCGGACACCTGGACTCTGCGGCGGCCTTCAAGTTCATCGGCACCATGGTGGCCCCAGTGGTAGACAACTAGTATCTACTATCCAGGCCGACGAAAGCGCTTCTCCTACTCTTCCGAAACGAACCGACATCTATGATAGCGCTTGGGACTTGCTATCTCAATCTTCCGTAAGAAAGGGAAAACGATGGCGAGACTTGGCTGAAAAGCGCCGTGTAACCCTGCAGACGGAGGGAGATAGACGCACTTCTCTAGTGCACGCCATTATACCTCGCTCGTTGACCCGCTCTAGAGAATATCTCAGTAAGAAGCAAGCAACGTCAGCCGAGAATGGAGCACAGATTTTTGAGAAAGTAGTGGATAGACTTTCCCAGGCTGACCTGGGTCAACTACCAGCGGAAGAGGCCGATCGCATCGTTCTCGCATATACCTTATCCATGGAGGGGAACATGGAAGATGCCGTTCTGGAATTGACAGGCATACATTCTAGTTCATGGACTCACGAACTTGCGATTGATACATGTCGTTTGATTTTCGACAGTTGCGCTAAGAACGGGAGATCCAGGTTTGGGGAGTCTTTGTTGGATCATTTAATAACAGTAAGCAAGTCCCTTCATCCGAAATACGCAGTCGGCGGCTGGCGCCTCGTAGAGGGTTATGCAAGTGAAGGAGACTTAGAAGCTGCGGACCGGTTACTGGTCAGGCTGTGTGGAATGGGATATATACCATCGAAACAAGCTTTGAAGCTGCTGTTGTCTCAACATCAAATTGCACGACGCCAGAGAGGGAGAGACATGAAAACCGCGATGCTGTCAATAGTGTGGGGTTACTTCACTACTGTTCGCAAGGCGGCTCAAGATGATCAAGTAACTAGGAAATCTGATTCTCTCTTGAAGGCACGAGATCGATTATACTTGGAGCTGGTTAAACAATGCGTCACGTACGGCGGTCTGACTCAAGCAGGGCAGATCCTTGCGTGTGTACATACGAGACACGCGGATTTGGTTGTTTACGGTTATAATCTCCTCTTAACAGGACATGTGTCCGCGGGCAGCATTGAAAATGCGTCAAAAGTGTACCGGTTGATGCTCTCGGAGGAGGTGAAGCCCAATATATCCACGTTCAACATCTTGTTGCAAGCGTATATTCAGGCGGGATCGTACGATGGTGCAGAGACCCTCATACAAGAGATCACGCGTCGGGGAATCGCATGGACCGCGACTTCTTACCGACATGCAATCCAGTTACGCGTCCACCAAAATAATCTACTTGGCGCAAAGCAGCTCGTACAACAGCTCGTTAAAGAAGGATTGAAGGTGGACGAAAAGATCATCACTCACTTAATGACCGGATACGCGCGGTCGAGAGATATGGGCGGTGCCATTGATCTTTTAAATTTCTTTGAGGAGCAAGGCATCCAAGTCCCTCTGAACGTAGCGATCTTCAATAAGCTCTTGTATGCCTGCGTTAGAGGATCAACCGGTGAAGTTGAGCGCCTCCGTGCGATTATGATGGAACAAAATATAAATCCAAACTCGGAAACGTATGTAAATCTGGCCTCGCACTACGCCGCTGTGGGAGACGCGGAACGCTGTATGACGTGGCTGGAGAAGAGCGAAATCAGTGCTGCAGACACCAAGGTGATAAATCGCGTTTTGTCGCAATTTGCCCAGACTGGTGAGACAGACAAGATTCACGATGTGATGCAAAAGCTCGAGCGAAGAGGCGTGAAGTTTAAGATTGATACTTATAATATCCTGATAAAGAGCGTAAGCAAAACTGGGCAGCCGAAAGACGCGGAAAAAATTTTGGACGACTTGAAAGGGAAGGGCGTGCACCCGGACACGATCACTTATAACACCATGATAGCGATTTACGTTCGGCATGATGATTTAAAAAGTGCGAACCGAATGTTTCGTACAATGGCAAGCCTAGATAAACCAGTCAAACCGGACCGGTTTACGTACGCTACGCTGATGGATGCTCACGCAAAGTTGGGGATGATGGAAGTCGCTTCCCGTCTGTATTCCACCATGCGGATGCGGGGTATCAAAGCAGATCACGCCGTTTATCACACCTTACTCAAAGGCTTCTGTCAAATCGGAGATGCGACGCGCGTAAAGGAAATAATTGATGAGATGCACGCAGATGGCTTATCTCCAACTACGTTAACTTACAACGTCATAAGCGCTGGTCTAATTCAACGTGGTGCTCTTGATGAAGCGGAATGGTGGATCAATCACATGAGACAAGCTGGCGCTCGCGGCGATCTATACTCTTACAATCAACGCATTCAGCTTTTTGTTGCAAAACGGGACATGATGGCAGCGGAAAAAGTCTTCGATGAAATGTCAAACGACGTGATACGTCCGGACGCAACGACTTTCAACACTTTGCTAACAGGTTGGTATGCTGTCGACAAACCCGATGAAGCGCGCCGCCTTCTCCGAAAGATGGGGAGTTATGGCATCGTGCCAAATTCTACCACGTGCACCATCATGATCAGCTTTTATGTGAAAATAGGAGATATGGAGCGGGCCGAGCTTGCATTTCATGAATGGTTCTCGAAAGCGAAAAAGAAACATCCTATTGCGTCAGAACCGTTCGCTGCCATGATTTACGGATGGGGTACCATCAAGAGGGATCTTCCAGCTGCTTTGTCGTGGTGGACCAAAATGAAAAACGCGGGAGCCATGCCCAACTCTTCGGCGTATACTTGTCTCATTCAAGCACACTCTCACGCGCACGGTTCCCTAGAATCGATCCTACACATCTTCGATCGATTGATTGAAAGGCGTGACGGACCTAGTGTAGGTGTGGAGGCTCCCACAGCATGTGTTGCCCTAGACGCCTGCGGACGATTCAATTCTATCAATGCTGTCCGTGAGGTGTGGAACCGGTTGAAGCATCACCAGACAGACGTAAAGATTGCAAGGTGGGAGTGGGAAAATGTTTATACCTCGTACTTGGAGGCATTGATACGGTGTGGCGAGTTCGAACATGCTGTTAAAGTCCTTACGGAGGAAATGGTGGCAAGCAAGGTGATGCCTTCTGTCAAGACCTTCGAAACTTGCTTGACTTTGCTTGCAACTCGCGATGCAGATCCTAAATATGTGGCATCAGTGGAGACGTTTATGAAGAGGTGGCCAGACATTGCGGCGCAGGTTCACGTCCGGGTGGCGGCCTTCAAACAGCAATATGAAGAGCGTAGGAGAGAGAACATGGCCGCTGTCAGAAGAGTTCGGACGGGAGGCCGAAAGAAAGGCTCAGATGTTCTCAAAGTGCCGCAATAGATTCCGACGGCATAAATTGAATTGTACAATATGTAGAGAGGATAGCGAAATTGGAGCCATGTAGAAACAAGCAAAGATGTTGAATGCACCACTTAATTCCACCTATTGATCCTCGTAAAATGCAGTCATGAACTATACGTCGATCGGTGATAAAGTAACGAGTTTATATTAGTGTTATGCATGCTTGATTTCCTCTACCAAGTCCTCCAATTCTTCCCGCACCGCTTCTTCCCGTGCATCACCCCATAGCATTGGCACATTGCAACGCTTGAAACTGGGCCATACTATCTCTTCTATGAATACGGACCGTAGTTTGGAAGTAATCAGGGATGCTAACTTGGGTAGATCCTTGACTTTCGTACGATGCCCCAGAAGTGATCGCACTTCAAACTCCAATGAAAAGTCGTCCAATATAGATATTGAGATGTAAGTTTCTGGTGTATCAGGATGGGTAACAAACTCCACCGCGACCTTAACAAGTCGATTAGAGGCACCACTGGAAAGGAAAGAAAATGAGGATTACTTACTGTCCCCGAAAATTTTACTACTGATAGTGTCAGTGCGACTGGTAAGGCTGCAATGCAAGGCTTTGGCCAGTTTACCAACACTTGGGTTTCGACTCCCAACGTTATCTGGTCATCAAACTCGAACTGAATTTCTGTTCGTAGGTTGGCAGTCTGTTCGCTGAAGCATGTACGGACTTTTTGAATGATGGGGAACTCTTCGCCGAGAGAAAAATCTGTGATATGGATAGGTCCCTATAATTGATGCATGGAACCAAAAAAACTATGGTTGAGACCTCACCCCAATGCATTTGGGTGGTGGCGGCGATGTACATACCAGGAAGCCAGGTTTCGTATGTCCGTTCAAGACCTCATCAAGAAGATGAATGATTCGGTTGTTGAACCCACTGTCGTTTCGATATTTTGTTATCGCTTGAGCGAGGAGAACATTGAGCCAATCGCACGTTTCAACTGGATGGGTATGTATGTCATATTGTGTTTTGGTCAGTATCTGCGATTCGGTTGCATGCGGGGATAGGGGGTTTCGCAGCTATATATACGTATAGGTGCATTAGAAGCGTCGCAATTTGTACTTAGCTACAATTGATTGTTCACGTCCCAGGAGCCCACCAGCAACTAACCTTTGGCTCAAATAGTTTCCGGCTGTTCCTCTTTTTGGCCAGATCTATTCGTGTCTCCTCACCGCTTCTGAAGAAGAATACTTTCACAAGAAAGAATATCAACACCCCAAGTGTTATTTGTCCTAAATACGTTTCGCTTTAGCTCCGTTGCCAACCTTGTTCGCCCGAGTGAGCGCACGAAAATGCATAGCTAACCGCAAACCTGCAACGAATCCCTTGATGAACTCTTTGGTTCCTATATGTACAGCTGCCTCAATCGAGGCGACGGGCACTGGAACGGGCTCAATGGTCGCAGAAGACATGAGCGCCGGTCCTGCTCCGTTCAAGAAATCTGTCGTCGCGTTTCCACCAAAGTTTTCAGCACAAGGACGTTCTGTCATCAGTCATCGAGCCTCAGTCACATGATTATCTACAAATTACCTTCACAGCCACTCCGCCTCTAATCTGTGCATCTAGCCCCCTTTTCACACCTTCCCACGTACTTTTTTCATCATTCGGTCTCTTGAATACCTCCCTGCGCTCACCTACCAGTATTGCCCTGTTTGGGCCAAGCTGCTGACACTGTTTAGCTACTGCTGCCGGCGGAGTATTGCTCGGTTATCTGGCTGTTATCATGGAAGTGGAGTTGCGGTGTAATAACCTTCAGTGTCGTAAAGGCCTGAATAGCAGTTCCAGAGCATGTGTTACAACTTGCAGTCGTCAGTATTGTTCGCCATAGCAGTAAGCATCTGAAACAGTCTAACATGATTATTCTCTATTCCCAGATATCTTTTGTGTGGAGTGCGCCCAAAAGGCGTTTAACGCTGCTTTGGCCTGGTAGGTCAACGTGGATTGGAACAGTATCGACTTTGTTACTTCAATATCAGAGCGAAGTGTAAAACGTGCTTCTTTAGCCCAGCCTGTGAAACGCCCCTGACAGAAGGGTAAGTAAATGTCGTATGTTGCGATATTCTGCAGTTCATCAATAATACTATGCTCAGAGAGGACATTGTTTTCACCGAGCTAAATCCAAGTGAGGACTACAAGTCGGTGAGTGATTAGGAAACTTGCTCAAGGTCTAACGTTGTGAAAACTCTTCACTCAAACCCTGGAGGCATGAGGTCAGAGCGTACTTTCTGGTCTCCGTCCTGAAGGTGCGGATAACACTGAATTAATATATTTACGACATTGCTCCTCATTTTAAACTGTCTTGAAAGTTATTATTGAGATTGCTGGTCGGGGTCTCAGGTTAGTGAGATTTGGTGTGGTTCTGCTTCATCGCATTCAAGTTGATTGGTGGCCGCGATCGGCGTCTGTAAAGTTTCTGGGTCTATCAGATGACCCAAGAATCCTGCTTCCAGGAAATGGTCTGTTTTGTCGTTCCCTTGTTCCTGTCGTGTTATTGACAGTTTCTTTGGCGTTCAGATATATAAAAATCTGGGTGATAAGTACTCACAATTGGAGAGACAAGTACAAAGCATTGTCCGCGAAGCAAATCAGGAAATTCAAGGTATCAATGAATGACCAGTTCTGTTGTCTGGTAGTATCTCAATATTCCCCACGTAAGGACTGCGTGAGAAGTTGATCGGTAACGTCCCGCCGGGTTGATTGAGTGACATGTCCTTTACTTAACCCTTGAAACAAGTGTTGCAAAAGGAACAAGAGGTTGAGAAACTGCGCAATCACGAGCTAGCAGAGCAATTCGCTGAAAAGGGCCGGCAGTTCCAGAAACTCCAGGTGCTTTCTGACTGACATTTGGCTGTTGTGCACTCTTCAGATGATTGACAGTACCGACAGTTGATGTATGACAAACTTAAGCGTAAGAGTCTTATGCCTCCACAGCAGCAACCGCTGGTAATTGGAAACGGGCCAGGGCAACAAAATAAGCTCGGTCAGGGATTTGGTTTGCCGCTACACAATCAGGCTTTTCAGGTGAGGCCCTGAGTAACCGCATTGAAACAGCTACTGTTAAGTATAATGTCATTCACTATAGACGGGACAGCCAATCACACCTATAACTGTACAAAATGGACCTCAACATCAGCGCATACCGTTGCAGCAGCTTCACCAACGCAGGGCCTTCAACCCAGGACCAATCGCAAACATGTCGGCCCTTCAGGGTAGCCAACATGTACAGCATAGAATGCCTTTGAGCTACAACAACACCATGCAACATGGGCCTGGTAATGGAGCAGGAGTCGGAGGTCGAATGCATCACAGCATGCCACATCCCCAAGGTCGACCTCGTACCCCTGTGATGCCAATGACCCCATCCAGCGACCATATGGTTATTGGACCTGGATCGGCTACACGGGACACAGGTCGCCATGGATCTCTGCCTGGTAGAATATCCCCTCTGTATTAGACACATTGATGGGGGTCGAAGAAAATAGGGTCCATCATAGACTTCGATACATGTAAATATTTCGTCGCCTCGTGCTCCTGAAGGAAGCTAACATCAACCCTGCAATGTTTGGCATCCTTGCCTGCGATTTTGTTCTAATGCTTACTTCAGTTGGAGCAAGGCCGCTCGTCACAGTGCATTGAAAGTATTAGGAAACGTAAGCAGATTTGTTGACCGCATGGCTGTGCCACCCATGATTAGCCGAGGTCGATCGTTTTGCTGCGCTTGGCAGCCCAACTTTTTACTTTTGAAAATGTTGGTGTGAGTTGCTCGCAGCGCATAATACGTTTCTATGGACCAAAGAGCTGCATTCTATTTGGCGGGTCTATCTTCAGCGCTAGCTGTTGTGCTGGTTGTCTTTGCAGCTGTATTCTTGTGGAAGCGGAGAAAAGGTTCTATCTTGGTGTCAAGGACGGCACAAGACAAGGACAAGGCGCCTCATAGGAGAAGCGTACCTTGCGAATCCACAATTCCCCTTGCAGTATGCATCGTACTTTTACGTTCAGTTCGTGCATGTGTGGGTAGTGACCTCTCTTTTTTCATTCCCTTTTTGGTTCTAGTCGCGTACAGGCGACAAACCTGCGCATAGATCTGCATCCCTTTCCCGTCCTCAACCGGAGCAGACTGGGCTCCGCTCAGGCAAATCGGACCCTTCCACCCCAAAATCCTTTCCTGCAAGTCCCTCTTTCCGGACGATTCTCGCGACGAGATCGTGCGAATCTCTCCTTCAACTTCCAAGTCCCGCAGTGGAGACTTGGACGTTGGACATTTTAGACGCACAGCCATCCCGATCAGACTCAACTATAAACGTCACGACAACACCGAGCCTTCCACGACGCGTGCGCCAGCAACCTACGCAAGAAAATTTAAATGATTCGGGGGTCCCACTAGAGTCGGAATCCTTGAGGGATAGTTTAGGGCAGCAGTTTGGAACGATGATAACGGCACCAACTTCCAATGGATCGAAATGAGATATTCACGGCTGTTGACAATTTTAGATATTTAGAGAGTTGATACAAGTTTAGAGATTGTTTTATACGTAATATTTTGGAGTTTACCCCCCAGCATCCAGGCATTCAGATGACTAGTCGTTCTCCTTTTACCGACATCGTTCATGGACTGACAACGGATGTAACGGATGTGGTAGTGGTTCTACTACTGTAATTCATTCTGGATCTGGTATTCATGGCAACAGGACACGTCATGGCCCTTCACGTCATCACAATTGACCATCTTGTTCTGCGGATCTTCCGAATTCCCACTGGTGCATATACGCAGAATGTCGTCGGCTAATGGTCCCTTTTCCTCCATCCCCGTTGATGAGCGAACAATGAATCACCCATTGGGTCGCGCCTTGATAAGGCTCAAGACATACCAACCAACATTGGAAGAGCAAGAGGCCCTAAAGACAGCAAGTAGACGGGTGACTGTATATAGTACGCATGGCTAGGGCATTTTTGGCCTGTGTATTGTATTTTGAATGTTCCCGCACCTATGTTCACTCGAATTGGTTTGTTTATATTCGTGTTCTCTAGGCCTGGTAGGAGCTGGTGCAGGTGGCTTCCTCGGAAATTATCTTGGACGTAGAAGGAATTGGAACTTTCGACCTCGTATTGCTTGCGCAGCAGGTATGTGGATATCATAATCCCTTACTTAAGAGTACTAGAACGATGTGTATGTTTCTCCTAGCTGTGGCGATCGTTGGGTTTTATACCGGCGGCTTTCTCGGGCTACGTTCGGCAGCAAAGTATCTTTACACCCTACCAAACTCACCAATGATGGATATAGTACGCCATGAAATGTAAGCTGTCCAATTTGTCAAGAAAATTGTTGTAAGACTGACGGGTGAGCCATTCAAAGCAAAAAGGAAGAATTCCGCCGAATGGGGGCGACCCTACCTGAAGAGATACCCGATTCCGCGCAGGAACGATCAACGTACAGCGTCAACGTCTCCGGGGACTCTTCATGGGGACAAGAAGCACGTGCGTCTTGTCAGTTCTCTCATTACCAGTGTTTGCAGGTTCTAACTAGCTATGCAGCGTCGTCGCCATTTTCTGCACAACCGCAACCGGACTTTCAAACTTCAAATCCCGTTGATGCGTCGTTTCCGCGATCAAGGGAGGATTGGGAAGACGTGGGGAAGCGGCGGACCAACCAATATGGCGATGTCATTGAATAATGTCTTGAGTATACATGTCGACGGCGGAGTGTCGTCGATTTTATTGAATGTAGACGTTTGTGCTTGTAGCGGGACTTATCTTCCGCTTAAAAACATCTGCTGAGGTTGGGATGCTTGTGCTGGTGGCGTAAAACTTGCAAGTGCATAGTCTTATGTGTTGGCATGGCAGAGTCAGTTCATTTGCAGATACCATTCAAGTGAGAGAAATAAAATAAATGTACAGGTATTGATGTCTACAGCTCTACAGGATCATGAGGTTTCTTCTTTCAGTACAGTGCCACCTCCCAGCCCCCATTCCTCCACAACCTCCTCAATCTCTTCGCATCGTGCTCTCCACTTTTGCAAGTCCTTTCTCAATTGACTCGCTTCAGCTTCCTTCTCCATAAATCGCTTGGCCCAAACGGTCTCATCTTCATCTTCATTCCCATCGTCTTCGGCTCCACTTCCTGCGGAAAGAGAGACAACGAGTCTTTTCACATGACCGAGACTCTGTTCAACTGCTGCGATGTGTGCTTGGGCGTTAGCATAGGCACTCTGCAGCTGACTGTGCTGAAGTGCCAGTGTATGTATGCGATGTTGCAAACTCTCGGTATGGAGGTCGTCGCCCGATTGCCGTGATGAATGGTCATTAGGAGGTCGATCAAATTTCCATATCACTCCCGCCTTTGCCAATCGTGCTTTTATAGTTTCGATTCTAGAAAACGAGAGCATGGCTTCGGTTTGTGTTTCTGCTGTGGCTGTGTGAATGGGCTGCAGGAGCGGTCCCGGTTCATGTGGTCGGTTGTGGTTTGGTGATGGTGGAATTGATGTGCGCTCGCCAACACCTGAGCCGCCGTGTTGTTGCAATAGTATTTCAATCTTCTCATGCTGCAAATCAATTACCATATGTGCCTCCTCAAGTGCATCTCGGAGTTTGGTGGCCTCCGAAACCAATCCTGCGACGGCCCTCTCCAGATTCCCGTTTTCCCATTCTCGCGCCAAGACAGGGGTGCTGGCCGACGCCATGTTTCCGTTCTCAAGCGCATCAACCGGCCTAGCAATCCTCCAGAGCCGTTCTAATATGTCCACCACTGCATCAAGGTCAGTCCGTGCTCTTGAGGCTTCCCCTTTCAAAACCTCTTCCCTTGCCTTCCATAGTTCCCGTTCCCTTTCCATACTCTCTCGGACGCTTTTCATTTCTGCTTCCATTTCCACGTACTTGGTCTCGGCCCTCTCCGCTTCCCATGTAGCCAATTTATTCTTCTCCACTTCAGCCTTCCGTCTTTCACAATCTGCCTGCAGATCTTGCACTTCCGCGGCCAGTTCGTCACAACGACGCTGTAATGTTTCGATGGCCTCTCGTGCTGAGGGAGTAGACGCGGTTCGAAGCAGCAATGTTCCGATATCGGCTTGAGAAAGCCGGAGACGATCCAGTTCGCTGCGAAGTATCGCGTGTTCCTCTTGAAGAGTACCGAGTTGCCGCAAGGTGTCAGTATGTGTTTCAAATAGTGCTGCGTAGTCGCTTCGAACGTCGGTGCTCGAGGCCAGGCTAGCAGCTGATGTTGGCACCGTGCTCAACAGAGGAGTTCCAGAATGTACCGTACCGGGAGCTAAATTTGTGTCGACTCGTAGATTACCCCAACCAACCGCAATTGAGGATGATGAGGAATGCTCCTTTTCGGTAGAGCATGCTTTATCGGCTGCAGTTATTAATGCGTCTTCATGGGTAGTCTCCCATCTTCTTCGCTCGTCCATCACTGCCTTTCTGACGCGAGCATCCATTTCAGCTTCCATCGCTGCCATCCGGGATTCAATATCACTTCTCATGCGTTCACGATATTTTTCAACGGCCACTTTCACATGCTCCTCCATTGTTGAACGCATCTCATGCGCTTGCTTTGCGCTGTTTTCTTCAGCCACCTTCACTTGTATGCGGGCAACCTGTAATTCGCTGCGAATTCGTTCGTATTCCGTCTCCATATCAGCCACTCGAGTCTCAGCTTCAGCTCGAATGGCCTCTTCCGCCCGCGCATGCTCTTCGGCGATGCTCCGCAACTTTTCCTCAAATTCACTACGAAGTGCCTCTTTAGTTTGGTCCCGAAGGCGTTGAAGAGCCTCCTGGACCCTTTGCTCAACTTGACGGTTTGCCTCGTCTTCCAACCGCTGCCGCTCTTCCTTTACTGCAATACGTACATGCTCCTCCACTTGTCGCTGTCGGTTCTCAGCATCTGTATCTTCTTGCATATCGTCGATTGGCTTATTGACCTCCAATTCAAGCCGGTTGCTCTCTAATTCGTTCATCAGCTGATGCTTGTCATTCTCCAGAACACGGATCCTCACTTCCATTTCTTTTGCCTGCTCTATGGCGCGTGCCCGCCGTGCATTGGCAACTTTGACGTCTTCCTGAACGGTTTGAAGCGTAGCAGCAGTATTCGCCTGTTCTTGCCGCGCAATTTGAAGACGAGCGGTGAGATCCTCGGCCTCTTTCTTGAGCGCTTCAATGCATTCATCACGTTGTATCGCTTCCTGCAAGTCTAATTTCGTGGCAGGCCTAGGTGCTGCAAAGCCACCTTCATTTGAAAGTGATGAGTGAGTTTGCTGGTGGGATACCAATTGTTGACTCAAACGTCTCTTTTCCTGATCTGATGCGACCAGCCGGACCTGCTCCTCAACTAGCGCGGCTTGAACGTCAGTGACCACTCTCACAAGCCGATCGTTCTCAATATTGGCTTTCCGAAGATCTGAGCGTGTTTTTTCTAATTCTATCTGCAACGACGCAGGTTGCATTTCCAAACCGTCACTTTTCACTTCTTCGTGATGGCCTGAAGATCCAAGATCCGACGACAAAGGAGTCAAGGATTCGTTCGGAACAGTGGTGGAAATCTTTTGTTCTACACTTGACACATTGGGAAAACCTCCTGGTAAGGCATGTTCACTCTCTACTTTTTGCATCTGTGCAAACCCATCCTCACTCTCGGAACAGACTTCATCCCCTCTCACGGTTAAATTGCCAGAAGATGTCGTGCTGGAAGGCAAAGCCAAGAGATGGGGCTGTGTTGTGTAAGTTGTACGAGAGGCGGTTTCCGAGGATGGCCGTCCTTCAGCCGGCACTGCTGTTTGTTCATCGTTGGTGGACGACCGGGGAGACGAAGCATCGCCGCGCTTTGCAAGCTTGGTAGCTTGGAATCGTCTGAGCTACACGGTACATATTAGAACAGGCATTAGATTATACCTACTGGAACTGCAACTGCTAACTGGCTTCCTTGCATGGATTTAGCTGGCCATGTCCAAGTTCGTTTCTTACCTTCTTTCTAGCAGCTTCAACCTTTTTTGCTCGCTCAGTATCGTCTGTCATTTGAATTGGGGAATCTTCGCTACCTGTGATACTCTGCCATCAGCTAGGTGCATTTAAGGAAAACGGCGTTCATCTCAGCGTACGCGCGAGATCTCTCGTGAACGGTTTCAGTCTGATCACATGACCGTCATATCATGAAAATAAACAAACATGCCTTAACAAGATCTTAAATTAATTCTCTAAGCTCACATGACTATCTATTCTATAATTTCACTAATAGCTACCACGTCCCAAGACTGCAACCGCAGACGCAGAAAAGATCCCGCCATTCCCGTAGACCAGGGCCCTCCGAGCATTCCTTACCTGCCGCTGGGGACCTGCCCGGTTGGTGAGCTGATCGTACGCCTCAATAATATTGTACCTACACACATATATGAGATTTTTTGATAGGAATAAGTTTTCTCAGCACACTTACATGGCAGGTACCTCCCACGGGGCACCGAAAGCTAGCAGACCACCATGGGTATTAATCGGGAAGACATCCTGTGGCTTGAAGCCGTCGGGATCTCTTTCAAGACCCTTGACGATTTGGTAATACTTTTCTTCTACGAACGATCCACCATGACCTTTGGGCGCCAAACCAACAGCCTCAATCGCTCGAATTAGGCAGATTGGGAAGCAATCATATCTACAGTAGATGTCGGTAATGGTGAGTCAAGCAGTTACAGTAGAGGGCACTACGAGGCCCGAGGCAAAATTTGATATCTTACAATCCAAAGAAATCAATGTCCCGAACGCCAACCTGGGCCTCATCATAGGCAACTCCGGCGGCTTCCTCGCATGAAAACATCTGTTCGCTCATGTCTTCGATACGTTTCGGTGGGAAGAGTGGACCAGACGCTTCTCCCCCACCTACAACCACAACGCCAGTGTTTCGGGATAATCCTTTGCGCTCCAAAAAACTAGAGCTAGCAAGGATGATCGCCGCTCCACCATCAGCCCGACGGGCGCATTCAAGAACGCTAGTGACAGGCGCAACATGCCGTGCAGACAGTATTTCCGTGATGGTGCGGGGAGTATGAGTGAGCGCAGAGGGATGGCGGGAAGCCATTATGGACATTAAAGCCGAACTGAAGGTAATGTGCCAGAGTCAGCAATAATAGCACAATCTGATTTCAAATAGAACATACCAGGCTGCTAATTGTTCTCTAGTTGTTCCGAAATTCTTCATCTGGTATTGGGCAACTCTGTCGTAACCAGAAGGAATAACTGGTGAGGGAAGTTCCGCCTCCGGGTGATTGCATGTTTGATCCGCTCTCTTCAAGAATTCTTCCCCGGACAGATTCTTCACTGCATCGCCTATTGAAACGCTAGTGTCGGCATAGATAGTGCCGATAGAAATGAAAAAAACACCTACCCGCCACAACCGCCACAAGATCTGCTCCTTCCATTTGAATCATACGCTTGGCTTCCAGCTTTCCCACATATACAAAGTCAGGCTCTTGTAATTGGGTAATGGTTATAGTATTCTGTAGCTACCAACGTACCAAGCCAGTAACAGGGCCCGCCCCTCCAGTGTCCACAGTTCTCACGATAATACTCTTGCCAGGAAGAAGCCCGATTTGCGTGGCAAGATAATGTGCTTCCTAAGAACGGTCGTCAAGCCAGGAATTAATTATTATAATTTATAGCTTTGCTAAATTACCATAAAATGAGTGTCAGCCAAGGAAGGCACGGCAATAAGGCCATTCAAATCCTTCAAGCTGACTCCGGCATTATCAAGAGCGAGGCGGAGTGCTTGCTGCATAAGAGCAGAAGGCGATACTTTCTGGCCAGCGAGGACGGCATGTTTGGCTGGCGACCTCGGGTTGAGAGGAGTTATTCCAGTTCCAATTATTCTCACAGACTTCGGGATCCGTATCGGAGGCATGACAGAACAATGGTCGTTAACACTGTGCTAGACTCCGATGTCCGCTGGTCCTTCACATGCAAAGTGGCTTGATGCAGTCACGTAAGCAATCGGACCATTACTTCTAGTTTGCATTGAGTCGGTCATGGTCCACCTTAGGCACCGTTTATTTTGGATAAAGGGCCTCATCATTCTTGGCAGTTTGATTTTCGTCTAACACTTACCTTCGCATTTGTCCTAACTCCCTAAGTGCAGTCCTATTCTAATTTTATGGGATCCGTGCCAGCATTTTCACAAATAGATATCAGTCCAGGCTACTGGGATTCATCAGCTATTTCCAATCGCAATGTACAACCTGTCGTCCCAAGTATCAAGTTCAGTTCCGGTATGAAGTAAAAATGTAGGCAAAAGACCGCTTGACAAGAACCATAATTGAAAGGCGATAAGACTTTCATCGTAGGAGGAACTACCCACGAGCACATGCTACCACCAGATTAATAGTCGCAAGACCATTAGCGACAATGGCAGGTGCCCTATTCCAATTGTGCCGTCGAATTGTGAATATAGGCAAAAAGTTGCATTGTGTTATTCCGCAAGTCAGTCGACGTTCAAAGATGACACGTCTCCATGAAGAGACGGGTCGCTTATTCTCATTCGATTTCGTCGAAGCTTTCTGGAGATAGATACGAGATAGGTAGGGGCATGATGCTGTGGAAATGGCGACTAATTGGCAGAATTTGAGGTACATATAGAACGGAAAGAGCATCGGAAGCAACATGAATTCTAGTTTCACCCTAATAGAATGCATCTATATGCAAATCACATGTCTGGCGAGTGATGGATGCATGACTACCCTTGTGGAGCACTTATTTGACCGAATGCTGGTCAGACATAGCAGCTGATAGCAGAACTATTTTTTAGGGACAGTGATAATTACATAGCCGAAGCACTGAAGCACAGTTCCTTCGTCTCAACAAAAGGAGCATAGAAAATTCAGCTATCGTCCTGTCGAAGCACACATCCGTACAGATCCGTGAGGAGCGAAAATTCGTCTTTTTAGGAGGATCCTGATTACTTTCTGATTTTCTAGCGGCAGATCCCCACTGAAGATGCTCTAATTCATATGCTCAAAGGCACTCTTTCCGTTCAAGGCGCCGTGTGATGGGGGTGACAACAAGGGATTCCCCGTCCGTGGCTAACGCGCCTTGAGGCGCAGCTCATTCACGTAAGCACGGCGGAATGTCGGTTGGCAGGTGAACAAATATTGATCGCTAGCTATTAAGAGGTTCGTCTTCTTGCAGCCCAAACGAGTTAATATGAAGGAGAACACTGACAGTATTTAGAAAGATGCCAGAAGCCAATGGACGATCCAATAGATAATTCCGAAGAGAACCCCGAACAAAGAACTGTTATCGTGGGGCAACATTCTCACGACACGAACAGTGCGCCATCCGAATCAACAACTGTTGAATCAACCCCGAGCATCCCACCAACAGATTCGACAGCTGAGAATATTGATGTCGAACACAAAGAGACAGAAGCTCCGCTATCAAACACAACTATCCTACGACGGATTGAAGCTGAGTCTGCACCTAGCAACGCAACTCTCGACAATGAAGGCAGCGAAAAGCCAAAACGACATGGACGATCTCGATCGACCTCTGTAACATTCCAGATTGACAGTTCAACTGCGGCTGGAAGGAAGGGGAGACCGCGGACGAAATCTGATACCACAGTAAAATCCAAGAGTTCGAACGGTCTCGTCTCACCGCCTTCTATTATCTCCGAAAGCACGTTAAAAGTTCCGATTTTTGATGGAAGACATACCAATGATAATCCAATAGCCTCAGCTAGTGGAGTAACAGACAATGAGGGTGAAGTTGAAAGCACGAAAATCGATAGAGTGGCACCTGAAGAGAACAATGTGGAGCCTGATGCAACTGCAGAGCTGGCCGAATCACCAGGCACGTCTGATGAAGTTCCTAGTGCGATAAATGGTCCGAAGCATTCCCTGCTGCCATCTCCCGTAAGTGGAGAGAAAGTAAAAAAAGGGCGCTCACATACTCTAGCACACTCATCACTTCATCGATCTCACTCTGATGCCGGAAAACGATCGTCCACGAGAACGATTGACAAGGCACGAAGGCCTGCTTCCGAAGTTAGGTCAGAAAAGAAAGTGTCTAGCAGCACTTTTGGTGTCCTTATAGTCGAGCCTGTAGGGCCTGACTCAACAGAAGGCGGTGTCGAGGTACCACAAGGGGGTACCAGCAATGCGACTCCTGCGTCTGGAGTTGCATCGCGTTTTGCAGAACATAATACTCGCGGCAACGAGATAAACCGCATTTCCGTGGCAACCACAGAGTCGGATAACACGACCGAACGACGTCCTAGTAGTGTTACCCGACCACGTCGAGTGTCTTTCGCAGAGAGCGCTATTGCGCCCTCCGAAGAGAACCTTTCCAGTAGTTGTGAATCAATGGGCTCCGAAAAAGATGCTCAGGAGATAGGTTCTCCGGAAACTATTATATCGGAAGATGACCATGAAGTACCAGAGGTGAACGTTGAAGTACCACCTGCCCTCGATGACGCGCCAGACTCCCAACGGTTACCCGAGAATGAAACATCAGCTCATGAATCTGACAACAGTGTGGCAAGTAACTCAACACCTCTTCAGGTGCCGGATGTTATCGAAGACCCCCCGACCTCGAGTCTTATGGAAACCCCGCAACTCAGGCCGTCCGAGCTGGCACCTGGGACTACGCTTCGGGTTCTCGTTGCGCATCAGGCATCAGACGCTGAGGAACTGGAACTGGAGGCAGGAGATCTCGTCGAGCTGGACCTTACTCCTGGATCAGATTCAGAGTATTGGTGGTATGGGACGAACCGCTCATGGGGTCCAAATAATGGACAGCAGGGATTTTTCCCTGCCGAATGCGTGAAGGTAGAAACATGGGAGGGCTCTCGTGAGATATCACACGACGCGCCTTCCATAGTAATTGCCAGTAATGGGATATCAGATATCCCAGTAGAGGTTGCTGTTCCATCGGAGCCCTCCATATACGGAGAAGTAGAGCAATCGGTAGAAGACGAGGAAAAACAATGTGTGATACCGACTCGTGTTCCTCCGGGAACTAAAGTAACGGTAACTCACGTATATGAACGGACAAAAGCTGATGAGCTAGACCTGACCCTCGGCGAAACAATTGTCGTGATGGAGGCTCCGGAAGGTGGTTGGTGGAGGGGAATGAAAAACCTGGGCGGCAAAGAAGCGCAATCTGGATGGTTTCCTGCAACTATGATCAGAGTTGATGAGGATGAGCTGAGCGATAAACAAATGCAGGCAGGAGGCCTGCAGAGCGCCGGGGCTTCGGCGATGCAACTTCCTACGAACGATTCTCCCAAGCGAAAGTCATGGTATAAGCGATTGGTTGTCAAAAGATCAGCAACATCCAACAACAATAATAGTAGTAGTACTAATGACCGCAGTACAAAAAAGAACCGCAACCGATCCCTATCAGCCCCGCCCCCAAATGCCAGTACCGGGGGGCTGACTGTTGACTATGACTATTCTATGATGAACCGATCCGCAGAGGTATTGGGACTAGAATCAGTGATGGAAGGTGTCGGCGAAAGCGAGCTACAATTAAGTTGCAGTACCAATGACATTGGAGCTGTTCCGCATAGTGCTCCGGTGATCGTTGAGCCCCGTCATCAGCGTTCGCGAAGTGCACCGCCTGTCTCCATAGACTCCAGCCCTAAACAGCCTACCTCGCCAACGGCCGAGATTCCGACTTTCATGTTAACGGACTTCGATCAGCCCTCACTCACCCAATCACCTCCACAGCATGATTCTTTCATCCCAAGTAAAGACATCGACGTCACAGACCTTCTGCCATCCCTTGCAATCGTACCACCTCCTCAAAACGTACGATTGTCGGCTCTAATCAGCGACGAAGCCATCGGTAAATCAATACGGTGGCAAGACCGCTTAGCAGATACGGTGCTCCAGCAAATGACGCAAAAAGAGAAACAGCGAATGACGGCCATTTTTGAGCTCCTAACAACGGAGAGGGATTACGTACGAGATCTAAAAATCATCATTGAAGTTAGTAGCTCTGGACAGTGTATGTTTTAGAGAGTCGACCCAAGCTCACTACCTTTCGGAATGATAGATCTTCAAAAAGCCCATGGCCGAGCGAAAAATCGTGAATGCAAAAATCATAGACTCGATTTTTTCCAACATCGAGGAGCTGCTGGCAGTTAGTCAGGTAACATATCGGGCAGTCCTGTCTCTATGTTCTGATTATTGCTTACCAACTTCACCAACCTTGTAAATAAGGACTTTTTGCTCAGATTGGAGCAGCTCTACGCCAATCATCCGATAATTGATCGAATAGGAAACGTGTTACTGACAATGGTACTGTTCATAAACAAGATACTGGGAAGACGTTTGGACGATATCACTGATCTCTCTTGCTATTGCTATAGATGGAGCGATTTGTCAGTTATACATTGTACTGCAGCCAGCATTCAGTATCGGTTACGAAACAGTTGAGTTTGGCTCAGACGAAGAGAGAGTTTCGCGTGTTTCTCGAGGTTAGTGCACTTTCCATTAGTCGCGGGTGGTGAATATGGTCTCAAGTCTCTTCAATTAAAAGGAAACGTACAAAAACCCGACAACCAGACAACTTGATCTAGGCGGGTTCCTGATCAAACCTGTGCAGCGGATATGCAAGTATCCGCTACTGATAAAGGTAGATAGAGCGCTCGTGGAAGCATTTTGCTGTTGGCTAACATGGTTTCTTCTTAACAGGAAATACTCAAGAACACTGAAGAGAGCTCTGCAGACCATGGATTGCTGAAGGAGGCAGCTGAGAGGATTCAAGGGATTATCAGTATTGTCAACGAAGGGGCGCGGCAAGCCGACGGTGTTCGGCGAGTGGTGGATATACAAAATAACTTTACAGATGTAAGCTTATTTGTCGCCTTTCGCTTCCCAGCGCTGCTATGTCCCTAACCTCTTACGGGAACGGATAGAAAATTAACATAGTGACCCCAACTCGTCACTTAGTTCGTGAGGACGCAGTCTACGTGAACTACGCGGAAATCAAAAAGCCGCGAAGACTCCTTCTATTCAATGATCTTTTGATAGTTGCACGCAAAGATTGGAGGGATAAATACCATCTAGTAGACCAAGCTATCCTCAAAGACTGCATCATTGCGGATGTGCAAGAGAAAGAGCAAGATGCGGGTATGTCTTACCTCTCGCTCGCAACCACGCATGGGCGTTTCGCTCATGTTGGCATCTTCCAGCAACCAATCTTCTTGAACTTGAAATCAACCCATCTTCGGATTCGCATCTAGCCATTTCATCACGCTATCTTTTCTCCGTCTCCTCGCCCCAGGTCAAACAAGCGTGGCTAGATGCTTATCGTAGCCTAACTCCAGCAAACATTCCCATCAGATCCAAACAGCTCAGCGAAGCTGGCTCCATCATCTCAAATCTTGATCTCGTCGAAGATGAAGAAGATGTGGTAGTGGTGACAGAAGACACCGCTAAGCGCAGGGCTTCCGAGGTTGCAGCCCGTCAAGCAGCTAAAGAACGAGTAACAGAACTTGAAGCACGATGTGACCGGGAGGGCAAGCGCGCAATGGAAGCAGAAAGAGCTCTGGAAGCGGAGAATGCGAAAATAGAGGAGCTGACCTCCAAGCTGGACACTATGGAGAAGAAGGCAATAGAGGCTGAAACACGAGCCGCTGAGCTTTCGTCGAAATTGTCCGATACCATTGCTGCTCGTACGGCGGTTGAAAAAGCCAGAGACGAAGCTATGGAGCGCCTCACTGCGCAAGAAGCTACGCTCCTGGCGGGCGGTCGCCGTATAGCCGAACTTGAGAAAGAAAACAAGGAACTGGGTGTTTCGAGGGAAGGCGGGCACCAGCGAGTGAAAATGCTCACGGACGAGATGATACGTTTGAATGAAACCATCCACAATTTACGGAGTGATATGGAGAGGGAGGAGAACAAACGGATGGTCATGGAAAGGGAGAAATCTGCTGAACTTGCTCAAGCGCAGAAGCGCTTCGAAGATGAAATTAGTCAAGTTCAGAAGAGTTTTGAAGGAGTGTTTGAAAGGGAAAAGACGGAGAAAGAAGAGCTGCGGGCAGCTATCGCATCCATCTCATCCCGGCACGCAGCGGAATTGCAATCAACGAGGGAAGACGCAGAGGCACAGATAAGAAAAACTCGACAGGAAGCAGAACTTTCTCTCACCCGACTTCGCGAGGAGAATGATGCTGCACTCCGCCGCATTCGCGAAGAAAATGAGTCGATTATCGGCCGGATGCGAGAAGACAGTGATGCCAAGATTCAGTTCCTACAGGCGTCGCTCGATCAAGAGATACAGAACCATGAGATGACTCGACGTGATATGGAACAAGACAAATCCATACAAGTACAGCGCCTGACGATTGAGTTGGATTCCATGAAACAAAAGGCAGTACAAGTGACAGAAGGGCTGAAGAGATCTCTTGCTGAAGCGCAAGAGAAGCTTCGAGAGAGAGAAGCCGCCTTCCGAGCGCGAGAAGATGCATTCAGAGAAAAGGAGGTAGAGGGTGCAAAACTAGAATTCGAGCGCAATCAACACGCTTTCGAGCTGGCGAGGGTGCATGCGGCTGTGGAAGCGGGGAAAAACGAACAACGTGCAATGGTGGCCAACTTTGAGAAGGTCATGCAAGAGCGGCATCAGACGTTGACCAGGAAAGAAGCCGAGCTAGCGGAAATTTCTCGAAAACTCACCGAAAGCACTCAGCTAAATATTTCCCTTCAGGCTGAGATTGACAAGGGTCGTTATGAAGCCAATGAACGTCGTAGGATTGCCGAGGAATCGGCAACGCGGCTAAAGGAGGAACTGGCGGCCATCAAGGCCGAACGTGTGCGTGAGCAACAACAATACCAGGACCTGGATCGCGCGCACCGAGATACGTTCAAGCAGCTGGAGACTACTCGTTCACAACAGGCTCAACTCTCAGAAGCACATCGCCGATTGGTCGACGAAAATGCGCGGCTTAAGGCCGGTCTAAACAACCACAGCATCCAACTAACGCAATTCTCCCAGGAAAAGCACGTTCTCCAATCGCAATTAGGAGAAGCACATGAACGGATCGCGAAATTCTCGCAGGATCTGGATTCGTACCGTGCGGAGGAGCGAGTCTCAAAGGAAACCATTCAAAGGCTGCAGGATGAAGTCTATCGCCTTGTTGTACGAGCTGAGCGAGCAGAGGTACAAGTCACGGAATTAGAACGCATACGGACGACCAATGAAAGAGAATATGCAGAGAGTCGACAGGCGTTCCAAGCAGAGATCGTCACCATGAAAACCAGAATGCAGAAAGCAGAAGACGAAGCCCGCGCCAAGCTGGAGAAAGAAGTGGCGGAAGCCCGACGACAGGGGCTGGCAGATTCACAGAACGAGCGGCAGAGACTGTTGAAAGAGAATGAGGAATTGAGAGCCAAACTGCAACGGGAGACAGCAGACCTTCGACTCTTGCGAGACCGAGACACTGAAGAGATTCGTGGCCGTTTGGAGCTTGTGGAGCGATTAGAGTCAGAAACCAAGACAGCCAAAGGACGACTGGAACATGAGAACGAAGCACTACGGGATAAAATCGGAAGAATTGAAGCAGAATTCCGGGAGAAGGCCAAGGCTGCATCTTCTTTCAAAAAGCGAGCCCGCCAGTTGGAAGCTGAAAATGAAAGCATGGCTCAGAAGATCCAAGAGCTGTCGGCAGCGTGGGACGAATTGGATGCTCGACATCGACATTTAGAGGGTTTGCACCGCGGTGCAGAGGATGAAATCAATCAGCTCCGTGGGCGGCTGTCTGCTGCTGAGAGAGATGCCGCAGCTGTTCAGAATCGCTTGGAGCTATATAATGAACTAGACCGCAAGTACCTGGCCCTACGTGACGAAACAGCAAAGATTTCCAATTCGTCACGAAGTTACGAGCAGGAAATGCGAAAAGCACAGTTAATAGCTGCGCGGAAGGGAAGGGAGCTAGCAGGGCTGCAAATGGTGATGGCTGAGATAGCCAAGGCAATGTCCTTGTCGCAGGGTATGGTTAAGACGCCGTTTGGCGGACTTACCCCGAACACATACGTCGCTCCGGACACCAGCAGTCATCTGGTCCTACATGGAAGCAGTGAAGCGCTCAATACGGCTGGTACACCGTTTGATATTTCATCTCAGTTAACCCACGTCGATGATTCCCGTATAATGGCAATTCTCACGCGTATTCACGATATGGCATTGGAAAATGACCGTCTTCGAGGAGACTTGGAGCTTGAGAGAGCAAAGCAGCAAGAGCTTCAAGAGCTCCGCACGCTAGCTGAACAGGAACGAGATGCAATTGTAGCCACGCTAAAGAAATTGGAAGGGAAGCTCAAGGATCGCACTGCCGCGCATCGTGAACAGCTGCAGCGTGTCAGCACCTCTTCTGAGCGGTTAGCTAAGAGTGTCGAAGATCTTGGGAGAGACAAATCCGCCCTAGAAAAGGCACTGCAGGAGGGTAAAGACAAGATTTCGAGCTTGGAACAGGACAAGGCGCAATTAGAACGCCAATTTGTAACTCTGTTTGAGCGCATGGAAATGTTGCAAGCCGCACACGGGAAAGAACTAGCTCGTTTAAGAGCCCAAAATGCCGGGTTGAGCAAGGAAGTGGAGCTAATCACGGTCACCCGGAACGAAGCTCTTCGGAAGGCTGAGGACGCTTCGGAAAAAATGAAAGAAGCGGAACTTGAGCGAACACATCTCAAACACCTCGCAGAATCGTTGTCAGAAACAAAGCAAAAGACGCAGGTGCTTCTTGAAACAGCGAATGCTACCAGCCGCCAGCTCGCCGAAGAGCTTGCACGGTGTAAAGCCGAACTTGGGGCCGTCCGCGCAAAATGGGAGGAAATTAACTCTCGCTCGGCGGACGCCGAGCGGCGACTAAATTCGCAAAAGGTGGCCCTAGAGCGTGGCGTCATTGACTTGGCATCGGCTGGAGATGAGCTGGAACGACGTTCCCAAGTTGTTGCGGTTCATCGAAGCATGCTGGAAGAAACTCAAGTAGAGTTCGAACGAGTTCTGGCCGGACGTGATGCGCAGATCGAGTCGTTATACAGCGAATTGCAGGCTGCCGCCAGTCGGGAAGGAAAACTTCAGGATCAACTGAAAACCGTTACGGGGGAACTTCAGTGGGAGCAAATACAAGCCGAAGAGGCTCGATCTGAAGCTAATAATTTGCGTGCAGCCTATAAAGCGTTGCAGGCTAAGATTGTTCATTCAGATGCGCAAGTGAATCGCAATAGTTCTCGTCTTGCAAGCCTGGCAAGCGACCTAGATCGAGACGAGATCGAACCGTCGACTCCGGAACGTCGCTCGCTTACTGGATTGCTACGAGATGAAAGTGGTCCCTCATCTCCACTGATTCATTCGGTTGCGGGCATGTTTCGGGACTCGCCCACCAGAATGCGCCACGATACACAGTCGGGACCAGACCACTCAGTCAAACCCGCCCTCAGTCGGAAGTGCGGGCAAATCATTGAAATCCTTTTTGCTTGCGAACGGCTTCTTGCTACAGTTTCTGAAAACCATTCTCGCCCAGAGACGAGTCTGCGAAATTCGGTGGCATCACAACAAACCTCTGTCTCGGACAGCGTTACCAGCAGCACGTTTGCTCTTCAACAGCTTTCATACCTCGTTACCACAGCGCGTCAGGATGCTGCTGCAGGAGCCCTTCGCGAGATTCGCGTTGGTTTGATGCGCGCAAAAGCATTAGTAGAGGAACTGGCGGATTCTCGGACTCAGCCAGACGACACACGAAAGCGACTAGTAGCAATTCGGAGTCCCTTGGCCTCCGGACGAGACTTATCACGGAGAAGTATAGATAAAGGTCGGCGTGCATCTATGCCAGCCGCCCTGTAAGTATAAGGTAAACCACAATTGTAGATAGGAGATCGTAATGTTAAGACAATACCAGCATGGAATGTATGCAATAATTTCAAAATCTATGTTATTTTACACATTTCATCCATCAACTCTAGTATCTCGTGATTCTTCTTAACTTCTAATCCTATGCAGAAAGCAAGGTTTGCAACTCCCCATTTTCCTCCAATTCACGTAAATCAGTAAATCCACCAACGTGCTTCTTGCTAACAAAGATATTGGGCACTGTCGTTTGAGCTGTCTTCTCCTTCAAATAGCCATGCATTGCCTCCCCATCCTGAACGTTGTCGAGCTCGATAGTCACAAAGTCGACACCCTTCGACGTGAAGAGTGCTTTGGCCTTGTCACAGTATGGGCAGTAGGTTTTGGAGTATATAACTACTCGGTTGGACGCAATTGTGTCTTCCACACGAGATGGAATATCGGAGGTGGAAGAGGAAGCAGGTTGCGCCTTTCTGCGCTTTGAGAAATCGATGTGGCACACACCGTTTTCGCAAACCACACCGTTATCGTTGGAGTCTGAGCCCATGCTTGTAGCTGTTGATGAGAAGAAGGCAAGAGTGAGCGGTCCTTTTGTGCGAGAGTTTCTAGGTACGCGACGGAGAACCAAGTTTGAGGGGCGGGGTTGAAAAGTTCTTGTTACTCTTGCCAAGAAACGATGCAACATATGTAGTCAAGATTGCAATCCACCAACTCCTTTTGCTTTTAAACTCCTGGATTTGAAATTTTGGGAATACCCGCCATTTGGAAAATGTTTGGGTAATCAAATGACGCGATCGGCGAATGCCCGACGCTCCCCGCCGTCTCCCAAGCTTCCTTACAAATTGTGGACCGTGACGGTTTAGACTGCGGCGTACGACATACGGTACGGATGTGCAACTCTCTTGATCGAGTTTGTTCGGGAACGTTACAGATGATTCTGGCATTTACCAGGAAACGAAATTTTATCAAGGATAGAATGTCATTTTGTTCCGGCCGTCACTAGCATGGATTGGGGCTGAACGGTAATTCAATATATAAATCTCCCTAAACCCTAAAATCTCGTATCTCTAAATCATAAAGGAATCAATCAGCCCATTCCGAATGACAGCAGAGTTGAGTCACCATGGCTGCACAGCAGTTGACGGGCAAAAAGGCCGAGAGAATGCATGGAGTCACACTTAATCGACTCATTCTTCTCAAGCCAATACCTAATCCTACCCGTCTGACTGGGAAATACACAGCCTGTGAGAGTATGAGGAAGTCCGTCTATTCAGACAATGTCGAGGTCGTAGGTGAAATGCAAAACATCAAATATACAAGAAACCACAGTTCATTCTCGTGAAATATCCCGCCCGAACAAGGACTTTTTAGCCCAGTCAAAAGCGACCAGCACTCGATTGCGAAGAGAGAACAAGCTATGCAAATGTACGCAATTTCAGTTGGTCGTCACGCTTCGGAATGCATGAATGCATGTAGGTGCACATCTTGACTTACTTGCTAAGATAAGCACTTCGCCAGAACCAGAACGTCAATGCTCCGCCAACGTGCACATTTCCAGGGAGATCGGCGATGGCCTTATCTGATCCAATATACCTACATCTCACAGAATTAGCGAGATAGACTCGAGCATTTTGGCACTTTCAAGCACACGTACGCCAAAGCTCCCAAATCTTTGTAATTGAACGGCTTCACGACTTGCCCAGCGATAGCACTAGGATCTTCTCCCGCGGCCAATAACTTATCACGATCTGCGTCTATCCGCGCGAGCTGGTTGAAAGTGGCAGCCAGGTAGTGTCCTTGTCTACTGGCTACCTGTGCAGTAGGTGGCCATCTGCGAATTATGCGCATAGAATTCTATGAGCTACGCACGTAATGCTGCAGTTTCTCCAAGACTTACTTTGTAGCTGATGCGTCACCCAAAGCATAAATATTGTCACTTCCCTTTACTTTGAGATAGTCGTCCACTACGAGACCGCGACTGGCAACAGGTGCAACGAATTGAGCAAACGTCGTAAGTTATGTAAAGTGTTGCTTTTACACACCGTTGGTTTTGCAAGTTAGAGGGAAGCTTTTTGATTAAGTCTGCCACGACCTGTCTTGCAGTATTACCCGTGGCCCAAACCAAGAGACCTGTTGAAGGGAAAGGGAAACGCGCATTATAACTCCGCCTACTCGCGCCTCATCATATCAGGTCGTACCATATGGAATTTTCTCAATCTGCTTCTGAGGATTTTGAACAATCAACTCCTTCTGCTTGACCTCCTTCACCATAGTATTGCTCAGAATTTTCACTTTGGCCTCAGCAAAGTGTTTTTCTGTGTACGTAATGAGTTCTTTCGAGAAAGATGGCAAAACGTGTGGAAGAGCTTCGACGAGGGTAATTTTGATCTTTGGTGCCAGCTCTGGGTACCAGTCCGCCTAGTAACTTTCAAGTGAGATCCAACGCCAAGAGACTGAGTCTACGCAACATGTGCTGCGTACCAAGTCTTCCTTCAAAAAGTCGTAAAGTTCCGCTGCATACTCAACGCCTGTCGGTCCGCCGCCAACAACCACCATATGCAAGAGCCGATCGACCTCACTTTCCACTTGTCCTGGAAACGCAGCCGTTTCCAGGCAATCCATCAATCTTGTACGGATTTTCTTCGCATCCCTGATAGCCGCCCATGTTTAGTATGCCGATTACATTCTGTCCCAAAACTCATCGCACACACCAGGCTTCCTTCAAGAAACACGAGTATTCGCGCACCCCTGGAATACCAAAAGTCGCGTTCTCTGCGCCGCATGCGACAACTAAATAGTCGTACGGAATCTTTTGACTTGAAACTTCCCCGACGATTTCGGAATTGTCTTAATGATATGTGTCATCAGATCGTTGCAGTGGTTCCCCCTCATATGACAAAAACACCGACCTTCCACTGTCAACACCTTGTTCTCTACATCAATTTGATTGCAACCACCTTCCACAAACGCAATTTGACGGGGTTTGAATCGGGTGATATAACGCATGGGCATCATGATACTACGTAGTTCCACTGTTCCCACTGTACAGCTACGCACACAATTCAGTAACGCTACCGACGAAACGTCGAGTGAAATCCCGCAGAAAATGACCCACCTAGGCAGAAGAGGTGTGAACAGGAAATAGTTTCTAGGACTGACCACAACCACATTGTAGTTTTCGGTATCCAAGTCCTTAATGAGCGAGGTTGCTGCCCACCCGGAACCTAAAATGGCAATGGTCTTTTTGGAGTGGTCCCACGTGAATTGCTTTGGCGGGTGACGGGCATTGTAGACCTCTTCATTGTCCCAAACATGAACAAAAATCAATAACACTTCTTCCGCTTCTTCTTTATCAGCAGAGACATACCATAAGTAAACAAACCCGCTCCAACTGCAACCACACTCAAGATGACTTTCCCGCCATACCGCCTCAGGAAGGACTTCTTTATCGTCGGTTGTCCTCCAGGTACCGCAGTGGCCATTTCGCGTCGCGCGTGGGCGGTCGCAACCGTCCGAAGCGGTATGCTAAGACCTAACAACATACCAAGAAAATGGTTGGCTGAATGAAGCTCTGTCGATCCTCCGACTATTTGGCTGTTGGACCATCCGCTCCGCTGTGCATAGTGAAATAACACCTGCTCTACCTAATCCGCCAATGCCTAACCTTCCCAACGCACCTCTCATCATCCGTAACCCTATATCCGCGTTCATGGTGTGAACACGCTTTACGATGGACAAGTTGCTACCCAAGATGCGTTTAGGGCAGTGCCGTGTTCCGCCGATTTCCTTGGCTGTTACACAATTACTGAAACGAATGATGCAGGCTTAGTCAGCAATCTAAGCCTTCGTCCGGAAGATCAGCTTGAAGTTGATGATAATCTGCAAAGATTCAAACAACGGACTCACGCCCGGATTAATCCTCGTCAACATCAACAAATAATGGCGGAAAGCAGCGCAATATCCATGCAGTCAGTGAGCAGTCTAGCATCTTCGTGCGATCATCTGGTATTCAGTTCTTAACGCCCGCAGTCCGCAGTTATATAAAATGTTACAGTTAGATTCTTCCCAGAAAGGGGCAACATCCATATTGATAGATTGCGTGCTCTGAGTTTGCACCTAAATGTTGAAATAAACATTATTTCTACAAGGTTCCCAATCCACATATTTACATGTAACAAAAAGTACGTCAAATCTACGACAATAGGTTATCGGCAACGTCCACTGAAGCGCGGTAACTGTTCCCATCCTGCTCAGATCCGTCCGCAGATGACCAAGTGCCAAAACTTGAGACAGGAGAGAGAGCATCGTAGTGAGCGGATGATCCTCCTCCGTTCTCTGCTGTTCCGCGTAGCGTCGTCAACACGCCCACTATTCTTACCGCAGGGGCAAAGGATCGGGTAAACGCGCGTAATGCTTGTTCATGCACAGCTAATCCACTTTTACATCGTCGAGTAGTAGCTTCATTTCCTTCTATGGATGCAGCTCCCAGTGCCATCACATACACTGAACACAGGGAATTGTGAGCCCGATCATCAGCCGCAAAAAGGAAATATGTATGCTCTTACCCAAAGCCACTTGATATACCCCCATAGTGAAATGCGGTGTAAGTGTGGTCAGTAGCGGGTCGACCATCAATGCTCTCTGTAAGACGGCAGATTCAGAGTCTGCTACTTGCATCGCGTCGTGAATCACCTTGCCCGTCAGTGCGCGTCGATCTAACCCCATGGACGGCAGACCCTCAGCCAATCCATCACCAGAATCCAGTGCAAAATATGCTGCCGAGATCACTTGATCCGCTTTGGATAGCATCGCATTAAGCAACCACTTGCGCAGTATGCCCCGTGCCTGAAGTCCGAGTAGTAATACTGATACCGCAAACCAGAAACTTTGCAAATCTGACGATACCACCTCTGGTAGCTTTGCGGGGCCATGATCTATCGTTACTAGTAACTCGCGCATCGCAGGAGGCAGCGACAAAAACCATGCATCGAGTTCCGCGTCCAGCGCTTGATAGTTAATAACCATCTTCAATCCATGGTCTGTCCGAATAAAGTCCACCACTCGCCCATACAGCACCATCAATGGTCGTAGGTGATTGAAAATGACCTGCTCTCCCCCAAAGGCATTAACGGCCGGGTGCCTTATAACGTCCTCTGGCCATACTGCTGGCCATAGATCATCAGGTATTGAATGTCGGATCCGGTTAGGAACATTGGCGTATATCGATGGTCGATCGAGGGCCATCCAAACCATTCTGTCAAGCAGAGCCCAATTTAGCTGATCCTGCATGTATGTCAGATTGCACGTGCTCTACAAGGAATGCAGTTACCTTTCCAGAATAAGACAGCCTGCCCAAGTTCTCTTTCGAACTTCCTCCTGCATCGGCGAGAATCTGGTCCCCTCTACCATGGCGGTTTCAAGTGCCAAGTAATGTGCCATACGTACGGCCATTCCTAGCAAAGGAGAGGCTCGCAAATTAAGACTTCACAGGCATAAATGATAAAAGTGCTCAACATACCCACGTACTGCCAGGCTGCTGAGATGATGCCTTTCACTACACATTTCACGAGGATGAGACAACATGCCCCAATTTCAATGTAGACAATTAACGAGAGACTGACTTGTAGAGCAGGTCGCCAAAATTAGTAATCCTTGTACCGCACTTAGTGAATGATTATCGTAAAGCTGCGGCACTAATCTCCGTGCCCGTCGATAGTACCGGTCTCCTGCATCAGCACATTGGGCATCTGCGTGTCGGCTCTCCTCCGTATACCGGCTGGCAATGCATTGCATGGCGAGCAAAAGAAACCCTTGCTGACGACGTATTGTGCGGATGAAACTACTACGATGTAGAAAATTGAAGGGGATTTGCGATCCACAATATCTGTCAATAGAATATAAGCTAGCTGATCATGGTCCCGATGTTGTAACATCACACAACCATACTGAAAAAACAAATGGATAAGATGCATCTAAAGTCGGGGTGAGATATAACAGAGAACAGTCAAACAACTTTGAGTCGAAATACAGCTTTAGTTAGGATACCAACCGAGACTTCAGCTCCGTCCACCAACAGGGTATCGGATTCTGGTGGAGTCACTTCGTCTCGAAGTCTACTAGGCGGAGAGGGATTGGATGAATGCGGACCAGTCGCCATTTCCGGTGACGAAGAGGCATCTTTGACGTTCATTCTTTTATCTTGTGCATTTCCAGGTTTCTTTGTCATATCAACCATGGAGGGAAGAGACAGTTTCGCTTTAGTGGGTGAACGACGCTTTGCAGCGTCTGGGCCGGAAACTTGGTCCGCAAAATAGAAACATCCCGTCTCCGGTGGTCCAAAAACCCGACAAGCCCCGCAGATAGGTCGATCTCCATCGCACTGATCGATAAAGAAGAATGTCAGCGGTTCCTCGCCCCATTCATGGGAAATGAGCAAGGGACATATGTAACATGCTCCGACTATCGAACCTTTCTCTTCCGCTGCCGACACGGTTCACAAGCTTTCCGACGAGTAGCCCCTGCCTTACGCTTTCCAACGGACTGTCCACTCTCATTCCCAACCGATGGGCCAGGGCATTCATTTCGAGCATCGTCAGAGGAGGCATGCACTTTATGCCAAGTATCCGCGTTTGTTGTCATGTGTGATCTGGTGACGATAGTCCCCGGTAACGAGATGCTGCAAGACGAGTCTCGCCTTCCGTCGCTGCAGTGGGTGTGGAATAACAGAGCGTCGGGAACAGTGCATCTCAGGGACCATAAAAATAGGATCCTCGGAGCACCGGCCGGGTTATTATTCGTGGCAAACTTAAATTTAGTAAAATGTGTTTTTCCTTTGATTTTTTACCCTTGTTCCGATCAATGTTAAAGGCGCTTTGGGATCCGCAGTTATATCCTGAACCAACGATCCCAGCCAGAATCCTTTGATGGCAAGCAGTCCTTGGCCAACCCTTGTACACCAGGCTCCAAAGTTAAAGGTTTGTGACAACATTAAGTTTAACAATTATCATGACATGCAAAGGCTTCCCGTACGAAAAGGGTCACAAGGGCTAATCGAGTAATGGATGCCCGGAGCGGCTGAGCTGTCAACGAATTTTTTTTTTGGTCGATTTGGCCCCAGCAGACTTTGTGAATCGTCATTGTTCAAGGGATCATGAGCAGTCTAGCAGCGTAAATTGAACATTACGTCCAATTGCCCTCGGAAATGATGATACAAGTGTGACACTCAAGTGTAGCGGACCATGCTGCCTTTGTCACTCAGATACACACAATCGCAAGCCCTTGGCACTGGACCAGATTTCTTGTAAAATATGTGTGGCGTGGAGGGAGAATCCCTGCCGCTGCGCAAGCACATTTTCAGCCGAGCGGAGCTACCATCTGTCTTGCCAAGGGCTGGCCGTCTGAGCTTTCAAGGTATTGTCGACGTACCGAATCCAGGGACAGGGCAAGATCCAGGTGTTGACTAGGCTATCCAGTAACTGAAGACGGAGTTTAATAGCTACCATTGCAGCACAATAGAGAAACCTGCGGTAGAGCACAAAAATCATTCAAAGCCACGGACTCAGTAATAATTAGCACAATAAACAATGGACTTCTGTATTAATGTTTCCAGAGAAGAAATAGAGTATGTCTACGCCCAATTCGGAGACTAGAGAGGAGGAGTCTGGTCCATTTCAAAGTGGTAACAGAACGTTGACGAACGTCGACCTCATTAGGCTTCCATCGAAGTGGTATCTATTGGCAAGAACCAATTAAACCGTCAGTCAAAAGCTAACACAAAAACGTAGCTAACGACTCGTCCGATACTCACAATCGTACTCAATCGTGGGCAACACGCTTGCGACAAACTTTAAAAACAACATCAGGTACTGGTCCACACGAAGCTCCTTGCCACCTTCCTCGGCCCCGCTGTCGACAAGCCGATCAATGATTTTTTTCATTACATTGGCATGTTTGCAAGGGTGGATGGAGGCCATAGAAACAAGCTCGTGCGGGTGAGGTTCGATTGTAACGGTCTTTTGCGCGTGGTCCTGGGAAATGTCTTCAAATATTTGGCTAGAGGTAAGTGGCCGCCGTTGTTCGTCGTACCCAAACAGCCAGACGCGTGGCGTTTGGTAATATTTGTCATAGGTTATTGAGAGGTCATAAGTTCTAATTCGTGCATATAAGATGAGGCAAGGTGAAGCACACTTTTGACTTGCCAGGCTTGATGCCGGCAGCAAGGGATGGTCTTACCGTGTTTTTAGAATCTTATCATTTGGTCCAGATCCTGTATTGTGGTTCTCGGGTGCTCTTCTTACTTCTGCAGAAGTTGGCAATGCCGCCGGGTCCTCCTCCTCCACCACACCCATCCCATCTTCTTCGTCCATATCTGGGATGTCATCAAAGTCTGGGATTTCCTCAGTCTCTGCATTAACCGCATCCGGAACCGGTGCTGCGGTACCCTTGTGAACGTCATCTATTCGCAAATGTTTCATCTGGTCGTTCACAACCTCCGCATTCACATCATCTTGCTCCCCTTCTTCAATCTCGCCTATCACTAATTGGTCCTCGCCAGCCGCTTTTCCATCTCTATTGGAATGGGTCGCCACCCATCCAAAATCCCCCTCGCCCTCGACTTCCATTTCGTCTTCATTGGCCACCTCGCCATACTCCTTTACACGTTGCAGAGAGGGGACATTACGGGTTATAAGGTATTGCTTATCTGCCGGGAGGTAGTCGCGGCGTTTGGACGGCTCGCCAGCAGCCCACGACCACGTGGGACACTTGTACACCAGGAAATCGCCTGCCAAGATAAATTCTTCGGGAGTTAAAACTCCCGTTTCTTTGAATTTCGATGTTTTGAGTATAGGATTCAGGTACTCGCGAGCAGAGTGAAAGAGTGAGTGAAACGTTGTCGTCATGTTTTGAGGCCCACAGAAGCCGAAGAATTGGTTAGCCTGAAGATGTTCAAATGGTGCCAACGGTCTTTATGAATGTTGAAATAGGTTCAAAAAGCCTAAATGTCCTTAATACAAGCGCAGATCTCTCCGTCAAAGTTGGTATCTGCAATGTATCGTCAGCCATGCTGCTTGGGTCAGTCACCTGAATTAGTGTGGTTGGAATGTATATACCATGTCCATTGCCCATCAGTAATAGGAAAAGATATCGACTACGCTATCGTTCTCGCCTTTGCGAGTTCTTTAAAGTCAGAAGCAATATGTCAAATACGACGACGACAAGACTGGATCGCTGGGCGCTTGTTAATAGGACGATAGGGCCTACGGTGTTCACCACAACTGGACTCTGCATCGAATCAGGCCTTGCTTACGCGGTCCCGGACACGTGAACGCATCGACGGAATAATGGTCACCAACTCGGCCGTCCTGCATGTGTGCTTCTCCTAATCAAAACTTTGGACAACGACAAGACTGGCCAACCTTGATAACAGACGCACTGGACAGTGGTGTTTTGGAGCTCTCCTTGTGGTTAGTAAGATGTCTAGTCGCTTTCTTACTATTTTTACGAGCTCTTACCTTCTGCCAGACGGAGACTTTGTTACGCTTTGCCGTTCCTGGACTGCCTGGGATTTCTAGACTGACCCGTCGTCGAAATAGCTGTTCATAACCGTATTTCAGACTATAGTCCTTGCTTGAGCTCCTACCAGCTTACTGCAAGTCTCCTTGCACCGTCTTGCGGTTCCCGAACCAGCCCCAGGAACTCTCAAAATGTCGATAAAAAAGATGCCGGCACCTGCCATCCGCTCGTTGGCTTGGAAGTACTTTATAGGAGGCTTCCTCTGTCTACCATGGTTATGGTTGGTCAATTTTATCTATGTGTATCCTGAAACAAAGCGAAGAAAAGACTTGGACAAGACGGTTCGGCATTGTACGTTTGTGCATACGAATGCATATGTATTGTGGATTGTCATGTACTGATTTTTATTTTCCCTGCACCTTCCTCTGGTATGGTTATAATGGCCAATCAGTGACGCTTGCATCTCTAGCAGGATCAGTCTTTTTCCTGTGTGCTATTATAGTTTGGCTCTCTGTCTTCCTAACGCAACGAACAAAATGGGGCAATGCCGGAGATCGCATATCGATGAACGTGCCGCTGGGCATGTAAAGGTCGTTGATATTGTACATAGATTGGGGCTGGGATTTGTATTTAATAAGTCAAATATGTGCATACCACTGCAGTGCTACCACCAGTTCTTAGTGTTTTGCTGGGCGTTTTAGCCACGCAAATGATGATATTGCTGTCAGGCATATGATTTATTGATATCGCGCGAGGGCTTCAGATGAAGTCGGAAGTCTCTGGCATTTTCGTGTGGATGGACACAAAATGAAGGGATATACCTTCGATCGGCTTCTTGAAAAATCTCAGGTACACTTAGATACTCTCTTTCATTAAAAGTCGCCCATTGTTTTCCATGACTCCAGGATGAGTGCGCTGGTACAGGCACTTCACTCTCCGGGCAGCGGAGGCCCGTCCATTTGTTACGGGATGCTACCACTGCAATGGGAAAAATGGTGTCATATCTTTCAATTTTATCATATAAGTAGATTACTCTTGGCTCGTATGGTGGTGGTAGTGCCATATGCTTGCTTTTGAGGAGTTGCTGCGTTTCTACTTTGCATACTCTTCGCGAGCAAGCTAGTCAAAAGTCGCCAGCCAAAAGCCGTGCTGACCAAACGTTGATCTCATTTATCCACAAAAGGGTAGATTATGGAGACTTTTGTTGTTTCCGACTCTGCTTTCAACTTTGCGTTTACCTTTTAGCGATCTTCAACAATGCTCCGACAGCTACTTTCCAGAACTTCCACCCGACCTAACGGCGTCACTCGGTATACCTCCTTCCACACATCACGCAATACGCGCGCTTACAACCGTCCTCGTCACCATTCCAACCAGCACATACAACCACCAGAAGACGCTCCACCACGCATCCTCCTCTATATCGTCGGGGGTTATTTTGCTGTTATAAATGCTGGTGCGGTCGGCCTTTTTTGGTATGACAAGAACCAAGCCCTCAAACGTGGGTGGCGTGTGCCAGAAAAGCAGCTGCAGTTGACGGCGTTACTTGGCGGCTGGGTGGGTGGATTATGGGCAATGAAAACGTTCAGGCATAAGACGGTGAAGCAGAGCTTTCAGCAACCTTATCTGGTAAGTATTGTATCTCAGGATTGTGGGATATTTCTTGTATAGCGTCTAAGACTTTCTATCAGTTATGCATGGCAGGCAACATTGTCGCGTGTGTTGGTGGGATCGCGGCTTGGAGATTCAACCCCAGTTTTAGAACGGCAGTAATCAAAAGTTTGGGCCGACAATCTGCTCACATCCGATGAAATTGGACTGGTGGCTATGGAGATTGATAACATATCGGCAGAATACTCGGCAGAGCAATAGTATATTAATAGTGTTAATACAAATTCAACATCGATGAAAGGCATGTCAAATCTGAACCTAGTCTACATCCCGTTGTTGCAGAATATCCATTGCAATGGTGTGCGTTCAGGTTTCTCCAACGCTCAAGTCGCCTTTCATTCGACCAAAATGACATGATGATCGATTGGTTGTACGTTTGCCGCGGGTGCTCCTCCAAAACGAGCAAAAAACATGCATCTCCAGCAAATAGCGAGATAGTCACATACGCCCTGCATATGTACCCAACATGGCACACAGACCCACTACTGCCAATCTTCTGTAATCCCATCCAGAGTCACTCCGGCGGCCACCCGCCATCGCCTTGTATGTCATGTGATGAAATGTAAATGTGCCCAGCTAGTTTTCGCTCTAATACGACAATAGTTTGTTGGGATCCACTAGCTTCCTAGCCATATGTGCGACCTTTATACCGCAACTAGACTGTTCCCAATGTTTCATGACTGCAGATAGCACTTTGAATCGCATGTCGCAATTGGCGCATCGGTAGTCGGCAGGCTCATGCGACACAAGATGACCATTGAGGGCTCTAAGAGTAGAAAACTCACGGTAGCACATGGCACACTCATAAGCGGAGCCGTTCCAACTGCGTTCGGTGGCATACTGAGGTACATCGATATCACTGGGGCCATTCGTAATGCGAGGAACGAGGAGGCTTCCTTGTAAATTGAGCTGCCTTTCCCTTTCTGAAAGCAAGTGATCTCGAGTTAATATGGCATCATAGTCTCCGACCGAAGCTGCGTAACATACTTTGAACAAATTGCTTCACTTGCTTACGTCCGAAGCGCTGCTGGGTACAGACGCCACTCTCAACGTGTCCAGTCAGTGCCGACAAGGTGCTGAAAGACTTGTTGCAGAAGGGGCACACGTTAGTCTTTGGCCTGTGAACACTGCTTTGCTGATGCTGAACGCGAGAGTGGACGCTGCCAAAGAGTTGTCCACAAATGGAACAATGCAGTTCGACATGATCTTCCAGGTCGGACGCATATGAATACTGTTTATCGCAGTACCGACAAACATGGGTGTGTTTGTCCTGTCTGTGGTTCTGCAGGGCTCGGGAAGAATTGAACGTACGATTGCAATCGTTGCAAGGGAAGGTGTGCACGGTATTCCAGTGCTGCTCACGAGCGCGCCAGTCTACAAAGTACCGGCCACATTTCTCACAGTATCTATCGTCGTCGTCATCCTCTGAGGAAGAGTAAGAGTAGTAACTCATTGACGTTGACGGTGCCGCAAATTCCTTGCTCGCCGAGCGAATGAGTCATGGTCCTCAAACCACATTATATCACGTGCTATGGTTCTGTCACCACTCGAATGCAGAGTCAAATCGAGCATTGGATCTGCAACTGAAAGCAACTGGACGTACGTAACAACGGAAGCAGCAGTCGTGCGGGGAGGACGACCAACGGCGACAAAGTTCTTTGGAAAACTACGAGCAAACTTGCTGGGACTACTACTCGTTGGGTTCTGTGCGGCACGTCTCCCAAAAGCCACGGCTTACCGTGACATTCTCTTGTCATCCCATCACGTTTCTCCCCTGTGATCTCGCTATCCACAATGAGCTTTGGTCTAGGTTCAACCGTAGCTGCGACCCAAAATAAGGACGTAGAGGTAAATATTAATATCTAATAGGCGCGTGTACGCTTCCCAATAGAGTGCTCACTATTTTTTTTTTGCAGCTCCCACAACCGCCGAGTGATAGTGTGTCCGAGCTTTCCTTTTCTCCCAAGGCCAACTATATTGCCGCTAGTGCCTGGGATAATCAAACCCGGATCTGGGAGATTGGACCAAATGGTCAGAGTATACCTAAAGCTGCAATACAGCATGAGGCGCCAGCTCTTTGTGTGGATTGGTCACTGGTAGGTTCTCAAGATTGGTTTCTTGATGGAACCCGTTGCGGCTAGCATGACCTGGCCTGATCTTGCACTATGGCTAATTTTTGTGACGCGTAGGACGGCACCAAAGTGCTTTCAGGAGGGTGTGATAAAGCTGGTCGTATGCTAGATGTCACCACTGGACAACAGGCCCAGGTAGCCGTTCACGATGCACCTATTCGAAGCTGTCGATTTGTCGAGGGTCCGGGCAATGCTCAGTTGGCTGTCACAGGTAGTTGGGACAAAACAGTTCGGGTACGTATGTTGGTAAATTGTTATTTTGACGAGAAGCCTCTAATAACAGTGCGATCTCAACCTCCATGATGTTGTTTTGGGGCAATAGTTTTGGGATCTCAGGCAACAAAATCCAGTACATGTCTATCAATTGGGGGAGCGGTGCTACGTGATGGATTCATCAGGTCCTTTGTTGGTGATTGGCTCGGCGGACCGAAAACTGCACGTGTTTGACATGAACAATCCCTCGACGCCTTTCAGAGTAAGAGCCCCTCGTTCGTACGCACGATCGCTTGAATGACTCTGGAGATGCTAATGGATGTCTTTTCCAGGTGATTGATTCTCCATTAAAATTCCAGACTAGAAGTATTGGATGCTTCACAGTCTCATCGAGTCCAGGGTTCTGCGTTGGGTCCATTGAAGGAAGATGTCAAATTCAATATATTGAAGAGAAGCAATTGTAAGTGGCCGAGTGATCTTGTACCTGTAGTAAATCTCCATGAACTATTTACTTATGCCGCCCTCTGCGCAGGAGTTCCTCCTTCTCATTCAAATGTCACAGAGTAGACAAAGAAGTGTACAGCCTCAACGCCATATCCTTCCATCCTACCTTTGGCACGTTTTCTACCGCCGGATCAGACGGAACCATTAACTTTTGGGATAAGGAGTCAAAGCAAAGGTTGAAAGCGTTCCCGTCTGTAGGATTCCCCATCACCAGCACTGCGTTCAATGCTGACGGTAGCATTTTCGCGTATTCCATCGGTTATGATTGGCATAAGGGATATCAGGAGCACCGCCCGGGGAGCAAGGTTGCTATTATGCTTCAGTCGGTGAATCCAAATGACATAAAGCCAAAACCCGCTGGTATAAAAACCAAACGGTAAACTTGGGAAAGGGATGAGCGACGAGATGGAACTTTCATTACGGCAAATATGTATTGTATGGAAAGAACTATGTACAGAAACCGGTAGAATATTGCGGTGGACAAAATGATTGCGTGTACAATGCTTTAAATTGCGTTGCCGCTTGACCTTTTTGTTTTTTTACCTCGCAAATGCATCACTTTCAACCCCAATACCACCACCACCACCACCAGAAATTTTCGTCGATACCCGATCGCCTTTTTTCTGCTGGTGTTGTTTCTTTGCCTCATAGTATTTTTTCTTTAGATCTTGCAGGTTCCTGTTGAGTACCTCTATCTGGTACTTGTATTCGTTGACTTGAGAGTGGTACATGTTTAGCTCCGATGCTAGGGCCTTGGATATTTTTTTGTTAGATTATTGTGAATAGATTTTGATACAGACAGCACACATGTAGGTATATTTACCTTTGATTCCCGAACTTTGGTCCTAACTGCCTCTCTGACTACTCGCAACTCTTCCGCGACTTCCGGCCCAGGCTGTCTCTGCAACACTTCCTTGATCTCTTTGTACAGTTTTTCTTTTTGATGTATAATCAACTCTTTTTCCACCACCTGCTCCGTTTTGGCCAACAACCGCTTCTGGAGGGTTTGAATTTTCGTGACGAGTTCAAATGTGGAGGGATCTGATCCGGCCAGTTTCCGCCATCGATGAATGTTGAGTGGGGACGCCAATTCCTCTTCAAGAATCTTGACACGGGTACGTTCCCGGAGGACGTCACGTTGAAGTCTAAAGATTTCTGAACGAAGTCCGTCGAGATTTTGGGTTTCGACTTGTAGTATGGCCTTTTCGCGACGGAGTTTTTTGATTTCGAGTTTGCAGACTCGGATGTCTTGCAGGCGTTCACGGTATTGAAGTTCGCCTTTGTGGAGGGTTGAGGTTTGGATTTTGATTTTTTCATAAAGAAGGGAGAGTTCATCGTTCCGACGGATGAGTTGGGTACCCAGAATGTCTCGCTCTTGGATGAGGGTTTCATAGTCTTTCTTTTGGCGGAGTCGGTCAGCATCCGCTGTTGATATAATGTGACGGAGTTTGTTTTCTTCGGATTGCTATGGTCGTTCGGGTGCATGAGGACATGGGGAGTAAAGTGCGCTCAATGAGATGATGGTTTACCTGGTTTTGGATCATTTGCTGGGCATCTTCATATTGTTGTTGAAGCTTGCCAATTTGGACTGATAGTGCCTCCTTCTCTTTTTCCAGTTTGGAGTGCTCAAAGTGTTCTTTAACGAGTGCTGGTTTATTGTACAGGTGTTAGCCAATTCAACTAAAACTCATCAGCGTTCTCATCCATGTGTGGTAAAGATGCTCACCAGCTTCTTTATTGGCAATCTCCTCTTTGAGCTGCTCGATCTGGTGTGTCATGATCTTGAGTTTTCGCTTCATTTCGGTGATTTCGTCTTGGGTCTCCACAAGGTTTTTGGAGTAAAGATTACGGTCCGCCCGAACGTTTTCGTAAAGCGTCTAGATTTGGTATTTCAATTAGTATGTGAATACCCACAATCTTGTCAATCCACAAGTCTTGCAAACCTGCTGTTCCTTCAATTTCCGTTCCAAGTCTCCAATCTTCTTTCGACAATCAAATAGCATCATCTCCCCAATTTTGACTTCTTCCTCCTTGCCCACCAGTTCCAAGCGAACTTTGCCAGCCTCATTGATATGTCTATCCCGATCTTTTTCCAGGGAGTAAATGAGTTTGCGCATCTTGGCGGCTTCGTCCTTGTATCCCATGATTTCTTGTTCAAGATTCCGTTTGGTCTGATCGGCGAGCTTGACGATGGTGACTTGTTTTTGGGTTGCCCCCGTGGCCTTTACGAAGTTCTTTTGCGCAATGTCACGTTCGCGGCTGAGAGAGTCGAGAGTTTTGTGGAGTTGGTCTAGGTCACGGCGGGCTGCTTCGAGGTCGTGAGAGAGGCCGTGATTGGCACCCTGTTGAAAGCCAGGGTGTGTGAGGTTTTTAATATTTTTCATCAGAAGAGCGCTCGATAGAACGTACCTTTAATTGATCTCGTTCGACTTCAGCTTCCAATTTCGCTTCCTCAATAGCCTTGATCCTCTTTTGCAGCGCATCCCGAACCCTCGCCACGCTTCGATACTCCTCCTTGTACTTTGTCAATTCCTCTTCCCAGCTCTTAATCTCCCCTGTCTGCTGCTGATTCTCACTCAAAAGTCGTGTGGTTGTCAAAACTTGCTCATCATACTCCTGCTGTAACCGGCCCAATCGTGCATTCATGTTTTCCTTGTCCTTTTCGCCCTTTTCGATCTTGGTGCGCTCCTCCTTGAGTGCCACTTCCAACTTTTGAATGGTTTCACGGAGCGCTTTGAGCTCGCCAACTTTGGTCGCCACGAGATCATCTTTTTTGCTGCACGTATCGACTGTTTGCTTGAGAACAAGTTCCAGTTTTTCTCGGGCACGGGCTTCGCGGTCTAGTTCAGATTTCTTTGTCGCGAGGAGGTCTTTGAGGGTGAGGAGTTCATGGTCGAGGGTGCCGCGCTCAGATACAAGGCGCTCGACTTTTGTTTGCAGGTCATCGTTCTCAGTGCGGACGTGCTGCGTTTCGGCTATGGTATCTTCATATTGCTTTTGTAGAGCCTCTTTAGCCTTTTGGCATTTATTGAAAGAGAAAAGGTATCCTTTGTTTACATTCTATTCTCATGCCGCACAACATCATAAGGCCAAACGTTACCTCTGTTAATTGCCGAATCTGTTCATCTTGCTGAATCTGAATTTCAATCAACTTGTCTCTTCCAAAATTGCTGTAGCCAGCTGCACCAGGCAATCCACCCGCCCCCGATGTCTCTGCCATCTGCTTTCTCAACTGTTCCACCTCCGTTTTCAAATTTGCAATCGCATTCTTTGCTCTGTTTTCCTTCTCGGTGGAAACTTCAACCATTTTCCAGGCCTTTCGAACCTCTTTTTTGAGCGCGGTGATCTGGCTCCGATCATTCTGACTGAGTTTAAGAGCGGCCTGGACTTTGGCTGCATTAGAAGAGAGTTCGGACGCAAGGTCTTTGCATTTCTTTACGAGAGACTTTTCGTTTTTCCGAGACTGGAGGAAAAGCTTGTGGAGCTTGTCATATTCGTTTCTTAGCCGGAGAAAGTTGGGATCTGCACCGGGCTGGCCGGGTATGGAAGGCTGGGCGGAAATAAAATCAAGGGTATTTTGGAGCTCGGCCATCATGGCGGATTCGGCTTCGGTTTCGACGGGTTGGGATTCGTCTTCCGTGGTAGTTGGTTGTGCAGGTGGGAAGGTATCTGACGAATCCTCGAGTTCCCCGGTTTTTTGAATGACTTCATCGCCGGCATTCTTGGATGTGTCAATGATCGATCCCAGAATGGATCGAGCAGTTTCGGTTCTCTGTTCTTCATCTTCTTCCTCCTGATCCACTTCACTTTCAAGATCTTGTTCGCTTAGAGGCTGGTCGTCGTCATCGCCATCTTCGCCCTCACCGGGAGCATCGGTCTCTTGGACTGCATGGAGGGATTCTGTTGTTGAGGGCTCATGCTCCTCGGTTACACCTACGTTCAACGATTCACTTTCTTCTTCCCCCACTTCATCGTCAAAATGATCCGACATTTGTAGTGTATTTTGGGCACTCCTTGTGTATGTAGCGAGTTAAAATCCTAGTGTGCACCCAGATTTCCAAATCCGATTATCTAATCCAGGGCAAATGATCCCAAGCACCAGACATGCTCTATCTCCGTCGGATATATTGGAAAGGGGATTTAAAGGAATATGGTTTTACTCAGATCCTGGTTTAGATTGATTGCAAGTAAGTTTGGTATAGCTTGAGGAGAAAATGGTCCAGTCTGGCTGACGGAATCAGCGACTCCGACCGACGCGGCTTTTTTACCCAACGACACACAGATCAGAGATTTACAAAATGAACAAGAACGCTGTAGAGCCAATTCCAAAAGCCACAGGGTATATTCAAAAGACGGAAAGAAACTAAAGATATGATACATACATAATTTATACAGACAACTCCACAACACTACATGCACCCAGGTTGCGACAACCAAATCCTAAAATCATCTGGGTTTGAAAAATATCCGTGCCAGATAAAACAGAAATGATGAAACAAGATCTATAGGAAGACTACATGAAAAGATGAAGGAAGACGGCATCAATCAGAGCTTAGCGCCTTCTTTTAGAGGATGATCCTCGCCGCGTTGAGGACCGTCTGGGTCCCGCTGCCGATTGCACCTCCCCGCCCGATTTCAACCTCGCTTGCAAATACCACGGCAGCTTCATTTCCTCATCAGGATGCGCATTAATTCGATGTCGATTGCAATCGTATTTACGTGCAAATGTCTCGTGACACCATCGACAATGGAACGGTTTGAGTCCCTCGTGGACTTCGCCATAATGTGTTTTGAGGTTATATCGGCGGGCATGGGATGATGGACATTGCCGCCATGGACAATGGAAGCGTTTGTCTCTTCCTTCGGGAAGTTTAATGATGTTGTTTGTGCGTTCATGTTTGGGGAGGGCTGAGGAGAAGAGCTGTTGTAGCTTTGGTATCGTGATGCTGTTTGAGTACATTGCGTTGAGGTCAATGTGATCCGGGTCGATGATGGAATCAGATTCGTTGTCATAGGAGGGTATGCGTGGGGAAAAGGTATCAATGCTCGTGGGTGCTGGTGAGGGAAGACTGCTGGATGACGTGTCGCTGTAAGAAGGCCTCCTTTGAGTTGCAGTGAAATGGCGTTCTGGTGTTGAATGGACGGGCGTCGATGGTGCTGGTGAGAGTGGTTGCACGTTTATTCCTTTATCAGTTGCGTGCCCGATGAGGATGGATGGTGTCCGCTCCAGTACGGGTGTGGAAGGTTCGAGTTTTAGGATGGGACTGTCCCAAGAGGTGAATTGATTCTGGAGATCCTCAAGGGGCTGTATGAGCGGTGTCTGATCGGGCTCTTGCTTCAGTGTCCCTTGCAGTGTTCCTTGCTGTTGCTCTAGCTGTTGCATGGCACTCTCTTCTTGCTGCTGGTAGAGCGAGGCAAAGAGAGCGTCAACGTCCGCGGGATCAGGGTCCATTGGCAAGTGAGGCGAGCCAAATGCACTCTCCATTGTCGGGCTGGTGTCAGAAGTAAGAGCGGGAGGCGACGTGGCAGTCAAGAGCTCCTGAAGCGGGTCCGTTGGAGTAGGCGCACCGATATCCCAGTGTTGCACGTTGTCCACACCAAAGCTTTGAGGATCGAGAAATGTATCCCACTGCGAGAAATTATCCGCCGTGGCTGCGGGAGCATATGCATCAGGTATGTGAGAAGGGAACGACATGATCCAGTCCTGCAAGTAAAGAGGATCGAGCGACGACCACTGGGGATCCGTTGCAGTGAGCGGGATGCCCGCAACGTTTCCTTCTTGCAATATCTTTTGGGTCGGGAGGTAGTCTCCTGCACTCGGATTCTCCAGCTCGAGATCCGGATCACCGGTGGAAGTATCTGGGTCAAACAAGACAAAGTCGGCGTTTCCGTTGTTCATTGTATGTTATGCAAAAAAAAAAAGTGTTGTTGTGGTGGTGGTTGATGGTGGTGGTGGATGAAAAGACAAATTAAAAAAATAGGAAGAACGAGGAAAACTGCTGCTGCTGCAAGTCCTTTATATCCTTTGAAATTCCCAATTTTTTTTTACTAAAACCAAACCCTTTTCCCAAGTATAAATGCAAACTTCCGAAAATAACAAATCCCTTTTTCCTTCCATTCCTCCTCCACACATCGAACATTTCCTTTAAAATACGTGGCCATTCGTTAATGGGGGGGAGCAAGTCACGTATTGGAAATGTCATCGGTCTTTTGATGACACATCCACATGCGCCACGCTTTGCCACGCGATTTGTCATGCGGGTGACACCCAGAAGGGACGTGCGGAAGAGGCTTGACGCTTCTTGGCTTGACCAGATGTTTCTGTCGGTTTTTTTTATAAACGGATAAGGTTTTGGCCCACCCCCGGCTCTTTCGTCGGAGCATCTCATTTGGGGATGCAACTGTCGGAAGATCCGCAACCGATCGGCTTTCCATAACAGAGTTTGCATGAATCAGCCTTGCCCGAGCATCGCTACGATACAAAATTCCTTCAGGTAACGGACTTGCGGAAGAGGCTTGACGAGATGATTCTGTGTTTTTTTTTATAAAGGATAAGGTTTTGGCCCACCCCCGGCTCTTTCGTCGGAGCATCCTACTTGGGGTGCAGCCGTCGGAAGATCCGCAACCGATCGGATTTTCATAACAGAGTTTGCATGAATCAGCCTTGGCCGAGCAATGCTACGATACAAAATTCCTTCAGGTAAAGGGGCGCTACAGAAAAAGGGCTGGGCGCTAGTAGAATGGCCCGGGCGCTCACAAAAGGTCCTCACCGCCTCTTCCTTTCACCAATCCTACGTGGCAATGTTCGTATGGAAATTTCCAACGTATTCCTAGTGTCTGCTGTCCATTGGGGGCTTTGCCAAGAAAAGTCCGTCTCCACAATTTCATGATGAGACATGACGACGTTCGTGTCACATGACTGCGCGTGAAAGCGTGACTCATGCTTTGCATCCCAGGGCATTCCTTTGGGAAATATCGCAAGACACAAATCTCTCGATCTAGACCATGGTGCCTTTAGAAATCACTCCGTTGAATAATGCAGGTGGGCACGCTTTATCCCACAGTGTCTCATTTAGGATGGATAACAGCCTGACCCATTCTGTCTATGGGTGTACAGACTGGAAGCCGCAGGCTCGGCTTGACAAGCTTCAGCAGCAACATCCAAATGCCTCCCTTCCCGTCTTGGTCATAATGGTAGGTCGTTAGGGTAACCATGCACCGTGAAAGGAACTTCCTCCCATTACCCGCTGACACTATATGTTCCGCATTCTAGGCCTTGCTGGACATTATGAAAGACAGTAAAGGTTGGTGGAGGATGGAACTTTTTGGAATTGTGTCTGGTTCGCTCAACCGGAAACTTGGACACAACCAGCCTCTTCTACATTCGAGTTTCTGGAACATGCGAAAGCAGCCACCACTGCTTTCAAGCAGCTGCCCGAAAAGAATGCCTCCATGATCGCGGGCGCGGACCTGTTTCTTCACCCGTTAAAGACACACTCGGAACACATTCGAGTACGTAAGTTCCGATGCACCCTTTGACAACCGTACCTGACTCGAGATCTGTGATAGGACGTTGAGGATTGGAAAAAGAGCATCTTTGCTCTTTTCGAAAAACGCTTAGCAGAGTACGCCAAGTTTAGGGAAAGGGCCGCAGACAAAGGGCTCCAATTTATCAAGGATGATGCTGTGAGTAATGATCCCATCTCGTGTTCCACGAGTGTCTGAAAAAGGAGCTGATGGCTGGAACTAGGTTATTTTGGTGCACTCATATTCCCGCGCTGTGATGATGCTACTGCAAAAAGCCCGGCAAGGGAATAAGCGATTTAAAGTGTTTGTCACGGAAACGAGGCCAACGACAAGTGGGTAAGCAATTCTTGCATCAAGATATTAGCGGTTGAGGTGTGCATAATTAAAAAGTACCACAGTACGAAGGCCGCGGTGGAATTGAGGGCAGCAAATATTCCAGCAGAATTAATTTTGGATGCTGCCGTGGGATCCGTAATCGACCGAGTTGATATGGTTATTGTTGGTGCTGAGGGCGTTGTCCAGAATGGTGGCGTTATCAACCAGGTATGTATGTTGTGCAAGTTACTGCCCCTTTTCCGTCCGCGATCTCACGACAGATGTCCCTGTAGATTGGAACGTACCAAATCGCAGTTGTGGCAAAGGCAGCCAACAAGCCCTTTTATGCAGTGACCGAGCAGTACGTTGGAAAGGAAAGAGCACTAGGTACTAGGATGTCCAACACTAACACGGCTTTGCTCAGATACAAGTTTGTCCGTCTCTTTCCACTAAATCAAGAAGACCTTCCCATTGCGTCACCGCCATACTTTGCCAGCTCGGAGGACAGAAATACAATAGTGGTATGTGAAATATTGTTATATGTGGAAATGTTGCCCGACTGACGCTGTCCGTTAGGCGAAAAATCCACAAATAGATTACACCCCGCCACGGTATATCAGCCTTTTGTTTACAAACATCGGCGTCCTCACACCATCTGCTGTCAGCGAGGAGCTTGTAAAGTTTTACATGTCATGATTATCAATTGTACATTAATTTATCATATGCGCTTCTCTGAGTATTCTGGTCGTTTTGCCCGTTATTCAAAACCTTTGCTGATTTAACTGAGATCAACGCGTAATCAAAAGACAGCAGTCGTGAGTCATGGCAGCCATGGTAACGCCTTGACAAACTCGGGGTTTCGCGGTCTTTCAACCAGCTTCGCTGTGCTTCCCTGTCGTTCCCTTCAATTCACACCATGCTCTTCCGCGCCGCCTCCCGCTATGCATGCTCCCTTCGGCCCATGATGGCTATTGCCGCACGGGCGCAAGTCCCCCGTGCGCGAGCTTTCACAGTCACCCCTTTCGCTCGCATGAGCCAAGGAGTTGTGGATCGCGATCTTGAACAAAAGCTCGTAGAGGAACTCAAGTACGAGAAGGAACAAGTACAAGGTGAAGAGGTCCCGAGTTTCCTCAAAGAGTTCCAGAACAAGGGGATCTGGAAGGTGGAAGACAAGCCGGGAGAGAAGGAGATTTCATTGTCGAGAACTTTTGGCAACGAAAAGTATGTTTCAAGTCTTTTACGTTATCCTTACTTGTGGTAAGCAGAGGTTGATCCATTTGGGATTTTCAGGATCACATTGTTGTTCAGCACCGACGCGCTAGTTGAGGCTCAAGAGTTTGACGAGGGAGCTTCGGAAGAGGTACGACTGTCATTTCTGTGTATTGACCTTGTGGGCAAAAGCTGATGCGCGCACTGATCAAATAGGAGGAACGCACATTGCCAGTAAATCTTTCGGTGATCATTCAAAAGCAGGTAGGTGTCGAACCATATGGTGGATGTGCTCTCTACGCAATCTTCCTGATAATTTTGGCTCTAGTCCGGATCCACAGATCATGGTGCCCTAGACATCTCCGCCACCGCCCAAGACGGCTCATTTTTCATTGAAAGCGTTGCTTACAGCCCCTCTTCCTTCCTCGTCGTCGACCAAACTGCTGAAGGTGACTGGCAACGACGCGGCAGATTCGGCGGCCCCGTTTTCGCCGACCTGGATGACTCCCTCCAAGAATTGTTCCACAACTACCTGGAGGAGCGTGGATTGGATGAGAGCCTTGCTTCTTTTATTCCGCAGTATGTGGAACACAAGGAGCAGAAGGAGTACACTAGCTGGTTGGACAATGTCGCAAAGTTTGTTAAGCAATAGAAATGGGCCATAATCGCATATCGAATAGGATTTTCACATTTGTGCTTTTTTGCATTATAATATCGTGATGCTAGTGTGGTTTTGCACACAAAAGACTGTGTTTATCACAAGCAAATGGCGTAAGCAGATCGAAGCCACGACTGAGTCAGACAGGTTGCAATTCCGCCTTCCCGATCGTCATGCCCGAAACTTCGCTGTCGAAAGAGGATTGGCTACTATGGATGGTATCAGACTCTGCGCTTCCAACAGGCAAGCTCTCTGCTCACAGTATTACCAGCTCCTCGTATGCCTGGTCTAACGTAACCAGGAGGTTATAGGAGGCTTTGTCGCCTCCGCGGGTCTTGAAGCCGCCGTCCAAGCAGGCCACGTCCGTTCCACCCCCGATGGCTCTTCCCTTGTATCCTTTGTAACAGCTTCCTTACATTCGTACGCTCATTCAGCTGTACCTTATGTACGCGCTGCGTGGCAGGCGTTGGACGAGACGGGCTTAGATGCGGACACGGATTCACTGCCTACGAAGCGAACAGATCGTGTGAAAAATGTGGTACAGAAGCTCCAAGTTCTGGACGAAGAATATGATGGGCTGACGGGTAGCAACCATGTAGCGAGACGTGCATCTAGGTATAGTGCTCCACTCATATTGGATCGAAATATTGAATCCTAAAGGTGGCCATATGAAATGCGCGAATTCAAGAACACAAGGCGCGGCGTTTTTGACGCTGCTTGTTAGAGGATTCCCTGCTGCTCACGGTGTAGATGTGGTTTCTGTGTTCAAGACGGAAGTCAGGGTATGCGTGTGGCTCGGGAGTCGATATTTTGTGTGTGTTTAGTAATTTGTTCTCTCATAGGCTTCACGAACGGCCGGACATTTACCGATTTGCTTTGGCGTAGTCTCCAATTGCCTTGGAATATCTTTAGGTGCGTTCTTGCTTGGTATGAGTTTGTGCCATCATGAAAATTCCTGAATTAAATGCCTGCTATATTTGCATCCTACACAGAACGAACGTCGCATCTCTTCCTCTTTCTTCACGTACGCGCCATCCTTTCTGCCGCGATTAGACTCAACCTCGTCGGCCCATATCAGGGCCAACAGCTCCTCCTCACTCTTCAAAAGTCTGTTGAAAGCGTTTTAAAAAAGCAATGTGAGATAAAATCGGGGGTGGATGAAGAGATTGGGAGAGGAGCCTGGCAGACAGCGCCTGTTGTGGATATTTTGCAGGGTCTACATGATCGACTGTATTCTCGAATGTTTAATAGTTGAGATGTGGACTGGGAGATGATAATGTGAATTGACTGTTTGATGGCTTGGAATACCAAACTCGGTTGATTTTCAGATGTGGCATATGTTAAAAGAATCGACGCTGATACATTCTGAGCAAACCACAACGGTCCTTAGAGGGCGGAGACGGATATCGTTACCTGGCAAAACATCGTAATGGGAAGTCATGCGAGCGCGTGGCTTTTGAATGATCGGAGCTTTTATATTGGCTAGAGAGCAGTGAACGAGATCTACATACCCTAGAGTTTTAACTTGAACGCTCTATAGCTCTTTGACTTTTAAAAAGCAAATGAAGGGAAACATCATCAGAATCGTACTCTCCAAACGATAGAACGTGCAGCATCATATACACACGTCTGCAAGATCAGGGTAGATCACTCCACCATGACCATGCTATTACGCTCAAGATTCTGCGCCAATCTCCGCCTACCCCTCACCCTACCTTCCTCAACTCGCCTCCTCACCACTCCAACATCTCATAATCGTGAACACGGGCATGCCGGAAGAGTATGGTCGTGGGGTATCGGGGTGTGAGTACTTGTCAAAATAAACACATTTTGATATCGAAAGGCGGTAATCGTGCTCCTTTTGGTTTGACAGGGACGGTAAACTGGGACATGGCGATCAGAGTCTGGTGACGTGTCCTAAAATTGTGGACGAGCTGGATGGGTGTCGAGGTATGGCATCTGTAAATGGGGAAATGGGCATGTCAAAGAAGGACGTTTGTGTGAATTGTGACAATTAGTTCAAGCAGTCTCCTGTGGAGCGACGCATTCTGTTGCGCTTTTGAAAGGTGTGAGTAACGGCCAGGTGTTTGCTTGGTATGTTGAGTTTGCGTCTATTTCGCTTGGAAGGTTAACTTGTCGTTTTGGCAACAATGTGGCTCATATATATGATGTTTTCCGCAGGGGCTCCAACTTTTATGGTCAGGTAATGAGCGAGATAGGGCCCATCGATCATTAAGCCTTCTATACCGGCATTTGACACCCAAGTTCCAACACCTTTCAGGCAGGCTACATCCCAGAACATTCGGGATTTTTTGACGAAGACGATGACGATCAAGTTTCGCTTCCCACTCGAGTAAAGGGCGAGCTGACGAACGAGGACGTTGTTGATGTTGCGTGTGGGGACTATCATACCGTTGCGTTGGCGAAAAGTGGTAAAGTCTATACCTGGTATGTACTTGCGCCATTCTCGTTCCGATGCAATCCATTTAACTGAACCGATGGGTGTATGATCAATAGGGGAGGAGGTCTTCTTGGAAATGCAAGCGAGCTCAACGACTCCAATCCCCAACCCCTAACTTTCTTTCACGACATTGGACGACGTGTCCTTTCCATATCAGCTCACGGACCCACTACAGCCGTCCTTGCCGTCCCATCCGGGAATCTGACAGCTCCTCTTGAAGTGTATGCATGGGGATACATTGCTGCCCCCAACGGCACGTTGCTAAAAGCCACCAGCCCCGTGTTGCTCGCAGGGGCGTTAAAGTCGCGGGTTGAGAGCGTCGTGGCTGGGAGAGGGTGTTTAGGTGTGATAAGTGTAGATGGTCAGAAGCGGACATGTACGGTATTTGGAGTTGGGGGAGGACGAGCGCCGAGAGATTTATTTGTAGAGCAAAAATCGGAGAACGTTGTGGACATTTTGGAGGGGCAACAGAGCGGGGTGGTGCATTGGGGAACTGGAATGAAGAAGATTGCTTTTGGGGATGGTGAGTTTTTCTTTTCCACACTGGCTTTCCGCGCATTCCTTAAACCTGACTTTTGCCTATGATGCATCAGACTTTGGCTTGCTATTACAAGGTATGGGAAGCCTAGAACGTTGAGTCCACGTCAGTCCACATAGCAGCTCACAAATTCTCTCCACACAGAGAATGGTACCCTCAACACCCTTCGCCTCTCAAGCACCGCAACTGTATCAGATCCCGAACCGCTGCAACTAACCAACATTATCGACATGTCCATCGGACCACAGGCAGTCGTCTGTCTTGATTCTGCAGGCCAGATATTTGCCTGGGGCGATGAGTTCTTGTTTTCCCAATCTAAACAAGACGAACCAAAGAGCTGGTGGGAAATTTGGCGAGATCGGGGACAAGAGCAGCATAAAGAACAAGTTCAGAAAAAGTCGTTAATTGACAAGATTGTGACGGAGGAGCCGAGACGAGTTGGGGTTTGTCAAGGGGCGCGGGGTGTTGCGGTTGGCTGGGATCACTTTTTGTGTCGTGGATTGGATCAAGCGGGAGACATATGATGGTGCAGTTTGGCAGACTTTTGCAGGTTTCGTAAGTTATTTAGAGCAAGTAGTAATAGAGGGTGAAAAAGATGTGAATTTTGCAACAATATCATGAAATGGTGATTGGAATGTGGTGGTAATGATGCCGAGTCTGTTATAACATCAATAAACACCTGATATACATGATGGAAAGGAAATAAGAATATGTGTTGTTGTACGCATAGGAAAGAAGACATAAAAAAGACATATGAGAATAGTGATATGATAGCGCACAGTTTCTTTGACATATAGGAATATCTCGAGAAAACAATGACAAATGAACGTTCTCCAGTCAAATCCATATGTTAAGAGAACGCCAACACACAATGAAGACAAAAAAAAACAACAGAAAGATTGTACAATACAATGTGTCAGAAGCCCACCAACCCAAAGCTAGATTCCTGCCCGATTTCTCCCAAGGTCCACTAAATGAGCTATATATGAAATATTTACGTTAGGCAGTCGAGGCAGCAGCAGAGACAAGCTCCAAGGGCACTAAACAAAGCCAAAAGGTTAGCAAAATCGAGTAACCTCAATGATAGCCACAAAATAAAAAGACCTACCATCCATAGCAAAGTGAATTATCTTTCTTTTGCGGAGGAGGCTGAGCGATAACAACCGAAGGTCCTGGCTGAGCATAGTAGCCACCTTGAGCGTTTGGATAACCACCTTGCTGAGGGTAACCTCCTCCCGGAGGTTGTTGGCCTGGGTAGCTTGGACTAGGATAGGGGGGTTGATTTGGTGCGCCGTATTGTTGGTAAGGGGGATACGCTCCGCCTTGCTGTGGAGGTGGATAGCCTTTATCTGTACGTTATTGTTTCGCAGTTAGTTTTGCTTCCTTGGGAAATGACGGCCAGATCTCTGCTTACCTTGGGAAGGCTGTTGTCCTTGATTGTAGTAGTAAGGCGGCTGGTCACCCATAGCTGTGTGCTGCGGACGTACGTTGGGAGGGATGAGAGATAAAAGGGAAGGTTGAAGGAATGGTGCGAAAACGACGGACGAGCAAGCCTTTATATCTGAGCGTTGCCCAGCCCAAAAAGCCGCACAGCTGAACTTTCCAACTTGGCGCGGCACAGTCACTTAAGAAACCAGCCTCAGGGCGGCCTCAATGGGATCGCGCCGCTTGCGGCTTTGTTTACTTTGATAGGACCAGCCAGGCCCATCTGCTTGAGGTATAAAGTATATTTACAAAACATTACTATCCATGGCTCTCCCCGTTTGTTTATTAAGCTCTATCCTCGAGTGCATAGCATTGTGCCAGCGCTCGTTGTATGTGTGCTTTTTGCTTTCCAGGCGTGCAGGCATTCCTCGCGCATTGTTGGACTATCCCCAAAGGGTTAGAACTAGAAGCATGAATAGGAAAATGGAGATGGGACTTACGTGATGGGAGTTTGCTCAAGGAAAAGTGCTCAAGGGAGGCGGTACAATCGTAATAGCGGGATATAGGGCGGTAAGTGTTCTCAGAACTTTGGTATGGGTAGCTATCCCTGTCCTTGGATTTGTCGTAGGCTTCTGGATATGAAGGGGGCATTTTGTACGCAGCTTCTTCTTTCCCGCCCCCGTGATCTGCTTTTGCCGTAGACCTGAGATGTGATACTTTTGGTGCGGTGTAGTGACTATAATGCACTTCTATCGTAGTATCTTTGTATTCGCAAGCATCTCCACATCGATAATTCCAGTAGGATGGTTTACTTGTGGGATTGGATGCAGCCATCGCGGTCGTAAGGAGCGTGAGCCCGATCAGCGTTGTTGCATATAGTAGCATATCAGATGTTCTATGAATGTTCTTAATGCGGGGGCATCTCGACTTTTGCTTTTATGACTTTGGGTTCCTCGTTGGCTGAATCCAGCCATAGCCATGTCCAACCACATCGTCTTGTTGAAAGAGTCCGCAGCTGTACCCTCAAAAATGCATATCCTGGGCTTTGATGTGCGGTGAGCCGTACTCAGCCCGCCATCCAAAGTGACGAGGCTGTGGACCTCACAACGCGTCCGAAAGATGTCCGAAAGCGAAGAATCATCAGATGGGTTAGAACAGGATGGGGTTGTCGGGACAGCGAATATATTTAGGGAACTGCGAAGCTCACACCCATGCTTGTTATTGTCAGGCCCCCATATGACATATCAAAGGTTAGTATTACAGTTTGGTATTGCCATGTTTTTCCAAACCCCGTTGGAAATTGAATACTCAAAAATTAAGCAAACCAAAAGGAATAAGAATGGACAAGGTACAAACCTACACAAATACATGCAGACACCATCAACGCTCTTGTTCTCAACCCATTCAAACTCCAGTTATTGTCATATTTCAGTGGTGTTTCTTCCAAACTACTTGGATTAAAACTGTGCAGTTATCGTTTCATACATGCATAATATTCACGGACAAGAGGCCAACTGATAATTAACATTCTCAAGTAGTGTAGAGGTGGCAGAAACTGGCACTAACTACTACACCAGGGAATAAACCGGCGACAACCGGTTCGGAAAAGCCAAGTAATTCCCTCCTTACAACCAACTACTGCTACTAGGCCCAATTACACATGCAATACATTACGGTTGTTCTAACCGGGTAACTAAGCCCACCACACGAGAGAAATCCTACTAAGCCCTTGATTCCGAAATTCTTCAGTCGGAGGATGTTTCAGATACTAAGGTAGATCAGAATAATTAGACTGGGAATACGCGTGGGAAAATACAAAGATAATGCATACCTGCGATCGTTGCAGCATAGTAGTAGCAGCGTTTGCAAGGGGTTATGTTGTTGTCGTTGTCGGGTGGGCGAGGTCCTTGACACCACCACATCTGTATTCTCATGATTCGACCGACAGTCGCGATGAGAAGAGTTGCACAGATGCTTGCGAGTCGAGGATGGGTAAAGAGGAAAGGGGAAAGAGACAGAAGGTCCCCCTTTTATAGACCCTCGGCATGCGCCTCACCGCAGTTTAAAAAAAAAGTTACATTAGCATGCCACACCGCTGCATGCCTCACCGCTTTGGGCGACAGAGGGGGTGCTGATTATGCGATATGACTAACCGGATTAATCCGGATAATAATGAGTTCTAGTGCCATTTTCAATCACCGCCACACTATGTACAAAGTTTTGAGTACTGAATCTCAGTGTAGCTCATTACTTTACACAGTCTTTGACTCTAAGTAAATGATTGTACGCTAGATACTACACAAGCTCCGCTAGCTCAGTTGGTTAGAGCGTGGTGCTAATAACGCCAAGGTCACAGGTTCGACCCCTGTGCGGAGCAGTCGGAAAAGTTTAATCCAAACTTTTTTATCAACGTTCTTGATCGCCTTCCATGCACTCTTTTGTTTATTTGTACACAAATTCTTAAGAACGAATGATTTTTTGACCATCTCGGGTATAACTGACTTCCCGTCGCGGGCATACAATGCCACACGGCTTGTACATCTTGAGAATAAAATGGCAGAAACGCAGAGATCTGCAAACTGCTGTGAGAAAGACTGCCTCGCCGTAGGTGAAGCGCAAGTGGATATCTGTTCAAAAAAGGAACACATTAGATTCAAAGCTCTGTAGACAAACAAAAAAGAAAGAGATTATCTTACGTGATCGAACCCAGTAGCCTTTCCACAGAGCTTGGATTCTGGCCGCGGCACGATGTCTTGTTCGCACCTTTTCCGCGCGAACCCGCCTGTGAAGATAATTTCTCCAGGCACTTTGCAGAATATAGGCACCACGAATGCGAAGTAATTCCGCTCTGAAAATTAGAAATAAATAAATAAATACCAATAGAGTTCCTTGGTGTGAAATTCGGGTCATACCGATGACGGGCAACAGATTCTCCGAGAGCACGCAAACGCTGCCGAAGATCTGGTCGCAAGAGCTGACGCAAAAAGTATCCTGTTTCCAAAAAAAATGTTTAAAAATCCAAAGGAATTCCCATCGAAAAATAGAGATGAGCATACCGCGATAGACTCTTTGAATGGTTGTCGCTGCGTGATGTTTCTGAACGCAATTTAGAATTAAAAGAATATTCAAGCCGATTTTTTGATGGACATGGATGTTCTTACCTCCCGTAATCTGCGTATCTCGGACATTTTCTTGTGTAGAGGTCGCCACCAATGAATAATGGTATTGACCGCCCGATTGAGATCTTGTTCACAAAAAGAATCAGAGGTGTATTTCCAAAAAAAAAAAAAATAAAACTACAAGCGACATTGTTGGGGTGACATACCTTCGATCCTGGCATTGTATTTGGTTGCGATGGGTGAGTTTTTGAACATGTGCCAGTTGCGCCACTTGCGCTGAATAACCGTTGCTGATCGGTGAAGTTCTGGGATAGGTTGCTGGTAGATACAGCCTGGAAGGATACTGCTACTTAATCGCACTGTTCAAGCTGCAATTGAAAATCTTGTACCTACGCAACAATGCTGTCCAAATAAACTTTCGTCGGCGCCAATTCTTTTGGATCTTGGCTGCTGCTTCGTTCTTTAAGGCGCGTAGTCTCTTCAACTTTTTTCTCGCCATCATCTGTATGAGTGTTGCTGCAATGTACTGCTCCTCCCGAATCTTTGCTCGCATTATACGACCGCGGTGTCGTCTCCACGCTGTGATTGGATCAATTCAGTCATATCGTGGTGCAACGCAAATGCTGTCGCAATTCTGCCACGTACCTCGTTGGATTTTGGTGCATGCTAGCGAACGTCGGTAGATGGACGGTGGGAACTGTGAGAAGCTTCGCTGCCCCTCCACGGCCAGGGTGGCTCGGAAGATGTTCTTTTCCAGTGCCTGTGCCGAGCAGACGTTTAGTTTTAAAAGGGCAAGATGGCGATCCTAAGGATATTTCTTCTAACCAGATGCAATTTTTCTTCCTCATCCTGATTGAGCCCTTCTCGCTCAGGACCAACGCTGTCCAAAATACTGACTGCGTCCAACGCTGGAAAGTCCATAAAATATATATGAGTCTCTCGTGTCTCCTTGTCAGATCAGAATACGTTTGCTCTAGTTACCTTTCGGCTGTTGGTGACGCAAATTCTCGTTGCAAGGCTGTGCGTTGACATCGTACGAAAAGGGACGATCGCCAAAGTTGACGCGAATCTGCGGTCGTTCTGTGTACTGGAGCTCGGTGTCGTTGACTACTCAGTACAATGTTAGGGCGGGTGGATGCAGCTTGCAAACCTCCGGAACCTGTTACCTTTTAACGCAAAGGTCGGCACCAGTTCAGACGACCAGATAAGCGATCTAGTGGAGCAAGGTGTTAAACAACCAGTCGATATACTCATCGGGAAAGTGACACTCGCCTCTGGCGTGTCTGTTCCGCCTTGTCAAATGCCGCTGCTCCGATCCCAAAGGCCGGCGGTTGGACCTTCCCGTCCATAACAAGATTAATGTGCCCATCGTAGAGATCAACCAATACGCCCCAGGTTCGGAATCCCATAAAGAACAGTGGATCTTCTTGAATTTCTGCGTACCTTTGACGGGCAAACATGCCAAGGTGAGTAATTCTCTAGAACATAACTAGTGGCAAATGACTGGGACTCACGGGTATTCTTCATCCTTGTAGAAGATATGGCCGGTCGAAGAAAAGCCAAAGCTGTATTCGTCTTGCCCAGGATATCGTGCATGGGCACTCGCCTGGATACGCCTTGCCATGGACAACCCTACACAATGCAAGTCATTATCGTGGCTCATGTCCCCTTACAAAATGCCTGGATGGATGCAGTATTTACCTACTCTCCATGCAGTCTTGTCCGGGGTGGAAAACTCAAAATAAAATCTATGCTCGCGCTGCAAGCGATAATTGATCTGCGCAATGTAACTCAAAGCTGTTCTCGTGTCCAAAATGCTCGAGTCCTCTCCTCCTACGCCAACATCATATCCCAACGCAGCTAGCCGTCTTTTCAGGACGCTTACACCATAGAGCGGATATGCCAGGACTGCTGCTGGCAGCTGATGTGATGGATGAACAGCATCAACGAGTCGAGCCAGTAGCTGCACAAAAGAATACTTTTCACTTTGACCGCGGTAGGTGAGAATCTGGTCCTGCGTTTGTTTCACCATCTCGCGAGCCGTCGGGCGAGCCATGAGTCGTACCTTCCAAACTCCGGCAGTGGCATAGACGCAACCCCAGTCAGCTCGCAGTTCGTCAGCAGGCTGACGTCGGACACCGGCTTCTGAAGAGGTCAATCGGGAGAGATGGAGTTCGAGACGATTTGGATGTACAATTACTGCCGTCGGGACAATCGGTGCGGCGAGAAACATCTACACTTCACGTTGAAGGATATTTGCTTTACTCTACCACAACGCGCTGTAGCTACTCAAAGATTACTCTTTAGCTTACCTGTCTGAGAAAGTACGAAGGTATATCATCGTCGTTGCAAACTTCTCCGGCAATTTTGTCCTTACATAGGCGAACCCAGTTGAATCGCTCAAATGACTGCAATGCTTCCAGGGTGGATTCGGCGATGACATCGCCGAAACGACAAACGACAGCTGGCCTGACGGGAATGACACATGAGAATACAGTTTCCTGTCGCACCAACATCTCAGATTCCAGATGTACCCAGTTTGAAATAGCTGCCGCATCTCTTTTCGTGAAGTCATCCTCCGATTCCAGATAAATTGTGTAAACTCATCTCGGTGCTGCTGTAACGCGGACGACAATTCTAGAGATCCCTCGTAAACTCAATGTCTACCATATTCTTGATGAACGTTTCAAATCTTACCCTTTTCATCCGTCATTTTCTTCATCAGTCGCGATCGCAATATTTGTTTACGAGTACTGAAATTGACAATGGACACCACCGCCTCCATCGCTATTAGGGCCATCTCGTCTTCCTGCTTGGACCTCTCCGTCATTCGCTGCATCAAACCTGTCTCAGCACGACGAACAATAGAACAAAATATACGGATTTTGATGGATATTACCTTTAAGGTATCCAAGTCATGGAGGCCTTTTAATTTTGTCTCCTTTTGAGATTGCGTTGAAATATTTTGTAGTTGAGCGCATATCTTTTAAATTTACACCAACAGTATTAGTTTTTCATAGAGTTTTGAGAACAATAATTGCAAATGTCGATGGAGACCTCTTTGATGGTTTGGAAATCTCTCGTGGTCACTGGTGGGGGCGCTTGCCTTGAGCGCTGACCTTGTCTATTCATTCGTGTTAAACCAAAAAGTGGGTACGGCAACCGACATGTATTTAATTACCTTTGCCGCAAACCTCCCGCTTCAGCTGCATCCGTCGAGTTCATTGCATAGCGTCCTCGTTTATCTCAACTGTGTTGCTAATTCCCTGCTTATCCAAGCATCGCGCTGGTCATGACACGTGCGCAAAGCCACATTAAATAATCAAGATCAAAAATCAACAGCAAAAAGCGCACAGGAAGATTTCACACTTTTCTCCTTTTCACGGCACGGGGTTTAAAAACGCCAAAAGACAAAGGATTTTGACCTTGTTTTCCTTGTCCTTTTTGAAAATGGGCCGCTTGAATTTCTCCAAATTCACGCAATGCCAGCAAAAAGACAAAAGACTAAAAGTGGTAAACAAAACGCATTGCGTACGCCCGTGGATGATTGGATGATTGGTGTCAAAGAAGAAGCACAGAATGTATATTCCATCCCGTACGACCAAACGTATGATGAACATCCAAAGTTGAAATGTACAAAGGATAGGGTTCCCTCCCCCACCGCACTCCAGGTTCATCTCTGTAATTCCTCATATAATGTTGCTTCGCATCCTGAGCCTGGTGCTCATTCTGGCGGTCTTGTTGCCCATTGGCACATTCGCTGCTCCCGCTGCTCAAGAAGAACGTAGGGACTTTCGAGGCTGGATCAACAGCATTGGAGATTCCATTAGAAATATTGTCCGCCCATCTCCCACTAATTCTGCACATGCCACCTCGACCACCACTCCCTCTCGTTCCTCACCTGCTCGACCTTCCGCAAATCCTTTGCTCAGGTCCAACAACAACCTGGCAGCAGCCCATCCATTGAGCTTTGTTCCTTTTCGTGCCGCGGTCGCTGCCAACTCCGAATCAGACGGGGACTTTGACCCAGCGACAGAGATTCCTTCCCTCACATATCTGGAAACTGCCTTTGGTAAATTCGAACGTAAATTTGACGCACTTCCAAAATCTGGCGAAGCTCCCCAATTGCCGTGGACAAGCACATACTGGCCATCAACGTATGATGGTATCAACTACCGGTGGAAGAGCCCAGAAATTGGATCACCCGTCGAGAAATATGCTATTGTAATGTCTCGAGTCCTTTGAATCATTGGAAACTTTTTGCTTACCGTCGGTTTCGTAGGCGTTCAATATCAGCTCTCGTGCTCTCGGCAACCTTGTATCAAAACAGCAAGGCATAGACGCCCCCTGGCATACAAAGCAATGCGTTGGAGATTTCAGCTGCGCTAGCGGTGACCGCTGCGTATCCCGGCGTGGTTCAGATGTCAAACTATGCGTAGCAGATTGGGAGGGTATCTGCGACGGATGGACAGCGGCGTCCATTATGATGCCTGAGCCTAGATGTGCTGTCACATTCAACGGAGTGGTGCGTTTTTGGATATTCTGAATGATTGATTGAGTATAGTGCCGTAACATTTTTGCATACTTTTAGAAATTCAATGTAGCAGACCTCAAGGGACTCATGAGTGCCTTTTTCGCCTCCGATAGCGGAACCCACTACTATAGCATGAGCATGTCTGGAAGGTGCAACGTCTACAACCCCAATACTGACAGGAATGGATATTATTCGGATCCAAACTGTGGCGATGCGACCGCTGGCATGTTCCATATTTTCATAACTAACATGCTGGGACGCTTGCAAAAGTAAGTGAAACTTTCTTTGCTGCTATCTGAAAACATGTTCCTCATGTGCTCTCGTTTCAGGCCTTTTGCCTTTGATAGAGAGACGACCGGTCAGGTCTGGAATCAGCCTGTCCATGGCTACCAAATCATAAAGACCCAGAACTTGGCCCGCTTCTTTGCCCAGACCAGACTCGGCTTTAACTACAAGCTTGACCCGAGTGCTGTCAAGTTCGTTTACGTAGAGCTCGCCGTCAAGTGGATCTCGGAAGTCGAGTACTTTGATGAGATGAACCTCAACTACCGAGACAACATGGCTGCCTTGCAAAAGACCCTGAAAACGACTAGTTATGAATACGTTTTGGAACTCAACGCTGCCGGTGAGATCATTGGTGGCGGATGGGTTAATGCCTCAAAGAACAGGCAGCCCGATTTCATGTGGGTGCCTACTGGCGTCGACAAGAGGGCTAGCGCATTCGGCGCCATCAAATTTACTGACCTCGAGAAGCTATGGGCACAGGCTGTCAACTGCTAGTTCTTTTACAATACCTCATATAAACCGTCCTACTGGTGGATAGAATATGCTAGATTTGTCATACCAAAGATAGAAGGTAGATCTTTCAAAGGTCGATCAAATAATAGAGCTTCTTACCAAGATATATACAGATAACTACAGATAACTACTAGTAGACCTCGATGGGCCAACATTCCCGTATTTAAAATCCCAAAAGGCGACTAAGCTGCTCGTGCATGTCTCTTATCCGCGCCAACGCTTCGTCACATTTATCGTCTCCCATTTCCTCTCGCATCTCGTCAATGGATGCATAACTCGTAGGATCGAATTCGCATATTTCCTGGGTATTTCGTAATGGAATGGTTACAAGCGGTGTAGGTGGTGGCTCGTTCGAACTTTTGCTGTACGAGCGGAGTGTCATCCGACGGGATGATACGGTTGAGACCGAGTCTCTGGAATCCGATGATACTTGTCGGCTAGAGGCAGGAGTTTGAGGGAGGTAGTGGCTGAATGTGGGAGGATGTACCGGCTGATACAGTGAACGTTAGTTTGATTGACAAACGTTGAAAACCTCGAAAAGTAGAGGGACATACTTCAATCTGTTCAAAGTCTCGCAAGGCTGTTCTTCCACCGCGCACTCCTTGACTTGCCTTTGCACCATTACCACTTCCCTTGTTCATCGACTTCAAAAAGTTGTTCAAATCTCCTCCGTACTTGACACAAAAAGTCTCCACGGTCATATTTCGAACTTCCATCGGGAGCATGGTCCAAGCTTCTTCACAGTGAAAGAACAAGGATTCTTCCAGACGGGCAGTCTCATCTTCGTACTTTCGGCGTTTGTCTTCCACTGTAGCAGAACTTTAGTACCCGGATATTACCGTTCACGATGTTCAAAAGACCTCACATTCGATCTGGAGATTATTTATCAACAAGCGTTTATAGGCAGCGGAGAACCTGTTTTCAGCTGGAGACGCCTCTGTTCGTGTCATGCTTATGCCGGTTGATGTTGACACTCAAGAAGCGTTTTATCAAGCCTCCAAGGAAGCGAGAGCAGGAGGATGGCTTTTTGCTCTCGCGAAATGGCACCCACCCTGGTTGTGCAAGTCGCAACACTCAAGTCCGAAGTCACGTGGAACCGCGCTCGATTGGGCTCCGCGCGCCAAGCTCACTGTTTACATTTGCATTTTGGACCAGCCGGTCGTCGATCTTAACAGCATTTCAAAAGCAGGCAGATAGAACTTTTCGCCACCGGTCCGCATTCCCCGTTGTATTTCAGGATTCGATACGGAACAGGAACTTCCACGAGTGAGGTCGGCCTCTGAAGACCTGCTATCACCTGCCATTCCAGCAGTTTCTGCCTGGAGCACACACCCGTCATACTCGCCGTTTTCTACTGCAATCCCGAATACAAGATGATGGACTTTATATTTGGCTCCCGGAAAACCCCGGCAGAGCTTCTTCGACAGCACCAACGTGCTCTCAATAGGGCGCAACGCGACCTTGACCGCGAGCGCTCGAAACTAGAGCAGCAGGAAAAGAAGCTTATTGTGGACATTAAGAAAGCTGCTAGGGCCAATCAAATGGTGAGTTTAGGGTGCGGGAGTACTTTTGGACTTGGGATAAGTGTAGAATGTATGACAGTGCCACGCCAACTGACACTATCCACTGGTCTAGAATGCATGCAAAATCATGGCAAAGGACCTGGTCCGAACACGCCGGTACATTCAAAAGTTCTACCAAATGCGAACACAACTACAGGCAGTTGGATTACGGATACAGGTGAGATTTGACCTGGCACATGAATCTTCAAGTATTGACACCCGTCATCACAGACACTCCGTTCAAACCAACAAATGGCGGAAGCTATGCGTGGCGTAACCAAAGCTATGCGTTCCATGAATAAACAAATCAACCTTCCAGGCATCCAAAAAATCATGATGGAGTTTGAGCGTGAGAGCGAAACGATGGACATGAAGGAGGAAATGATGAACGATGCCATTGACGATGTAATGGAAGAGGAGGATGATGAGGATGAAAGTGATCAGATTGTCAATCAGGTCTTGGATGAGATTGGCATCGGTTTGGATCACTCGGTGAGTCACGTTGCATTCTCGCCGTCTTGGATGTGTAGCTCATGCCAGGGATTTCGTAGCTTCCCGAAGCGTCAAAGGCAAGAGTTGGTGGTGCCGCGGTAAAAGAATCGCAAGCAGAGGCACTTTTAGCAGATGATGCCGCTCTACAGGCGCGGTTGGATAACTTACGGAGAGAATAAGATAGATTGGAATTATTTGTAATATGATTTTTGATTGCGTTTCATGCCTTGTCAGATTTCTTGCACACATTCGACCACAATTTGGTGGCTTTGTCGACTTGTACAATGACGAATTCCGAATGTTCTGATAGTCGATTAAGTATGTTACATTGCGTGTTCACCATTGAAATAGGGATAGCTCTAGAAAGTATAACAGTGCGGGTATCTATTACTCAGTTGGGTTGCCTTCCGCATCGGGCATTTCCTGGTTGTTAATATCCTCGTCGTGCGTATCTTCTGTTATATCCATAGACTCTGCCGCATTCGAGGTGGTTGCAGGTTGAGCGGGGGTCCACATGGAGGCTGCGTTGGCTCCGCTGCGCGGTCGAATTTCTCTACGAACTAGGTCCAGAAGTTCCTTAATGTCGTAGTCGTTGCTATTATATATTGGATTATGTGAATGGAGTTTGACACCTCGATTAATGGAATGGGAGAGAAGGAATAGGAACCGGGGATTTCTTACGTTGGTGAACCCATGAGTGTCTGCGCAACCCCCTCGGCTTGAGCCTTGTCAATACTGGGATCCTGCTCTGCAAGATACTGTAGGACTTCGATGACCGAACTCAAACTGACGCGACCGTTGTCACCGAGAATGCTCGTCACCGTCTCCAATGTAGCTGTCAGAGTCTGCAACGGTCGTCGTATGGCATTCAGATGTGCAATGTCAGACGTGAATTATGTGTTCTTTTTAACTTACGCCAGCTGTTGAAGCCACCAAAAGAGCCCAAAATTTGAGCCATGGGATTTTGTCGCCGGGCCAGCCGCCGAGTCTACCAGTGAGCTGTCGTGAGTGGAATGTTGTGATATGCTCCCCGGTACGACCGCCTCAACAAGTGCAGATGCTCTACCTCATAACGTCATTTACATGAGCCGGAGTTATATTGACAGCATTGCAGGCGTCATCCACCTCGTGTTTTGTCACCACTACCTTATCCGTGCGGTCAAACTACAGACAAAAACAAAAGATGGGTATAAAACACAATCAAAAATGATGACCAAAGACATTCAAGCGTATATTGAAAAGAGTGGTTTACCTTGGTGTAAAACGCCTCCAACTGCATGTTGTTGAGTCGTTTTGCCCCACCGCCGTCATGACGCTGCTTTGCTAAGCGCCCGAAATAACTGTGAACCATAGGACACCACCCATTATCAGCCCAAGCCATTCTCATGATCCGCAAGGCTACTCGGACCAAACATACTCTGCAGATGCTTCAAGAATATTTCCCGGTTGCGAGCGTATGATATGTTTTGTGTACTTTTTCAGAATGTCTGGGAGCTCTGGCGGAATCCGGATCTGTTCCGCGGTATAGAGAGGCACAGGGTTTGAGTCCACTTCCATTTGTTGATCCTCAACTGTAGTAGAAGTTGCAAAAGATGTGAAATGCAAAAACAATCTCGCTGGAGTGTTCAAAAACTTGTCGAGCGGCGGAGCCCAAAAACCTTCTTGATCTGTAAGCTCGCCTCACCCGCGAACGGGGAGGGGTTGGCCTGAAGGGTTCGCGTCGATCGCATTTCGAGCCAAACGTTCCAAGTAATATAACATGACTGTGCCAGTTATACATGGCACAGTTTTCATCTATAACGCATGTGACAAACTCAAATGCGCATGATCATTTTATCCAGATGGGAGGCGTCCTTTCCACAAAGGCCAGCACGGAATTTCGAGGTTTTTCGCATCAACCTCATTTCGCTTTTTTTTGATTATAAACTCATTTGGACACTCCTTCACAACCGCAGCATCAGCACTAGCATGCCATCGCCGCCAAAGCCGTGGGAAAGAGCAGGTGCCGCGGCGCAAGCTGGTCCCGCCCCCACTGCAAGCGCCTCGACACCCGCAACTACAACATCCTCCACAACCGCTCCCCCTGCCATCCCAGCTCGTCCTTCTACATCTACCATGAACACTACAATGACATCAAATACCCTGAATAGACCAGGTAAAAATCTTAATAGGGTCGATTTTCCTGTTTTGAGCGGATTTCAAATGCAGTCTTTCTTTAGGTTTCGGAACCGGTGCTGGATATAATTCTTACACTACGGGGACGGGCTATGGAAGTACATATGGCAACTCGTACGGTGGAAGCTCTTACGGGTCTTACTCCTCACCATATAATCGCTATGGTTCTGGGTACGGAGCGGGAGGTTATGGTTCGACATACGGGTCCTCCTATGGCGGATATGGTTCATATTCACCGTACAATCGCTATGGAAGTGGCTATTCTCCATACAATCGCTTTTCCTCTCCATACGGACCTGGTCCAGGTGGTCCAGGTGCCCCAGGAGAAATGCCTCTCTCTGCACGCATGGAGCAGTCAACCCAAGCAACCTTCAACACACTCGACCAAATCGTTCAGGCTTTCGGAGGGTTCGCGCAAATGTTAGAGTCCACATTCATGGCTACTCATTCGAGTTTTATGGCAATGGTTGGAGTAGCTGAGCAATTTGGCAATCTCCGATCATATTTTGGTCAGATTTTTTCGCTCCTTTCGTTGTACCAAGCGGCGCGACGACTAGTGTGCAGACTGACTGGACGACAGGCACCTGTCGATGCATCGCAACTTGATCCAGACGAATTCAAAGCGTTTGAAGACCGCAAGAAAGCAAGCAAGAAACCAATATGGGTTTTCTTGTTCTTCACAATCGGCATCCCTTGGTTGATATCAAAACTTTTCCAAAGACTACAGAGACAGCGTCTTGAAGCCGCTGCTGCTGGTGCTACTGCTGACCCTTTAACAACAGGCCTCATCGGGCCCGACGGCCGCCCATTACATCCAAGTCAAATACGTGATCTAGAGTTTTGTCGCGCTGTATATGATTTCGCTGGCGAATCTCCTGCGGAGCTATCGCTGAAGAAAGGGGACATTGTGGCTGTGCTCAGCAAGTTGGATCCAGCGACTGGACAGCCTGGAATGTGGTGGCGAGGCCGATTGCAGAGTGGGGAGATGGGCATGTTCCCATCCAATTATGTGGAGATCATTCAGAAACAGGGAACGGCGCAATCATCGCCACCATTGCCTCCTGCTGGCGGGCCGGCCGGAATACCAATGCAAAACGTTCCGGTACTCGATCCTGCTGCCTTCAATCCTGATGCAATAATGGATGGAGACTTTGGGCCAATCATGCAGTGACGTTGTGGTGGAATTTGGGGATGAACGTTGGGGCTTGAATTTCCTTGTACATGGTTCTTAAATAATACGGCATTTCTCTGTTCGTTGTTGTGTTCTGTGCTTCGAGTGCGTCTGTGTGGGTTACTTTGTTACCATCCTAGCATTGTAGGGGTTTGTGAACTTTTAATGGGTATTCTCTCTGAACTGTGTTTGTTCAGGTCTCTTACAGTTGATTAACCCAAGCAATTAATTATTCCACTTGATACGCATATATGATAAAGTAAAAATCTTATCAATAGTTGGAGAAGTAAGATAGATTCTCATCAATAAAATACTCTTCTTATGAAATACTGCATCTCAATATGTATTGATTCAACCTCCGTCTAATATCCCGGATTAAATATTCTTCGAGTGATAACAAGCTAACATGACCAATCACGGTGGATAACTGGCCATGTTTCTTCTTACACTCTCCATTGCAGCGAGGAGATCCTCTCTGCCAATCTAGGTAGCGAGCTTTATTGAGGACATTGTTCACATTAACCATGAGCGGAGAAGCAGAACCAACCATTTCACTCGTTAAATCTATTCTTAACCTCGACAACGCCGCCTCTCGACATACATTCTCAATGTCCGCACCTTAAAGAATCTGGTTTCAGAGTCGTCCATGGACATATATGGGTTCCGTACAACTCACCAGTATAACCATCTGACAACTGCGCCAAATGACATAAGTCGGTGGTCTCCAGATTATTGGGAATCCGTGACAAAAATCCTTGAAATATTTTATGTCGCGCCTATCACACAGCAGATCAAACACGAGAAGGACTTGATCAACGATTACAGTGGAATATACCTCTGCATTGGGAGGCGGTATGTAAATGTGCTCGTCTAATCGACCGGGCCGCAGGATTGCCGCGTCAATGACATCTGGGCGGTTCGTTACTAGACCATGCATGATATAAATCATCCATTTGACAAAAGGATAAACTCGTAGTCATCGTGGATGGAAACGCAACTTACCTGCGATGATAAACACTGTTCTGTTATCGGCTCCTGCAGATTTGGACAAAACCCCGTCCATCTCTAATGACGATGGATTAGCAACGATGAGATGAGAATGCCGTTAGATTAACATGTACCAGTGAGAAAACAAGTGACAATCCTTTCGCCTGTATTTTCGGAGGACATGTCCATCCCGCGTCGGGGAACAAGCATGTCAATCTGATTACAGAGTGATTAATAGTCCAGTAACCTGTCATGGTCTCCATACATGCATACCTGATCTATCAATAGTATGGATGGAGCGCTAGATCTGGCCTGAGCAAAGATTTTTGTAATATTTTGCTCAGATTCACCAACGACTTTTGATCTTATTTTGGGACCCTATTACAATCGTTACTAATTAGAGAAAATGGCAAATGCGACATAGTGACCTACATCAACGTAAATACAATTAAATCCAGCTTCTTGGACGAGAGCATAGCTGAGAACACTCTTGCCGACCCCGGCAGGTCCGTGCAATAGGACGCCCCTTGGAGGATTAATTCCAAGCGCGGCATAGCGATCGAGATGCTTGAAGGGACGCAGGACAGACGTCTGCAGATATTGGTGATGAGTTTTCGCAGTATGCTGGAGGAACGCTTGGGAAATTGAACTAGCACCTGAACGTGTTTGATCACATCCTCCAAACCAAAGAGGTCTGAAAAGTGTCTTTTCGGGACCTGGTACATGGAACAGAGTCATTAGGATTCTGTGTCGCAAATCGCACGTCAAAATGCATAAGCACCTGAGCGGTGAGTTCCAAAAGATTCGCCGGTTTGACTGTTTTCAGAGCCAATAGAAAATGGTCCAATGTGATATGTTTTTGCGTTTCCGTCTTTCGAATATTGATGAGCGCCGGCTTTGGGGAGGTGCGCCGGAAAATCATAACATATACATACATTCCGCTGCCAATGCATGAAAGCAGTGTGGCATAAACTTTCCAAGTCGGCTCCAACAAATCCATGTGTGGCTTCGCTGACCGACCGCAGCATATCGTCGCTGGCATTCGGGTCCATTGGTAACTCTGGATACATTGTCTGCACAGTTTAGGCGACGATGTAAAAAGTGGTTCACTCTGAACATCCGAACCTTTGCATAGGTATCGTAATATTGAATATCTCTGCCGCGCATCCACGATATCCATTTCCAGGACCTGATCGAGCCGACCGGATCGTAACAAACCGGGGTCCAAATTGTGCAGACGGTTGGTTACACCTATGAGATGTCGTGAGGATATGCCATAGCCCATATTTCGGTCAACCGAGAAGCTCTTCGAGAACCCACCTATTATGAACACACCGCCCTTAGGCGTGTCATTGAGGGCGGTGCAAAGATGAGCAGAGGACAAGCTTGGGTCCAGCAAGCTCGTGAGGACGGCGTAAATCCGTCTGGCCATTCCTAGGGGGAAAAGTAAGTGGGGACACGGTACAAAGAGAAATGGTAAACGTACCCTGTGCCGCCTGCTTCGGCCCAGTTGAGGCAATAGCATCCAAGTCATCGAGAACCACTATATGAGGGCCCTCAACGGGGACGTTGATCATGCTATGAAGGTAAAGTTCCGCATCTCCTTCACCTGAACTACTGTTAAAAGTCTATTCTATTGTGTATATCATGGTCGCGCAAATGAGCCACCTACTGAATTTGAGAAAGTCCGCACAGTTTACAATGTTCCAAGAAACGCCAGAATTTTCTGTTTGTGATATATAGCATCAATATTTCAGAGAGGTGACAAAATTGCGAATGATTCTTCACACAACTATCTACATGCTTAACCATCTCTCTTGCTCTATTATACGCTATATAAAGAATGACAGTCTTACCAGCAAAAGCTCGAGCTAACCTCGTTTTTCCAGTCCCAGATCTCCCGCTCAAAAGGACACCAGCTGTGAGAGCTGGAGCCAAGTTGTGCAGGTTTGTAGGATTACAAATGTTGTTGACAAAGCAGTGAAATCGTTCTATCAATAGGTTGACTGTTGCATCCACTCCTGCTATCTGCCCGCATACTGCTGGAGCCCAGATATCGCAAGATTTTAGCCGCGCGCGCGCGCGACTCACGCAAAAGCTCGATTCCTCAAAGACGTAGTCAGTTTCTTCATTCAGCTTGGCGACTCGGGACTCCAGAAGCTGCCCATCCCCAAATGGTACTATTGATGCGACTATGACTGAGATCTGGTGACCATTCTTCAAAAGGGTAAGACTTTGCCCAACGGTTGCATATTCGCCAAGCAAGGCCTGCCCAATTTCTGTTCCACTCAGGCGACGGTGATCCAATACTGATCGCTTGTATTGACCAACTGAATGCGTACGCCAAGCCATTGTTAATCTGACAAGCTTTGCGCGAGGCACGGAGGCGGACTGGTGTTCAGAATCCCGCATAAGTCGTCACCATGGTATGGTAGTTAGAATGATCACTTACGGTAAGGTGGTGTGATACTACTAGAACCTCGCCTTTGGAGGTACGCAGTGCTCTTGAAAGTGAGGAAGATAGAACACAATCACAGTGTGATACAGTGCACGCTGCGGCTGTTGATGACGCTAACGATATATGTTTAAGGTTTTCGCGAGAAATATCGCTTCCGGGACTGAATAATCTGACTTTTGCAGCTACATGCTGTCTCTCTTCAGAAGCCTTGACACGCAGGCACAAAATATGGCCAGATTTAACTCGCACTCCGTTGAAAGTGCAACTTCTTGGGAGCCACAGAACATTCTCCAAGCATTCATCCGCTATATCCACGACGGTGAGCTCCATGGTCCACTATATCACACAGTCAATCCACTCTGTCGCCACGCTCCATTAAACGCTTCCTGTCCCAAGATCGGCAGCCCATGCAAGATCTCCACACGATTGATTGACAAGGCGGATCAAGCGGGCTCTGCTGCGCCACGACCCAGTGAATCACGTGACATTGAGAAAGTTCACCCGCATCGAGGCAACCAGTTAGTTGAGGTGAACGAAGTCATCACCGACAGCCGTTGCGTACCATGCTTGCAACAAAGCAGTTGACAGTGTCGGCGTTGAAGCGCTCATCTTTGACCGCGACAGCTGTCGCTGCGCGCTCCGTTCAGCCTCGTGCAACCTTTGCAACTGCTGCCCCTGACCCATCACCTAACCGCACGTACGGAAACCTCAGCGATGAAGACCGCATATTCACTAACCTTTACGGAAAGCACGACTTTCGCTTAGCGGGTGCACTCAAGCGTGGTGACTGGTACAAGACCAAGGAAATTATCTTGAAAGGCCATGACTGGATCATTAACGAGATGAAGACATCAGGCTTGCGTGGACGAGGTGGGGCTGGCTTCCCCTCTGGCCTCAAGTGGTCATTCATGAACAAGCCAGGGGGTCCAGATGGCCGTCCACGATACTTGGTGGTAAATGCAGATGAAGGAGAACCGGGTACCTGCAAGGACCGCGAGATTATGCGCCACGACCCTCACAAGCTTATTGAAGGTTGCTTAGTGGCTGGTCGCGCGATGAGCGCCAACGCAGCCTACATCTATATCCGTGGTGAATTCTACAACGAAGCCTCCAATCTTCAGGAAGCTATCAATGAGGCTTACAAAGCGGGCTTGATTGGCAAGAATGCATGCGGCTCTGGTTACGATTTCGATGTATATGTGCACCGTGGTGCTGGAGCTTATATTTGCGGAGAGGAAACAGCTCTTATTGAATCCATTGAAGGAAAGCAGGGAAAACCTCGTTTGAAGCCTCCATTTCCTGCCGACGTGGGATTGTTCGGTTGTCCCACAACTGTGGCGAATGTGGAAACTGTGGCTGTGGCGCCGACTATCTTGCGTCGTGGAGGTTCATGGTTTGCAGGTCTCGGCCGTGCCCGTAACAGCGGCACTAAGCTGTTCTGTATTTCCGGTCATGTGAACAAACCTTGCACTGTGGAAGAGGAGATGTCTATTCCCCTCCGAGACCTCATTGACAAGCATTGCGGCGGTGTTCGCGGTGGATGGGATAATCTTTTAGGTATCATTCCTGGCGGTTCTTCTGTTCCTGTTCTGCCAAAGAAGATCTGCGAGGAAGTTTTGATGGACTTTGATTCTCTTCGTGATGCGCAGTCTGGGTTGGGCACTGCAGCGGTGATTGTCATGGACAAGAGTACCGATATGGTGCAGGCGATCTCAAGGCTAAGTGCGTTTTACAAGCATGAGAGTTGTGGACAATGTACACCATGTCGTGAGGGTACGGGTTGGTTGGCCAACATGATGGCACGATTCGAAACCGGTAACGCGAAGAAGGCTGAGATTGACATGATCGAGGAGCTTAGTAGGCAGATTGAGGGGCATACCATTTGTGCATTGGTGGGTTTCATCTGGTCGATACATGGAATGGCTACTGTATATACTAACGTGAACACTTCTTTTACATAGGGAGACGCAGCGGCTTGGCCTGTGCAAGGTCTCATCCGCCATTTCCGCCCGGAGATTGAAAAGAAGATTGATGAGTTCCACGCGCGTCGGCGGCTTGAAGAGCCTGTGGCGGCACAAGCTTGAGAGGGGATATGAAGAGTGGATAGAGTTGTCATCGCAAAATACATTATGAATATTGTATCATCCGTTGCTCGGATTGCCTGTCAATGACGTGCTAGCCATGCCAGAGACCAGTATTTTTTAGCCTCATATGCCTATCGAAATAGCGCACATTGCCCTCAGAATCTCGACTATCCGCTACCCACTAGAACAGTCGCAGTGAACCAATAATACACTTCAATATTCTACAAATACGACGAAGCAAACATTATCTACATGCTCTTCTCAAGCAGCGTAATAGACGGCGATCATATTTTATCTAATGCTTCCATAACGAGAACAGAGTTTCCTCGGATGACCTGGTGGAAAAAGGTACTGTTAGCACCTCCTCATGTAATCTATCCAGGTTTCCTGCCAAGTACTGACCACACTCCCGATCTCACGCTTTTCGGATTCGGAAACTTCTTCGACAGTATCCTGTTGGATATGAAATATAAATACAAAACTTCCGAGTTGACCACCAAGAGACCAAAAGCCCACCTCCAATACCAAGTTCATGAAAGGATCAAATCCTGCGAAAATAAAGAAATCAGTTACATCTTAAAAAATAGACTTCAAATGCACTTATTATTCTGTTGGCTAGCTTACCACGAAGAATTCCAGTAACTTTACGATCTCCGTTCAGTTGGATGAACAGTCTCTTGTCCATGTACCTACGCAGAAAGGGCAAGTTAGAGATCAGTTTTCGTAAAGTTACACGCAGGCGAAAAGGGGGAGCAGGACTATACTGAAGGTATTGCGCTTTCATGGGTACTCACTTCTTCAATTCTGGAGTTGGTGCCTTGGACATGATGCAAACAGTTTTACCAGATGCAGTACTGTGGGCTCGTACGGGTCGTCACATCCACCCCGTACGAACTTGGCCCATGCGTTGTTTCTATGGAAACACTGTATCACGTGAGAAAATGGGATCTGAGTTGAATGGCAGCAAACAAGGCAACTGAGATTTCGACACCTTTTATTCCACAGATCACAGTCACCTACCATAATGGACGGAGGTGACCGAGAAGCAGCCAGATTATGGCGAGTGTTTCGTACAGTGAATGAAATGGTCAGGGATCGGGTAGGTACTGGTTCTGTTGTTGGAGTGACTCCCACTTAAATGCCTGCGATTCACGGTCTATCTTTGAAGGGTTACGTGGTGGCTCAAAGAGATGTTGAAATACCACTGGATGAATTCAAAATGAATTATGTAAAAGGCGGTGTTGTAGAGTATGTCTTCAGAAAGTGAACCGATTTTGTACGGATGGAGCAGTCCAGTTAACGGTGCTTTGATATGTTAGCCGCCACTCTATGACTTTCTTGGTTACAATGGAGGACCGACCGAGTGATTCCCTTCTGGTGTTCTTCGCAGAGGATGAATCTGTGGGAATCAAGCCTATCAAAAAGTATGCTCCCTCTAGATGACCTTACAGAAGACGATATGATCGAGCTGATTCTTGCTTGCTGTAGAATTGCGGAGCGTATGGCAACACAAAATATTTTCAAAGCCATTGTGGTAATCCCGAAAACAATGACTCCATCTGCCAAAAAGGTATGGCATTCTGGTAGTGTTCAATTGACTCTTCACTTACTAAGTGATATTGGCACATCTCTCCAGGTTATTCAAGAGATGGCACCGAAATATAATATCGATCAGTTCGCTGAATCAGAGTTGCTTGTCAATATTACCAAACACGTCCTAGTCCCTGAACACGAAGTTCTCTCAGATAGTGAAAAGAAGACATTGCTGGAAAGATAGTCAGTAGCATTCGCACTTTGAAATCGCAATGAGGAAGCTCATTGATACTTTGTTGCTTCTTTATTAGCCGACTCAAAGAAGCTCAATTGCCACGTATACATCCGACCGATCCGATTGCGAAATATTATGGCATGAAAAGAGGACAAGTGGTCAAAATTATCCGACCGAGTGAAACCGCTGGAAAGTAAGTGGTCCTCCCTGATCAATTTCTTTTTTTTGTATTCATTGGCTAATGTGCGATCTATTAACGCTATACAGATACGTCACCTATAGATATTGTTTTTAATTGCTTCTGTCTTGACAGCTATGCGCAAGCTGCCGTTACTGAAGCCAATGTATATTTTGTATGTAACCGCACCAATATCGGCTGTGTCCGATCTAAAATAAAAAACAAATTCGACTTGGGAATGGAAAGACCTCAGCCTACCCAAATGATAAAAGTGTCACATAAGGTCGCATACTAGTAAGCAGAGGACGAACGGTACCACGTGAGCAAGCCAGAATTGGGTTGACGCGTAAGGAGCTATTCTATTCCTCATCAACATCGCCGTCTACTCAATTGAGAGGATCTACAAAAGGATCTACTCTCGTTGGTAATTAGTGACACCGCCTGCAAATATCTCGCGTGTGTAGATGACTAACTCTTGCAATTGTAAGCGGTTGTGTGCTAGGGGTGGCGTCCTGGAGATAACTTCTCTTCTGCGTTGAGCAGTTCATTGAATGCGGCAACAGCATTACTGCTTATTTACTCTAACGGACATTCGATCAGCATATTACCGCTGTATTTCACCCTCAAATGGTACGTTGGTTTTGCCACTCTCAACACGGCATGTAACGATACCGTTTGGGGAAGCAGTGCAACGTACATTATCAGCTTCTAACTTGATTTGATATGCTATGCAATCGCAAAGTCTTCTACAAACCAAAACAATGGAGCAAAGAAGGTGGGCCGTCTATCGGCACGGCTCGGATGGACTTTTTTGATATTGATGATTCTCGCGTAGATAATTGGCCTTGAAGAATGGGAACGAAAATTGGCGGAAGTGAAAGTTAGCAAGCAGTATGTGTGATGGTGATACTTTGGATGACACTGCGTCGTATGATAACGCGCTCACGCGATATGCTCTTAATTGAAGAGATCTCAACAAACTCATCATGAACTATTTGGTCATCGAAGGCTATAAAGATGCGGCAGAAAAATTTAGTCGAGAATCTGGGCTACAGCCGGGAATTGACCTTGCGTCGATAGAGGATCGCATGAATATTAGAAATGCGATACAGTCTGGAGATATCGAGGACGCTATCGAACGCGTCAATGACCTAGATCCTGAGGTATTGCGATATAGTGCACATTTGACTTCTACGCGATTTAACAACTTTCCGACTCATCATCCATGATCCAGATACTCGACACAAATCCAAAGCTCTACTTCCACCTGCAACAGCAACGGTTGATCGAATTCATACGAGACGGAAGAGTAGGAGAAGCCATCGAATTCGCGCAGGAAGAATTGGCGCCACGAGGGGAAGAAAACGTATGATCTTGCCCATAATACTCTTCAATCCGGAACATTAGGATAACACTGTACGTTTTTATCAAATGCAGCCGGAATTTCTTGAGGACCTGGAGCGCACAATGGCATTGCTAGCATTCGAGGACACTAGCGTGTCACCTGTTGGATACCTATTGGACCATGCACAACGACAAAAGACGGCAAGTGAACTCAATGCAGCAATCTTGACAGCACAATGTCAAGAGAAGGATCCAAAACTCCCGTCATTGCTGAAGATGTTGGTATGGGCACAGGTATGGCATCGGAAAGGCTCCTGGACGATCCAACACAAGTCACTCACACACGAGCACATAACAGAATCAGCTGGAAGAAAAGATGCTCTTTCCAAAAATTAGAAACCTTGTAACCGCTGAACTAGAAGCACCTGCACCCAGCGGATGATAAATCCTCGCACCGTATATGGAACGAAGGATCATCGATAGCTCGAACGCTCGTAAACACTCTTGGACCTAATTCTGGTCGTGTACATATCTTTACTAAAACTGGCAACTTTCACCATGGCAATTTTCACATATCAATGATATATTTCCCAGAGGTCAGGTTTTGATTCAAATCGTGATTTTGTCAGTTTCTATACACAAAATACCGCCAATATCCTAAGTTATCTACATGTAAACTTCCTGCTATCTGTACAGATGAACGAGGTTCTTGTATCTGCTGGTCCACTATTAAGTTTGTGATAAATTTCTATCACTGGTTATCCTTAGCACGTCTCCTATTAGATTGTGGAGCTCACGTTGGATTTGAAGCAGCTCGCTATATGAAAAATATTCAACAAGGACGCAAATTGCTACTAGATTCCGACTCAGGGCTTACCGGACATCCATCGTTTCCAACTCTTTTGAACACTTTTTCAAAGACGTCAAATGGTCCATGAATCCCCATGAAGCTGCTTGGTCTGGAGCATCAGCCTCAGATCTTTTCCGTTTCAATACAGGCGTTACTGTTATTGGACGCTCGGGTGGGGTGTTCCGGCCCAGTTCCTTGTCGCTAGCTGTTGGAGTCTTCATCTCTTCGGAATGCGATTGTGATCTATCCATTGTCTCATACATCTCAGCGGGTACCACTTCACGCTCCGCCCTCTTTTCCTGTGAATGGCTTCAGTCATGATGTAGCGCCCCGGAAACTGCCATCCTGACAACGTACCATTTGTCTTGGAGTTAAAATGCGTTCGTCCTTTGCTTGCATCTCCATTTTTTTCTTGTCTGTTATTTGCACGTATTCCATAAGATCTCCTAACTCCTAGTGTTAGCTAGTGATTGGACATTGATGATTCTGATTTCTCACCTTCAGAGTTTCCGTGAGATTTAGGAAGATCAGTTAGATTCTCCTTTCTGGGAGAAGAATGATGGCCATCGCTTGACAACCGATTTATTATAGTCTGCGTTCTGCGATGCTGGTTCTCAATGGGCGATACATCTTCCGCAACTTGATACTGTGGATGACGAAGGATATCTGAGCCTGGTACAATGCACACCCCCGTTGGCTGAAGTCAAAGTACCTGAGCAGCAAGATCTGAAAGAAGAAGTTGCATATTTTTCCGTCCAGAGCCTTTTATCTCTAGGAGTTTCACAAGCTTGCTAGCCATTTTAACTACCGCTTTGGCATGTCGATATTGAAGTTCTTGCTGCTCAGCTTCCAAACGACCAGCGGGCTCAGGTATTTCGATGCGGAACATCTCAGCAAGTTTCCTTGAGACTATATTATAAAACGATCAGATATCGGCAGCTCCATTCACCATGGACTTCTTCAAGTGATGTTGGCAGTCTGTGCACCTACATTCAGTGAGCTCAGTTTTGACAGAGGTTTTCCATAGGAAAGATATTGCGTCTACTAATGGGCTGAGGTTTCGCTCATGGTCAGCTATGGAATCGTTCACATAAGCGACCACATGTTCCCACAGGAGTTGCACCTTCGGGATAAGCTATAGACTGATGTTACTGTGCATACTTCTGTGATCCACCAACATGTTGAGAGGTACCTGTTTCGACACCTTGCAGCGATCGATCGCCATTTCCATTATATACAGAAACACCTTGTAGTCTGCCAGAGACCATTCGCCGGATGGTAAATTTGCAACAATGTGTTGTAGATAAGGACCTATCATTGGTTCATCCATGTATGATAGTGACTGCCGCAAATCAAAGTCTGCAGGTACGGTGTGCAGTTTTCCAACAACATTTATAATAACGGCCGTCAAAAACACATCCACCAATCGTCGATCCTTTCTGATTTCTTTCGCGACAGGGAGCACTGTTGACTCTGTGAAGGATAGCAGTGCGGTCGCATAGCTCAGGTGCACGAGCAGAAAGACGTATGTTTTCATGCATTCCATTCTGACCGTCGCTGCCTTTTCGTATTTGAATCCATTCAAGAGAGGTAATAGCACAAGTTTGACTCGTTTATCGTGAATGAGATGGTCTGCAAGATTGGGCATCTTTGAGTAGGGCTTAGTGTCCGTCTCATAAATTTGATCTATACCTTTCTGAGCGAAGTTGATAATCAATCTTCTCCAAACTCGGAAAGCGGAAAGACGGTTTGCGGGAACAGACGAATTGAATCCATTCTGTACAGACGTCCCCACCACTTGACTTAGCAAGAGTGTGTCATGTAAGCAAGAGCAAGGCAAACCGACTAACCTCCACAACTTGCAACAGGGCATTCAAATGCTGAGTACGATGCAGCGTTGAACCCAACATCAGCATAACATGTCCCCATGCGTTGTAGACATTTGTATGGTCGATGTTGTTTCGCAAGATTTCGATGAGGGTCTCCACTTTCTCATTTGTCAATGCCTAAGATTCCCGTTATTTTGTCAGCTCTCAAAGGCTTAACGAGCACAAGACACATGCATACTTTAATATGCATTTCGCACTCTTTCCGCAGGGCAACAAAGTATTCTACTGCAGCTCGAAAGAAGGTATTTGCCGCGTCTGCAATCCGTGCGGTGCTCGAGAACATTAGTTCTAACACTACTCGTAAAATGATGTTCAGTGTCGCTGTGAGGAAAGTATGCCTTATGTTGGTTTAGGGCCACATACCTGGAACTACCCAGTTACGCGACTCTGCTGGAGCTAGTTTTGGGACTCGCTTGAAAAGCCTGTCCAGTGCCTTAACAGGTTGAATTAGCAGAATGTACGCTGACTATATCCAATGGAATCATACTTACATTCAATAGCTCAATTGGCAATACCTCCACAGTTCCAACGTACTTCATCGCTGCCATCAAAGCCTCGATGATGGCAGGTCCCATCTCCGCTAATACTTCGTCGTCCTCCACCCTTTGGACACTCAGGCACCACACCCCTAAACAAGTGAGTTTTGGATTTCGCTCCTTCACAATATGTTTACAGATCCCTTGGAGCATTCCCCGCCATTGTTCTCTTGTTGTCCCTGGTATTAAGTGTCCCCTGTGAAGAAATAACGCTGCACAGCGCAATGCTCCTCGGACCCTGCAAGATGGGTCAGGTGACTCAGTAAAAAATGACAAAACGCAAGAACCAGAATGCTCACAAGGCATCGTCAGTCGCATCCTTTTTTTCCTGCGGCGCCAGATCACGATCAATTGCCAAGATCAAGTCAGCGATCTCGTTTTCAGTCAAAGGTCCAGGGTCGGTTCCGTCTCTGTCTGCGGTTCGGTAAAGGTCCAGCAAATCGACCCAAGCTTGTATCCTTTCCTCAACGGATCCCCGTACAACGACATCCAGCGTAACAGTCAGTGAAGGCTTCGTCATGGTGTTGCATTCATCACATTCCCGTCGGCCAAAGCAAGCCAATCCAGGAGCGCGTAAGTCCGGTCCTTCGAACAGCACGTGATTGCTGAGGTCAGATCAGGCTTGCGAGTCACTTTGCGTTGCACCAAACGTTCCATGACAACGCAATTGAAGTTGAGAGTGCTGCAACTGCATTAACACTTTGCTCACGAATCTCCAACATGTCCAAGGCCGGAGCAAAAGCCGCCGTTGCTCAAAGTCTCCGTCTTCTAGTCCCAGCCGGCAAGGCGGCGCCTTCACCACCAGTTGGTCCGGCGCTAGGTCAACGTGGTGTAAAATCAATGGATTTTTGCAAAGCCTTCAACGACCGAACAAAAAAATTGCTTCCGGGCATTCCGATTCCTACGAGTATTACAATTGAACCCAACCGAACATTCACTTTCATAACGAAAAACCCCCCGACAACATGGCTACTGCTACAAGCGGCTGGTGTAGAAAAAGGAAGCTCAAGACCCGGGGACGTAATTGTGGGTGAAGTTAGTTTAAAACATATTTACGAAATTGCAAAGATAAAAAGCAAGGATCCAGCGTTTCGGGGGACGGGACTTAGAGAGGTTGCGTCCCGGGTGGTTGGGACAGCGAAAGGAATCGGGCTTAAAGTTGTATACTAGAATGAAAGGGTTTAGTGACCGGTCGAAGCATATTTTGATTCCGTTAATGCTTGGTTCTTGTGTGTGTGCATTGTTCGCAAATGTCGTCAGGCTGCCGTCGATTCGATCTGGCATGTTTTCTGATTATATCGTGAAGGTTGGCGAAGGCTGGTAACATCAGATACAACCACTGGTCAGCCAGTCGGTTTAGATAGGCGGGTACTGGCACATAGTCATCACATAATGCGGACATGACCCAAAAGGCCTTGGCCATCTTCAGTCTTGACAATAAGATATATCCAGATCTATTTGAGTAACGATCGCGCCAACTGCTCTTGTGCCCTCTGCCACACCTGCGTCACAGTTTGTTCCGAAAGCGGAATGTCTGCTTCGCTTCCCTTTTTAGTTACCCGGGAGGCCACGTTATTTGGATCCGACTCCAGAATAATGCTGTTAACAAATAGAAGAACGATTTAGTGGTTGCGTAGTGTAAACTGAACATAAGATGCGTACCCTCCGTCTACTGTTTCATCAAGCGCAAGAACAACTACGTCAAAGCTCTCTAAAATGGCTCTCTTTTCAACTTGGCCCCTGAGATGTGTAATAAACGCATTAATATCTATTCATCATCCTTGCTATGTACGATGTCATACTTCAATAAGATTGATAGCGACTCGTAAAAGGACGATAGTAGGTGACTCAAAATTAACTCGTTCTCATCGGCAGATCCCAGAATGTAGATGAATACGTCGATAGAGTTCTTAAACACGATAATTTGGTTATCAAACATGATGATTTCGCCTGCAGAACAAACAGAATGGTTAAGGGCAGTTGAGATTACTAAATGCTTTTCATTCCACTGAGAGACATACTGGAGCTCTTCCTTGTCTTGTCAAATAGAGATTTCTCGAAGACTTTCTGTTCTTTCAGTGTTGGGTAGTCATTCGTGTAGTATTTTGAAAGCATCCGTTTGCCTTCACTATCAAGTATGATGACGCCCTTAGTCGTGTAGAGACTCTAGAGAAGCACATCCTCATTAGCATTTCCATGGCCATTTACAGGAGAAAGACAGATCCGGACATGAAAATGTCAGATTTGGAGGCTTCGACCTTACCGTTCCCTGTGCCTTTACCATCTTTTGAGATGACGTGAAGGTGTAACGAGATGAAATTGCTACCGTAACGAGTTATGCGCTCTAATCTTAGCGGCCAGTTAGCGCATGCCACGAATTCACTGCACAGCTCTAATTCGGGCAGGAGCGTACTTACGAAATGAGGTTTGGTCGACTCTTGCCGTCCTGGCGGCTCTGGCTTCATTGTTCACGTGACTAACGCGTCGTTGGGTCTGCGAGTCGCGAGCGCGTTCTGCACACCTTTTCCCAGCAGTCCTTGGGCTGGAATCATAGATCACCTTCAAGATTCTAGAACTAGCACAGGTGGGCAAAGCTTTGAAAATGGTCACCTTTGGCGAAGGAACTCTGTAGCCTCATTGTGCTTGTGTGGTCGCATAGGGTTGAGGCATACACCCCATTTCAAAGGCTTTCAGGTTACATCCTTCTTCGGCCAGGCTATTCCTTGCAGCTATGTCGCTACGTAATTTCTTCGTTTTGCACAAGTCAGGAAGGACATACTTTGCAAAAAATTGTGGGTAGATAGTAGCTTTATAGCTATTCATCAGATGCGAACACAATATGCTCACACATTGATCCCTGTAGTTCATGGAGATGCCCTTGATCAGAGGTAAGTGTGAACCTCTTGCTTGAGAGACGGAAAGGGAATACATTAAATGTTAACTTATTTCTCTCTCGCTAGCTTGGTGGTCGGCTTTTCTTCGTCTGTCTCGAATTTCGCCCGCACCCTACTTGGAGAGGACATCCGCGAGGTTATTTCACTAAAAGGAAGGATACTATACAAAGAATTTGGCGACGTATGTTTGTAACTCCACTTGCTGAATGAGTGGGAAAGTAACTAATATAACTGGCTTTACGCAGTTCGTATTCGTAGCGCATAGTGACTTGCAGACAGGCAGCACCATAATTCAATCCATTCTACGGGATGTTGGCGCCATGTGCGAGGTATGTGACCTAAACCATAAGGCGGTTAGCATGGTTGAAATAACTGATAGATTTCAGACTGTTCATCTTTCTGTTGATATAGTTTCTTTTTGGCTCACATGAGTATTGGGACGAAGACTTCTTTGACTTGAAAGGAGCACAAGTATGTTCGCCCTTGCAAATGGATGAAATGTGGACATTCGTTTCTGATTTTGATATGACAGGACATTATATCGACCTACTTCTCGAAGGTCGCGCAAGACCCAAGCACTGTTGTCAATGGTGTCAACCAGGTGAGTCCACTGTGCTCACAAATATCAATGCCAGCTGGCATTGGCTCACTATCATAATTCGTAGATCTTTCTTGAATTAGAGATATGCGAGCGGCTCGATAAGCTTCTAACATTCCTGGAAAGCCAGGAAGGAGTATGCGGAAACGGCACTATGTTGATACTCGGTGATTCTGTCCTGTATTCACGATTTGGCCTTCATGAGACCAGAATGGTCGGTGTGCAATCAATTATCCAGTCTTTTACTGTTATCATTTGTCATTGACGCGCATTTCAAGATACTCCAATACCACAAAGCCCGTCCTCTGGGCTTCAACTCCGTTCGCTTTACCCCTGTTTATTGTCACGGCGCTTGGCAAAACTTATACCTCATTCGGCTCCAAAGTTATGTGCTCGTTGTTATGGCGTATATAGACAAACCTTTCGCACCGCTTCAAAGCAAGATTGAAGAATTCCGCATATCTTTTATTCAGTCCCGACTCGAAATCCCAACTGAGGTATATTATCAAAACCATTGATTGACGGCATACCCGTACTAAACATCCTATTAGGAGCCACCAGTACTTCTTCGCCTGTTTGCAAAGCGAGAGACACTAGCAATGTTGTACCATAATATCAAAACCGGATGTACCATTTTCCCACAACTTCGACCTGGCCCGGACGTGCAGCAGAGGGAGATTCTGTCGTCTTTCTGGGCGTTTTTTTCTGATGCAAGGTATCTTTCTACTTCCTGTTTTGATCTCATCGGACATTTTGACAGATCGCTTTTCCAGTGCGAGCCTGCGTGTACCTGGCGTCACAGAGTTTTCTATCACCCGGGACCAGTACCGTTTTTATGCAAGGTTAGTTGCATCGTCTGACCGCTGTCCACTGAGTGTTGCTGAACATGTTCTCATAGATCGGAAGGAGTTCATAAACTTTACATTCTTATGGCAACGGACTCGGTATCCTCCGAAGCTATCCCTTCCATAGCCTCCGATGTGTTACGAAATCTACGAACATTTACCCCCGAAAGATGAAATACGGGATGTAACGTCAGTCTAGTATTCTTCACTGTACCATACGAATTGAAGATGTGAGTTATCAATGGAAATACGTGTCCAGGCGAAGTAATCATGAAAAGCATCACAAAATGCTGGGATATCTTCATTCTATTCGTCCACTTGCATTCCCGTTATGCTACTTATACTATCTGCTACGTGCGCTCCTTCTGTTGGCGCCCCTTTAACGGGATCCGTTGTTGAAACAGGCCGTCGAACTACGACGACTTTTATGCGACCGAGCCCATTATAATCACCCTCCCATGATCTCAAGATCGTCACATTCTTCGCATCAGTTAGCACCGGTATTTCTACAAAACAAGTCATAAATTCCTCTTTCAAAATGACCAGTTATAATTTCATTGATCACCTACCAATACCATTGATGTACTCTTGTTCGTCCTTCGATTTTAGATTCTCAAGCAAGTCCAACCGGGACGGTCTTGGTCGCCCTTGCCTCAGTTTGCCCCTAATCTCCGCAATCTCTTCCTCGTTTCGCGCAATGTACTGCTCTATTATGTCGTGCACCAATTCATTCGTGGCTATGCTTATGTCCTCTGGAAGTGCATATTTGAACCACAGCATTCGCTCAACTGTTCTCGTTTTCTTTTCGTCACTAGCCGACTTTTGCTTAACGAGTTTATCTTGCCGATTTATGGCTCGTCGCATTTGGACTGCTTTCCGTGAGTACGGGTGAGCCTTATCAGAGGCCTTTATTTTTGAAAGCTTGAGTTTCTTATTGTTGGGCATGACGATGTTTAGAGGTTGGAAATGCTAATTGGTTTTGGTGCAAACTTCAAACAAGTCCAAAAATAAACAAATGCGTGTGTAGCTGTGCCATGCTGTGCCTCTCCAGATTGCATGTGACATTTTTTTCCATTCTGCATATTCTCACCTGCCACCACCGCGGACGACCTTTCCTTCTTTCCGGTCCGATTCCCAGTAGATACATTTTCAAACATGGGGAAGTGCGTATCGGCGACTGTACCAATGCTTAACACCTGCAGGAGAATGCTCTGTGGAATGTGAATAACTAATCGGTGCTTTGCCTTTCTGCCTCAGGGGTAAGCCTCGTGGACTTCAAGCCGCCCGTAAATTGCGGACCACCCGTCGTGAGAACCGATGGGCGGACAAGCAGTACAAGAAGAGAGCGCTTGGTACCGCTTATAAGTCCTCTCCCTTCGGTGGATCTTCGCACGCCAAGGGTATCGTCCTTGAGAAAATGTGAGTCTGGATCAAAGTATGGTAGAAACGGTGGGGCTTGAGGGAAGAACGAGATAAGGGATTCAAAGTAGGGGAAGTTAACGAGGCAACGAAGGGCATGGCAGAGATAGTGCAGGCTACTCCAGCGCAAGGGCTGTAGTGTGCACAGCGAGTTGGGATGAGTAGGAGATCGGTTGGGACCTCTTGCAGGCGAAGGAGAGAAATCCTTCGGAGATGGATCGGTGCTACGTCTAGGCTGCAAGCTGATAGCCGGACTGGAAGACGAAGGCGTTGGCGACTACAAGAACTGACACCATTAGCTGACTGTTATCTTCCTATTCATAGTGGTGTTGAAGCTAAGCAGCCCAACTCTGCCATTCGTAAGTGTGTCCGTGCTCAGTTGATCAAGAACGGCAAGAAGATTACCGCCTTCGTCCCCAACGACGGTTGTTTGAACTTCATTGAGGAAAACGTACGTTATTTGGATATTGTGTTGACAGCGGATCATATACAGGATATTGATCCACCTTTTTCCTTTTATGTTGTATTAGGACGAAGTTCTTATCGCTGGTTTCGGTCGGAAGGGTCGTGCCGTCGGTGATATTCCTGGTGTACGTTTCAAGGTCGTCAAGGTTGCCGGTGTGTCTCTCCTTGCCTTGTACAAGGAGAAGAAGGAGAAGCCCCGTTCTTAAACTCTGCATTTGCTTGTACATCGTTCAATATATGTGATCCATGCGCGACCCTACAGCTTTTGAAACAGGTCAAAGTGCAAGATACAGTTTAATTTCTTAGGCCACAACCCTCAAGGACACCAATGTGCACTTACTGTAAGCTGCGCCACATCTGATTACCCAATCAGCGCGGTTATGACCTCTCGGACCTCAACAGTTTAGATGATGCTCAATTGTAGAAGCACTTTGTAAATATGGCGTTGGCCCAGCACTCTCCACGCCGTCACCGTTCTCCCTATTCGTCGTCATCTCCTATGTATACAATACCACACTTTGGAAGAGCCTCGGATGTTATAGCCGAAGCTCGAGCGTCACTGAAACATCCTACAAGACCTTTTACACCTGCACCAAATAAGAGAGATAGAGAAAAAGGATTGATCTGGAATGAGGGAAACAATATAGATGAGGCAGATTATCGTAGATTTATAGCAGGCAGAAGGTTAAGCACAATCCTCTGAGACTGAAGCGATTTGGCTGTTTTGTGTTAACAAATATCCACAAGCCAGAACCGTCCCGATCGCTCATCAATCTCCTCATCGGCCTCTTGCCTCCCCTCTTCCGCGACGTCTCGAGCCTATTTGCTCAGCCGATCGTTTGCATGCGGCAACGGCAACTGAATCTCAAGATGACGCCGACGACGAAGCGGGTTATTATCCCTCCAATAAGCTTAGTGTCGATCATGCGAGTGAGAGCATCCAGGTAGATGAGAATCATACAGTGACTTACGTTCTTGTGCCCTAATTCTGCGGCTTAACGAACAATGTATCTTTACAGTATTTTCCGACTCCGGCCATGACACCAATACCACCAATGGACTCTCCAAGTTCCTCGCGCCCAGAAACTGCTTCACCCCCACGGTCCAAGATCGATGAAGACCAGCATTGGACATGTATTATCGATAAGCTGCGCGCTCTTACATCACAAGGATCAAGCAACCTCCTGGAGCGGTTTTTGGAAGTTTGCAGCGCAATGAGTGCTGCTCATTGGCTGCGACATGGGCAAGACAAGACACAGGAACGACGACAGAGAGAATATGTGATGAGAGAGATCATAAAATGGATGGATACTGCCGGTGAGCCGGAGGTGGCGATAGCCGGATGCAAGATCGTTCTAAATGTCGGTATGGTGCACTCACGATACAATCGAGTGCTCCCACCAAATTGACGACTGTTTACCTTTCTCGGATATTTTTTTGATCGCAAAAGATCACACGACATGATCGAGTTTTGGCCAACGCTTGCAAGCTTCTTTTCAAGCTCAGTAAAACGGAAAGAAACGATGCATTTTTTGCCGACTATCAAGTGTCTGGTAGGTCAATCTCATGCTCTGAATTGACGTATGTTTAGTACGAGTGCTGATTGCATTATACAGACGGCCTGGTCGATTTCATCTCTCGATACTTGTCTGGCCTCCGGCCGCCTAAAACCCTATTTGGTCCTCGATGTGCGCTCCTCACGTATGCAATAGCAACTCTGAGAAATATCTCGCACGGGGACCAGAATGGAAAGGCTGTTGTAACGGCCGGGGGAGTGAGAGCTCTTGGGCGGGCTATGAAGATGATAACGGTATGCTCGAGGAATCTTGGCGGCTGTGAAAGTTAGTTCTAAGTATGCATGCCAACAGGAGCTGGACCTTCGACATCGGCCTGATGATCAGTTTATGCAAGCTATCCATCTTCTCATTCAAGTATGTTACGTTGCTGGCACTTTTCAGTCAGCCTAAAAGCTATCTCATGCCCACACGCTCACCAGACTACAGCGGCTCTACGAAATCTTATATCGTCTCAAGAGCACTATATATGCTTTCTTCAAATTGTCAGCAAAGGAGACTCGCAAACAGTAGTGGAAATATTGGTGCGGCTACTCCATCCGGACGTAGGATTACATGATTCCCCAGAGATCATGTTGAGCGTATGCCGGATTTTGAGGTTCGCATTGTATTTGCTCCATGACCAATTTCTTAGACAGATATTAAGTAGTGCTCGATTTTAGTAAACTGTCGCTAAACCCCGACTTTCTTCCCTACCTCGGCGGTTCACAAAACATTGACGCATTCCTGCACCTTCTTGTAAAGTATCAAGCTGACAAGGTAACATGACACCCAGTGTCACGAATACCAACGCCAACTGCATCTAATGCATCATAGCACAACCTACAGCCGCTCTTGGTTCGTATCTGCTTCATCCTGGGAAATCTGACCACAACCCTGTCCACCGACCATGCGCATTTGAGAAGCGGTATATCGGATTTGGTTGCCTTGTTGGGAATGTATATTTCTGTTGAGGTTGGAACCGACAGCGAGGAAGAGGAAGAATATGGAGCATATCAGGGAAAGGAGACGGAAGAGGTGTTGATAAAGGTAATTATGAAATTCAGCTCGTTTTCCGATATCTGAATAATCCAGTTGATTATTATCACATCGTTCATAGCTCATCCGACTCCTTGCCAACATCGCCATCGATCCCGTTGGTGGGCAAAGGATCGTGGAAATGATCGAGATTGAGGCTCTGGTGGACTTACTGGGTACCTTTAAATGCACACCCATCACCGTTTCCGAAAACTGACTTCTTTTTGTTGAAATTCCTAAGGTCATAAACCTGTGACCGACCACGAAGAGCTGGTGCTTAATATTGTTGGAGCCCTCGCGAACTTTTCATTTTACCAAGAAGTGAATAACTACGTTATTTCACGAAAGGTGGAAATAGCAAAATGTACGATTTTCATATTTGAGGTTACATGTACTTGGTTTCAACACATTTTTCCGCATATAGATATGATTAACCTTCTCTTGCACAATAACCCGGAGGCGGTGGTGGAGGCGTTGAGGATATTGGCGAATCTGTCGCACTACTCTGATGTGCGATCAGTGATGGCGAAACAACGAGGTAGGAAGTCTCCAGTACAATTTAGTGGACCGCAAGCAGCAGCTGGATCTCGTCGCTAAACACAATCAATATAGGCACGGAAATTTTGACGATCTTGCTCGATCATGCTAATCGAAGTGTTCTATATCAAACCTGCGGCGTCTTGATCAATGTGGTCTCCCCATCAACGACTCCTGGAGGTGGATCATGCATCCACCGTTCCATCATTACGCAAAACGATGGAGTCGAAAAGTAGGAATTTTGCCCCAAGTTCTCACTGAGATTTATTCTTCTGATATCCTCAACTTTTTCAGATTGGTTGAGTGCATGGAAGATGCCCTGGCGAAGGATGACTACGACCTAGCCGCAGTTGCAGAGAAGGCATTGCATAATATTGAAATGTGCTCTGCCTGGTCACAGGCCTAACCAGTATAACAGATCCTGGCTTCGTTTATAAAACAATTTATTATCCGCCCATACCTTTCACAAAACATATCATACCATACCAGATCGACGTAGTATCTAAGTATGATGGATCTTTTGTCAGCGTGACCTACACACTAGAACAAATACGAGGGTTGTCACTCATGATAAAACTTTCCAACATCATCGAACACGGCTAGCGGTTTCGGACTCCTGATGCTGCCACAAATGTTGTGAGTATCCTTGATTTGCCATGGCCGTCCAACACGCTATACTGTAATTTACATTCCAGGAAACTCAGAATGGCGATGATCGGCATGAGGAGCGTCTTCTTCATGAGTGCGGTCCAGCGCTACTGTACATTAATGTAATTACAATCGTTCACCTGCTGATATAAGATCATGCAAATATTCAAAGTCTTTAGCCACTGCGTTGTACAAACGAAAAGAACACAAATGGTCATACCTAAACATCTGCTTTCATTCGCTTAGCTTCAGACGTAACCTCCGACGCACTTCGCTTTCCCAGACCGGTGGGAGTTGGATGAGCTGGAGCCGCCGAAGGATATGCATAAACATCTGGATACGCTGAGTAATATCCAGTGTCAGAATACCACTGTTGGCCATATCCATAAGCATCATAACCCTCTCCGTAATATTCCGTTCCATACGATGCTTCCTGAGGATAAGTATGGTATGATGCAGCATATTCGGCTGCCGTGTAGCCATAATGCTGTTGCGAATCCATGGGGGCATTGAATGTTTGCCTAGTTGATGTAGAAATTGCACTGCTCGGTGGAGCAAAAGATGCAACTGCAGGTCCCTGATTCTAGTACCGTATAACACAACAGTATTACATGAGCAAACGAATGCCTTCCTATGCGACCCACCAAATCTTACCGGTGCCTTTGGTCCAATTGCATTCGCTTTTGCCGCTGCCTCCTCTGCTTCCTTCTGGAGTTCGGCTAGTTGGTCGTCCCAATTGAATGTCTGTCCCATTTTTTGCGTAACAGTTCCGATACTCGCCGTGTGACCATCCCAGATAACTTTTCGACGTTCCGAATCCTTCTGTTGCTGCTCTTTTATTGTCTTTTCAATATTAAACTCGTCACCAACAAATATATCCGGCCGAGTGCGTGCGAGTAGCTTTAAATTGGTTGATACAGTAGCATTATCAAGATTGGAATCCTTGTGCTTGTCACGAGCCTTGGCCCTTTGCTCCTTCCACTTTGGATCTAAAAGCTCGATTCGCACATGCTCTGCCATCTCTGAGGCAGGAACTGGCTGATTACACCGAGGACAGATTTGCGAAACTTGCTTCACCTTCAAACCTCTAGCTGCAGACAAAAGAGTGTAAGTTCAACCCGTCAGCACGCTCTACCCGTGTGAATATTCGGAAGCCTACCTTTTGGGACATAGTTTGTCCTGATCTTCATGCCAGGAAGCGGTTTGGGAATGGGTTGAGTCATGGCGGCGGTTAATCGGGAACGGTAGATTCCCCACAGAAAACGACGGATCCGAGACCCGCAGCGCAAGCTTGGGCAGGGATTGATTGAAGGTGGAAGCGCCAAGAATAGCATCTATTGAGTCACTGTGCCACTATAATGATGCCAAGTAAAGACACAGCCTTGCAATCGTGATGATGCAATCGGAAATGCGCGTGGGTAAGCAAATGGCCGATTGTTTGCTCACCTGGGGCCATTTCTTCCATTTTATTTACAAGTACTTGCTTTTCAACTTCTCCTCACCATCAACACTACAAACAGTATTCGACGCTATGGGCAGAATTAAGAACCTCAACCCTCACGTTCCAAATGTTGCCAAAGTCGGTCGGGCAACCATCCACTCTCCCCTTCCAGACAACCTGGCTGCCGACCTGGCAAAGGCAACGTCCATTTTGGAGCATTTTATCAAAGGAACCAACCAAATGGATGCTGCACTAATTCCACCAAAGATTATTGCGAATGCTAAAGGGTAAGGTATCCTGTTGAAAGGGTAAGGTGGCTATTGTTTATGGGGGTCAACAATGAGATAGAGCGAGAACATACACTCACTTTTTCGTTCTTTCTGCGGCTATCCAGTATTGCAGTCATTACGATCTTGAAAGCGGGTTTCCTATGGTCGGGCCGGGCGGGATCAGGCATTGTCGTTGCAAAGCTTCCTGACGGACGGTGGTCTGCTCCGTCAGCCATCGCTGCAGCGGGAGCAGGTTTCGGAGCCCAAATCGGTGCGCAATTGACGGATTGTGTGTTTATCCTCAACAATGATGCTGCAGTCAAAGCATTCTGTCATGGTGGAAATTTGACTCTTGGCGGCAACATGTCAGTTGCTGCAGGCCCCAAGGGCCGTGCTGCAGAAGCGGCTGGTGGTGAGTGCGTTAATGTAGATGCATTTCAAAGGACAAGCTAACTCATCCGCGATTTGAAAATTGTTTCACAGCGGTCGTTAATTTTGCCCCCATTTACTCCTACTCGAAAACGAAAGGTCTTTTTGCGGGCGTGTCCCTAGAAGGATCCGTCATACTCACCCGCAACGACGCAAACAAGGAACTTTATGGCCGAAAGGTTTCTCCAAAAGAGCTCTTGAGCGGTGAAGTTACACCGCCAGTCCAAGCTGAGGGTCTCTACAGAGTCCTAAACTTCAAATTCGGCAGTATGGGCACAGGCGTACCTGTTCCCCATCCAGTCGCACAACGCACATCCACGAGGACAGCAGCAAGTGCTCCGGCAAGCAGGGGTGGTAGCGTAAACCGCGTAGGAACGATATCGAATTCGACAGGAGACATACCGAAATCAGCAGTAGTAGCGGATAGTGGAACCATATCAAAGCGTGCCCCTCCACCACCCCCGCCAGCCGCTGTAAAATCTGCCACCACAAAAGCGACAGCTTTGTATGACTTTATCGGGGAAAGACCTTCTGACCTATCCTTCAAGAAAGGAGATCTTATTACCATTATAAAGGCCGGAGGGCCGAATGATTGGTGGGTTGGGAGTCTTAATGGGAAGGAAGGTGATTTTCCAGGGAATTATGTGCAGGCTTGATTGCGTCAGTATTTGCGTAGTGATTGACATAGCTGGTGGAGTTTTGAGCGTTGGACAACACGAGCGAGTAGCATTCTAGTACACAGATTTGTCACGTTTCATATAAGAACCATTCTTGTCCTCAATTTGTGTCCCTGTACTTACCTGACCACCGTAGAAGGGCTTCAACTTGGATATTGTTTGCACAGTTAGACAACATACATGGGCATTGTGCTCGCAAGCGACTTTAACAAGCCCTCCAAGCACTCCACACAGATCCATGTAATGGATCTCCCCTTATCAGGTGGGCTTCAATAGCAGAAGAAATTTGACAAAGGTTCCCTCTTGGTACGTCACAGGAGACTTACCGTACACATACGAACTTACGACCGGTACAGAATGTTAAAGAAATGCCATCAAATCTCAATTTCATTATGAACGTTATGCATATACACTAGGAAACACAAATGGAAAATATCTCACAGCAGACCTTGCCTCTTGAGATCTGCAAACACAAATCAAATTATGAGCTCACTCTCCATAAATAGAGCAGAAAGGAGCAGAGACCACATACCGTCATATGTCTTCTTATTAAACACATTCCCATCCGCGTCCTCGAACTCTTCCATAAGGTCAGCCCGAAATTGCTCCGTTTTCGAACCTTGTTTCAGGCGCTCCCAAACTATAATGAAATGATATGCATGTTAACAGAGGTATGTTCAGGTAAGACTGATATAGCGCGAGACTTACGTGCATACGCATCTTCGATTAATGTGATCTCGTGGAAATGTCTCGTGTTGGGTATACCCAAACACCGCATCCCGTGTGCATGTCGCCATTCTTGGAAATGTCGATCAAATGCTTTCCGACCCATATATACGAAATTTCCGCAAATCTCGCAGGGGTATTCCACACCGAGACCGTGCAACTTGTACAACCAGTAAGGAATGGGCTTGCCATCCCATCCAAGTGGTAGCTTTAGGGGGTTATAGATCTTCTCTTCTTCTTCTTCCTCCTCCTCGCTAAGTTCGATTTCCTCCACAGCATCTGCCACCTAGATGAAATAGATTATTTACTTACGATATCTGAACGAAGTTGTCGTATGAACTACCCACCAGTTCTTCCGTTGTTAGGGTTTGCTTCCTCTCCACATGCGCTTTTGTCTCGTCTCTTTGTGCTGAAAGTATTGAAACATATTCCTTGACCAGCTGCTCGGCCATCGCAATCGGCTTCATCTTGTCTCGCTCCTCCTTTTCCTTTGCCAATCGAGCCTTTTTCTTTTCCTCAGGACTGATTTCTGTCACACCCTTTTCCAACAGCGCTGACGCGGCCTTTTTGTGCTTCTTTCCAGTGAGGTGGGCAGTGTAAACACTCTTTTTTGAGAATTGTTTGTTACCTACGCAAGAGCACAACTAAGCCAAATGTCTTGTAGATTACTTTGATCATGAATCTGAACTTACAGGCCGGACAGAAGAGTTCTGCGTTCTGATCGATTTCCATTGCACCATCCTGCCTCCAGCCCACCACGGTTCCTGCCTCCCAACTTGGTTCAAACGTTGCCATCACCCCTTGACGAGTCTCACGGAGATCAAACAAGGGTTGCGACCGTTCGAAGAAACTCTCCAGATAGGTTTGCAAGGTTTGTAGGTATCTGCGGGGCCACAAAGCTTTTAGTCCGCTTCGTTGTAAAACAGCTATAGTAACGACAGAATACTGACGTTGCATATGCTGGTGATGACTTTATCTCTCGCGGGATGCTCTCAAACTTTTGGAATTGATCCAAGTACTTTAGGTAGTTCACTTTGTTCACCTTCTCCAAGTTGACATACTGATCGAAAGCTTCATGCATATCGAGATATTTGCCTAGAGCTTCCTCTCCTGAAAACATCTTCTCAAGCTCTAAAGAGGAAAGAATTAAGGGCATTGTCAAGCTTAGCACTCGAGAGGAAAATGAGCCCACCTTCCTCTTCCTTCTCCAAGTCTCTTTCTTGAAACTCCAGCTCCATAGGCTCTACTGCCGCATGAGGATACCGTCTATGGTAATCCTTGATATCTCTCAATCTCGCATAGAACTCTCCAAAATCTGACGCCCCAGTTATCGCATCAATTTCAGCCTTTCGTGACCCATCAACATCCTGATACAGGTCCAGAAGGTATTGGCTTCGTTGCTGAACACGTTCTACAAACGTTTTCACCCGGTGTTCCTGGACTAGTTTCTCTTTGTGGGCTTTGGGTTTCGTAAGGAGTTCCTGGACGGTAGCTTCTTCAACTCTCTCTATTTCTTCGTGCGCCTTTCGTTGAAGTTCTAGTATTGAATTCATATTCAGTGGCAGAGGGAAGCGATGGGAGGGTGGTTTGTGCGAGGCGGATGTCAACGGTGGAGAGCTCTTTAATGAGATGAAGCTTCGATCGCAGATCGCAGATCAACCAGCCTTGCAAGAGCACTTGGTCTGCGCAGCGATTGGTTGCCATAGCAGCAGCTGCATCCCAATTCAACTGTTCACATCGCAAATTGCTCCATTGCTCCTATTTGACTAGCTACCCAAGAAACATACCTTCAAAATGAGCATGGGTTCGAGGTAGATATCGTTTGTTAGCTCGTCGCTTTTTCCTATCTCACACAAGAACTTCTCATTTATCAGCTGGCAACGCTTTTCCCGGCCGGACCCACCGGAACGCGGGGCATTCCCGCTGGACCTCAACGGCGAATGCAAAGACCTAGTAAAAGTTTACTTGAGCTGCGTGAAACAAGCAAAAGGAGATAATACGAAATGCAAACCCCTAGCTAAAGACTATTTGAAATGCCGAATGGACCAGTTGAGTGATTTGAATATGCTCTTGTTACTCCAGTGTACATATATCTCAACGAGATATGTCATATCTAGCGGTTTAATGACAAAAGACGAGTTCACAAATCTAGGATTTCATGATGAACTTGCAGCACAGAAGAAAATACCTAGCGAATCAACGTCGTAGTCACCTAATCCCCGTGTACATAAACCCTTGTAGATAGAGCAATTGTATGTAAACTAATTCACTACTTGATCTTGACTCGAGATATCGAATATACAGTCTATTATGAAGCAACGTGAAGTATCTACATTATCTCAAGCTCAAGCTTTGCTACCACTACCAAGGGCCTCCAATTGCTTCATAAAAGCCTTTGGCGTGACCAATTCGGTTGATCCATATGTAATCCGCTTTCGCTGCACGGACGCTCGCTATTCAAAACACATTCATTACTATGGCCAACATGTTTCGGTCATCAACGTACTAAGCGTACCTGAGTGTACTCTGTTAGGTTTTGGTACTCCAGATAATTTCCACCCCCCACAACAAACACGATGGCCTCCTGGAAAGGCGTTCGACTACGCTGCTGCTTAGGAGCAGCACCCCGTGGCAGTTTGGGGTCCAGATAAAGATACTCCTCCGTGTCGGGTCCATCTTTGTGTTCCATCATCGCATCCACTATCCGAGTCGCAGGGCAGTCCTTGCGAAGAGGGAGCAAATTCTTCACACCAGACACCAAGTTCTCAAAATGGCCAGACACCCCCGCATCTTTCAAATGATCGGTAAGCTACAGTATCGTTACACATTTAGTCCGTGAACAAGAAGTGCACCATAACATACGCCTGCACCTTAGACCCAATTGAAGTAAATCTGCCCAGTAGATCATTAGCCGCTGATTGCTGTGGTGGAGGCACATTCGCAACAGTATTCATTCGGGAGAATGCCCGTACCCTTGTAATATCACAAAGCCTTGGTTACACGGGTGACGGTCGGCCAGCACAGACTGTTTACTCACTGTTTGAGATAGTGAACGGCGTTCACGTTACAACCCGCTTCTGCTAAGGCAGTCTCGTATTCGCCCAGATCTTCTTTTGAGACAGCTTCGGTAGACAGATAGTAGACACTGAACAGTCGAAGTTTATCGTCGGGAGATTTCTTCGGATCTCTTATGGCTTCCATTATGTTGCCCTTACTCTGCATATTTCGGTGCCATTGTTACAGACAGCTTCTTATTGCCAATTTCTCAGTCTACGACGATACCTGTTTTGAAATGGACTCCTCCATGGAGAAGAACTGATCGAGATGTCGCTCCTGAATCGTCCGTAGCAAGGCCGTTGCAATGTTCATATGCATATCCAATAGCCTCTTTCGCTCCGTCAATTCCGGCAGTTGCTTAATTGCTGACGTCAGTCCTTTGGCACCGCTGCTAAAATCACTATAGACGATGGAAGTTAACAACGGTCATGTCGCCAGGCATTTGATAAAGCCCTCACTTTGGATCTACTTCATCCAAAGAGTTCACTCCACATGACTTTGTGACTTGATCCACGTCTGCCTTATATCGATTAATTTCGACATCGACGTCCTCTGGTAGGCGAGATCAGTTGACAGCTAGCAAAAAATCTGCTGAGGCAAGTGGCCCTTCCTACCAGCGACTTGTGGGAACGGATTTGACGCGTTCTTTCTCCAGAAAAAGTCGTTGACGTCGATGTCAAAGGTTTTACGCTTTCGCTGCCCACCCTCTTCATCCTTTTTGCATAGTTCGCAATGGTTATTTATATGAACCCTGTCAGATGAGTAGTGCTGAACAGGTCTTACCACTATAGTCACCCTGTTCAACTTCATGTCAAAGATGTCATGCACCAGCGTTGCATATGTCCATGTGTGATTCAGCATCATAGTCAAGTCAAGATTTCGATCGAGGATAATCAGCACTGTCGAGCACATGTGGCACCGTTAGGTGCGCATTGCCGCCATAGCAGCTCCATCTTTGCCTTACCTGGTCGAGACAAATTCCTTGTCACAGACAGGTTATCCATGAAGAGATTTGCACGGGTATTCAGCATATGATCGCGTAATCTACTCTCAAGTTTCGTTGCGACCACTTCTGCCGCATTTCCTCGTTGACTACGGATAATAGGCACGACACCTATGGTGTAAGAGCCAGGAGCTCAGAGAAAAGTCATTGTTCGATATCAGGTGATATCCCATACCAAGCGTGACCAAAACGGAGAACAGTGAGCCGACGATTTTGTCCAGCAGTGACTCTATACGGGATTCGGATGACGTTGGGTCGTTAAGGCTTTGGTACGAATCCTCCATTTGCAGTGAAAACATGTTGTTATCCAAACAGACATAGTCGAGATATTGGTCATACACCTGTAGCATGAACGGGGATTTCTCAACATTGAGCGATCACGTCATTCAAGACAGGCTTTACTGGTAATGCAATGTACAAACCTGCGCAACGTCGCCCGACACACCCGTGGAAATAGCGGTCGCAGCGAGATCCTCCAAAAGAGGTCGAGGAACGGAAGACAAGAAGTTGATGTAATATGACTCGTACAATTGCTTTCCGAAATCCTACAAGCACCACAGCAATGCGGACCACACTTAGCGCACACTTATGAAAAGTGTTCCATTCCGGCCGCTTTGTCTTACATCGCCTATTCTCTTTATATTTTCGGCTGTGGGTTGGACCAAATAGATTGCGGGCACATCCGGAATCGGGAGGCGGTCACTGTATAAGGGCCTGGAGAAAGCTTTGCGATCAGCTTTCTGAAATACTACGCACCCGTGCTCAAACAGCCCCACAAAGCAAGGTTGCAATCCAAGAGTGTGTCAGTCAGGCTGAACATTAACTCACATATGGACGGTAATTCCCTGTTCGCGTAAATCGTTCACCTTTACCAACGGCGATATGACATCTTGCCCTAATTTGTCATAGATGAGAACCTTCCAGACGGGATCTGTTATCGCAAGCGTTGTGGTAGAAGACGCAGTAGCAGCCGACGCGGTATCTGGCAAAGCACTATCTACAATCGCATCCCTGGTGTTGAGGTTGAGCAAAGTGAAAAGGGCCTCTAAATGAAGGGGAACGCTTAGAGACCCGGACAACAAAACCATCGCTCGACTACATCCAAAATGTCACCTTTTTGTTGTTCCCTCAAAGACTTGGGAGCGCTCATTGCTAGAGCTAAGGTGTGCAGTTTCGACCTTCGAGCCCGTTGACCGATAGAGCCACGGACACTTGGCTGCGCATCGCCACACCCGCCTGTGGCACAGTCAGCTAGGACAATTGAAGCTGCGATTTCAGATGCCTCTGCATCCAAACTAAAGGCCTACTAGTGATGACACCGTAAGACAAATCAAAGAAAACAAAATACAAATGAGATCTATCGGCGCTTCAGCTACGCAGGACACAGCAGAGTGATGTTGTCCCCTTTAAGAAGGATCCTTCCTAGCTGCTTTGTAGTCTTGTCAGGTAAATTATGCTCTTCGGCATCATCCAACACCAAGTTCATGAATTCATCAAAACCCTACATGAAAGGAACATACTAAGCCTTGACAGGATAACATTAGACCAATACCGATCTTTTCACATACGAGGATCTGACCTTCCATCCTGATATCAACCTTTTCGAAAAGCCAGATCTGAACTCTTACTTTCTATCGTTCGTACATGAGCTAGGAAACGAGAGATTGTGCTTCCATCTGTCATACCTGCTGCAGCAACCGGAATATCAGGTTGATGGGTGCAACCATAATCTTTTGAGCTTTTACTGATGACATTTTGTTAGATGGCACTTTGGTCTGCAGCTTTGGGGAGGCAAGATGGAACAAAGTCTGTAAAAACACAGATCGCATTACGTACATTTCATTTCGGCTCAAAGAGGCTACATGACGTGGCTTAGGATCTGAATTCTTTTTGGCGGACGACACCGTCGACTTGCTGCATTCAAGAATGTGAATTCATGTCTCCGGTAAAGAAAATGACGATAAAAAAAGAGAAGAACCCTGGCCGAACGACAGGATCTGAAACACAGTCCATGTCTACGAGTGAGCTTCCGCAATCGGAGAACAGCAACCTCGAGTCGGATGCACCAAGAATCCCTGCTGACTCCACTGCAGCAACTCCACCGACAACACCCACCGCATCTACTAGCCAGCTACCTCCACATCCCGCCGACCGCTCCCGCACGACCCTTTTTGTCTCGACTATTCCTTATAATGCCACAAACGAGCAACTCCAAGAGTTCTTCTCGGAGATCGGTCCAGTACGGACCAGTTACGTTGTGGCCGATAGAGAGGCTAGCGAATTCAGGAACAAGGGTTATGGATATGTCACTTACGCCCTTCCTGAGGACGCACTCAGAGCCATAAAAGAGTTGAAAAAGACAAAATTCATGGGCGTGCGTACTTTGAAGATAGAGTACGCGTACAAAAAAAAAGTCGCAGAGGAAAGGAAGGCAGCTGGTCTTCCCGTAGAAGGGGAGACGCAGCCCATAAAGAAGATGAAAGCTGACGGAAATAAAACCGGATCCACTCCATTCAGTAAACCGCGAGACCGACCGACAACGATTCTGATATCCGGCCTTGGTGTGGATATCAACAAGAAGCAAATTTACAAGAAGAGCAGAAAGTTTGGTGACATCAAGGAAGTCATTTTTCCAGTATTAAAAGGCGACGTACCGGTTCCTGGTCAGGCCCTTGTTGTGTACTCCAGCGGAAAAGATGCGGAAAATGCGATCAAGCATCTTGACGAGCATCAGTTTAAAGGACACAAAATACAGGCCAAAAATGTAGCTGAAGAGCAAAGAGAAGCGAAACGAGCACGGCTGATTGTTCGCAATCTTCCATGGCAGTGTACAGTGGAGCATCTTCGCAAAGTATTTGGCAAACACGGCATTATTGTGGAGTGTTCTGTACCGCAAGGCGAGAACGGAAAAGCACGTGGCTTTGGATTTGTACAGTTTGCTACACCAGGGGAGGCGGAAAAAGCCACCGAAGCAATTAACGGGACCGAAATTATGAAGCGGACGGTGGCTGTTGATTGGGCCTTGCCAAAAGCACAGTATGATCGGGTAGTGGCGGAAGAAGAAGTTGGGGATGAAGAAGACATAGAACAAGATGACCAAGAAGAAGAAATTGGGGATGAAGAAGACATAGAAGAAGATGACCAAGAGGGAGAAGAAGAAGATGCCGAAGCCAGTGTCTACATTGATACCGAAGGAAGGGAGGAAGAACCAGAGGAAGGACAAAACCAGTCAGAAGAAGACGATGGGGACGATGATGGGGAAGAAGATGAGGATGCAGACGGAAGCAGAAGCGAAAGTGGTGAAGAAAGTGCGAGTGATGACATTGAAGTATCTTTTGATGACCGGAAGTCGGACGTGGAAAATGATATACAGGAACAACCGGTCCCAAAGCGACGAGATTCCGCAAACAAAGGATTGAGCGCTAATGTCACCGAGAGTTGTACATTGTTCATTCGAAACCTGTCCTTCGACACTTCTGAGGAAGAGCTGTCTGCCGCGTAAGTGCCTTGTATACAAAAGCCTGGCCTGTCATGTTTATCTTACGGTGAAAAACTAGATTGTCTACGTTTGGGCCTCTCCGGTACGCCAGGATTACAGTTGACAAAAGTACTGGTCGATCTCGTGGAACTGGTTTTGTCTGCTACAAGCGGCAGGAAGATGCTGCTGAATGCTTAGCCGCATATGATAAGGCAAGCAAAGCAGCGGCGCTACTTGAAGCGGAAAATCATGTTGGCGATGCGGATGCAAAAGCCGCAAAACGTCAGAAAAAGCTGCAACCTTCCAAATCGATTCTAATGCCAGAACCGTCTCTGACCGCCGGTGCCACTCCATTCCTTGTCGGTGGTCGCTTCCTTAATATCACGCTGGCGGTTAATCGCAAGCAAGCTGCTGAGCTTGCGGAAGAAGGCAAACTGCGCCGGCGGGCAGAAGACAAGCGGAATTTATATCTCATGAGGGAGGGTGTGATCTTCCCAGAATCCGACGCCGCCAAAAGCATGACACCTTCCGAGCTTTCAAAGCGACAGGAAAGCTTTGCTCAAAGAAAGCGATTGCTCACGATAAATCCTAACCTATATATATCCCGTACGCGGTTGAGTGTACGGAATTTGGGGCTCAAGGTAGACGATAAAGAGTTGAAAAAAGTCGCGTTGCTTTCAGTGAAAAAATTCTGGGACGAAGTGAAGAAAGGGGAGCGCGAGGGAATGGAGCCTGAGGTAATCAAAGAGGAAGAGGATGAAGGCCGGGCAGCTCCATCTGGTACCCGAAAGACAGTTCTGAAACAAGCCAAGATCCTGCGGAGCAAAGATCGCATCGACGGAACTACAAAACTGCCACGGTCTAAAGGTTACGGTTTCATTGAGTTTGAATCACACGCGGACGCACTTGCATGCCTTCGATGGTTGAATAACAACCCACGGGCATTTGCACCACCACCTTCGAAGAAGGAAGATGCTGACATGCAGGCCATTGAAGAACCGACTTCTTCGCGCGGTAAGCGCCCCATTGTGGAATTTGCTATTGAGAACCGCCAGGTCATGAAAAGAAGAGAGGAGCGCGAGGGACAGCATAAGAGTGCTAAACGTAAGCGTCAGGGTGAGGAGGATGGTGAGAGCGGTCAACCGGCGAAGAAGCGATTCGGCGAGACATGGAAAGAAAGAAGGTTGGCTCAAAAGGCGAAGAAACTGTTGAAACAGGGCGATACGCCGAAAGAGCAAGGTGTGGCCGCTGGAGCTGCGGTTGAGACCCACAAAAATCAAAATGCGGCGAAAAACAACAAGCGAAAGCGGGATCAGGGCGGCTCAGAGAAGATAGGCCCTGCGGCGAAGAAGAACGCGAAGGAACCAGGGAAGTCTAAGGATGGCAAATTGACTCCCAAGGTAGCGGCAGAGATCAAGCCCAAACCAAAGTCCACTGCGGTCCCAGCACCTCCAAGCGAGGACAAAAAGAAAAAGAAGAAGCCAAAAACCACTAAAGTCGAAAGACGAGACCAACGAGAAGAACAGAATTTCGATAACTTAGTGCAGAAGTACAAGAAGAACTTGTTTGGCGGTGCCAGCAAGGAGGCATCACGGGGAAGTACAACAGGTGGGGAAGGTGGGATCAAGAGATGGTTTGCGTAGTCTTACATATATCTATCATGTTGCAATTTGTGTTGGAATCGTAATCGAATATGCTTATTAAGATTTAAAGATATGGCACATGGCAATGATCATACCAGATGGCTAACTGCGGAAAAGCACATCTCACAGGGGTCACTTCCAACAAAATGGAATTATGCCCAACGCCCAATGATGGCCATGGCCAATGCGCCTAACCACAGGAAGAAAAAATGAAGAAGCGTCTCCTTGCTTGCTGTCCGCCACGTCTGTGCCTGGAAATGGGGGACGACGATGTTTACCAACCCATCATAAAGTAATATCCCTGCAGATAAGGCATCGAGGACCCCAGTCGAGATGAGGGCCTGCGTAGCATTCTCATGATCTAATGGCGGAACAGTCGTTCATCATTCGTTGCATCAAATTGAGCAATATGAAAATGATCGGGTAACTTACAATTGTGATTCAAAGCGATTCCTATAATGATGCCCACGGGTGTAGTCAGCGAATAGAACAAGACCATGCCGATTGCTATCATCTTTTTCTTAAGGTCAGCGTCCATGACGACAGTAGACACAGCAAGGCCTTCAAAAAACTGGTGGAAGCATAACGCAATAAGGAGACCTTTAAACTCCTCCCGCGCGGCACCTAAAGTAACTCCGATGATGATAGAGTGGGAGGCGATCCCAAGTTCAAGAACATAGGTCATGACAGTTTTCTCTGCGTCTGCTAAGATCAGACTGTGAACATGTGCTTCGTCTGCATGGCTGTTCGCATACTGGTGTATCATATGAGGTTCAGGTTGGCCCCGTTCGAGGGTTCTGGTCCTGACATCGTTTGCATACGCGGTGGTTGAAGTGTCGGAGGCCTTGTGCTTCCCATGATGTAGAATTACCATGGCGCTGTATTGCATGAAATGTGCAAAAAAGGCGCCGAGGAGAGCAATGGCGCCAGCCCATGCCGAGTAATCCTGAAAATGGGCTGGCAGGCAGGGATCGGTTAGCTGCATCTGAGCAGGCATCAGCATGTGGATAAAGGCAGTGGCGAGAATTACGCCTGCCCCAAAGAGCTTGAGACATTGAAATGGGAGCTTCCCAAACTTTTGACGATGGGGAAGATGGTGTTTATGGTTTGCGTTTCCTACCACAACACTACAATAACTTGCTCACCTTCTCTTTCGCCGTCCTTCTTCCCAAAATTGGTAGCATGGTTCCCAGAAAGGACAGTGCCATAATGATAAAGATGGCAGCAATATGAAGTGCCATGTTGTATTCTCCTTCAACCTCCGCCGCACACGGATCTGCCGCATTATCGGGAGCGTCCATTGGATCGTTAGAGAGTGGTCAAAGTGGATCTTATTTGAAATTGCGAGAGGAGAGGTAGTTGGAGTTGAAGAAACGAACACTTATTGACGCGAGAAAAGGGGGGTAGACGGAGAGCTGGCCTTCCTTCCACAGTAGGGGCGGTTGGCAAACGCTTTTGAAAAGTTAGCGAGGTCATGACCGTGTTTTATCGACTAATTGAATGTGTCATTACCTACTGAAGAGTATAGCTTATTCAATTGACGAGTGAGCCGAGCGATAAGACACGTAAAGCTTTAGAGACAAAAGGCCGAAAGACAGTTCGGAGGGGCGGGGATTCTAGATTACTGAATTTCGAGTGCCTCACCGGTTACTGCGCCTCACACGAGAATTAAGGTTTGGCTGGTACCTCGGGTCGCGTTGGCAAATCGTCTATTAGCGAAGGACAGTTTTGCTGGTGACAGTGAACGATGGCTTCCGCCTACGGTGCAATAAGTGGCCCACAGTCCAGAGCGGAGCTACCCCTTCCAATGCAGCTAACACTCAAGGATGGCTTCACCGCAACGCTCAGCAGGGTCGAATCCTTTGACACCGAGTTGACCGAACGCATTCGTTTGCTTTTGAATGCAGAGATAGAAGCGGGAAATACCTATCCTCAGGTGATGGATTGAAGCTGAAGCCACGTCATTCCCCAGCTCTACCTTGTCGCAGTTTGCTGATATCTTGTGACACAATCAGGAAGAAGCGTTAGATGAGGCGTCTTTTGCAAACTATTTTTTATCTGGGGACGCTTTTGCTGTTCGCAGGAACTCTGACCATGAACTGCTTGGGACTTTTTACATCAAACCAAACTTTCCTGGTCGTTGTTCACACGTGAGTGCATTCTGTTTCCCCGGAATGCCTCCGCCGCGTGCCTAATCCCTCCGTGGCTGTTAGATATGCAACGGGGGATTCATAGTCTCAGGAGCATCGCGCGGACTAGGGGTAGGTAGAGAGATGGCAAAAGCTTTCTTGGTCTTAGCGCCAATACTTGGATATCAAGCATCCATGTTCAATCTTGTATTTGAAACAAACACTGCCTCGGTGAACCTCTGGCAATCGCTGGGATTCCAGCAGATTGGAAGGGTTCCGAAAGCCGGTCGTCTCCGACGGAGCGATGGGGAAGGAGAAGTGTATGTAGACGCATTAGTTTTCTACTACGATTTTACAAACTTAGCGTCCTGAGGCTCTCTGAGAAAGTGCGTGGGCAATCATATATATGTATTTAGTTCTTGTGCCAAGAGGTCAAGAAAGGCTTGACTCACTAAATAGCAAATTCGGCAATTCCCTCAACATCTATCCTTACACGCCCATCGCTATCCAAACGCGCCCATTCTGTCGTCAATTTCACAGCATCACCCACTGCATCCTCCACCTCCCGCCGAATACCTGCTTCGGCCATTCCGTACATGTCCTTTGGAATCCAGAGAGTCAAGGGTGCCGAACGCGCAGATGGGGGCGCCAGCTGTTCGGTAAAGTCTGAGGGTCCAAGATAATGTCGCTGCGGATTGGCCATTGCGGAAGCATTCACCCGCGGGGAAGTTGAAGGCACTGACTCCGGGTCCATATCAGAATCGTCATTTGAGGCATTTGATTCGGAATCGTCGCTGGCTGCTATCGACTCGGACCTCAGTATAATGGGGTTTTCTAAATATAGCTGATCCGTTTGCGGTGCTGGATGTTCGTTAGAATGCTCCTGTTGTTGTTTGGACTCGGAAATTGTTTCCGCACTTGTTCCAGCTTTTCTTGACTTGTACCTCTTCTTCACCTTTGCAAGCACCTTGTGTATGCGCTCAGCCGTCTGTCTAGTTATCCGTTGATTCCATTTCAAGATCTCGGCTGAGCCTTTGGCAATTTTGTTCTCGTTTCGGCGCACCCGATCGCGTACATACATTCCCTGCTCCGCATCCTCTACCGCATCCGTCCCAATCATTCTTTCTTCCATTTTTAACACAGCCTTAGCCGGGGCCGCGGCCATAAGGGGTTTGTAGAGATCGGCGTGACGGTGGCATAAAACGGTTATAGCCAGAGCAATCGCCATGATTGCGCTTTGAGCGAATGCCCTCTTCAAAAGAAAAAGACCCAGCAGCACGAGCTGGTGAAGGTACACGCCCACAAAAAGCTGACGAGCGGCTGTATGCAGGTATAGTCCACCGGTTTGAGCCAAATGGCTGTAGACATATCTGTGGAAAACCGCAAAAAATGAATCGCATGCATAGATAACATGAAGAATCCTTACTTACTGCATCTGATACCCATAAGCAACGGCGTAAGATCCAAAGTACAAAACTACAAAAACGAGTACCAGCGGTGCAACTGTACAATAGGTCAATCCAACTGTCGCCACGAACGAATGCTGAGCCATGATTGGTCCGGGCATGAACACATTTGTCTTGGACCATTCCTTGATACCCCGCGGTGTGACTCCGAACAATCTCAACATAGTTGGCTTAAGGATTAGAGTGGCGAGTTGCAGCAACTCTCCGGATGGACCACCGAGAGCGAGCAGCATGATGTAGTTGACGAAAAAATTTGAGACGGTCGGAATTGATGTGGCTAAAATGGAGAGAATCCGGGAAGGATATTCTATCATGTTGACAACGGCTGTGAATAATGAACCGGATATTGTTATCACTAGGAGAATGTTGAAAACCTGTTAAGTGTCAGACGATGAATAGGATGAAGAAGCTCTGGTACGACAAATAGTAAGTTACCAGAAATATGTAATAGAAGACCAACAATCGCCTTTCGATCTGTGTATATGTTGGTTGTCCAGCAAAATGTGATAAACCTGCCCGACCGACGAACTTCAGTGAATAAAGCAAAACGACACGAGCGATAGAAACACAGAAACTGACGTCTCATGATTATGGGAATCAGCTGAAATACCACAGATACTGCGACCGTCGGGACAACACCTTGAATGACTCCTCTGACAGCAGGACTAAAATTGTTGAAGAAGCCCAAGAAAGGGGCGTACTGAAGCAGAGATAAATCCAACTTATCTCTGTAACTGTGGTACTTTAAAACTTACGTAGATCAACTTATCAAGAGAAGCTAGGGAGGATAAAAAGGTAGCTTCATGATGGGAAAAAGACGTCAGCACCCAAGCTATGAATTCAGTACAGTCTGGATACTCACTGATGGTAGCCCAGAAAACTGTCACGGTTAACGTTACTGCCGTTGCAAGCAGCATTCTGCCACGTCTTTGCAAATACGGCACATCCAGATTCTCCCAGCTAGATCGATTGAGGAACGTTTAATGGCCTCGAATATGATCTTTTACTGACAACATCTTACATAACGTCATCAGGGTTTACACATGCATAGCGATCGGCCATTACTCCAGGCCTGTCGTGTATATGGGCAAGAGCGGCAACGTGAGGTGAAAATATGTCTGTAAAAAGGACGAATGCGGCGCCTTGGTAAGATTTTTCCGAAGAATAGAGTCGGAGACGCCTCGTGGTGTGCTTTCTGCACACTGCCTGAAGTGTTTGGAGGCTTGTGCTTATGGCGTCTGCTTTATGCCCGAGAACGTACATTTTGCGACGTGTTGGACGGCGGACGGAGAGAGGAGATGGAGACGGTGGCAATGTCTTGGACGATCGCCCTGCGGCTTCTGTCTCATTGTTGGGTATGGGTGAATCTATACATTCATCCCACACGAAAGATGAATCAATGCTGCCCACAAACATCTCTCGCCGTTCTTCCAGAGAGGTGTCAGAAGCGATCTGAATGGCGATTGAATTGTCCACTTTTTTATCGGGGCATGGATTATCCGTTTGCTCGTCAGAGGAACCTTTGACATCGTATTCGTCTGGCGATATCTCCATTTCCGTTAAACGATTTGAGTCTGAAGCGTGAGGTCGTTCGACGGGGCCTTCCTCATTGTCGCGATGATGAATTTCTTGCATCTACGGTGGAATAACAATTATGATCAAAACATACGATAGCGTGCTTTTATCGTGCAAGTCCTGTAACCGCACCTCTGTGCCAATTTCTTCCTCATGTGCTCCCTGTTCCAGATCTGGCGTGATACTACCCTTTCGTCTATTGCCCCCCTGCTTTCGCATAATGTTTTGCAAGTATTTTGTTATCTCCTTCTCGACGGTATCTCTTGCAGTACGACGTCTCTCCGCATATCGCTCCAATGTTTTGCTTCTTTTCAATGCCACCACTGCGTGGACACATCCCGGCTGAACCCGGTCGAATAACCGGTGGAGTTTCGTGGGATCGCGCAGACGTTTGGGAATGTCCCGAATGAGGAGAGAGTAACCGGATACCGAGAGACGCTGGTCGTTGCTTAAAAGAAAGGAATGTCGGAGTTTTGTAGCTTTGGCCAGGAGTTGTTGGATTGTGAACATGCAAGCAACTTTTCCGAATTTAGCTCCTGCGTTATGACTGTCTGCCATCTTGCTAATGAAAGTACTCACGACTGTAAATCCAACTGACTACCAGATGCGCCCATAGTCTCACGGTTTCCCACGGCGCAATATTTGCCAGCGTCAAGCAGTTCAATCCGAAAAGGCTCTGCCCACCAGTCGCGTGTAATGGGAACAAGGTGATGATAGCCAGTCCAGCCAAAGATCCGAAAAATTTGAACATTGCCCGCATGTAAAATACTGTTGCGTAGGCATCATGTCCGCATTTCTCTATGAGAGTTTCCTCGGATGCCCATATGCAGGATTTGAGGAGTTCTAACCCCTTGAGTGATGATGTGCGTTGCCTGGATTCGATGATCCTTCAGCGGATCTGCCGCGAAACCGCTCATAAGACTCTTTTCGTTACGAACCTTTCTGGAAGTAGATATGTCCTTGGAGAATAGACCAGTGGCACACGGGTTCTGAGGACCCAGAAAGCCCCATAAAAGCCTAGCTATATGGTTCAAAAGACCTTGTTAAAACCGAGGCAAGACGTTGGAAAACTTAGGTGTCTCAAACATACGGCAACCAGGCTATTGAAAGTCAGTGCAGATAGAAAAGTTGGAATACTCGTTTGGCCTGCAGATTCTAGAATTTCTTGCTGGCTGGGTGGGACACCAGACATGGCTGAAATATGAACGAAGAGCAAGATCGGACCAACATCGATCAGCACTGAGATCAGCAGAACATCGTTTCCGAAATTTCAGTCATAAATGATATCAGGCCCGGACTAAATAAGGTTATTTGTTTTGCGTGTGACCCCATAGCTTGTCCCTATATGACGTTTATTTTTTGGGATATCCTCGTAGGACTACTGTCCTCAAAAGTCGGCGGACGGATATCAACGCGCTACGTAAGCATCTGGCACGTGATGGCAGATGCAAACATTGCACTCTAGTTCATAGTCCTCCCGTCGTTCACGGATCCCGGACCCGCTCGTCTTCCTTATTGCCAACATGGGATTCTGGACAGCATTCTTAACAACCCTCGGGATCGTCCGTCGGAGGGTCTCAATTCTCATACTCGGCCTCGACAACAGCGGCAAAACGACCATCATCGCTCACTTCATTCGTGCATCATCAGTACCTGCAGCCCCCTCTCCAACCTCGCCGCCCCCCATTGTTCCGACCGTCGGCTTTTCCTTGGAGAAATTTGACTACGAGAACTTGAACTTTACTGTCTTTGACATGTCGGGACAGGGCCGATATCGAGAGCTTTGGAAACATTACTATGATGACACGGATGGACTAGTCTGGGTTTTGGATGCTGGGGATAAGGAAAGGATGGCGGTGGTTCGTGAAGAATTATGGAGTGTTTTGAGTCATAAAGGTGGCCTATTTTGGCAAACTTAGATTCACCCCAAAAATGGCTGACTCCACCCTCCAGCTTTGCAGCAAAAGAAGATTCCCATAGTCTTTTTTGCCAATAAAATGGATCTGGAGGGTTCTCTGACACCGCAAGAATGCATTGCCGCGTTGGGATTAGAGGAAATCAGGGACCGTAATTGGAACATTGTGTGGGTGTCCTTGTGTGGTCTTGAATTAAAGCTTCCTCGTACTAAGTTCAATTGGATTGATGTGGCATGGCTGGGCATCTTTACAGTGCATCAAGTGCCGTGAATGGAGAAGGACTAAATAGAGGGCTCGAATGGTTGGCAGGTACCTTTGGTGATGAGGACACTGTCATCTATACACGACCAGCTCACGTTAGTTGATAGGTCAGCTTAAAGAACGATAACCTGGCAAGCGGAATCAGATACGAAAACATGATCGAAGATATATTGTACAAGATGAGGCTCTAACCCCAATGAGTTTACGTGATTTATAACAGGCAAGCACAAACATTACGTATCTAATCGTCCCCTAGGACAAATTCCACACCATCCTCTCGCACTCTATGATCACGCGATTCCATATGTGGTGGCCCAAAAGCATTGTGAGATTCGCCACTACTTTTCCCGGGGGCGTCGGCTTCTATTATGTCTTCGCGAACGACAAAATTCTGGTCGTAATCAATGTCGGCCTTAACTCCTCGGGCATCTCTGAGAAAGTCGAGAAGCTCGTTGGCGCCCTCAAGGGATCTGAAAACCAAGTCCCAGTAGCGTTCATTGGGAGGGGTAGGCGCGGTGGTCGAGGGTGGTCTATTGGGCATAGCCATCGACTCTGTAGTTAAATCCTCGCCTGCCTGGGGAGCGCTCTTCTGCTCAGTTGAGGCCTCGTCCACACTCGGAAACTTTCGGTCGCCGAACACAATTCTGACCCACCATCCCCATCCAGCCGTATTTCCTTCCACCTCCTCTGATTCTCTACCCCATGTCCATTCCCGTGTCCTTCCCCTCCCAGCGAAATCTCGGCGTTTCCCTTTTCTCCAAACCCCCACATAACCATTCTGTACAACATCCCCTTCCCCCCTTCCAGTACCGTTCCATCTCCACGTTCGCCATCGCTCGCAGCGTACCACGTTGTCCACCTTTCCAATATCTATGACACGCGACACCATTCCTACCGCATCGCTGATGAGTCCTTTCATATCATCGGATGTTTTCGCGTAGGAGCGTGAGTTCACCGATTCGTTTACCCATTGTGGAACATTCGTTTCCGGTGGGAAAATAACCGGAGGCCATACGTCGTGTCGCTCCACAAATAGGTATATAAACTCGTTCGTAGCTGCCAGTGTCAATGGGTGCACCGCAATAGCTGGGAGAGAAGAGGCGGATACTGGATGTATGACAGTTAACAAACCAACTAGGAGGTATGTCTTCAGGAAATCAGCAGGAGTTTTGTTGTCTTGAACTGATCCGATGACATTTAGAGCGGGATCCTCGTCCTCGTCCGTAAGCAACGATGTGACCAACGTGTTCGTGGAAGATGGGGAAGCGTATAGCCGTGAGTGAGCTGTCTCATCTACTTCACGTTTCCCTAGCAATACTCTTCCGAGCCATCCTCCGCTTGAAGTGATACTAATTTTGTCGCCTGCCCTCGCCGAGAGCCACTCGAAAGGATAACCTGCTTCTTTCTTTCCCCTCCGTGCCAGCACCTGTTCTTTAATATCCAGTAAAGCCCATTCTACATTCTGGTTAATAACGTTGAGTCCTTCCTCATCACCTGAATCATCTCGCAAACACTGAACGAACGCATTGAGAAAGCCTGCGGTAGTATCCTTATCCCTAGTAACCACCACCACGCTCTCCCACTGTCCACCATCTCCATAGCGGCTGGATTCACCTGGTCCCATGCCACCTGGCCCTATGGGGTGCACACCGCTTCCAAAGCCTCCGCCTCCACTGCTAGCGGGCGGGCCAGCACGAACATAGTAGCGAACAACGAAATATTGTTGATTGGGACCAACGTCGATCCGAGGGATACCTTTGAGCCGCACACACCGCACGAGCCGCAATAAAGACGAAATATCTGAATCATATCGGGTTTCTTGCGCATCTTGGTTCTTATTGCCGGTGAAGGGAAAGCGAAACTTTGGCTCAAAGATATATAGTCGCCGGTTAGTTAGCAGCACATAACATGGACGCTGGGCGGGTATGTATGTCGGCGCTCTCCACAATTCGTGATCCCCAGTGATGGATGTAAACCACCCTGTTTGTCGGGTTTTGATCCGACTGATATCATTCGGTATTTGCACAACGCACGATGCGGGTATCCAGCACAGGCACTTCTCTTCGTCCCCATCCCTCAAGACATTGAGGACCAAGTGGAGCTTCAAGGAATTCGTCAAGGTGATGAATGGTATCGTCGGGGCACTCGGGACTTGATGGCCTCCCGGTCCTTGACCCGATGCCATCCATGCTGGCATGGACGCGCAAGTGACCCCCGATCCTGCAACCGATCGGGCCACGCCGCCTACTCGCCCATACGCAGGTGCAGTAGCAAAAGATCGCCCACCGCTTCGAGTTGATACAGAGGGTGAAGTATTGGAACGCAAGGGACGAGAAAGTATAAGTGGTGGTGGTGGAGGAGGACTGAAACTAGCAACTTTTGCTGCGGTAGTAGCCCCCGCACTCAACATCTTCACTTTGGCTTTCTCCCCTTCCGCTAGAGTAACAAACCGGTCCCCTAAGCCAAGTGACGGTAAATTTGATTGTATGCGCCCTTTTTTCCCTGTCATTACATCGTCTTTAGCACCATGGGGATGGTAACTCTTGACTCCCTGAAATTCGTCCCTTGAACCTGCCTCAACATCTGGCCCAGAAGCAGTGCGGCGCACAGAGAATGCTTGGGCCGGTGGCTCTGATTGTAATTTGGTAGGTCCTTCGTTGGGTGCTAGTGCCAGCCATTTCACGTTTCCATTCGTTGCTCCACTCCGGACTGAAGCCGTGTCACCGACCGCCCGCCCATGATCAAAGAGTCGACGATACGGTCCAATATTTGCTATATGAGTGCCAACAGTGGGGACCGGTTCAAGACGCGGTAGAGGGGTGACCGGCTTTGGCGGCACCGGCGAGGCAACGCGGGGCTGTGCGGAAGTTTCTGGTAAAAGAGTGGCCCCGTTATCATGGATATGCAGTACATCTTGAGGTGATGCTGTTGCAGGCAGTACGGTGTCGGTCGGTGGCGTATGCAATTCTGTATTTGATGCTTTTGGGCCCTCGCGCCCAACCGCAGGCGTCTCGGAAAACTCTAATGCCTCCGACAGGGATAAGTGACTTAGAGTCGGCGTGACAATTGGGGAAGGGGTTATATTTGGCGATGTTACGGGCGATCCAATCGATGACATGCCGTCCCCTTGAGCAGATAATATGGACATGCTCGTTTGAGCTCTTGACTCCCCATTTTCCTTGAGCTTCCGTGTCTTGTGGCCACTGGTTGATTTTCCTTTGCCTGATTTTTTCCCAGCCCTGTTCACGACCAGATCCGCCGAGTCGACGATTGGCTTATCGTCAGTTATTATGATACTACTAGCCTCAATTGTTTTTTCAATCTCTGCAAAGCGTTGAACCCGCCTTGACGGGCCAGGCGAGAGAGAAATTGACGGAATTTCCTCCCCTGCTGTTGGTGATGTACTAGGGAGCTCCATTTGCGGGGTTTTGAGATTTCCATTGTGGACCTTTGATTTCCCCGGCCTCCGTTTCTTCTTCCCAACCTTCCTGCCAGTCTTCTCTGACAGTAGCGATGGCAAGTCGCTAGCTCGACTTCTTAGGTCGTCGTCGATTACGCTCTCTGAGTTATCTCGGGACAGAACAGATCTGGTCTTTCCGCCCGAAACCCGTACCGGCGGTGGAGAGCGATGTTGAGAGGGGACTGCTGCAACAGTTAGGTTCGCTTTGATGACTTTCTTCTCGGCAGCGGACGGCGGAACGCCATCGAGCAGTAAGCCCAAGGCACGAGACTTGAAATAAGTGAAGATATTCGTACGGTAATTCGGCTGATTGTCCCATAGGAAAGACAAAGCGATCAGAAAATGCCAGGCTTCCCCAAACTAGGAAATTGCAGTTAGGATACTAACCAACTTGGTTAAAGGGTTATCTGCAATCCAGATCTCATCAACATCCATAAGAGAAGCTAATCTCCCCACTTCATACACGTCCCAAATTTTATTTTCCGCTACGTTCAATGTTCTCAGTCTTGCCAAACTCTCGACGCCTAAGAGATTCTCCAGTGCGTTGGCTTTCAACAGCAGTGACGTAACATTTCGTAATCGATCTTCTGCCCCGGACAAGGACGTGATACGATTCCCCGAAAGATCGACGTAGGACAATTCGGCTAGAGCAGATAAAGCAGGAGGAACAACGGTGAGCGCGTTGGACGATAAGTCAACATGGGTACATCGTGGGATATGCGAGATGAGGCTTGAAGGGACTGCCTGGAGCGAATTGCCAGGTAGGTTCAAATGAGTCAACAGCGGTAAACGGGCACTAGGGTTGTCATCATCAACATGTGAATAAGATGACTTCCTTCGAGTCGGTCGATTTGACCTAGTCACAATATCAAGTGCCTCCGAATCTGCAATCGGGCCATCCTCTTTGACTTCCACCTCCAGGGCGGCCACGAGATCTTCAGAATTAGTCAAAGCGTATCGACATGTCAACGACCGCAACATTTCCCTCACTTGACCCCAGCAGCCTATCACGCGAGGATTTGTTGCATCCAATTCAATTGCAACCAATGAGCTAAAAGGAGTCAGATCCACACATGAGGATGAAGGTGGGTCGAATCCCTCGATGTTATTACGGCGAACGGGCGCTATTCGGAGGAGAGAAAGAGTTTCGAAAAATTTGTAGAGATAAAGGGTGTCCTCCTCGACCGTAGTGATCGAAGATGGACTTGCCGTATTGGATGTTCCCGACCATATAAGGGACAAATACGAGCTACCTTGCGTAGATGACGGTATTGATGGGGCTATAGTAGATTGAGATGGTATTGGTGGTTGTGGGCCAGTCGTTCGAGTAGCCAAGTAGTCTTTTATATCAGACGAATTCCGGAACAATACATTCAGATAGGCTAGGTGATAAGGGTCCATGGCAAAGGACGTTCGCATCCCATTTTCTCCAGTAGCTGCAGATAGTGTGTCACGGTCTTTTGCAGAAGTAGACGACGTTCCGAAACCAAACGCTGAGAACACTGAGGCAAGAGCGGTAATGGACGATGCTTGGGATGATGGGTCAGCATCATTTGTGGCTGCCTTACTATCGTCGGTATTATGTATGTCTAAGCTTTGCCGACGTCTTCGGTATTGTGGAGTTCCTGGCAAGCCGTCGTCCAAAGCCTCTACTAATTGCCGAGCTGACGCCAATATGCTTGGCCCATGCTCCCGAATATGTGCAGCAAGGCTCCGAACAAACTGGTCACCTGGAATATCCTGCATGCTAGTGGAATCTGCTCGCAAGCAGGCGGGGAGAAGATGAGGTGCGAAAAACAACAAAAGGGTAACGGGGCGTGAGCTCATCACCAGTGTACCCCCGACGACGACTGTGCCACGCTGTGCCACCATTAGATTACAAGTTGACCAAACGTTAATGATGAGAAGGGCAAACTTCAGAACCCAAGTTGGTAATGGGTATGCAGGCCATGTTTCAATTTGAAGTTGGATATTCTGCTGCCTCAGCTCGCATCTTAAACCGATGAGGACATCGTTGCATTCATTAGGGTGGAAGTTTTCAGCTAGTAGGACTTGCCAAAGGTGGATGCTTCAAAAAGCCTCCCAACGGGGGTTTTCGTCCACCGCGGCCTGCCTTCGCCGCCGTGTCATACTGCTCCCTCAGGCCCAGCGTCTGGCCAAGTTTGGCACCTACGAATTGATACTTCCTTCACCAGCAAACCTGAATGGTGACGTACTACGACAAGAACGTCTTCATGTGCCAGCAGCTATTCCCAGACCAGAATATGATCCTGAAACAGGCCAGCCGACAGTTTTCTTGAGCAAGCCGCACCTGAAAGCCGGAGAAGAACTGGAAGGGGTGCGGAAAGCTTGCAAACTCGCCCGGCACATACTTGCACTAGGAAAGAGTTTAGCAACTGTTGGGACGACAACTGCTGATATCGATAGGATAGGTTGGTTTATTGTCTGCCGCTAAACAGTAGGTCATCGCCCTCACCGATATAAGTTCACGAGGAGATCATAAAACATGGTGCATATCCTAGCCCATTAGGCTACATTGGCTTTCCAAAATCAATATGTATGGGTCAACCAATTATCAATGAGCTGTCACTAGAACTCTTCGTCAGGTGTCCTGTGTTAACTTGCGTTCATCAGGTACATCCATCAACAACGTTATATGCCACGGGTAAGACCCGGGCTGACCTGTAGCTCACCCTATTGGATGCCGTCATACAACCTGGTGAAATTAGCTCACTGTTCCTTGGTCAATTCTTCGACGTCAATCAGGATTCCAGATACGTAAGCCTAAAGCAGGAGTTGGAGATCCCATTCAGATTTGACTCACTTGCTCATACATGTAGGCGGGCATTGAAAGACGGTGATCTTGTCAACTTCGACGTAACGGTTGGTATATGTACACTTCGTTTTCCATTTAGCGCGTAGAAAACGAACATTTTTGTCTGCATTGCAGGTGTATTTGGATGGGTAGGCGCTTTCGCTCTTTTTTCCTTTTCCAAAATTACATCCAACGCTTCGGAATCAGATTTCATGGCGATACCAGCGAAACTGTGCTCATCGGTGACGTTGATGAAAAAGGTGCACTACTGACTTTGGCAACGAAGGAGGCAATGGAGATTGCAATTAATGTTTGCAAGCCGGGAGTACCACTTAGTATGATTGGAAAGGTCATCAGGTAAGCGTAGTCGGCAGGCACGCAATCTGTACCGTTCCGGGCAACCTTGACGTCTTATTTATTTTATCGCTATTAGTGAATACGCCCGAAGGAAAGGATACTCTAGTAGTCGGGATTTCTGTGGTCACGGAATAGGTGGGTGTCCTTGTTTGCCCAACTGTCAAACAAGTGCACTGAACTATCTATCAAAGGACGGCAGTTCCACGAACCACCAATGATCTTCCATTATGAAAACAATGAACCTGGCATCATGGAGGAAGGAATGACATTCACCATTGAGCCAATGTTGTGTCAGGGAACTGCGGAATATGTCAAATGGCCAGACAACTGGACGGTGGTTACTCAAGATGGTCAGTGTTTTCGATTCAAAGCAACGAATGCCTGAGGTTGAGTATCTGATGTCTTTGAAATTGTGGAAAAGGCGGGCGTTCTGCACAGTTTGGTAGGTCCTGGACTAACGGTATTTACCGCGCCTCTACCCGCTTACGAATACTCTTTTCACCAGAGCATACTGTCCTTATCGTGCGTGACGGTGTGGAGATTCTGACTTGAAAAGTGGGAGCCGGACGGAACGGGACCCTCGGGATCATTTCTTAGAGACTTTGGTGCGACGACAACGCTTTTGAATTAAAGCACACAGTGAACTCCATACAGTACCCTTCGTTGATCGGAAAAGAATTGATCTAATTTAAGTCTACATAAAATTAATTAAGCTTATGTAGTCAATTTTGATGCGTGTCATGCACAGGCGAGCGCAACAGGAATAGGGCAGTAATAGGATTCCAATGCAATAGTGTAGTCACGTTTGCAACGATAAGGTCATTCACAATCCTATCCTGATTTCACAGCACCGCGATGCCGCGTGTCACGACAGATACTTTCCGCTTCTTTCTTGCAGATGCAGCGTTTTCTCCGAATGGCCCATTTCGAGTGTCCACAGGCCTCTTGACGGGAATAGGTTGCGCTTCTTCGCTGAGCTCTTGAGAACTCAGAAATCCTGTCAGTTGCCGCTGGGATGGTTCCCCAAACTACGGATGGCGCGGAAAATGTCATGTCGAGAATAACCTATCCCGTACTGCTCACTAAAATACCTTTTCCAGAAATTTGCGCTTGACATCCTGACCACTTGCTACCTGCTGCATTTGTCGGACTTTTCCTGTTGATTTTGTTGCGGGCGTGGGGATCTGGTAACCGCTTGCCTGAAAGGGTGTAATATCCACAGTTTCGATCCCAATAGACGAGGAGCGTGACATTGAACGAGTGACGCGACGAGGTGTCTGTGGGGTCACAGCACCTCTCGGAGTTGCCTTCCGCACTGTGGCCGGCGGAGAAAGAAGCGGGGTCATGCTCTTAGTCCTTTCGATCACCGGACTTCCAGGGTCTTTTTCTTCAACATCTGGGTTACGGGAGCTCGGGACATCGCCCGTTTGTTGGCGCTCTTTAGGTAAAAACATTTTTGAAAACCACCGTTGGAAATGTCCGCAGAGCTTGGGTGTTTTCAACACCTGATAGTGGTGCGAGCGTGTGTCTTCGGTCCCCTTCTTGCCTCTCTTTTTGGGTTTTCCTGCAGGCTTTACATCTGTAACGAAACCCTCCTTTTGCAACCTTAACACGATCTGCTTAGCTAAAGAGATATCCACACCTACAATCCATTCGACGACGTCAGCAAAACTCCCGCCACATGATTAAGCGATACCTACCTAGCTCCACAGCAAACTGAGCTATCGTAGGAATTCCTTCAGTCCATGCAATGTATAGTCCACGACGGAACAAAGCAACTTCCGCGACTTGCTCCAAATTGTATTGGGTACCGTCCGTGCTTAAATCGTTGAGACAAGCATAACACAGATGGTTTTTGGGGATCCGCTTGTCTTTCAGGGACGTGAAGCCGAAGCACATAAGGTGGCCCCATTTTTTGCAGCGTCCACAGAAAATCAAATCGAAGTCCTCCTACAAATATATACAGATAGGCGGTTACAGCAGCTGCCATGCTGAGACAATTTTGCACCGACAGACTGAAGATGTACCTTATCAACGCCGCATGGACAATCAAGCACTCCTTCATCATCCGCGTCGGTATGGTTGGAGTTGCCCGCTTTCTCATCTGTTGACAAATCCAGGTTTTTCGAAGCATCTTCACTGACTCGGTCCTTCTCGCCGTTGTATTCTTCTGCTGCAACTGCTTTCGCATCTTCATCCACCTCAGTGGTGCTGACGGCATCGGGAACAGCGGCTACCTGACATATACCAAGATCCGCCGCCTCGCTTTGACCGGTTCTGGAAACATCCAGAAATGACTCCTTTGCTTCTGTGGTGTATAATAATAAGCCCCATAGGGTTATCGTGCACAGCACTTGTTGGCGCAATATTGATGTTACCTTCCATTGCTAGATCGATGGATTCACCTTCGCTGAAACATGAATCTGCCTGAGATGGCATACGGCTGAGATTGCTATGGCTATTCGGAACATTGATCCCATCCCGTAGGCGGTTTACAAGATCTTGAGTGTCATCACCTAAGGGATTTGAAAACGACATTTAGCCGGAAAGTTCTTGCACCCTACTAATGCCACAAGCGCCCACCATTATCATCCATCGTAACATTTATGACCTGCGGTTCAATTTTGGCATTTGCTAGAATCTTTCCCACTTCCCTGTCTGGTAGTTCGCCATTTACAAGTATTTGCACGTCGATATCCATACTCTGCGAGTTCTTCTCATGTTCTGGAGGCAGACTGTAAAAATATGAAATAGGAAACCGCCACAAGAAATGCTCTCTACCTTCTTCCTGAATCACCATCTGTTCCATTTTCTCTGTCACGTTCAATAGAGGGCATGACATATCTTCAGGCTCGAGAATGGTACCCTCCACGTGTGTCTCTAACGGTGACTCCATATCAATTGATCCTTCATGAATGTCGTCGCACTGTAAATCCTCGGTCGTCGGCTCAATGCCGTCGGATGCTGTTTGAACATGCAAATTCAAGCTTAATAGAATATGTACTTTAGTCACTCTGGGTCATGTACAGCATGGCTAGTTATCCTTACGCGTGATGTGGGGTCTCAACCTGGCCAATTTTTATCTTCTCAGGACGATGAGCAAAATAAAACTTCTCATCATTGTCACCCGCTCTGAAGAATGGTGGCTCATATTCCGCTGGCGTGACATCGTCGTAGTAAAATAGTCTCATGGTAATATAGGCATTTTCCGGCAAGGGCTGTACGAGCATTCAATAAAGACTTCCGTTCAGGTTGAAGCCAGATACTAACCCGAAGAGTTTGCGTCAGAATCAGCAGACGGCGGAGCATGTCAGAAGTGGCTTTCATAATCTCCCCTCTAGTCCTCAAGCGAAATGCTTGCTTGCCATTCGAATCGATGGTTATACACCACTGGTCTTTCTCTGGGTAGGAAAACCCAAAGGTATATGCTTCCACGCTGCCACATGATTAGATCTGATCACTCTCTCACTCTTTGGACCAATGGACTTACAGTTGGTCGGGGTTATCCGGAGAGAGGTAGATGCCGAATATCATTGTCTTTAACTAGGAACGTATTATGTTAACAATGAAATCGTAGCCGACTGTGTTTGAAGTAGTATAGTGTCTTACATATTGCTTTTCCAAAGCATCAAAGCAACCTCGTTCCTAGATCATATTGCCGAAAAGGGTTGGATGCTTGGCATCACCGGCAATCAAGTGCATCCGTACCAGCCAGTCCATGAGCTCGTCAGCTTCCACAGAAAAGTCACGAACAAGGCTTTTGAGGGCTAGCCCACCCATACTGGTATCCTTGAAGTTGTCCTCTGGGAAAAGTCCGCGCTTGGTGGATGTGTAAATATGCAACTTGCAGAGAGGGTGGAGAGAGTTCGCAACACACCAAATATGTGATAGCCCCAATCGTTGTACCGAGCAGATTTCTCACCAGATTTAGAGACTGCTGAGCCGTGGGCGCTATTTGAAGCTCTTGCTTTGGGCGCTGGGAAAAGTCTGAGCTCTCCCGTTGCGCTTCCTCTTAAGAACGCGGATGGGGGATGCTTACATGAACCTGGAGGGTCATTCTCTTTACTGTAGGCCTTCAATAACTTTGATGGTACTGTAAGGCGGGAGGAGCAGGATGATATCCCTGTCGCAAAATGCCGAGATGGCAATCCCACGATGGTAGCTGGACGTGTGATCAACCTAGGGTCAATTTTGGGGAACTTTTATCACTTTAGCAACAACAAGAGCAATCCTAGTATCGGATTTCTAACGGAAGTGGAGTTCGATTCGCCACGAAATGTTCGGACGGGCAAAGTGACCTGGCGTGGGAAAAAACCAACGCACGCTGGAAGCCGCCACTTTGCCACTGGCGTAATCATAACCTGGAGGGTCCCCCAAAGCGCTTATTTACTACTTTAAAGTATTTTCAAAAGGGTATTACAATCAAAAGTCGCTAGATCATATCATTGCCAGCCTTTAACAGGAACATCATGGTTATCAGATCTTATTGTACCGCATGTAGACTGGCTTAGCGGGCCTCTGGGTGTGGATGTTATTGCGATTCGGCTCAGGTAATTCCGCACCCACCAATACTTTGCCATTGGCATCAGCTACAGCAAACTCGTAGTTTGCGAGCGCTAGAGCACAGATTATCTTCATTTCAAGCTTCGCGAAGCGCATCCCAAGGCACGGGTGGCGACCTTCAAAAGACGCGGATATAAGTAAACATGATAGAGCTCATTCAAACTGCGTGGTTGAAAAAGCCTTACCAGCTCCCCAGCCTAAAAAGGCAAACGGTTCACCATTCTTGTCCTCCAAGCGAGGGGGATCATACCGCTCAGGGTCGAAGTCGAATGGGCGACTATAATTTTGTGGATTAAAGTGCGCATCCCCTAGTATATTGATCATCAGACCTCGCGTTGCCAGTAGCTAACTGAAATCTGCCAATACCTGGAGAATAGGTGACAAATGAGCCGAGGGGGAGCTCGTAGCCGTCGACAACGAAGCCTTTCGCCATCACCCTGCGCAACGTGGCACCTGTAAGAGTCATGCGCACTACTTCTCTCAAGCATTTTTCGAGCACTGGCAGTCCGTCCTCCCATGAATCCAAAGGTAGTTTAGTCAATTCCTCATTCAATGAAGTTATCTGGACCGTCTCATCTCCGTTGTAGTTGTAGCGGATAACCAGATCCCGGAGTTCCCCTAGAACACGTTCTCTCCAAACAGGTTTCTGAGCAACTTGAAGAAGCAGCCAGGCAGAGTTGATGCCGGTATTGATTATTCCGGCGAATAAGCTGCCCATGACAAATTGCGCAATATCAACGTTGGAATCACCAGAGTCCATGAGAAATTGCACGGCATCGTTTTCCTTAGTGCCAAGTGCTCGCCTGGTTTCGATCACTCCGATCACGAGTTTAAAAAGCTCCATGCTGGCGGCTTCATGCCGCTTCTTTGCTTGGGACGGAAACCAGGGAAAGAGCACTGGCAGGACGCCGGATCCTGCTTCCATATCCCAGTATAATTTGGTTAGGTGTGCAATCTTCCCCTCATCCTCAGCGATCTCGCGGCAACCCAACATCCGACAGGTTAACTTGAACACGAGCTGCATTGGTACTGCTTTAGGTCCCAAGTGGTTGTTGCGTTTATGATTTTCACTGGTTGACTTACACCGTATACGTCAACAAACGGATCCATCACACCCTCACGTCCCCACTTCGCCATTTCCTTCGATATGTCGCTGAGCATGACCGGGAGACCTGTTTCATATTTCAACATTTCTCGCTTACTTCCAATTATCGCGCCAATTCGTACCCTCTGCAAGCCTTTCTTTCTTGGCAATGAGGGCCAGCAATCGCTTGTTGAACTGTGGCATATTGGCGGGGGCCTCAGCTGTGCCAACGGCCTCTTTGGTAACGACGGGGACACCGCCGAATAGGACTTTATATCTTAACATTCGACTTAGACTCGTTTTGCGAAAGTGTTTTGACTATAAATGCTGCTTTGTCCATACCCTTCTGTGAAATTCAGCTGAGTATGGTTTGAGAAGTATTGTACTCTCGCAGAGGCGCCGCCTAGGGCAAAGACACGATGCTGCGTGCAAATGGTCAGCGCGGAAACGAGTTGAGCGCCATTGCTACTTGGCCCACCTGCAGCAAGTTAAACTCGAAAATGTTACCATACTTGCGGCGGTTTTCTGTTAAGAAATCGTAACGACGAGTAAAGAAATCGACAGCGCCAACGATAGGAAAACTAGAAGAAAGGTCATTCAAATTCAAACAACAGCCATCAATGATTCATAATATCAGCATTGTAAAGCAACTGTATAAAGGACGCCATACCCAGTAACCTGTCATGAAATAAAGCGTGTGATCGAGATGTTTGAAAGTTAATGGGACAAGGCACATTGACATACCTTGGGAGGCCCCGAGCGAACCACAGAGGCAAAATACAATAACGTCGCCCCAGCTGCCCCCAAGATGACGGCAATAGGGGTAACACCTGTGATGAGCAGCGCAAAAGCTGCGATTAGGATGCTGGTCGTGGCAGTCTCAACTGCAAAAGGGAAGGACAGGACAGAAGTAGATGATTTCATTTCAATGCCAAAGATTTAGTAACTCCACTGGGAAATGTAGCAAGATGAACACTGCGCAAACCCAGTTGGACCTTCTTATACGATATTCGCTTGTATGTCAATTGCACCAGAATCGAGGGTGTACTCAGAGGAGGCGAGACGAAGGAATTCCAGCCTTCCGCGGAAGAAACAGTGGTTTCCCCGGAGCATCAGGGACAGCTATGCAGCTTTTGGAGCTACACTATGTACGTCAGGTCAATGATCGTGTGATACAAACGAACCGGGCGTGCTGCTTGGCGAACAGGCCACCAAGAGCCGAGCAGACGCAGAATGTGTCTTCAGTCTACTATGCATTTCACTGGACGGTGTGAGGGCGTATGTCAGACATTATTGGTTCAAGATGCTTCGCCCAGGCATCCACGCCCCGAAGCTACGTATAAATATGTTAAATCTATCTAACATGCTTCCAATTACTTGGATTATTATCGCAATATCGTTTGGGGTGGAAGATTGCATGTCTAAAAGCGCTTTTACAAGTTGTTTAGCTTAAATTTGCAAAGTGTGCAAAGGCATCGCGGTTTTAAAACTACGCAACCGAAATGGCATTCTTAAGTAACGAAATCTAAATGACTATTGTTCCAACAACGCTGCTAAGATACTAATGTATCCAATCTGGACAAGGCCAAACTAAGGGGGTAAAGATTTAGAGTACAGATTTAGCACAGCAGTGCACGGACGGCCTGATCCGACCCATCTTCTGAAGAAACACATTCTAAACCGGAGACTCTGCCTCTTCCTCTTCCTCCTCACGCACCGTCTCCACGAACGCCTCATCATCTGTCATCGCCTTAACCATTGCGCCGCTTCCCAGTTCCCCTTTCAACCCGGCAATTAAGTCTATCTTCCAATGCAAAACGTCTGCCCATTCGCGACCAGTAGATTCAACTAATGCTTTCAACTTAATACGTCTAAGTGTCAGTGCCTGATTCTGACGCATTATCTCCGCAAATTCCTTTTGCGAAAATCAAAATCAGATTAGCGACAGAGGCTCTGTGGCGTGAAAAGATATGCTGCGACCCACTTCATTGCTTTTCACTGGTATACCACATCTACGGAGCTCATCCAGATCCGGTAACGGCGGAGGCATAACGTTATTTCTCACCGCATGGTGGCGATTGAATGCTTCAAGATAGAGCGTTACGCCATTGCGTATCTATAAATTCGAAAGCGGCGGTGAGTGGAAGAGCCCAGCTTATATTGTTAAAAGACGTCTGACGATACCGATGCCAGCGTCAGATGATCAGGCCGCATTTCCGGAGGGATTGCCCTACATTTGAGGTTAACGCACGACATGCTTTGTCTGGCCGCAACATCTATGAATAGCTCACCAGAAGAGAATGGTCAGGGTCTCATCCAATGCCGCGATGCGCGGGGGAGCGAACGACATGATCTCGAGGTTATGATTATTGAAGAGGACAGGAAAGACCTTATGCTTTTGGGCTTCATGGCAGAGACGCTTACAAGGGCATAAGGGTTAGTTGAAATTGGAGGACATAGTACCTACATCAGGATTATATCCACGTACCCGAACTTGGCCACTAAGTAGATTTTCCAATCCATCAAAACTTTCGCCGTTCCAGGAGCATATCAGAATGTCGTTCGGGGTTCCTCCCATCCAGCTCAACTATGGATGGGTGAGAAACCACCTGTGCGGAGATCCTGCATCATTCTACGCATACCTTTGAGCCAAAAACACGAGACGCTTTATCCAGAAATTAATATCAAACAAAGCTACAATGTTAGAGACATAAGGCATACCTGCGGCTGCTTGGACTGCCATAAAGACGTACGTTGACGCCACAGACACTAACAGGTAGCCAACGCCACTGCATACCGTTGTCAATATCTCACTGTCATACGTCAGTTACGGCATTGAGATGTGTAACATTTGCCTTTGACCATACAATATCTTATATTTCGGGTTAGGTCGCAGATCACCCATCCCCACACTGTAGTGGAATTACAGTCAAAATGTCGTAAGGACACAAAATGTATACCTCAAACTCCTCGAAAGATGACGTACGTGAACAGACAGAATCCGGTATAATAGATCAATTCGCCAATATCGGCGGGCCTTCCGTCGCTATCTGAGATCACCGCGTCGTCCAGCCACGAGAAGAGGAAAGTGAATCCAGTCCAAATGAGAGCGAACCACACCACGATGGTCATTACTAACGTGAGAGAAGATATTATTCCAGGCATCCTTACATCCCACAGGATATGGGAGGCTTTACTCAGGCTTAAGAGCCCCAAAAATCGCATAACATGATGCGCAAACCATTGACTCCGAGCGGTCGTCCGCACAAGATGCCTCAATTCTCCAATGGCTGCTCACCAGACTATCCTTGAGTCAAAACACCTTGCAGTATGTAGACACATCGCAAACGCACCTCGTATCAGAACTTTTGTAATAGGCCCAGATCTGACAATACCCCCAGCATGAGTGCCTAGCGTCAAACCGTGAATTTTTTGAATCTTACGTTCTGATTGAAAGTGTGGTCAATATCACATCTTGCAACGTGAAGATCTGTAATCGCGATCAATTCATTTCTGTAAGGCTAACGTCTTGTCTTATATTTTGCGTTGGCACTCACAACAATGATTATACCGATAACACCTAAGGACAACTGGGTTAAATGGAATACATCCAATAATCTTTCCATCCACGACGCACCTGTCAGTACCGTCATGGTCGTGAACTTGAGTGACGGGACATTGAAAGATAGCAAGAAGAGCGCCTTGTCAACAGGAACTTTGCCATGGAGGTCACGGACCAAAACCAGCGATCGGGGGATGAGTGTGACATCATCAGTTGCTTACGTAACATTTCGGAAATTTTGGGTGATTTTTTGGATGACGATCAAGAGCCTACCAGTTCAGTTGCGACGGCGTTTCAAACTCACACAGCATTCATTCGCAATGCCGTTAGCACGGTCGATGCCGTTGACTGCGAGATTGCAGCGACCAATTGGGCTAGCATCACCATGGGTCTCCATCCCGAGGACACTGTTCGCAGTTGGAATTCCTCCAAACAGATACCGATCATGTGGGGTTACTGCCGTGTCCTCCGACAGTAAGCTAATCGAGGGACAAAAAAGACAATATGCGTCTATTTCCACTCGGCCCATCCCACCTACTGTCGCACCCCGGTCCGCCAACGTGGACACTTCTTCGGCTTCAACAGCAGTCAGTTCCTCCTCCCCCCAACCGCAAAAAAACAGCATTCGAGCCCGACTACGAGAATACGCACGCAAATCCCGCGAAATGGTTCGTCAGTTTATTACGGGATCTCGAGATTATCTGCGCGAAACACGAGAGGCAAAAGAATTGAAGAAGCGAAAGGTGGTTAATGGCTACGAATGGACAAGAAAGGAATACTTTTTGGTGAGATCATTAAAACTTTCTTGAATATCGGATGAAAACCCCTAATGATTTGTCCTACAGGTAAAGAAGAATGAGCAAGACTTCTGGCGTGCAATACCTTTCATGTTCTGCTGTGTCTTCTTGGGCGAAGCGATACCTTTTCTTCTTATTCGGGGCATAGTGCCAAGCACGTGTCTTACAGTCGAGCAACTGGTATAAACATTAGTGCTTTCCAATTTACACCTAATCTGAGTGCATCTGCTGTAATCATTCAGGATGCACGCTGGAAGCGTCTTGCGGGAGTTAGGAAGAAATTAGCGGCAGCAGCTGTGCAGAGTGTTGATTCGGGCGAAGCGGTGCGTGGAACCAACGTGCGTGCGGTCGGCCAATTCATTCTTATTCATATGTTAGCTAGTCTGGGTTGATATCTAATGAAACGTCATACCTTTTTCCTACCTCTCAAAGATGCCGGCATCCGCTTTCCTTTCGGACGATTTTGTCCTCCGTTTGGCTCATACGCAACCTCAATACTTTCTCATCGACAACCTAACCGGTCCTCAACTGCGCGCGTATAACAAGTACCTTGGTATATGGCGTGTTGGCCCAGCCCCTTACCTTCGCCGCGTTTTGCGCCAACACGTAGATTACATTCGCGGTGACGATCTGGTATGCTGTCGGCATAATTATGCTTCACGTGAGAATCCATGTTTGACGAAGCTATCATCCAGTTACTTAAGAAGGAAGGGCTAGAGAGTCTAACACCGCTTGAGCTGAAATGGGCTGTCGAGGCGCGTGGATTGTAAGTTTGCCTGGAAATCAGCTGTTCGGGAGGTCCTTTTATTTTGCGTACTTAAATGTGTGATTTCAGGCCATCGACTGACGCCACTCCAGAGCGAATGCGGGAAGATCTTAGCTCTTGGATAAGGCTTCACATTAACGATGACCAGGAAGTACCTTTCTCTTTGATGCTCTTGACCGCGATTATTAGAGTTGAGTTGCAAAGTCAGATGAAGGAGGTTGTGAGAGTAGGGAGCAGTCGGATGAAGGAGCATCCTCATTTGACAGTCTCGACGGATTCGGTAATATTCGCTGAAGAGCAAAAATCTACAGCGGTCGCAAGTGGATGAATTTGTGCTGTTGTTGTAAATTAAGCATGGAATTCTCAGAACTCTCTAGAGATAGCTAGATAGATAGCTCATGTAAATCACTCATCCCATCTGAGCTACACATGCTCCATTTTCACATATCTAACTGGATTGAAAACTGCTCGTTGCTATTACACTGAACTGCCAACACATCTACAGCCACGGTACACGTAGCCGGTGGGGTAAACCGCTCGCAGCTCTATCTACCTCTTGCATGCGCGCGAATGCTATATGCTAATCCTCCAGACTTTTGCGAACGGTCCTCTGCACACGCCGTTTGAAACCTTTCGGATCTTCCCGCCATTGTTTCTAAGAAAAAAAGGACATGAGCGATTCGCCTCTGTGGTCGGTCACGCTACGACACTTCAAGAACTCACAGCCGCTTCAATGTTTGCAGGAGATTCGTCATTCGGCCCCGATAACATACTGATTACAGACAACACGATAGTCTCAACTGTGTGGATTGGCAACCATCTCTCTGATGCTGACTCATAACCCCATTTGTCATCCCCTGGTGGTATACAAATGAGTACGGTAACGTTTTGTAAACATTCTACATCACACACCTGGAGGATGAAGTATAGAAATGCACACTTCTCCGTTCTCATATACATTTGGATGCCACATGTCGCTGATAAATCTCATCTTAGGGGGCATCTGTGGATAATTTGTGGGAAACGAGAGGCGCGCTTTGAAGAAGCCTCCCTCGCTGCAAAAACGATCTCACTAGGTCAGGAAATGAAGAAATAGGCATACAAATACCGTCAAGGATAATACTCACTAAAGAGTGCCTTCGGGGCCGACCATCATGACATCCCTAAGGGCGAATGAGGTCGAGCTGCTTTCAACTAGCGAGCAGCCATTCACAACACACACATACCATTCATATATGTTATCATCTGCTAACCCCGCTGAAAACCCTTCAACAGGATTCTTGGTTAATTCTACACAGAGGAATGGAGTCGTCAGCTGTCTAGTCCAGCGGAAACCGTTAGAATGCAACAGTCAAAAGACCTTTCAACTGCTTTCTCAGAAGTAGAGCCGATTGAGAATCGTCGTTCGCCATATCCCAGAGTTTGGCTAGCGCGTAACTTTGGTTGTTAAAAAAGATATTCAACTGCAGAAGCCAACAATGACAGAGGATAAAGGGCAAAAAAGGAACTGCGGGTTCGGAGTCTCAAAGGTCTCAAAAGTGCCATGGACCAGCAAGTGAACGCGATGCTTCATATCATGTGACCAATGAAATTCCTTACCTGCCAGATCTGAGATTTGTGCGAAGATTCTTAGATCACATTCAAGAAAATGCCGGCCCTTTCCGGTAGTGACCTGGCACCGTCGTCGGCGGAGGCGGTGACTAGGACTCTTCGATCGTCAAATGAGAGCCCTATGCAACGGCTTAGTTTTGCGCAAGATCTCTGGAATTCTAAGCATATTTTCATTCCTGGAAAGGACGAACTTTTACTTGATTGGATAGTTTCAGAGCTGTTCAATGCTACAAAGGGGAAAAGCTGCAAGTACATATCGAACTGGACGTCCATCACATTATATCCTACGTTTAACGAATTGACACTTTGGTACTAGGTTTGGAGAAAGTCCTCACTTGAATTACGGGCATTGGCAGTTTCTTTGCACCTTGCTAGATCACTTTACGGCAATAAAGCGTCGATATGAATCCGGCGGTGCGTGGACGAAAACTGGAAGCTCCAAAAACAAAGTTGCTCGGACTCCTTCAGTAAAGGCGAGGGTGGGAGATATCTTTGTGGTTGTTTTGAACGACGTGTCAGATTCTCTATCTGAGCGTATCAATAAACATGCTCCGAATGATCTCCTTGCCATTGAGAGCTTGACACGGATCACTTGCGAATGTTTCCGCAGGCTTACCGCGGACCTGAACGAGATTCTACGCCCGACCCTGGAGCTCTATGTTACACTCACGGACTCTGCTGTCCGCTTCTTCGATATTGCGTCCTCCTCAGACATCTCCATCGCTGCCGCATCTGGCCAGTTTCTCCAAATAGTTCTGTACCACTTGCAAAAGATCTCCCAGCAGTCTCCCAATAGAAAAAAGGTTATACCAAAACCCCTTTGGCTAATGTTTCCTTGACAATCAAGTATTAATCACTTGGCCTGATTTCAGACATTCAGCATCACCGTGAGCAAACTTTTCCTTCCCATCCTTACCCTACGATATTCTCTGAAGACCTCACCGGCAAAATCGTCGCCTGAGGGCTTTGAGCACCATTTTGAGGTTCTCGTGAAGGACCTTCTGCAGCACAACCTCTTTCATCGCGAACATATGCAGGAGTTTGCCAATGTGCTACATCACCTAGAGGGGAAAGCGTCAGTTACCGGAGCTGAAAAAGCAGGCTATCCAAAACAATTTTTGGAACTTTTGCGAGGCTCCCTTGCTACAGGAGCAGGCGTACAATTTAGAGCAGGTACGTTGTCTCAAGGAGTTCTAGTTGTGATCGCCACACTGAAGAGAAGTTTCTTGGGTCCATTGTAGTCCTGAACTCCTTGCCTTTCATATATGAGCTATTCATTCAGAGTTCTCAGGAATTGACAAAGAGGCGGCCATTATCCACTGAGCCTACTTTTCCTCTCTTCCTCGAGTTTCACCAAACATTATCAGATTTGATGAAGCGAATGTTAGAGACGGGAACTGACGTGTCAATGAGAACCGCTCAGAACGTGTTGGACGTTCTCGTGGATTTGTTGAATCTTGTGCAGCGCTCTGACATCTATCGTCCGACCAACGATGAAACATCTAAAAAGCAGCTCCAGTTTTTTGAGCAGCTGAATCGGTTTTTTCTCGACCTGGGTGGCACACTTCCATGTACGTGAAACCTTCTGTTCTGTGCCCATTTTGATATTTTGACTTCTTACGACATTGCGGAAATGATAGCGACCTGCCACAGCAGGATTATTCAAGGCTGGCATTGTCTGTTGCTTTTAGACTACACCATCATTGAATCACATCTGGCGGAGGTGTGGCCTTTCATTTTGACGGTAGGTACTTGTCAATGCCCAGGGATCTGTGTCCGCATTGCCTAAACCCTTCACACTCTATCAGCCTGTAGCAGCAGCAACATTGCAGGCGGAATTATTCACCCGCGAGTTACTACGAACATTTACAAAATGCAGGCGCTTAGATTACCTGATCGAAAAGTACCTGGAAGCTTTGCGGCATGTTCAGCTAACACGGGGGGCCAACGTCACAAATCAAGCCATTTTCTACTCCACTTCTTGTTTATCGGAGTATGTACATTGTTCTAATGATCGTTCCTAGTATTGTTGACCAACCTGCTCTGTGGTTATAGGTTTGCCGCATGCATTGAAAAGCTCTTACCCGCGCAGGCCATTGCACTAATGCAGTTACTTCGCAAAGAGCTGGAGGAACACTGCCTTCAACCACAGGCAACAGGACGATCAGCCAAGAGGCAGAAGCGTGAGAAGGATCCTGCGCGAGGAAAAAGCCGTGACTTTCATCTATCGGCAGAGCTGCCTGTTATACTCCTCTCACTTTTACTGGAAAATGCACACATCTCCCAAGGCCAGCAAAAGGCGTTCGAGGAACTCATCGGAGAGTTGCAAGCCAATTTCATTGATCCGGTCCTCGCTCGATGCGACGCGGGGAGGAAGCTGGAGCTGCCCGAAACGGATGCGCTTTTGCTACCAGCGCTTTCACTGAAGCTTGCCTTATTGAGAGCTTCCCCGGCGTATTGGGCCATGCATGTGACAACAGTCTCCATTGATCGCATGCTTGGACTTCTGCGGAGAATTTCGCTGAGTGATCCGAAAGTGGCCTATTTACAGGTATATCACCGCCTTGCTCAGAGCCCGTCTTTCAATTTCGTCCTTTTCTTTACACCGTTGTTCACCAGAATGAAATTGTGCTCTCCCACATCGAGCGCATCGCGAGTACTACCGTAGATCCTCGCCAAGATACGAACTGTGTGCGAATGATGACTGATGTTTTGAGCAACCTGAGCTTGCGAGCCTACGACCTTGCTACGACATGGGATATGCGGCTCAAATCGTTGACAAGTGCCAATCAAATTGTTGGCTCCTGGTCGATGATTGCGAACCATCTCGTGCCTATCAGGTAAGTATTCACGTAGCCAACCACCTGCCACCTATGTTGACTTGTTTTCTGCATAGTCGTTTGGCGGAAAGATCCCAGCTTGAGGACATCGTCCGGCTGCTGATCGACAGCATTGAAAAGAGTCCTATTGAAGCCGTGTCACGAGAGGGCACGCTGATAGCCGTTACCAAGCACCTACTGAGTAGCACGGTTTTTTACGAGCTGAAACCCGTTCGCGGTATGTTAAGCAGTCTACCTTCATCGTTGTGCACAGCCTCATTCTACGTTGCAGATGCATTCGTTCCTGTTCTCTTGCAGCATCTGGGACAAGCCGTTACCGCAGGGATTATGTCACCGTCCTCGCTAAACAGTCAGGAGATCTCGATTCTCTTGGATTTAACCAACCCTGCAGATGCCGAAGCTAAGATGAATGCCTATCAGCGGCTTGGGGAATTATTTGAGGACAGTGCATGTGCCCAGCCTCATCTCAGTCCCGACTCTCTACCTCGAGTTCTAAGGCTGTTGGATACTTTGCATACACTGCCAACTGCTTATTTCTCACAGACGGAGAGGGACATGATAGTTGGTACACTGCTTGTTATGGAAAGGCTGTTTTATAAGTCGCTTTCCGCGGACACGGATAACTTGGACCGGCGGGTAAACGGGCTACGACTTGCCGCTCTCACTCGGAAAATTGGGCTACGTCTAATGCTCAGTCGGCAAAACAAGCTCTTGACTGTAAGTTGATGGTTTCAGGTCTTGTACGATCAAGTGTACTGATGACCTTATCTATTCAACAAAAGTTTCTATCACCTGCGATTATGGAATGGTACCTCGTGTCCTTGGACCAGTATGAGCAGTGGCAAGATGCTGAAACGACCGCGACATTATCCTACAATGATATGATCGTTGCTGCGACATATGAGATTCAAGAGCTAACCTGCCGGTAATTCTTATTGGTGCTGCAGGTGCGCTTCACAGCTACACATGCTAATCCTGATTTGCAGAAAACTGCTCCAACGACTTGCCGATACCTCACCGAAAGATGCTGGCGCGACTCCTGGAGAACATGTCAAAAGGTTGCTTGCGTTCGTGCAAGATTATTGCCCGAAGTCGTATAGCATCAATCGTTTTCGACCAGCAAATGCGTTAGCGAAATCCATTACTGCTTGGACTGAATCTCGTCCTGAACGGTAATTACAACAAGCACACGTATATCCCGCAGATTGAGAGAAGCCTGACCTCGTTTTTAGGTTACACTCGCTAAATACCTGCTGCGAAGGCCTGGGTGATGCGGTGAATGACTTCGTTGAGCGATTGCAAGCGATGGTTTGCCATAATCTGCAGGACTTCACTTTGGATGGGGAGACCATGCAGCAAGATTGCACTGAGATTGTAAATGAGCGTAGTTGCAAGGAGGCACAGTTTGCTTTTGAAGTATACTGCCATCTATTGAGGTTCTATAAATTTGGAGGAGGTACGATTAACGGTGTTTCATGTGAAATTGTCTTTTCACTTAAGTTTGCCATCATGACGTATCTACAGATGGGGCCAAGTACTCAAATGGCTTGGTGTTTCTGGCCGGTCTCGTTACCGGAAGTATTCGCCTTATTTGCGACATCTCCAGGACTGGAAATAGGCTTGATGGACAACACAAAGCCTTGCCCCATTTAGCGTCACTTTGTGCCGATTTCGTCGCCGCCTTTGCCGCTAATTTCAGGGATATTACACCAGCTGTTGAAGCAAACTCGATGCGAAACCTTGTGACGTTGATGTGGTATATCATGCAAATCAATTCTCAGGATGCACAGTCCGCCACCCTAGAAAGTGAATGTGCTAAGAAGATGACATCGGCCTTGTCATCGTTGGTGCGTGACACGTCGCAAAAGCAATATACGGAGCTGCTGGCATGCCATTTGGATCGCCTGGAGGGTGAGCCAGCGTCGCTAGCAGTTTCGATCGAGAAAAATACCCTGCCATCACGATATGAAGATACGACCTTGCTGGTGAGATGCCTGTCTTTGGTGATCAATGGGGACAATAGAGAAGGCAAGTATCATTGATCTTATCCTTGCTGTCAAGTTAAGCTCATCATGGACCATGCATAGTCGGAAGGGGCCTTGTTCGTAAAGAGCTCCCCCGTATTTTAGTGAAACTCAGCCAGATAATACAAGTCACCACCTCAGTAGAAACTGCTTTGGAGATACTGCAACTACTGACGCAAATTGTTGCCGATAAGGTACTGCCGGTTTACCGAATGGAAAACTGCTGGATAGTCACTAACCGTCGACATATATAGTTTTTGAGTTTGCGGCATTCAGATGTAGCGTTGATTCTCCATTCGGTTGCTGCTGTTATTTCTACTTCCTCCCCGTTACAGACGACCATGCCTCCGGTTACCGTTGATGCTACCCATCCAGAAAGTGTGGGTCCACCCGAGGCATTGCAGTTATTTGATGCAGTTTATCGATTGCTACTTGGACTACTGCGATCACGCAAAGACCTTGTAGTGGAAGTCATACCGTGCTTCACAGGCGTTTTGAAGGAACTTTTTGCTGTACGTTCTTCATTTTAGTCCCTTTGCAGTACTTATGTATCCGCACATTCTTGGCTAATGATGCAAAACGTACCACCAGTGCTTCCGGATCCGACCCCGCATCGATGCACCTGCACCACGACTGAATCGTAATTCGACAAATAGTGCGCACAAATTCCCGTCACAGTTTGAAACACCATCTCTACTGGCCCGATACGCTCCATTACCCGTCACTTGTGCTGAGAACTTGTCCCGACTATTGGTGGCTATCGGTCAAAAGGCTCTCACCAGGAAGCACGCGGCAGGAAACCGCACTGATGGTGGTATAACGATGACAACAATGGGAACGTCAGCCTCCACCACTGTCAAGCCCTTTTCTAAACACGTTCCGTTCCTGCTCTCCACCATTGTTCACATTCAGTCCTCCGCTCGCCCTTTCACACCAGCCGCCAAATCCGCGTTAATGGAAGGGGTGTATGCACTTCTGGACTTGTGCGGAGACCACGGAAGGGATGCTGTACTGGCTGGCCTCGATGCCCACGGCGGAGGACGACCATTGTTCAAGGCACTGGTAGGCGATTGGGAGAAGTACCATAGATTTACGGGTAAAGTGTAAATAGCATGGTAAATCAAGTAGTGCAAAGGAACTACAGAATTTAGTTTCGAAAGTAGTGAAATGGAACTTTCAGAATTTAGATTCGAGAGACATGAAACTTGTTACAATATATATAGTACAATTGCACCTTCTAAGGAAAACACAATAATTGCGGTATAGACACAAAGAGCAAGCGCATGAGGCTAACTAGTTTCGAACAGATCTAAACCCCTTCGTGATTCTCGGGGACGAGGGACGTGAAAAACATGTATGCAATATCCTTGACGTCCGTCCACAAAGACCGCTGCGAAGGTTGCTGTGCCTCTGAGGGTACGTCAGTTTCTCCACCTTCCGCTTGCCCATCATTAGGATTCGCGTATGCTTGTCCAATATTATAACCCATAGCTTCAAGTTCATGTCTCCGTATTAGTCTCAGTCGGCCGGTTTGGACTAGGAAGATGACCAGCGCGACAAGATTCATGAGAATAATCTTTGTCAAGCTCGAATTATGTGAGAAGATATAGACCAAAAATGTGAGTTTCACAAGGAGCCAAAATGGATTTTGTGGCGCATTACGTTGCCGATCCCCAAATTCGTCATCCACATTACCACCGATGGCACCAGGCGCAGCATTAAGTACGGGCGCTGCGGGTTGTACCGGTGCAGGAGCAGGAACCGGAGCGGCCGCCTCTGCCGGCAAGTTTGGCGGCGGTGCGTACTGTTGCGGGGCTGCAAGGTGCGGTTGCCCGGCCTGGGGTTGGTATGGTTGTGGAAACACCGTCGGGTGCATGGCATATGGTATTCCGCTATGATGTGTCCAAAAGTGTAAGGTCTTTCATACAAATAACAATTGCTTTGACCTGGATACGTACTTGATCATGACAATTTGATATGGAACCGCAAGGTGCATGAAGGGTTGTCCAGCAGGGGCGTTTGGAACAAAGTGAGTAGTGGCGGGTGGAGTAGATATGGGGGGTGCCGCAGTAGGTGTCGCGGATGCTTGGCCTTCTCCTGTCTCATCTGACCTTGCTAAACCCGTCTTACGTTGACGCAAGCCTGAGTGCAGATCCTCTGGCGAAGGTGATATGGCAGTGCTAGGTCTCGCAGGTGACGAGGCATCCAAAGATACGGATCCACTCTTGATGACGAGGTGAACCGTTGGAGGAGTCGGGAGACTTGAACTATTCAGTATCTCTCGTACTACCATCTCGTCCCCTAGCAGCTTTCCAGCATGTATGAGTCTCATCTCGTCCACTCCGGGTTGTCCTGGAAACTGTTCAGACATCATGCCCTTAAGCTGAGCAATATTCCACTCGGGCATGACGTCCACAAAGTACGTTTCATTTGGGTAACTTGGGCAGCGTATGCATAATTTGTGGGACCTCGCACTTTCCGGTATAGTATTGAGGTCCTTATTGATGGATGCGTCGTTGATAGCGGTCGATGGTGGTTGGTGAACTTGAAAGGATCCCGGTTGAGGAGCATCGCGCTGAGTAAAGGTGCGTTGAGGTGAAGGAGAAGGCGGAGCCATAGGGCTCCTTCCAGTGGGATTGGAAGAATGACCGAAATCTGACATTAGAGAGCTCGCGGGATCTGGTACAGCGGCGTGCTGACTCTGCCTACTGGCAATACACAAACAAATCCAAACGGGGAATACGGTATTCAAGTAAGAAATTCGAAGCAGCGATAAGACGCTTTGTAGGAAATGGGTGGAAGACTTGACACGGGCGCTGATGGCGGTCCCCGCAGCTGGAATGACACCTCCACTTACGCAACATGGCAGGTGATGATTGGTGCATATAACGTGACTATGCCACACATGGCTCCAGAGATCTCGTGTACCTCCACGGTTACGCCGAATCTCTTTCCAATTCCATCTCGGTTCCCCCCATGCTCTTTGCATCGCCCCGACGTCTGTTGCTTTGTAACAAAACTCAAAAGTACTCGAGTCTTGCTAGAATGATGTCGTCGCCAATAACCTATTCTTGGCGCCGTTTGGCAAACGCCGACGCTTCTAGTGTAGACACCCCTGTTGGGCGTTCGTCTCACTCGCTGAACATTATTGGCGACCGCGCATATATTTTCAGGTTTGTGTGTTGGTTTCTCCAATTTATTTTTTACAAGTTCATATCCATTTTTAACCAGCTTTGCTTCAATCCTAGTGGAGAACGGGAGCCCCGTAAGCCGATTGATGCCCGTTTGCATATCTTTGATCTTGTATCGCAGCAATGGGCAGGTGTCATTGAACCTTTAGCAGCCACTGCTCCCACACCTCGCGTGGGACATGCTACAGCAACGCTGGGAGACTGCATATACTTGTTCGGTGGTCGTGGAGGACCGGAGATGTCGCCCATGGAGGCAGATATGTTTGCTTTTGACGCAACCTCCGGCACCTGGACCAAATTGCAAGTTAATGGAGATGTACCTGCACCTCGTAGCTATCACAGGTTAGTATACGTAAATTTGCTCAAGAGGTACCGATAGGCCAAAATGTCTGATGCGTTCAACGCCTACAACGGCAAGCATGACGGCAAGTGAGGTGAGTTCGGTTGCGTCAAAATTTGATATACATTGGCTCTCATTCTCCTTTGACAGCACCACGTATACCTTTTTGGAGGCTGTCTGGAAAAGGGACGCGCAAACGACTTGTACCGCTTCAGCCCTGAAAACTCCACCTGGGAGCGTCTTCCGTCGAATCCTGACCTCCCAGTACGTGGTGGTCCTGGATTGGCATACCTTAAGGACCAAGTAATCGTTTATGGAGGCTTCAACGGTACGGAGCTCAATGACATCTGGGCTTTCAATATCAAGACTAGCACCTGGGAGCGTATCAATCCAAGCGAGTCTTCGGATGCCCCTTGTCCGAGAAGTGTTGCCGGTTTTGTTGCCTTACCGGCGATTGGAAAGGTGGTCACCTTCATGGGCGAAAAGGATCCTTCGCCCACCGGACATGCTGGTGCTGGAAGGTAATTTCATTATGCAGTGTTCAGGATTACCTTTGCATAGTGTTATGCATGTTAATGTGTACTTGTCGCATTGACATGAACAAGATATGCCAAGGACGTATGGATTCTTGACATCCACTCGAATGCCACTGCCACTTGGATACACATTCCTCCGGCCGACCCTTCACAGCTCGATGCGCCCACGCCTCGCGGTTGGATGACTGACGCTGTTTGGCGTGGAGAATCGATCATTATGCATGGAGGGTGAGCCGATAATATTCGTCACTTACATCTCCGTCGTGTACTCTTTTGACGCAACAGAGTCTCTCAGGTACGATGGGGAAAAGCGAGATGACGGCATTTTCCAGTTGCGTTTCGAAGGCAAATAAATATTGCCATAGAGGTTCAATTCCTTTCGTTTCTTAGTCTGGTGGATTGAACCTCCATTCTTACCAAAAAAAGCAACGTAAATTCAGAAATATATGTATATAGATTTTCGTACAAGAAAATCCAACATTCTGGCTCAAAATTTGCTTATGAATAGTAAAGTTTCGGTCCCAAAATCATTCAACGGTCTTCTAGTCGCTCATTTCATCATACGCGATCCTGTAACTTTTAGCCTAATAGAAGGGCCGCGCGATTCAATAATTACGCCGCGCACTCCTTCTTACCCAATGGATATCATACTTACGAGGGGTTGCGCCTAGTTCCGCTGTGGCAGAGAAGGTCTGAACCGAGACGTGTATTGTTTAGGGGGTATTACAGACGTCGATTTTGGATTCATACGTGTGGAAGGAGAATCTAAGCGAATATAATGTGGAGACTGAGGTCATGTACACGTTGGAAAGTACCAATAGGTCCGTGTGTACACTTACCCGGGTGAAGAGTCGATCGTGCGATTCTGGAAGGCACTGGCATAGCTTTCGGAATGGATAGTGTTGTCTTGCCGGGCAGAGGCAAACGCGTGTTTCCTCTGCTGTACTTGAGGCGTGTGCGGTCCAAGCTGGGACTCTCTTCAAACTTGTCTCCCACCTTACGTTTAGATAAATCGACGGCAGTAGGGCTGGATATTTTGCTTGGTGATGCGCGTGGGAGACCAGATGGTTTTCGGAGGCCCATGGAGGAATTGGATGAAGTCTTCGTAATCGGCATGGGTTTCACAGACGGTGGTGTAGCGAGTGGGGAGTATGATTGAATTTCCATTGGATCGCAGCGAACGACGGCCAAGGTAGGTTCAACAGCAGGCGGGACGCTGATGGTGACGTCTACATTCATTTCTAGAATGTCCTTCTTACTCTGCACGATTAAGGGAGTTACAAAATCTGGTCTTCACTAGTAAATGACATGCTAGCTTACTTTATTCAATAATGTCGTGGTTCCTTTCGGACCGAAAGCCGTTTTCGGCCTTCCAGCTGTTCGTTTTGAAGTAACCTTGGCAGAGTTTGCGGGTGTGTTGTTTACCTTCGGGGAAAGTACTGTGCTTGCACTAAATCTAAAGACAGAGGAAGGAGTTGTGAACGATGAGTAAGCTGGCGTAGACAATATATTCTTGGCTGCAACTGCATCGTCGCGAGATTTGGCGGTGAGTGATGTGATCGGGTGACGTTGTCCAGTAGACGAACGGGGTAAAGCTGGTGACCTCATCGACGCCCGAGACTGAGCAGGGGTTTGAACGGAGGATCTAGGGCCCGTGGAAGTGCTGGTTGACGACCTAGGGAAAGTAGGGGATCTCGTGGACGACTTTGGGGTTGTGTATGTTGTGGTTGACAGCCGAGGCGAGGTAGATTCTTTGACAGTTGACCGCGAGGGAGTAGGGCTTATAGAAGACTGAGCTACAGATGACCGAGGCGACGTAGAAGCTTTGACAGCTGACTTCGAGGGAGTGGCGTTTACAGAAGGCTGAGATCCCATCGTGGCTCTTACAGATGACCGAGGCGAAGTAGAACCTCTGATGGATGACCGCAAGGGAGCATGGGACTTTACAGAAGACTGAGGAGTCATAGTGGCTCCTACAGATGACCGAGAAGATGTAGAACCTCGAGCAGAAGATCTAGGCGTCATGGATGTTCTCATTGAAGGCTTAGGAGATATTTGTGCACTGAGAATAGATTTAGAAGAAGTTGACTGCTTTACAGAAGATTTGCTTGTCATGGGCGTTCGTGTCGAAGATTGAGGAGACGTAGGAGGGCTTTGAGTTAAGATGAACGGCTGAGCAGGCGATGCCAGCGTAAATTCTGAAAAATCTGGCGATGCACATCGATCACTCATTGGTGGGGAAGGAATATCTTCAATCAAGAAGAAGGGATCTATGCTCTCTAGTTTATCAACTATTGAATGAATGGGACTTTAGGAGAACTTCTCGATGGTATTAGAAAGGAAACAGGACACTGGAAACAATACGCACTGCCAGCAATAGCTCTAAAGAGTGCAATACTCTCTCTTCTCTCACGTTCAGGACGACTGAAGCCCCACTGAGGGGATCGTCTAGATGAACCTAAAAGAGTTGATGGGGTCTGAACTTCTTTTGGAGGTGATTCTAGTGACAGCGCGGTCATCGACGCGTCCAAATCAATCAGCATTGGGTCGACTGTACTGGTTTGTTGATTAATATCGGTAGCAATTACGGTGTCCATGATGAAGATGATATGTTATGGAGATGGTACACTGAATCGTCCGAGGGAAAAAAGTCCCGCTGGGCAAGTCCGCCGAGAACAATAAGAGCCAGGGGTCGTTGCGTAAGCGGAATCACGTGGGTAGCCCTCCAGCTTTCAAAGCGGTTGTTGCCATAGTGGCAGTAGCTGCTGCCGATCTCGATCTTCGATCCCACCAGCGTTCCGCTGGGTGGTGCCTGCCCACCTTTTTTGCAGACTTTAAAAGCAGCGACGGTTCTGAGCATCAATGTCTACAGCAGTGCGCCGCACTGAGATATCGGAATAGCATACGTTCAAGGATCAGGGTTTTCTGTCGGGCAGCTTTGTTGGCCAACCCTGCTGACACTTGTATCAACCTGTATCAATCTAATATCCTGTCCGACATGCAAACCGTCAAGCTTCCCCCTCTATTCACACCTCCTACACCAGACTCGCCTGTCCCGTCAGTTCCGTTTGCAACTCCCCTTCCCGACATACACGTTACGCTGTTTAGGAATATTCGGAATGCTGTTGACGTGAGGAATCTGGTCATCAAGGGAGATCCTCGCGTTCCGGAATGTGTTTTGATAAACGCTGCAACGGTAAGCAACAGCACTTGTTCTGAAAGCCTCTAAAGTTTGTTGTTGAGTAATGCGTTGGGAAGAGGTGGGACAAACCGACACTGAAAAACTCACTTTTGTAGATTGTCGACGTCTTTCAAATTCAAATGGCATGCACGAAAGCGCTTCTACATCAACAACAAGGCATCATGCGAACACGATCACTGTACTCTGAAATCCTTTTCAATCTCTCCCCAACAAACAATATTAGCGATGCTATAAGACAGTTTGGCATATCAGATACAACGACAGCCGTAGCTGTGGTCATGGTTGGCATGCAAGCACCGCCCGAGGAGGTGAGGATTGTATAAAAACATTCTGATAATGTTATTTGCGTTAGCTCATTGTGGAATGCGGTATATTCAATAGGTACGCTTGCGTCTGTTGACTTTGATAGAGGGCGAACCAATACCGTTGTCACACTTGCCAGAGTTCACAGATTTACCACTGATAAATAGGGTAAGTGAATGAATACCCGTCGCGCTCCTTTCCCGGCCAAAATTCATATTCAATACGATGTTAGATATATAAAACTGGCAATGTTGCAGCTGACAGAGGGCAGACATTGGCGTTGGTGGTTGGGGCAATGGCGCTCAAAGGGCATTTGAGTTAGCACCTATACTCAGAAGCAGATATACCTAACCCATTATGGCAGCGTCATCTCAAAGCTAGTTCTGCAGAATAAGATTGGCCACTTTTTCCCGGCCTGGCGTTATTATCATAGTGGATACAGTTGGTTTCACGCCGGAGGAAGGACGGGTATAGGTAGCAAATTCAACCGTTGAATATAATGGCGCTAATTTACGTGACCTTTTTCCAACCACCGTTTGTTTATGTTCGCGTAAAATTGTCTATCCGCTACCCCGTCCATTACCTAACCCTTTAGTAACGCGTCGCGGGTCGGACGTTCCTGGCTGGAACACTTTGCCAAAGCTCAGCATTTCGTCTTTCTCATTGTCATTCAAGAGTAGCTTCACATTCTAGCATTATGTACACACGTCTTCCCAAGAGCTTTTGGTGGTGTCTGTTTCTCGTCCTGAGTGCTTTTGTTGCCACAATTGACGCCCTCGAAGTGAGTTTCTAACTCTTCTCGTTGTCCTATCCTATTCCACATGATTGTGCTGACAGAAGTACACAGGCGTTTCAAGCTATGGTTCCACCTTCTGCGGCCGGCCTAAGTAATGGCATCGGCAAGAGATTTGCCCGTGATATCCCCGAGGAGCTCCCAGTGCTTCCTGCTCTCCACAATACTCGTCACACTCACCGTCGCCGAAACGCTGCTCCGGATTCAGAGCAAGTTCGTCGCAGGGAACGCAGAGATTATCCGGAAGAATTGTAAAGGGGAACTGCGAGTGTTTGATTTGGTGATCCGCCATGGAGTGTGAATCCAGCGGCGGATACTTGCAGCGAATATCCTCGGGAAGTCCTGGTTCTTTACTTTATAAAATAGAACTATATCCGCCTATATAAGAAACACTCATCATCTGCACATCAATGGCCATTTCTGGGACGAGACGTCTGGTACTTGGCAGGACCTCATCACATGCTATTCCCTTAGAATACAAAATGCGTAAGGTGTTGAGTGACCGATGGTGGTAAACCGACATCATGCAACCGGAATTTTGTGTTTGCCTTTAAATGGGTGGAACACAGTATCCACAGAATTGCTCGGACTGAAGTTCATATTTGACATATCATATCCATTTCTAATGAGTCGGAAGCGTGAGCCACCTTCTTTGGTCTTCCAAATCGCTATCGATACCGCTGGCATTAGTACCGGATTACACCCAAGAAGATGCGGAATAATGACTGTTGTAACCGCGATATTGTGAACACTCATGCAAGGAATAAATAGATACACTTGGAATGATCGTCCGCAGCTATACAATTACTGCTGAGACATAACTGAGTACCGCTTATCCAGAGAGGCATCACTTTAGCTACATTATTTGACTGTAAATGCGCACGATGCTGTTGTTGTGTAAGTGTGGCAGGTTAGTTTCCAACAACTTGAGAGCTTTGCAGATAGTGCTCACACGCTGCTTCCCGCTGCGGCGTAAACAAATACCCTAGCTGGAACAGAATTGAACCGTTGCAGCCACGCAAGACAGTTGTTAGTGAAGAACAGCGCGTGGCAGGTTTGTGATCCAGGTCACCATGTCACATCTGCAGCAACGTAAGACCGCCAGCTCCCAAGGCGCACCACAACAGGAGCCTACCTTTCAGAGAAATTCTCCTCGGAAGCGAACGACAACGTCTTCAACAAGCGGTGTAGGGACTTTTCTCTTGACTCTCGGCCTGATCATTGTCACTGGACTCGCAACAAGTTGGATAGTCACAGATTCGCTGACTTTCGGGTATCCCATACCCAATTGGAGAAAACTTCTTCACGTACGTTTCTGTAATTGCGCACCGGCCTCTCAAGCGTGGCTTGCCCTATAACTGACAGTGATTCATATTCAATTAGCGACACGAGATTACACTGACCACCGCCGAATTGGCCCAATATGATGGCACAGATCCGAGCAAGCCCATATATCTAGCTATTAAGTAAGTCACGAGAAAGGCGAGCTTGACTGTTGACGGATTATTCTCTTTTGCTGATATGCCACTCAGTGGGAAGGTGTATGATGTCAGCGCCGGCCCGCAGTATTATGGGAAGGTAAGGACCGTTGATCCCAGAAAAGTCTGTCCCAGTGACTGATTCTATTGAGTAGGGTGGAGGGTACAATTTCTTTTCAGGAAAGGACGCTGCCCGGGCATACATCACCGGCTGTTTCCAGACCCACCTCACCCACGATCTACGAGGATTGAGTGAAGCTCAAATCAAGGTAGGCACAGTAGATTAAATATAGGCCACTGGCAGTACTAATAACCGTCCTCCTTCAGACGCTTGATCAATGGACAGACTTCTATGCAAAGCACGACCAATACTTCTATGTTGGCAAGGTCATCCATGATCCAATACCAGAGGACGCACCAATCCCTGAAGACTGTAATGCTCAAACGAGTGAATCAGCCTCCTAAGAACTCCCAGGCTACTACGATATAATGAGGTGGGATCATCAGTAAAGTGCAAGCCGGTTATCGCCCCCTAAGCTGGCACATCGGAAGTTTTCCAATTCAAAATCTCGACACAGATGAATAAATACACATGTTCGCAATCTCTATCTGCCTGTACCTATCTATAGGACACTGTCTACATGTAAACGGTGCCTCAAAAGGATGGTAGATCAAACAATTCAGGTTCAAAATCCTCTAGAGTATTTAGTACCAGGGTGGCACCAATTTCCCTCCCGACGACATTAACCATCTGTTCATCCGGCACCCACACCGTATGCATACCCGCAGCATTACCTGCTTCTACACCATTCACGGCGTCCTCAAAAACTAAGCAGGCTTCGGCAATGGGGGCATTCAACGCTTTCTGGGCCGCAAGAAACAGATCCGGTGCCGGTTTGCCCCGAAGAATGTCTGGATCGTCACCACAAGTCACGGAGGCAAATAGGTCGAAGAGGTGTCGATGATTCTGTGTCTTTAGCAGGTATTTTTGGCGGGTTGACGATGTTGCGACGGCGATAGGGATCTTGTGGTGGTGCAGGTGACGGACCAGGCGCTAGAAAGATCGCCGCGTAAGGCTAGCACCAACGATGGAAACGACAGTCTCATTTCACACCTCGACACCAGGCAGTAACGCACACTCTGGCCACATCTTCTCTTGCATTTCAGAAGTCTCTAGCAGGTACTCCTCAACGCTCATGGGTAGATTATAAACTTGCACAACAATCTTGGCGCTCTACAAAGGAAGTGACCTGTACTTCAGCCCCAAGCACATGCTCAGATATGAGTTTTGGCACAAGAGGTTGGTACCTCAAACGACGTTGTCCCCATTAGTCGACTCTTAACATCCCACGTGAAGGTCTTTCCTGGGGCATACTTGTCGAGAATGGTTTGGGTGACCTTGGTATATATGCTTTCGGTGTCAAGAAGCAGCCCGTCCTAGACCAATATTCGGAGAGCTATTTATTTTTGAGTAGTAGAGGACGCTTGTTCCGAATAGGCCTACCATGTCGAATATGCAGTGTGTTATAGATCTTTTCAACATTTTGGTGCAGTTGCAGAGAAGCGAGAGCGTTCAGAAAGCCTGATCATTGGGCACCCTTAATGTAAGCGCGTCGATCACTGTTTAATACGGCCGCCACCATCTTGCGACCATCGAAATTGCAAAGGACCGAATTTAATCCCATCTCCCACAAACACGTTACAAGATGCCTGTCGATTTCCAAACCATTCGTAATAAGTTCATCGAAGCTGGGCAAGGCCATGTTTTCCAGTTTTGGGAGGAACTTTCAGCTGGAGAACGGGAGGAGCTTCTCGCTAACCTTGCAAAAATCGACGTCGACCGAGTAAATCGAATTTACCACAAATCCACGACAACACCACCCAAATCGCAGCTCGCCAAGCTTGAGCCTCTTCCTGAAGCGGCCTTTGCCTCTACCATTGCAGGGACTGGAGCAGCCAAAATTAAGCATTGGGAGGAGAAAGGACTGAAACTTATTGCCCAAAACAAAGTGGGTGTTATTCTCCTCGCTGGGGGACAAGGTAGGTGCAAATATTTCCTGCAATGCATATCGGTCTTCGTGTGTTCTTTTCTATGGGATGCAGTGCTATAAGACGTATTGGGCACGAGCATCTTGAAAGGTCAAAAACTCATATTAATTCTGTCCCAGGTACTCGCCTCGGATCTTCCGCTCCAAAAGGTTGCTATGATATCGGACTTCCGTCACATAAATCTCTGTTCCAGCTACAGGCTGAGCGCATCTTGAGATTACAAAAGGTGGCCGCATCTTACGCCTCTGGAACAGAGGCGATTGTTATTCCTTGGTACATCATGGTTTCCGGACCAACTAAGCAGGCCACCACAACCTTCTTCAGGGAGCACAACTTCTTTGGTTTGAATCCCGAGAATGTAGTGTTCTTTGAACAGGGAGTGTTACCTGCATTTACAAACGAGGGTAAGATATTTATGGAAACAAAGAGTGCCCCAGCCGTGGCACCAGATGGCAATGGTGGAATATATGCTGCGCTTCGTCGGGAGGGTGTCATCGCCGATTTGGAACGTCGTGGTATTCCGTACGTGCACACATACTGTGTGGACAACTGCCTCGTCAAAGTAGCGGACCCGGTCTTCATCGGGTACTGCGTGGAACAAAATGCTGATTGTGGAGCCAAAGCAGTGCCGAAGGCGTCTCCCGAAGAATCGGTGGGCGTCATCTGTCTACGCGATGGTAAATTTGCGGTGGTAGAATACTCGGAAATCGATAAGAATTTGGCAGCTCTCCGTAAGGACGACGGAACGCTCGTGTACAATGCTGCAAACATTGCGAACCACTTTTACACCGTTGATTTTCTTCGTCGTGTTGATGCATTGGAAGGGGAGCTGGAATACCATATTGCACATAAGAAAATTAAGCACGTGGACCTTGCCACTGGAGAGCAAATTGTTCCTCAGAAGAACAATGGTATCAAGCTCGAAATGTTCATCTTCGATGTCTTCCCGTTCACCGAACGAATGGCGGTTCTGGAAGTTGCTCGCAAGGAAGAATTTTCTCCATTGAAGAATGCCCCTGGAAGTGGCAGCGACTCTCCCGAGACTTCGCGCGCGGACATTCTCAGCCAATGTGTGCGGTTTGCGGAAGCCGCTGGAGCTAAGGTTGTTAAAGGTGCTGGTCAAGACCCTACGGATGTCCCTGTGCTTGAAATTAGCCCGCTAGTATCATACTCTGGAGAGGGTCTCGAAACTCTCAAGCACGCCACCATTACAACTCCCAAAATATTGGATGGTCCACAGGACGTTCGGGAGATTCATATTGTCTAGTTTTAGTTACTTAGATACACGCGTAGCATCGGATTGGAGGCCAGATCCTCTCGGGTATGGACACTCATTTTAATCGTGTATGGTATAGTGAACATTAAAAGAGATTTAACAGCGAGATGGCTCGCAGCATAGAATATGAAGGCATTGGGTTTTTAATTTGCACTCATAGCCATATTCATGAGATCCAATGTAAATTTCATTTGAGTTTCTATGTGTATACATAGCGGGCTGGAGCCGCAGCCTCAAACCACTGTCCGGCCACCTTCATACTCGTGTCTTTCCACTTTTGTTGAAGAGGGTCTGAATAACAAAAACCTGGAAAAGACTCGTGCCCACCACCATAAGCACTTCTAAAGTCCCAAACCAAAACAGCCTATTCTGGGTACTTTTCACAGTATCGAAGTTTCTGTTTTCTCGCGTTCGAAAGTACTTTTGCTGCTTTTGAATACCACCGAGTGTGTCGCTCAGATTCTCAATACTCTCCTCCAATGGGCGAACTTGCTTCTTAGCGTCCTCTTTCCCACTTAGATCGTGTCCGACCGGAGACGTAAGGTGGCTCTCGTGTTCGGCAGTGACATCAAAGTCAATAACTTTCTCTGTGAACGTTGACATGCGGTTCGAAAAGCAGAAAGAATGCTCTCCGGGACCGGACGCAGAGAATACAAAGTCGCCTTGACGCTCTTTTTGGCCTTGCAAGATTTGCACATTGTTTGGTCCCACTACTTCGTAATCGATATCAAAAGAACCTCCAGACTGAACCTAAGTTACGAATGGAGTGCAGATCGTGTCAAACAGAGCACACAATGGAAATCACACCGTGTGTTCAACGTACCGCAAAATAGAACGCAATCTTCTCGCCGGCACTTTTGGCCGCAGTATAAAAACATGCACGCTCATGTGGGTCCATTTTGTAGGTCAGCGTCGTGGCGCTGGCTCCCGCTATGAGCACGAAGAAGCCTGCTATGGCTGCAGTTATGTTCGCCTTCATGGTGGAACAGGAGCTTGTGACGGGGCAGATTGAAGGGCCAGATGGGCAGGCGAAGGTACCACACTCGTGTATTTGCAGCTACTTCAATTAGTGGGTGGCTTAGTGGTGCTTAGCTGGGTGATCGTCTGGTAATTGTGCTCCGACAGTGTGTGTGTGCTGTCGCAAGTCAGAGTATTGTGCGCATAACACCAAACACAACGCATCATGTGAAGGATGGGCATGAATTCATCCACAAAATATCTGTAATCCATTGTGATATACGATTCCTTCAGATCTGAGGGATGACAACTTTCACAGATCAAGGCTACCACGGCGATTAGGACAAAGAGACACGACGTAGAAATGGGCAACGGAATGCACATAGAGGTTGCTGTCGCCTGCTGTTTGCAAAGCAGCCATTCTCATCCGTAGCTAGCTATAGCCATGTGAGGCTTGAGGCTTACCTCATCATTGGACGAACGCGAGGTTTGTCCCAATTGTCTTCCTGGCTGAAGTATAGCGCCCGCCCCTACACGGCAGCAGAAGGGGCTATGACGGGACTTTCGTATCAGCAATCTCCAGCATCTTTTGACGCGAAGGATGTTGGTAATACTCTGATCTATCCAAGGGCATCAAAGCGTTCCCGCCCCGGATCTTATCATCAAAAAGGAAATACGGAAGTAGATCCGTTGATACGGGAGCTAGAGGAGCTATTGAAGGAGTCCAACGTACCAAATCTCACTAAGAAATCCCTGGCTCCTAACGCTCATGATCAACCTGCGGTCCCGCGTCGACCAACTACACCATCCGCGAATCTGTCTCATCCTCCCCTTTCCGAACCGCACCAACCAACAGCTCTCATCTCCGCTCGTCTTCTGTTTCTCCTGAAAGCTCATTTGAAGACCTTAACGCATGCTACAAAATCACAGGCATCCCAGATCAAATCTCTGGAATCTGCACTCAGAGCATCTCAAAGTAGGGAAAATGCCCTTCAAACGTCATTGGAATCATGTCAACTGGACTCGGCAAAATCGATCGCAAATCTCCAAAACCAGATCCGGAATTTGAATCGGCAGCTTGTCAGCGTTAAGGGACAAGCGGCCAAGGAGTTGCGTGCAAAGTGTCGAGCATTGGAGCTGGATCTCTTTAGAGAACGTGCGGGGAGGACGAAGGTCGCAGTCGAGCTGGACACGGTTGTTGAGAAGGAGCGAAAGGAGAGACAACAGTTGGTATTGCTTTTGGTTAATCAACTGGAGAAAATGAGCAAGATTCAGCATAAGCAGGAATTCAAAGAAGCTGAGAATGAACAGCTAGGGTTTTTGTATAAACATGCTAACGAGCGGATATGTCAGACACAGCAACATCTGCAGCAATTGACCCTAACACTGCGACAATCATTGACTGGTCAATAAAATAACAATATCATGGAGCGACATTTCTGAGCTCACATCCATTTCTATTCTGGAAGAACGGACATTCTTCCGCCCACATCCCTTTCTTGAAAACTATCCCTTGCATTTTCTTTTTGCGATCGTCATAGTCTGTTGCCCTTTCAGCAGCATTCTCTATGCCGTCATCCATGCGATTATAAACACAAAAGTATACAACGAACAACAGTACCCCTCCCTCCATCTTTACCTCCTCCTAACTAGTGCCCCATGCAATATACATAAATAGGTCATCCCGAAACCAACAATCGTGGAGCAATATTCATTGCCATTAACTCCTGGAACAGTAGCTTGGCAGCATACGGTATATGCAACTGTGATATCTCCGTCGTATTTTGGCAGGATCGGCATTCGTATTTGTTACGTTTAAGATCTGCAATCACCATGAGACCGCAACGGTCGCAAACATGAACACGATAGGCGTCTGATGCATCAAAAAGACGTTCCTATGCGAAGCAAAAACATCAGGTTGACCATAGAACTGTTTGACCAAGAAGACGATAGGTTACCTTCAAGAACTGTGCAGCTCCATGAGCAATGAAACAATCACGTTCCATCTCTCCAAACCGTAGACCTCCATCACGGGAACGACCCTCCACCGGCTGCCGGGTCAAAATCTGCACGGGCCCACGTGCACGACTGTGAATCTTGTCATCTACCATATGCTTCAGCCTCTGGTAGTATGTCGGTCCAAAGAAAACTTGCGCTTGCAGCTTCCGGCCAGTGTGTCCATTGTACAATACTTCAAAACCGCGCTTTTGGTACCCAAACTGCTCCAACGCCCTCGATATCTGGTCAACTGTAAGATCGGTGAATGGCGTCGCATCGCCTTCCACACCGGTCAAGGTTGCGAGTTTGGATAACAGACATTCGACCAAATGCCCAATTGTCATACGTGATGGAATAGCATGTGGATTGATAATCAAATCCGGACTTATACCTTCCGCTGAGAAAGGCAGGTCCTCTTGCCGATATGTTATACCTACAGTACCCTTCTGACCGTGACGTGACTGTGCGGTTGCATAAATTTTAAGTCAAACAATTTGATAGCTTAACACAGCACCGGCGGCGATACTCACAGCAAACTTATCACCCATCTGCGGCACACGAACGGAACGAACGCGGACTTTGACAAATTTAAATCCTGCCTCGTTTGTAGTTACATTACCCGATCAATAATGCCGTTTTCCGTACTCTTCAGCGGAGTAGATGCATCCCGTTTGGTGTGAGCTGCGGTACGCTGACCCATCTCAGCGCTGTCTTCTTTGATTGGCACAGTTTTTCCGATAATGATATCCTCGCCGCCGACTCTGACGCCCGGTGCGATTAGCCCATCGTTGTCCAGCTTTTCATACGTTCCATGCTTAAGCCGCAGACAGCTGTCCCTTGACGGCTTTTCGAACGTTTCACTGGCCATCATTCCGACCTTCTTCTCGGTGTCCATGTACACTCGATAATACATACTTCTAAAAAGTCCTCGATCAATGGAGCTTTGACTCATGATCAGGGAATCTTCCTGATTGTAGCCGGAGTACACAGCAATAGCCACAACCGCATTTTGACCAGCAGGTAGTTCTCGGAAATGCATGAACTCCATAGCACGGGTAGTCGCAAGCGGCTTTTGCGGGTAGAACAGAATGTTTGCCATTGTGTCCATACGGATTTGATAGTTTGTGAGGAAAATGCCCATAGCCTGTTTACCCATAGCTGACTGATAGGTGTTACGTGGAGACTACAAGAAACCAGATCAGTTCCTGTCAAATGCATGAAAGTATATTGCCCACTTACTTGGTTATGATCCGGAAACGGAATAATACTAGCGCAAATGCCAAGGATCATGCTAGGATGAATCTCACAATGCGTGTAATTTCGCGCATATACAGCATTGGATCTCAAACGTGCGAAT